ATGTAATATAATTTTGTAATAATTGTGGTTATTATTTTTATCAATACCACATGCATAGTTAATTGTAAACTTTCGGGTTGTTTACACATATTTTAAATAAACTATAGAGACCAAACGCGATGAAAATTTTTTTCAGGTACATAGTATCTACAAGAAGGTACCTACCTGTAAAAATGTTTTCGTCGTATTAAATCTCCATGGTGTATTTAAAATACCGCATGCATAAATCTTAAGAACAGGATTTGTGGTAAAATCTGCGTATAATACTGTTCTTTTAAATATTGATGGTCGAATTATTTGTTATATTTTCGTATATATATTACTATTATACTTATAGATTTATATATTATGAACAACGAATATACATTGTATAAATTAGTACTTGTTGCAACAAAATTAATCCACACAGGGCGTCTACATGTTTGAAATTCTTTCACCTATATATTCGTAGTTCATATATCGTTATAACATTAGCTTATTTACTTTTATCGATTTTATATCTAGTATATCTGTGAGAAGTTTATATGTTTAGTTCAGTCACACTTATGCTCTAGTTGTTTTTGAAGATTGATTTATCGGAAAGAAGAATATTTGAGTCTAGAGCTATCCAGGTTTTATTTGTTTCGGCTTACATAGATTACATACATTACGTCGGATTTTCGGCGGGTTTTAAAATATTTTCAAATAAAACGTGTCTTGGCCGTTTCGAAATTTTTAAAAGTCAATAAAAATTACTCATTCTCAGGTTAAAAAAAGCACTTTTGGGTTTGAAATTTAAATATTGTAACTTTATCGATCGGGATATTTCGCTTTTAAGGAGCGTGGTGTAGTATATTTCAATAATCACAATTTTTGTGACTTGTTACTATAGATTTCCACAAAATTTCTTGAACACAAAAGATTTGCTTACTACTTAGTCTAAACGTTCAATATTATCTTACATTACACTAAGAATAGTTGAACAGTACAATAAAAATATTAAGGATTTTGCTATTTTTTCTTTAAATATCTAGCTGTTTCAGAGCACAAAATGAAGTGTGAATATTAATTTTTGCAGGTCGAATAAATAATATAAATGCGAAGATAAATCTCTTTTTAGGATATAACTGTATATTGCACATTATCTCTTGTGATGTAACATTGTCTATTTAAGTTTATTATAATGTAGACAGCTTTATTTTTCTCGAACTATGAAATTTGTGTCGCCATCTCAGAACTGCTATTATAATTAATACATTATATTGGTAAAAATATGACGATGTTGGTAACATTTGTAAGTACTGAATGATATGCTAGAGGAATATTCTGATTTTACTATGGGTTTTGGATGTAACTGTTTTATACCTGTAATTGAGTTAATCTGTTTTTTAATAGTTGTTTATTTGTTGTCATGTTCTCTGTAGTATTTCCGTGATTATAATACATGGAATGAATTTTGATTACAGTTAATTGTTTGATGTTAACGTTACAGTTAAGTAGAAACCATTATCCAGAATTGGATAATTTCATGTTATTCGTGTAAACTCACATCTAGTTTTTATCGTAATAGTCTGACTTTTGTAAGTGTAAGACTTTATTGAAACATGATTGAAATTTATTATTATGAGCTAAAATATAATACATTCATGGTGCCTACTCTAGGTAAGCAACATTAGTTAAGCGTAACCTGGGCTTGCCCGGCAGCTACTTTTACTTGCGGCCATTTTATACAGTCAATCCTATGTTATCGAATAGAAAAGAGGAATAAACTTTATTTTTGTAGGCTGAATAGATTTTATCAAAAAGTCCTCAATTCTTAAACAATACCATCATCTAGAAATTTTTTTAGATGCTTGGTAACTCTTAATTTTGTCCATTTTTTCAATTATAGAAAACAATATGCTTTTAATTGAAGTAAATCTTATCAAAATACATGCAGAATTTACCAAAATTATTATCAATTTTCATCTGAAAAACCCAGGTTACGATTAGCTAAAAGTAGGGAACGTGGGTGCGCTTATATTTCAGCTCGTCTTTTATTTAAACCAAGTTTCATTAAAAATATATCAGCAGAAGTCAGCAGCGGGATCTTGGGTTATAATTATAGTTTCATTCTGGGAATCTTAACGTCACAACCAAATTTCGGTTTATCAACTTACTTTATTATCAACGTTACTGTTATTAATATCTATTAGATATGTAGTTATGGTGTGGTACTATAAATAAGAAATTATAGATTTGCTCTGCATGTCAGAATTGTACCACTAACCATGTATATATGCAGTTCGTCATAAATTCAGTTTGATAATTTATTCGCACAGAGATTTTGCCATAAACGGACACCATTATTTATTTCCTGTATAAATTGCGAACGGATTTTAGGTTCTATATTAATATTTTACTATATAATTTTATTTAACCTTTATTCTCTGTCGAAAATTATTTTAAACTCTACACCAAGTCATCAATATAATAAAATCATCAAACGGCTTAAATGTTGAGTCTTTATTAAAAAAAAAAATACAAAATTGACATTAATTTTGTTTTTTTTTTTTTAATGTAATATTAAAAACGAGAAATAATAAATTTGCTTTCCGTGGTTAAGTGTAACAAATGGTAATAATGAACTGTGCTTATGACGAGCTGCGATTAGCAAGCGAGTATATATATAAAGTGTGACGAGGGGCGTAAAATTGTCATTACAACTGTTTAAATACAAGTGTTTGCAGTAAAAGTGAGGTCATATTACATTTTGCACATAATTTTAACTATCAACTATTGAATGGATTTTGTAATGTCTTATGAAGTTCGTGACATAGTGTTATATTAGTTTTTCTTAATTCACACAAGGATGAAATATTATACTAAATTTGTATTTATATTATACCCAGTGTTAAAGTGATGTGTTTCATGAGAAATGAAATGACTACAGAGAATTTGATCGACGAGAATTTTTTTTTTAAAACATGGAAATGTAATTTTTTTCTTTATAATATAATTTCATCGGTAGGTATTTGTTTAAGATGTAATGGCATGTAGTTATTGAGTGTTTATTTAAAATGACAACATGTTAAATTTTTTATTACCTTTTTTTTAATAATTATTGTTAATACCACTTGCTTTTTATATTTAACACAGATTTAAAATACATTTCTATGTTTATATAAGATGTAAAGAAAAGGGTACAAGTCGAAATCTAACACTAAATCGGTAATGAAACTAAATAGTTTTCCCAAAGGAACATATACGCCAAAGATCAAAATATTTTTTTTGTAATTTTTCTTACTAAAGATCGGTTTATAAGGAAAAGGTTCATGAAACTATTTTGATGTTTAAAAATAGATTTTTATTGAGAGTTGTTTAGTTTTCTAATAGTGAATACTAATTTAATCGATTTCGACTTGTTCTACCCGTACATTACATACTATGTAAGACTTTAAGGGAAACTACTGCCATCCTCTAAAGTGACAGTGAAATCTCACACATATTTTTTTTTATAATATAGTTTGGTACTATAAAGTAGAAAAATCAATATTCCTATATGAATAACACAATGTTAAGTGAATACATTTTTCAAATTATTTCTATTTTGTTTCTACCTCTACTGAAGAGGATAGTAGTGATTTCCCTAATACGTTTGGGTGGACCGCTTTTCTGTTTATGATAATGATCATTACTCAAACAGATTAGGCAATAGTGAATCCTACTCTGTTTGAATCTTTGTTGTAACGGTAATTTTGAAATTAGCTATGAAATGATGGATGTGGATTTACTGTCTATATTTATTGTATTGTCTTGAAATATCAAAAAGGATTATTCATAACGTTAAAATTATGTTTTGTTTATACATAATCTATAAATTTGCCATAATGCCGAACTTTATTTTAGCTATGAAAGTGTTTATTTTGTTTCTTACTTCATTTGACAGAGAAGGATATTTGTTTTAATGATTTTTTTTTTATGTTAGTATTTGTTGGAGATTTTTTGCAATACACACACACACACATACACACTGTCCTAAAATTAGAGTAAAAAACATGTTTATTCACATGAAAGATAGAATTAGGTATACATACATTTACTACATTAATAGCCTTTATTCGCGAATTTGCGTGATCTTTGCCCTTATCCATCTCAAATAGTATGTGTTTTCATAATGATGATTGAGTCATCAAGAGGCAACAAACGTCATAAGTATCGCATTTATTTTACAGTTTAAATAATCTAACACGTAATAGTCCATAACGCTTGGTACGTTTAATCATTCATAATTATGTTATAAATCGGGTTTGAATCCATTGTCACATTAATATTACTTAAAATTGTCAATTTTGTGATTGGACGTAGTATTTAATCGTAGATGTGTAAAATAAATTAACGTAATTTTGCTCCACAAACAAAAATGACTTCTATCTTGACAAAATTAGTATGCAACTAGCACGATAGGAATCATTCGATAAAAGAAATATCAAGAATAAATTAGTAAAGCTGTTGCAAAACATACATACGATATTCTCCTCCTTTTACAAGTAGTCTTCTTCACAAAAACATTTAGACCGAACTAATTGTTTATTTAAAATATAATAGTACAATGTACTAACCATGGCAAGTTTCTTTCATATTAGTGTCTGCAAATGCCAATTTTGTGACTGAAACTACATTTACGTTTGAATATCCTTTTTGAATAAAACAAATCCTCAATGTACTCGTGCAAATACGCGAATTCAAAGTTTACAATGTTTAAACGAGATACAACTAGTTATGGGGAAAAAAATATCTTCTATCTATCCTTCGGTGCTACAGTGTATGCCAACCTAGTCGTATTTTATAAGAACGAAATTACTTTGCGCTGGAATTCGCATATTTATTATATTTTATTTACTTTGTATTGATATTGGATTAATAAGTTGGTTGGAATTTCCAGTACGTTTTTACAAGCAGATGACTTCGAAGCGAATATGGAATTCGTTTCGCTGTATTGTCGCAACTGACAAGTAGAACAATTTATTTCGTTGTTGTAGGGTCAGCATCCGAACATAGTGACTGTGAGAGAGATTGTAGTCGGCTCCAACATGGATAAAATTTTTATCGTTATGGATTATGTAGAACATGACCTTAAGAGTTTAATGGAGACTATGAGAGGGAAAAAGCAGGTGTTTCTTCCAGGTAATATATTTTTTTTTTTCACATAATATACAGTTTGTAATAGCAGCCAAGCTAAGACTAGTTGATAGAAAGTGTTATGACAATAGCATGTTATTTGTGGTTGGTTATATTTAAATATTTATATGAGGTGCAGTTTATTATTAACATTTTCCATTCTCATCATAAATACAAGTTTTATGGAACAATTAGAGACGACAGTATTTGTCTCGAAAGGTTCAACAGTTTTATAGTTTATACTGAGAATACCTTTGAACGGACAAGCATCTTTTTTAATATTAGATTTTGTCTTAGAAGAAACATACAAACAAGTTAAAAAAAAATGTAATCAATGAAAAATTATAAATAAACTAAATATTTATGTATTATTATTATGTTTATTAATTTATAATTTTCTGTAACTATAATCTTTTATACATTGTCATTTTTATGTTGCAGGTGAAGTAAAATGTTTAATGACTCAATTGCTCAGAGCAGTTCATCATCTTCACGACAATTGGATATTACACAGGGATCTCAAGACTAGCAATTTACTCCTTTCGCACAAAGGTGTTTTGAAGGTATTATAAAGTTTATTTTAATTACAATTTTCAACATTTAAAAAAGTAATTGTTGAGTTTCTTGTGGGTTCAACAGTAGATAACAAAATTCCGAATCTAGTAGTAGAATCATAAAAGATGTTTTAAAAGAGTTTGTAAACGAGTCAGTTTAAATAAAGATATTTTTGATATTGAGTATCTAATGCGTTTGTAACGTGGGGCGCATAATTATTTATGTGTAAATTATAGTGATTGTATAATTAAATTTAAAATTGAACTGTGAAAAGATACATAATAGATTGCCTTCTATTTATACAGGTGGGAGATTTCGGTTTGGCCCGTGAGTATGGGTCTCCACTAAGACAATACACACCGATAGTGGTAACTCTGTGGTATCGTGCACCGGAGTTACTTCTTTGCTGCAAGGAGTATTCAACACATATAGATATGTGGAGTGTTGGGTGCATATTCGCAGAATTCGTCTCTATGAACCCTCTGTTTCCAGGAAAATCCGAAATCGATCAATTAAATCGCATTTTTAAGGTAAATATATTGTAAACTAATAGTGTTATTATTTATTATTAATATTATAAAAAGGAAATATTTGATTGTTTGTTTGTAACGGATAAACTCAAAACTATTTAACCGATTTTAAAAAATTCGTTTACCTATATATACAGAAAGCTACTTTATCAGCTAATAACATTGGCTATATTATAGTATCAAAAATTCTATCTGTGACTTCAAAAGTAGAAGGTTTTTAGATCGATTGTATTCTAGTTTTATTTATCAATATTGAATCGATTTTTATGTTTATTTTTATTCGAAAGGTTTTATACCGGTATTGTTACAAATTTTATCAAGATAGAAATCAGTTTCTTTTGTGGAAGAAATCTGTTTTGTGAATAATTATACTAATAAATATTTATTATTGCAGGATTTAGGAACCCCATCGGAGGCTTTATGGCCCGGTTATAGTGAACTACCCGCCGTCCAAAAAATGACATTCGCGGAACACCCTCCTGGTGGTGTACGGAACCGTATTGGGCCAGATCTGCTATCCGAGACCGGAATGTCGTTGCTGCAAAGTTTTCTTACTTATAATCCAAATAAAAGGATAACAGCTGAGGCAGCGCTGGAGCATCCATACTTTATGGTAAATATTCTTAGTAACAAGTAATTTATAACAAAGCTTAGCTAATAGACATGGGTGATATCGATACCACTCTAATATCTGTATATTGGGTTACTCCGGATATTGATAGCGCAAAAAATGATTATCACTCATTCAGATACCGCTCATATCAGTCTGATATCTATATTAATTTAGATTGGGTGCTACATTTCGATGTTATATATTTTATAACCGATATTCAATATATTCTTTATTAGTTGAATATATATACATTGTTACTGCAATATATAGATATTATTATATATTACCATCTTTAATAGCAAAACTAAAACTAAATATATAGATTTAATAGGATTATTTCAATTTTATTATTTTTATTCCATAATTAGGTAAAGTTGGATGGATTTGAAAGATATATTCTAATATTATTTGATTTTATTAATTTATCTACGAATAATTTCATCTAAATGAACTTAATTTTCGGAAGTCAAATTATTCATATTCCATTTAACTCATTGCAATTTTTGTAATTACCATGTTTGAATATTTAAAGGGAAAAATAATTTGATAATTAGTTTTTTTTGTACGAGTTTGAAAGGAAAAAAGCTGAAGCTAGTAACGTCATGGACGACATAGATTATCGAATTATTAAATTAATTGATTATAGTATCATGAAATAATCGTTTGCCTCTATGAATAAATAGTATATATAATTATGGAATTGGTTTCAGGAGCATCCGGTTGCGATTGAGCCCGCCATGTTTCCTACATGGCCTGCCAAATCGGAAGGTAATCGTCGCAGCACACACAGCCCACGGCCGCCAGCAGGTGGTGCCGCCTATGCGCAATACTCACGCGGCGACTCAGACGAGGCGCTTGGGTTCCATGTTCGTTCCCTCAATGTTGCCCCGGGTTTCTCTTTAAAATTCTAGTAGTAACTTATTCGTTTCATGCAAATGTTAACAGTGTGGTTTACATGTTCAATTGTTTGAGAGCAACATTGTCAGTGTTAACCTAATTTATTAAGGCATCATACATTTCTGGCAACAGTAGATATGTTGTTGTATAAACATAATTTACAAAATGTTTCCAGGATATTTAATTTGATTTATTCTTAAATGTACACCATAATAAGAATATATTGTTTTTGTTATTAACAAAATATTTCGAGTCTATTACAGTTCAGACAGTACAGTACCTAAAATTGGTAACGTAAAAGTGTATGTCTTGTAGACAAGTTTAGAAATAGATTCAATAGATTAAATTGTAATATACAATTATGCCTTACTTTCCTCAATACATTTATAAAATTTGCTGTGTCATATTATGGTTCTATACCTATGTATCTTATTTCCGTAGACATAAAATTAATAATTTTCGAATTATGTGCATCTTATGGAAAAACTATAATTATTGAATGTACTTATTCCCTTTAATATACTTATTCACTTATTACTTATTAAAATATACTTTTCATTTTACTAACCTTATTTTTTATACTGTATTATGTAGTATTAAATGATTATGTAAATATGAATTAATATTTTCTTATCTTTGTATATAAATAAATCCATAAACTTGCTATTACAACAATATGCATGGTTGTATACTCAAATTGTCAGTAATTCTCTTTTAAAACGTACTTACCAAATTGTGAATATTACTTCTATTTTGTATAGATATAATGTGTTTTGTCGTGTATTGAAAATAGTTGAGTAACACTTGTATATAAATATCATTTTCGTTTATTTTTAAAATCTGTAAATATAATTACAATATCACCATATTAGCATGCGAATTTACAAGAATTGTAATAAATTAGTCGTAAACTAGGTTTAGTTAAGTCGGGTACAATAAATTATAATACGTTTTGACACATGATTTTTATTTACTGAATCCTATTAATACAAAATTAAAAATGTACGATTATTATGTAGGAATTTTAAAAACTCGTTATATTTTTGGTTAATGCTTGTCATATCAGCGACCTGCGTCATTCATTCCTTTAGGTAACGCTAGTATAGAATTGATAAGGTCTGCATTACGTTTCCATGTGCGGTACTTTGTATCAATGAGTGCATTTGTTTCTATAACTAGCCTCCCTCCGACGTCACCTCGATATGCATCGATCATCGAGTGGACATGATGAATGTACTGAAAAAAATTTAAGATAGGGATTTATGGTTAATTATCTCGAATCTAAGAGCAAAACTTGCACTTCTGTTAGGAGCACGAGTATATGCTATTCTTCGTTCTCCTATCCTCCAGTAGTAACATGAGGAACTATTATTTCAAGTTCTTGTGGTGGTAAGGTCGTAAAATATAGATCCTGGGGAAAGGGCTTATTAGTAATAGGTTCTTGCAATATACTCTTGACAGATCGATCTCGTGTTCCCCTCTGGAAGCCATCGTGACTAATTCCTGACTAATTAGTTATTAATAATAATAAACTCTTTATTGCGCATAAAAGACATAAGTATATTACAAGGAGTATTTATATAGAATGTGCATATACAAAATGCGGCCTTATTGGTAAAAGCAATATCTTACAGACAACCTGGGTTTATTTAATTAAATACAACATTGTTAAATTGAATTTATTCACGTCAAATCTCAAAAGTCGATATACCTATTTAAATATTATAATGGACCTATTATATATATTTGCCTTAGTTTCCCTGCTTGGTAGATATCGCAGTGGATTCCTACGTAATCAAAGGAACCTAATTTAAAATTTAATCTCTGAAACTCATAGTGGTTTGATCATAAACAAATGTCAAAATACTAATTTTTAGTGACAGCATAATAAGAATATTATACGCATTATTGTTTTATGATAGATAGCAGAGAGCACTTGTATATTAATCGATCAGAAACATTCAAAAATGTTCAATTGTTTTTAAAAATTGACATACATAATTGCGACTTTGTCATACTTCGTTATGAAGGAGTCAGTGGATATAGGTGGTTCAGGACCGTACATTATAGTAGTCTACGGGGAAGCCTATGTTCAATAGTGGGTAGATAACGGCTACTATGATGATGATATGATGTTATAAATGCTCGAACTGGCCATGTCTTTTTTATAGTAGGTAATGTACAATTATGACAGATATATAATCAAAAAGAATTCACCTGCCAAATCTTTATGCGAAATAGAAATTACTATCCAGTCTGTAGATAAAAAAAAAATATCCTCCGTGAAATATATCTTTTTTATTCTCCGTTGCTGGGTTTGCCTCTGCTAGTTTTTATAACCATAATATTACAATAATACGGTTGAGAGCTTTTTTTTTAATCCAAAATAAAAAAAACTATTTTGGAATAAGCAAATGGAGTTTTATAATAAAATGGCACTTACTTAGCTACAGAAAACTATAACAAATTTCAAATCTATCTATATATAGTATTTACTTAATTAACTAGGGACTAGTCGTGCTGACGATGACAGGCGAACAGATGGAACGTAATCTTATATAAGGGTTTAGTTTAAACCTTTTTGGTTTGGAACTCTAAAGCAAACATTAAAATCGGTTTACAATTGATACAGATATTATGATGATGATATCATCATAATATCTGTATCAATATAATAAATAAAAATATAATAAATAAAAATAAATGTATATACATACAATCAAGAACTACTTTTATATAATTTTAATATTTTTATATTTGGTAGCTTATACATTTTGGCACAATTTGGAGAACTGGGACACCTGAACAACTTGTTCGAATAAGTAAGTTTAACTTCGACCGAGAGGTCAACCGACGAATCCAACGCGGCTGGGCAGCGTTCGGAAAAATACGCCACATCTTTTTATACAAAATACCTCAAGGTTTGATGACGAAGGTCTTTAGCCAGTGCGAGTGATGACTTATGGAACCGAAACATGGTTCTACACGATTGCCCGTATGCAAAAAATTCAAATTACAACAAGTTATGGAGAAGGCTATGCTCGGAGTTTCTTTGCGTAATAGAATCACAAAAGAACCAAAGTAACCGACAGCCCGAATGACAAGCAAGCTTAAGTGTTAATAAACTGGTTACATAGCTCGATGAACCTACAACCTATGGGGAAGAAAGGCTCTTGAGTGGCGACCTCGTACGCAGTGTAGGATGACTACCAACTACTGCTGAACATAATCCTTCCGCATAAGGGGAGTTTTGCCAGTAGTTGCCACGCTTGGCAGGCGCATTGACAACTGAAGTTAGGCTTTTAAAGATGTTTTAAAAGGGATGCTGCTTCTCATCCCTCGCCCTACCTTAGTCGACTCTTACAACAACTGTTCTATGCCGAGACCACATGGCTATTAAGTAAATATTAATCTATATTAAATTTACAAAAAAATTCAAACTTACCTCTTTATCAGCAATGTCTCCTACATATCCTCCAAGATTATTAGTTTTGAACTCATGAACAGATACTTGACACAGGAACATTAATAACATTAGGAACGTGGTAGCACACCACACCATCGTTCTGTAAAAAATAACTTATTTGTATAAGAATATTTTCAGTGAATCCTAACTATTCACCGCAGAACACATTCATGTAATGTTATGTATTAGTATACTTAATTCGAAAACACGGAAGTATCTATTCTGTTTACCTTTATATAGGTAAGTTATTAGAATATCAAAAAGATATCAGGAGCTTTGCTTATCATAGTACTTTTACGTTCATGGTTTATAGGTACGGGTAGATTATTCGATTTATTTGTCATTTTCTAATTAAATACCTATGTAGATAAATCCTCTTGGATTTCAATACTAGATGTTTAATATTTAGACATCCAAATATAAATGCGAGTACATATTCTATATACAGGTGAAATCGAAACAGTTTGATACATGAACAATGAAGACGTCATAAGTACATTTTACATATAATGTGGCAGCAATCAGGTATTCGGTTTAACTTAAGATAAGCGGCCACTAAAGCTTATAAATCATCACAGTACGTTACAGACTCTTTATAAAATTGTATTTATAGCAATAATTTAGTTTTTCATCGTTACAATTGCAATTATTTTAGATTTTTCACTTTGAAACTTTAGTGATAAGGGGAGGGGGAGATTGGTATTATTTTACATTTTTGACGAAAAAATAATTAAGTGTACAAATTATGCCCTTCCATAATTTACCCCACTGGACTAGTAGGTTTCTTTTTTAAATATAGTTAAGCAAAAGAAAATATTTTATAGTTTTGTTTTGCAATATGCGTGGGCCAGTGATATCAAAAACTGTTTCAAATTTCAAACCTATACTGTATATAGTTGCTGAGATAAAAAGCTATTACAGACGGACGGATGGACAAAGTCGCACCATAAGGTTTCCTTTGTGCTGTTTTGGCACGGAACCCTAAAAATGACATAAGATAGAAATATTTTAATAAGTTAAGATCGAATACAGAGTTATTTCTAAAGATGTATACACGTTTTGCGTAATTCACCAGAGGGAGACTTTGTACAAAAGTCGATTGCTTGGGTACCTCTGTCCCATTCGTGTTTCAACCGTGAAGTAGTTGTGTTTGCATGGCTGCGTTTCAGTTTGAAGGGTGGAATATGGCGTGAATTTGCTGGTTACAGAGGAATAAGACCTTAGTTCTCAGGAGTGGCAACGCATGGGGGGTATCATGGGCGAAACAGTATACTCTGTTATGTCCATGTCTATAGGCGACGGTTACCACTTTCCATCAGGTAGGCTGTCAGCTTGTTTGCCATTCTAAGTTGTATAAAAAAAATTATAAAAATAGTATATTAATATGGATTCCAGATTTAGAGTATAAATTAAAAAAGACAGATGTAGCATTTGTCTAGCAAAATATTTCAATTGATGATATAATGTCTTCTCCCACGCTGCCTGCTTAACAAATTTACATGAAGTTATGCAGTGAGTTTTCGATACGTTTTTTTCTTTTAGGGCGCTTGTCTATATTCGTGACCTCTCAGAAATTTGTCTGTAAACTTCTTGAACAAATTATTCCTTTCAAATTTATCCCTGATGCGGGTAATGATGAGTTTTGTAGTTGGATCTCTCATAAACTCCCTTTTAAACCGTCTTTGCTCTTCCAGTATGTTTTTACACTTATGATAATGTATATTTTAAAATAATGTATATTTTTCAAAATGTAATTTAAAATTAGCTATTATTTTAAGTGAGTAGTATTTACTCAGAAAAGAAAAATATAATATTTTATGATTGTGGAATTCTCTTCTCATGCCTATCCGTGAGAGTCAAACCCTAAGTATTTATTAAAGAGCATCTTCTATCTTCATGAACACATATTTATATGTGTAGGAATATTTAAGTATAGTTCTTTTTTTTTGTTTAAAAATTGTCACATTATTGTACACCGTTTTACCCGTTGACATTGTTGCTCCTTTTCACTTTGGGTTTGCTGGAAGAGAACTCTTTTAAAGTTAAGTTCGCCTTTGTACATTAACATACGTCTGTCAGTTTTTCAATACTATCAGTGTGCACAAGACAGTATAAATAATAATAAATTAGAAAGACGGAGGTGTTAAGTACTAATGTGTGTACCTATTTCTGTTTTAAGGCATTCTGTATAATTAATTACTTTCTAACATAATTATAATAATATAATATGAGTTAGTTACCTTTTTTCAAGATTTATGTGTTCACAAAAAAAATTTGCATCAGAGGAAAAAACACATAACTAGCACTAAAATCTATACGATAATCTTTAATTTTAATTAGTTAACAAATCGACTATCGAATGTGATGCTTGGACCGACGTCTATAGGGAAATGTACACCATGGAGAAATATAGGGCGGTGGGAGAGATAAATAAGGTTCTAGAGGGTTGGGGGGTGATATCATGCCTATTACGACTGTTTTCCTCGATGAGAGTGCAATCGCGCGGAAAACGCGCAGCGGCCCACAGGAACAGCTGCCGATGGCGGGCTAACAGCCCTGTACGAAGATGTCGTAGGTACTTGACAACTTGTAAACTTATATAACGTTTATATTTTTATATTAAACTAGCTTTGGCTGGCTTTGTACGAGTGGATTATGGAAATAAGAAAACCAATGAATTATATCACTTCCACAGGACGTATCGATTATATTTTCAGATACAGTTTCAGAACATAACTCTGAAAACTGCATTATTTTTGTGTGATGTTGCGACATACATATAAACAGATAATATTCTAAAATTTAGTGCTTTGCATTATATTATTTTTATTAAGACGCCATAATAAATTTTCTTAAATATCACCTACGTACAGACATCGTCTAGTTATAATTTACTATAATAATTAGATAGTATCTAAGTATTTTTGTTTTAAGTAAAGTTTAACCTAAGCAGTTACTTAACATCTACATAATTATTAGCTATTAATTAGAATAATTTCCTACCTATTATTTAAAATTTAACAATTATTTTCTTATTTTGAATTATCTATTGCTTTTTATCTCCACTAAATCATTATTTATATTAGGCGTTCAAAGGTTGACTGGAAGAAATACCTTTTATGAGATAAGTCCGCTATAATACTCATCCTTTCCTTAGAATTCTATATGCTATAAGATATTACTGTAAAATAAAGTATTATAAACATAATTTAAGATTGTATTCCATAAAAAAAAAAAAAAAAACTGTCTGAAGTCAGTTTTTAATTTAAAAACTAAACTATTGAACCAATTTTGATAATTTTTATAGGACCAATTTATTTATTTATTTATATGTCATGTATATATAAATAAATAAGTACTGTATAATATATCGTTTCAAATAAAAATTAATTTTGCAAATCAAGAATCTGTGGAGATATGAATTAAAAAAAAATACAACCGAATTGAGAACCTCGTTCTTTTTAAGTCAGTTGACAAACTAGTTAGTAAATAGTACTAGCAAAACATGTTGGATGAAGCTGTCGTAAGGTTGTATTTTTCAATCTAACATTTATGTATCATATTTAAAAATATTTATATTACAAAATCTTTGTTAAAACATCTATTAGGAAATTTATTAATTCAATCTATTATCAGATTCGAACCTGCATCTACTAATTGTTGAATTCTATCGACTGCCGAAAAAGAATTTTTAGTGTCTTTGTATTGTTTATATAATTATTTATAACATGGTCACCTACACAGAGAAAAAAAGTTCCTGTTATAGTCATAAGTAGTAGGAAAGTAGTATAGTCATGGTCTGGATCACCTAGAGTTAAGCAGAATATTACTAATAAAAATAGTTTATATTGGTTTTTAGAATACCTAATCATTTCGGTGTTACAACAAAATGAAATTTTAAAGGTACAGAATAATATTTTCTGTATCGAATCTAATGTACCTACCATTTTTAATATGATGAATATTCTATACAAGTATATTGTCATAAACATCTATGTGCCACGCAGCTCTATTAGGTGGTTTTGAAAAAATTATTTGAGATTATAAGAAACAAGAAATCGAACATCGAAATTTCAGGGTACTATCATGAACTCCTAGATTTGACCTTATTTATAAAAGTTTGTTTCAGAAATCCATTGGTGCGATCGAAAATCGAAGTCAAATTTTAACATTTAATTACATAAAGCATCGAAATCATAATTAGGCAATATTTTATACTTTTATATTTAGTGCTTTTCAGTTTGTAGGTACTATTAATATTATAGGTACCTATATATGTACCCAAGAGTTGTTTGCCTTTAGATACGTGACTCAATTATTAGCTGGGTCTAAGCATCATGAACGTTGAATTTGTTTCAGTGTTCCATTTGTTATAGAAGATAACGTGCGCCCATATGTATGTGATAGATTTAATAACATATCTCCCTATTTACTATTTATTACAATTAGGCACTAGTAAGGTATGCTTAGGTATATATTATAATTGCTCTGTCTGTGACTCCTTGTCCCGCATGAATACTTAGTATGAAATGATTACTTAAAATCTCTTTTGAATAACGTCTTTTCTATGTAAATATGTATGTCGGTACTTAAATGGAATAAGTACTCAGATCTACATGCCTACTTATTAGATAAGTAATTGACGTTTAGAGTCTATATGAAATTTAAATAGAAAAAAAAAGAATTATTAAAAGTTTATTCTTTTCTTTAGGAACGACATGGCCAAGAATGATTTCGTAGCCAAGAGTTCAACAATATCAATTGTTCTTCCACAGCCGATTTTGCTGTTCCGCCAGTGCTGGTATATTGCTCCACGCTCGTTTCCCAAGAGAAGACTGTTTGAAGATCTGCCTCCGTTCCGAAATCTGAACTGAATAAATAAAGACTTTATTGACAATCGAAATTAAAGCTGTAGCTATAGTTATTTGCTAAAACTACCTAAAAGCTGGTAGAGAATGCTAAGTGATGTTTTTTATAATTTTATATTGGTCAAAAGATTTTAAATAAATTATATTTTTCTTCATAAATTAGGAAAGTATATAAGTTTATAAATACTTATGATTAATGTTTATAGAACAAAAACGCTGTAAGAAAGAACTTGTTTCTCAATAGTATCTCAATATATTCTCAATCAATGTTTTCCTTAACGTATTAAAGTTTCCTCGGGTTGGCAATGTGCACGGGACACCCCTAGTATTGTAGGCTACAGTCACCGTTTACCATTAGAGGGGCTATTATAAGCAACATGAAATGGTTTTCATACGCTTTTTTGCCACCTTCGTGGTATAGAAAAACAAGATAAAAAATTATTAATGCGAAGTGATATAAAAGGTAGTCTTATTGTTAAATGCATATGAAAAACATTAATTAAAATAAAAAAAATATTAATTAATTTACATTAAAAACATTAATTCTTTTCTTTTGTATTATATATGTATGTATATACACATAATAAGCATACATACAACAGAAAAGAATAAAGGAAGGTGAAAAGAGAACACAGGAAAACAGTACTTAAAGGGAGACATATGTAATAGTTACAAGTACTTGCCTGATGCTGAAATTTTACTTTTGAATCTATAAATAAAATACCTACCAGATGGCTGAATATTCTTGATGAGGCAACTCTCGTATGTTTACACCCAGGGCGGTAGCACGACGCAAAGCCATCCCAACATAGTGGTGTGCACGTCGAAACGGCACCCCGCGGCGGACTAACAAATGTGCAAGGTCTGTCGCCAGCATTCCGGGCTCTAACGACTGTAGTGCTCTTTCGGAATTTACCTTCATAACGTTAAAATAATTAGTATGATCTGACAAGAAATGTAAGAATTAATGTGTATTTTTTAAGCAATTTGAAATGGTAAACGAGCTGATAAAAACTGCTATGGCAACCGTCGCCTATAGACATGAACAGTAACATGGGTATCACTAATTACACTGATATGCCTATAGTATCTCCTAATAGCACCTCTTCATGTATAGTCTTAAAAATCGAGAGGCATTTTCAGATTATATTAAGTAGATATAATATGACAAAGACATTATGAGACGTTAAAAAAAGCATTAGTACTTACTTGCATTGTAGCGACAGTCCCAGTCATAACCTTGAGACAGTCAGTCAGTTTGTCGTAAGATCTAAACAGCAGCTCCTTATCAGATTGCAAATCTTTATTGTATGTACTTGGTAATCCTTTTAGTACACAACTAAATGCTAAACTGTCTCCTAGCAAGAGACCGGAAGCTCCTCGAACTAGTTCTAAGCCGTCCGGATTTCGTTTTTGAGGCATCAAGCTAGATCCGGTAGAAAATTGATCGGAGAAGGAAATAAATCCGAACTCCCGGGAACCGTAGATAATTAAGTCTTCTGCTAGCCTACTGAGGTGCGACCCGCATAGCGATGACCAGTTAAGAAATTCCACTGTAACAAAAATTATTTAGATCACGTCTAAGCAATTTAGAAAGTCCCTAACACAAATGCTGTAGTCCTGCTGCAGTTGAGTACGTACAATGCCAACGCAATAGTTCCATTAATTCTTTAAGTGCTTAAACATTAAGTAGTATACATGCATTATGTACATAGCAAAAAAATAGTATCTATGCGTATATAGATAGGATACATACAGTAGATGGCTAAGCTTTCCTAGGAAAATTGGATTTTGTCTGAAATTACATCAATTTTACAAAAAGTAAGGTACATATAAGTGGAATTTAAGATTGGGGAGCTCCATATAAAGGTGGTTACAAACCTATATAATCTCTAGACCCAACAGCAAACATGGAATTTGGAGTGATATCATCAAAACCAAGGTGGTGAGCGAGTTTCTTCCTATCAATTGAAAGAGCGCAGCCCGCAATAGCTCCACTGCCGAGTGGACAACGCGATAAACGTGTTCTTTGCTCCTCCAGTCTTATTATATCATCCCGAAACAACCACAAGTAACTAAAAATATAACATGTTTATAAAACGTTTAATGCATCTATGATTAGTAATAAAATAGTAATATAATTTGTCTTCAAAAAAAGAAGTAAAAATACTTTGATAAATAATTATATTGTTTGTTTTTTTAAAGCTTGGAGTGGCAAACAAGTTAACAGTTCATCTCATAGAAAGTGGTAACCGTCGCCAATATATATAGGTATATAAACAGTATTTAATAGAATATGACATCCATTATATCCCTCATACCTACCCCTGTGTATATAGTATTATATAGTGTTATATTTGGTAGCTTTATTTTACCTTAACAGAAATTGACTCCATCGTACAGGTTGAGCTCGCTGAAGATGAGTATATCCAGGAACGATAATGTTAATTTCCTTTTCTGCTCTGTTTACTAATACCTAAAGGTATGTTATTATATCTATAAAAATATTAATAGGGTCCAATATATAATACAAAACGTTATAAACTCTGCACTTTTACTCTATTTTTATAGATCTAAGTATATTTTTTATTATTATCAAGTTAAATACTTGAATAAATTAAATAACTAAAAATTTTGCTTACTGGTAGTTCGATCCGATGAAGGGACGAGCGTATTTATATTTCAATTATATCACGGAAGAAATAATATAGGTTGGTAAAATACTCAACTATTTTTCAAATTTCACATACTGCTCAGAGAGATACACAGTTTGCTAAGAGAGATGGGTTCGTATTTCATTGGATCGAGCAGTCGGAAGGTAATATTTTTTAAAATAATATTTAGAATTCTAAAATGCTTTAGTTACGCATTTAAAAATATTTTCCAACCTGAATAAGTTCTTTTAATGTAGCATAGAGTCTCCCCGTGGAGTTTAACATCCAAAGCCTGACGTCTGACGCCGATTGGTCGTTGCGGCTACGTGCGGTATGTAGGCGTAGGGCAGCGTCACCTGCATGTTTGCACAGTCGCCGCTCCACCACCGAGTGTATATCCTCCTCAGTATCGTTTAATTTACCATTTTTGTATAGTTCTTCTTCTATTTCTTTTTCTACCTGAATATTGACATTAAAAGTTGGATAAGTATTTAGTGATGGACATTTCATAAATGTTATTTGAACCACTTGTATATAAAAGGACTTTCAATATATTCAGAGTTCTACCACAATATTACAATATTGGTACAATAAAAATACTGAGTAAAAGTACACCTTACTTTAATGTTGATATAATTATAATATAATATAATTTATATGATTATAATATAATTTAATTGAATTCGGCAAAGTGCACCTGTCTTATCACCTTTTTGTTGCAGACGTCTAGAGGTTTTAATATTTTTAGGACAGGTAATATAAAAAATATGTAATAAGTTTTACGGGCGTTTGTCTTCAAGTCTTAGAAGTTGTAAACCATTTAATTACTTCGCGTAAACCATTTTCTATGGCGTAGTAGTCATCGTCAGAGAGGTGGCCACTGCGATGTAGCTCGTGGGCCCATGCTTGACTGCCGCGGATATCCTCGTGAAATAATCGGAAGTCCACAGGGAGAGAGTCGTTTAGTCTACGCAGTACTGAGCTCGGCTCTTCTTCGAAACATCCACCCCATAGTTGATACCTTTCCTGGAATATGATTAATAGCACTAACATGTTTTAAGATTTATAAAAAGGATTAGTGAATTCTAGTTTTTCACTAACGGACAGAAATAAAAAAAAAATTGAATAAATTTATTGTCTGAAGTAGGTGTCTATTAAGAAACGATTTCTTGAAATTCCTATGGAAACAGGATAACAGGTTCAGTGCAAACAAAACCACGAGAAGTAGATATTCGTTAGAGTATAATAGTTCATAGGAAATAAATAATAACAAGTCTTTTCGTATTACGAATCAATATATATTATTCCACACATGGAAAATAAATAAAATTGAGTAGAGTAATAAATAAGTACTTAGCCGGTACAGTACCAACAAATTTGAGTACGATGTATAAATCAACTTTGTAGTTGATCCAGCAAACGTTGTTTTGCCCCTAACTTTACCTACTGAATCGAAAATCACTTATCGACGTAAAAATTATCTTATTTCTTAAGTCGGAAGAAACAATACACTTTTATAAAAATTGGTTGAGCAGTTTCGGGGATTAACGTGAACAAATATATTGTTGTTATTATTTTGAACTAGTTAGATAAGCAAAAATGTTATAGGAATATGTATAAAAGTATTTTATATCACTTTATATTTGGTTTCGAATATAATATTATTAATTAAATTACTTACTGAAGACATAAGTATTTTATATCTAAAGTATATGCAAATAAATCACTGAAATTAACACGTACGTCTTGAGATAACGGAATATAAAGACGTAATATTCATCGAGAGGAGTTTCTACTACTATTATTTTATTTTCATATCGAGAGTTAGGTCACCAAAGGTTACCGCATCTTGAGCCGTGGTGGTATGAAAGTACTTATCTATAAATAATTGTTAGGAAAGTTCCATTCCACATTGTTTTCATTTTTGGTATTAGATTTTAATCTATTTTACAGATGATGGACACCATCAACAAATGCACTTCCAAGGTAGGTTGACGTCAGGCAGATGGCGACTGATGGTAATACAAAAAACCAAAACCTTGTGTCGGATAAATAAAATCATTATGCCGACTCCAAATAGCTGGGATAAGGGCAGGAAGGTGACGATGAAAAATATTTTAATCTATTTCACGGCAGGATTGTGACAGGATACTCAGAGACAGAGCTTTATCCTATTCTAACTTCCGTACCTACCCGCCCTAACTTATTGATAGCTCCTAATTCATGTATTCACTAATCAGTTTCGTGTACACGTGTGATGATAAATGCAGATACCGAATATCGTCTCGTCGGTTTATCTTTCTTGTTATATTCGTAATTTTCTGTCAACTTCTTTTTCATTTACATATAAAATAATAATTATATATTAAAGTATTGGAACACTTTTTAGTCGCAATCCAATTTGGTTTCCCGTGCAGAGCTTAGTACTGCACGGAGCGGTATAACAAAGAGTAGATAAAGAAGAAAAAGAATAAAATGGATATAATTCCAGTGTCCTATACATACTAACTTAATAAAATAGCTGGATGCACGATGGTAGTATTATCATCATCACTTCAGCCATTATTTGTTCATTGTTGGACATAGGCTTCCCCTATACCGTATACGGCTCAGGACTTAAGCCACCTGCATGCACTGACTCAATGCATTTTAGGTCGTCATTCTATCTAGTGGGGGGGGGGGGGGGGGGGGTCGTCCTATACTACATTTGCCCGTACGGGGTCGCCACTTGCTACTCGCTAGCAATGTTACTAATCAGGTCGGCCTCCACGTGGTTCCCTCTAGAAACCATCGTGGTTACTTCTCGTGGAATTCTTCACGATGAGTTAACTGACCTGCTTTCACCCTCACCTATCACATCTCACTGGTGCCCCGCCAGTGTATACCGATAGCGCAGGCAGGGTTACCATTCCATTTTCACCCATTAAAAAAACTGCTTCAGCGCCAGCAATATAGGGTATATCGGGTTGGCCTCGAAGCAGTTTCTGACATATAAATATTTGTTTATAATCACATTGCATAAAAAAAAATTATCAGAATTATGATTCCATGAATTTTATTAATTTGAATACATACCTGTCGACTTTTAGTCCCGTAGATAGAGGATGCTCAGTTACTATGTATGATCTATGTTTGTACTATCAATTTGACATTGAAGATTACTGTGATATTAGACTTACACTGACAATGTCATTACATTAGTGACTGAGTCAGCGACAGCCATTGGAAAAAAAGGCGGGAAACTCGAATAAGAACAAGCGGGTTTTTTAAATTTTTTTTATTAATTTATTAAAACTATCTCTATCAATTCTTATTATTGAATAAAATATTATATTTTCACTAAATTCAGCGACAGTAATATAATTAGCATTCATGGGGAAGCGCAGTTGTAGAAAAAGGAAAAAAAAAGATGACGATTCAGGTGATGTAGACCATGAACCTTGTAATGACAAGGATATATATTCGGAAGATACTTCTACTGACTCAGAATCTGAAATTGATAAGGCCGATAAGTATAAACCTTACTACGTCACAGATTATATTAGAAGATATCCCGAGGAATCCCCTGGGACAGAATTTGTTGTCTTTGTAGAATCCTCAGATAGTCAGAAAACCATTGGATCCAGAGACTTGCTCTCACTCTCCTCCTGTTTAAAACGATTTAATAAAGGGGTAACTTATCTTAGATCTATAAATAAATTCAAAATCGGAGTATACTTTCAAAAGCCAGACTTAGCCAATGCTTTTTTAAATAATAAAACTTTTTTAAATGACTACCATTTTAAGGCCAGTATTCCTGCTTCTTCAACAGAAGTTACAGGCGTTATTAGAAATGTACCTACAAATATATCTAATAAAAAAATATATACTATGATATCGAGTTCTAAGAAAATTATTGCTATTAAAAGAATTTTAAGAAAAAATACCTTGACTCATGGATATGTGTTACAGCCAACTCTAACCGTGACAATTACTTTTGCTGCATCTGTATTACCTGAATATCTGGATATTGGAGGTTGGCGCCACAATGTCACTCCATATATACCACCAGTTAAACAATGCTACCGGTGCTTGAGGTATGGACATTTAGCTAAATTCTGTAAGAATTCTGAGCGTTGCAGCATCTGCAAAGGTGAGCATAATTATAAAACTTGTACAACTGGAATGGAAAACGCTATTTGTGTACACTGCAATGGAAATCACACAAGTGTATCACCGCAATGCCCTGTTAAACAAAAGAAAATTGCTGAAAATAGATCTAAATTCAGACCTGCTTCTTTTGGAGATATACTTAGCACTGAAATATTTCCTAAACTGGGTAACAAACCTAAAAAAAATGTAGACCTAATTTCAATTCTAAATTCTGATAACAAGAGTTTATCACTTTTAATAGAAAGCATAATCAAACTTATTTCACTACATAACACAAAGAACACATCTATTAACACTAAAAGTGTTTTGAATGTGTTATATGATACTTTTGGTAATAGACCTATTTCACAAAATTCAATCGAGACCAATTAACTATCATACAGTGGAACGCTCAGAGCCTACTGAGCAATCGACATATTTTTACACAATTTTTAAATGAACATCATATTCACATTGCTCTCATCTCAGAAACTTGGCTAAAACCACATTACAAATTAAAAATTAAAGATTATTGTATAGAACGAAATGATTGTGGTAATAACCACAATGGAGTAGCGATTATTATACATAATAGTATTAGATATAAAAAACTTCACTCTTTTTTCGACAATTCTTTGCAAACTATAGCTATTAGTATTGAAGTTAATAATTCTTGGTATTCAGTTGCCAGTATTTACTGTCCTACCAATAGTACACCTAGTTTTACTAAAGCCAAATTTAAGTTCTTTTTGGAGTCTCTTCCTAAACCCACTATCATATCTGGAGATTTAAATGCACATCATACTATGTGGGGTTGTACCTCCACTAATACAAGAGGTAAAGACATTCTTGATTGTTTAGATGAATGTAATTTGGTATTATTAAATGATAAGCAAGTTACTACTGTTGGCTCTCATATTTGGAGACCCAATGGCCTTGATTTAACTATGGTATCCCCATCCATATCATTAAAATGCGAGTGGTCGGTTCATGATGATCCGTTAGGAAGTTATCACCTGCCGACTTTTACTAAAATAAACACAAAGAACTCTTCATCAACTCCGTCAGGTGAACAACATGCTCCTATAGATGAAGTTAATAAACTTTTGTTAAATCGTATAAACCTACGTCTCGTTAATTGGGATCTTTATTCTGAAACTGTTAATCGATTACTTTTGGATTTCGAGTATGATGTCAATGAACCCTTAAACAATTACAATAGGTTCTGTAAAATTATTTTGACAGCTGTGGAACGTTCCGTTCCACGTAGGAACTTATCAAATAGCGGTGCAAATACTTCAAAGAGGCACAAACATATAGCAGTACCTTGGTGGAATAACAGGTGTGCGACAGCTGTCAATGATAGTAAAGCGGCTTACCTTAGGTTTAAACAAAATCCAACTCTCGATAATTACATAAATTTTAAAAGAGTTCAAGCTGTTAAAAAGTTAGTAATTAAGCAAGTAAGACAACAGGGGTGGCAGGAATTTTGTTCCAAATTTAATAGATTAACACCAATTTCCACTGTTTGGCAAAATATGAGAAAACTAAATTCAAAACATCGTCAAAATCATTTTAAAGATATATCATGGGTCAATGATTTTTTACGCAAATATACTCCTGATTTTGTACACTCACCTTTTGATGACAAACAGTTTAATTCTGTTAATTCATGCCCAAAATTTCTCACTGACCCATTCTCAATTGATGAAATATCCAGTGCAGTAAAATCTAGAAAAGATACAGCTAGTGGCCTTGATCGCTTAACATACAATATGTTTCGATTGCTGAATAAAATAAACCTTACTAAACTCTTACAAATTTTTAACGATTTATGGAAGGACTGTATTATCCCACCAGAATGGAAAATGGATTGTTTGATTCCAGTAATTAAACCCGGTAAAGATCCTACAAATTTCGACTCCTATAGACCTATAACATTGACGTCCTGTGCAGGCAAATTATTCGAACAATTAATTAAACAGCGTTTAGAGTTCTTTATTGAAAGTAATAGTATATTACCATCGAATCAATTTGGTTTTCGCCGTGGATATTCAGCGCGCGAAAGTTTAGCGAACTTCTATGTCGACCTTAGTACTGCTTTGAATAACGATGAATATGTTCTATCTGTTTTTTTAGATGTCGTAGGAGCTTTTAACAATGTAAATTTAACAGTTCTATCTTCGATTTTATCCTCATTTCTTCCAATGAAACTTATCGAATGGATTTATAATTTTCTTAGTAATAGAGAAGTGTATGTTAAAGTAAATAGTAAATTAATAGGACCTAGGTTAAGCTCTAAAGGAGTATGTCAAGGTGGTATTCTAAGCCCGCTACTATATATTTTATATATCTATAAACTTAATTCAATTTTAGGAAACAGTGTGAACAACTTGCAATTTGCCGATGATTTATTAATTTATATAAAAGGAAAGAATATTATTGATATGCAATTAGTGTTAAATGAGTCATTAAAAAGACTTGAGAAATATTTTTCTCTTCTTTCCCTCGATATTAGTTTAACCAAAAGTAAAGTAGTTGTTTTTCATCAAGTTCATAAATATGTTCCATTAATGAATATTATATATAATAATCAAACTCTTCCAACAGACTGTAGCGTTAAATTTCTGGGGGTAATTTTTCATCAAAATTTAAAATGGGATCTATACGTTGATTGCTTAGTAGATCGTGCTTTAAGAGCCACTAATATAATAAGATCTGTAATTGGTCGTAACTGGGGAGCTGATCCTAAAATTATCCTTTTACTTTACAAATCTCTTGTTAGAAGTAATTTTGATTACGCTTTCTTTTGTTATGCCTCAGAACATAAATTAGTAGAAAAACTCGAAAAAATTCAAAATATGAATTTAAGACTTATTTTAGGTGCTATGTATACTTCTCCAATTATCTCAATGCAAGTAGAATGTAATTTGCCTCCTATCCTTCTTCGTTTCGAATACCTAAAACTCAAATTTCTCTTCAAAGTTTTTTCAGTTTCCAATAACCCACTCATACTCAAATTATTAAATTGCCCCATTTCTATGTTTTTGAATAAAACTATTGTCAATGATTTGAATTTACGAGATGAATATAACATCTATAGTAGTAAGATACTTCCTTGTTATAATGGCCTTTATGAGAGTAAGTTCTGTAAGATCAAAATTGTTATACGTAAAGACATAAAAGAAAAGCACGATATGTATGAGACTTTATCAGAATTTATTGACTACAGGCATATATATACAGATGGTTCCAAAAATGCACTTAGCACTTCAGTGGCTTTTTACGATTTGTCAAATAGATTTGGTCACGGTTATAAAATTTCAACTTTGGCTAGTATTTACACAGCAGAAGCAAAAGCTATATTTTTAGCATTAGAATACATAGAAAAACAGGTACTATATTCGAAATGGATTATAATTACAGATAGTATGAGTGTTCTTATGGCATTAAAAAATAACACATTCATTTCATCATCAAACTACTTAATTCAAGAAATTCGTAATAAATATTATCATCTCTGTACTATATATGGAAAAGATATTATCTTCATCTGGACCCCTTCACATATTGGAGTGTTTGGGAATGAACAAGTAGACACTTTGGCTAAAATTATTAATTCAAGTGCTGCTCGTGTTCAAGATTTACCCCTTTGTTATTCAGATTGTAGTATTGGAATACATAAAATCGTTACAACTAAATGGGAGGAGCATTGGACTCAAATATTACAGACTAAAGGCAAATGGTACCGCAAAATTAATTGGCGTATTGGAAAACCGTGGTTCTGCAAAGGAAAGGACACAAACAGAAAATTTTACACCAATATTTGTAGATTACGAATCGGCCACGGACATTTCAACGAACACCTGCACCGAATGGGCATGATCGCTTCCCCATCATGCACATGGTGTAACTCAAATACAGCCCAATCTCTACATCACCTTTTTTTTTTGATTGCTCTGAATTTGTCATTCAAAGACACATTATGTTTGACGAACTTAGGATTATCTTCAAAAAACCCGAAAATATCCCGCACTCAATCCCGCTTCTCTTAAGATTTCCTTCTTGTTTCAAAGCTATTTTCACTTATATTACTACAACATTCAAGGAGCTATAAGAATACTTTTATTGAATTGCAAGACAATGATTTTTTATAATTATTTATTTTTAATTTGATAAATCCACTGGTTTAAGAAAACTCAAGAAAAGATATTTATGAAAATGTACTTACCGGATTTGACAAATGAAATATTGAAGATTATGACAATAATTGAAGCGACATTAGAAAAATAAAATTCCAGACAAATTATCTTTTTGAAGACTAGGCAGCATGGTCTCCGACCTTAGCCTGTTCCAAACGGAACAAACGTACTAAAAAAAAAACATTAGTGACTGTTATTGTGACTTACATTAATAGTTAAGATTCCAGACAAATTATCTTTTTGAAGACTAGGCAGCATGGTCTCCGACCTTAGCCTGTTCCAAACGGAACAAACGTACTAAAAAAAAAAAAAATAATAGTTAAGAGAAACATGCCCAAAAATAATTTCAAAAGATTTTGTTCCCTGTTTTAAATCTAATATTATTGAATTAGACGATGTTTTATAATTAAAATAATTATTTGAGCTCATCTTATATATATAAACTGTTTTGTTAAAAAACACTTGTTATGGTACCTACTTCTGTTATGAATTCAGTTTAAATACTACTCGAGGTTATTTTAGAAATAAATAATATTTGAAAATGATTGACGAAGATAGTACATTAAAGGTAAAAGGAGACTCGAGAGATTCGCCTTTTCAACAATACTCACTTTTTGATATTAGCATCGATCCTGGACTAAAGGATGACGAAGGTAACGAAGTCCCAAGACCTTACACAAAAAATCAGATGAGGAAGTGGTTAAAAAAAGTTAAATGGGAAAATCGTAAAGCGGAAAAACGAGCTAGAGAAAAGGCAAGAGCAAAAGAAAGAAGAAAAGAAGCACGCGATGCAAATTTAGACTCTGGTCCTAGTCGAAAAGCATTAAAAAAAATGAAATTAGAGAAATCAAAGAAAAATATTGGAGTAATCATAGACCTTAGTTTTGATCATTTAATGATAGAGAAAGACAGATATAAAGTCATAAAGCAAATATTGAGATGTTATTCTATAAACAGGAGGTCAAATACTCCATTACATTTTCATATCACTAGTTTTGGAGAGAAATCAAAAAATGATATAGCAAGACATAATGGTTATGAAAATTGGGACGTAAGTGTGATTTGATTGTAGTGTTAAAGTTATTGATGCCCATTTAATACTATTACTTAGAATCTGGTGGTATGTAAATGCCTTAGTAACTTTTTATTTTAAAAAGGACAAATATCCATACAGCTAGATAACTTTTAATTGGTTACTAAACATAAGCAACTCAACGGTGTTTCCAACATAGAATTTGTTTCTAGAAGTTCTAATTATCATATTCCTTTCAAAAATAATATATTCAGCACAGTCAATGAGTAATTTTGCTAAACCTTCTACCATAATGATAATAAGTGACATGATCATTGCTAATGTGTATGTTTTTGCTACCTTGCACATGAAAAATAGAATAGTGTTAGTGACTTATTGAATTTTTTTCACTTGTAAATTAGTATAGATAGGCACTGAAATTTTATTTTATTAAAAAAAAAATAATAATCATTAAAATTCAGCCACAATTAGCAATATATCACAATATACAAAAAACAGTTCTACTAATTTACTATGAAGTCACTGCATAAAATATATTAGGGATTAATTATGGTTGTCACTAAAATGAAAAATTAACACCATATTTATTAGAATTTTAATAAATTATTATTTTTGTTTGTTATTGCTTATAGGTAGAATTTCATGAGGAATCATATCTTGACACATTTCCAAAGAAAAACATAGTTTATTTAACAAGTGAATCAGAGAATGTAATTGAGGTTTTTGAAGAAGATACATTTTATGTTATTGGAGGATTAGTGGATCATAATAAACATAAGGTAATCTGTACTTGCTTACACATAAATAAATACTATGCTTTTCTTAAATTTTATAACTGGTAAAAACATCATTACAGCAAGTCTTTAAAAAATCAATACAACATTTGTATACTATAACAGATTAAAAAATGTAAATTTCTTTACAAATAATTATTTAAAATACTTGTACTTTGTCTCACAGAGTGTATTGAGTGGTATAAAACAGTACATACACTTTTAGATTTACAATGTGTATTCTATTATGTTTGATGTAAAATTATTAAGTATATATATTTATTTTTATTTTCATAACTATACTTAAAACTTAATAATAACTCAGTATCACAAAAGAATTCTGAAGAGGCAGGAAAAGTCTTACTTTTATCCTGTCTGCAATTTGGTACTAACTTATATTGTGAATAATTATTATGTAAGTGTAAAACAGTTTTACAATACTTTGGCATTATGAATATATGTTTATAATTATATGTTTCAGGGTCTTTGTCACAGGATAGCTGTGGAACAAGGTATCAGACATGCGCAACTTCCTTTAGACAAATATGTTAATATGAAGACTAGAAAAGTTTTAACAATAGATCATGGTAAGGATGTTACTTTATTAATATTAACATAATTATAATCCTCTTTATAATTGTTTGAAAAGTTCTCATGGCCCCTATCTGTATAATTAAAGTAAAAATTATTTTTTTCATTTCTGTTACCTTGGACCCTGTCTTAATATAAAAATAAATTTAAATTATCTTAAAAGATACATATTATTTAACAATAAATAATATCTTTCTAGATTACTTTGTGTTAAACAAAATATGATGTTAATTAATTTAATTTACAGTATTCGAGATCATACTCAAAGTGTGTGAGGGTGTTTCTTGGCAAGAAACACTAATGAAGGTTCTACCAGAAAGAAAAGGAGCTCATATTTGTGACAATAATAAAAATTCTATGCCAGAAATGGATTCATGATACATAAAGATTGAAACATGACAATTCTATACAACATAGTTTGCACTATTTGATATATACTTAATATAGTATTGAAAAGACATATTTATTATTAAATTATTATTATTTTTTAAAGATGTTTAAAATGTTTATTCCTTTATATCATATTCAAATATATAGAAGAAAACCTGATCTCTAATAGAACATAAACCCTTATTTTTTGAAATTGCAAAGGAGACATTTCAAAATGTGTTCATACTGAAGTCTAGTAATATCCAAGTCATCTGTCAATTATCAAAAGCAGAAATCACTGTTATACAGAAATCTGTCGCAAATTTCGTTATGTTCTAGAAGATTTCACATACATTTATTGTTTTTTATTTGCTAAAGTACAGCACTTTAGCAAACCAAAAAATAAATGTATGTGAAATTATTGAGAAATGTGTAAATTATTTAAATTTTAACAGCTAATTCAGACATTACTAAACTTGTGGTAATAGGCCCCTAATAATTTGATTACATTTAATATTTAAGAGATCATTTATACTAGGAATCATTTCAAATCAATGTTATGATGTAAAATTTTTCATTGGGTATTGAAAATGTATTCAGTAGAAAAATATTAGATTAATGATTACTATAATTTACTATATATTAGTAGCACTTGCGTGCATAGTAGTTGCTATAAATAAAAAGTAAATTGGTTTCTATTAGCATTAGACTAAAAAAAAAAAAATTGTAGTAATTAACCTTTACATAGAACTGATATTTAACTATATTTATATATAAGGAGTCATTAAATAAATTCAAACGTAATTACTATAAAACTATATAATTAACAATTGTATCTAGTATTAAATACTTATATTCATATAGAATGGAAATTATATTTTTGTAAGAAATTTAAAATAAGTGGGAATACTAATTCTGGGGTATTTAAATGTACGTGATGAGTGCCTGGTACAAAGTGACATTCATATTTTTCATTATTTTTGGCAATGATTTCCCTCATTTCCACAGAAAATTCATCACAAGAGAAAGGTGAATCTATAGCTTTAATATATAATGTGGGACAAATCAACTTTTTTACAAGTGTTTCAACGAAAATTTTTTTTTCAGGAGTAAACAAAGTATATTTTAATCTAGAGTCGCGCGAGAAGTAGTACTTATTGGGATCTTTTTTAGATTGTTTTGCACCGCGCTTCAATAATATATGGGCGCTTTCCATAGTTACCGATTTTCTTGTACCCAAATGCCAAATTTTTGCAATTTCCTCAAGAGTGTAGGATGGAGGTTCCTCATTCAAACGAGTCTGTTGAAGATTAATTTTGCGTAGAACACTGGGATATTTGTCTATGAATATATTCAGATCGTAGTCGTCTGCCACGAGGCTATCGATGGCTATAAAAAAATCGACGTCGTCAGGAAACAGACAAGAGAAACGTAGTGCAGCTATTGCTCCCATTGAGTGGCATAACAGAGAAATTTTTTCCCACTTAAAATATTCTTTTAAATATAGAATAATACGAGGTAGATCCCACGCGTAGTAATGGATACCTGTAATGTAAAAAAAATATTGTTTAAATTGTGACAACAAGTAATTCTTAGAATATAAAAAAATTCTAAGTTAATCAGTACATAAAGTATTCTATGTATTAAGTTAGGATATATCTGTCTACCTAATTTCATTTAATTCCGTTGAGTAGTTTCTGCGTGAAAGAGTAACATCCATTTATCGTTAAAAATTTTCGCATTACAAAATATAGTTTTTATCCATATAAACTCATTTGCTTATTTAAGATCTACATTTTAATTTTAAAAATCTTAAAATATAAATTTGTTATAGAATAAAACTTGGATATATGGTATGCGTTGTAGGTACGAGTATGTTGATTTATAAACACATGCGGCATTTACGATAATACAATATGTATGGTACGTATAGAAATCATAGAAATATAAACAGAAACAAATTAATGTAATGTTTACTAATATTATAAATGTGAAAGTGAGTTTGTTTGCTATGGTTTCTAGGTAGAATCGTGAGAAGATCGACCTGACAGGGTGTATTGCTAGCAATGAGGCTACTAATCCCCATTATTAACAAATCTCCTCTGAGTTTTATTAAATGGTTGATAATGAAATGGTTACCCCGCCTGCACTAACGGTATACGCTGGCGGGGCACCAATGAGAGGTGATAGATGAGGATGAAAGCAGGCAGGCAGGCAGTTAATCGTGAAGAATTCCACGAGAAGTAAGTTTTCCGAAATTTCGGAGTCAAATGAAACAGAAATTTGATGTTAAAATTATATAATACATGCCGTTTGGAAATATTAAAAATGTTAAAATATTGTTCCTTTGGACTTTTATGATAGGATGTATGACGAACGAAATGTTAAACTCCATTTATTGGTCTGATTTTGGTATAAACAAAAACACGAAATTGAGTCCGAAATTTCGGAATTTCATTCAGTGGTAGACCCGCTGAAGTTGAGTTAATATGAGACACTCAACATTTTTTGTAGTTTTTAAATCACAAAATTTATGTTTTAATATGTTTTATTGTATACGTAGATTTTTAGTTTTACATATAATTACGATTTCAATTTCTCTCTGGTTACCAAATAGGTGCATTGTGTAGATATAAAATTTGCAAAACAAGAAATTTAAAATTACCTGGCGGCACCCAAGACGAACATCCATGTCCAGGAAAGTCTATAGCTAATATAGATCTATGTTTACTTATTAGTGGAGCTAAAGGGTCCCAAGTGCCAGCGTTATCTTGCCAACCATGGAGGGCCAGTATTGGTCGTTCGTTTTCGTTGCCCCATAATTTTGCCGCTATATGTCCCCATTGCACTGGTATTTGAATTTCCTTAGTTTGAACCTGTAATCAACAGACAAGCATATCAAATAGGATTTACGTATACAATTAAGTATATTTACGTATTTTAAAAATGAATTTCTTAGGTGTTTCAGAAATTATTTAAAGATTGCAATATTTGAACTTGCGAAAGATATGTTCCCTGTATGTATAATATCCAGGTAGGTATACTGCCTGTATAAATGACGTATTTAATTAACAATGCTCTGAAATTTGTAAAAATCCAATATAAAAAATACTAATACTTACGACTCTAATGTGTATAAGAATAAGATTTTTTATAAAAAATATATATTCTCGATTCTAGTTAGGTACTTAGAGATTTTCGTATATATTATAGATATTCGTATTATATTACACTAGGTAAAACTTAAACATATTGTTAATTACCTCAATTTAAGCCAAAAATATGATAGTTTATAGTCGCTATATTTATTTAATGGCGGCGCCGTATTTTATAGTCTGTAGCAATTATTACCTTTTTTCACAAGTAAGACTGATCTAACGGCAAAGGCTTTTTAGTAAAATACTTCATACTGTTTAGGCTGTTTCAAACGCAAAAGGTACATGTATAATTATCTCTACATATATAGGTACAATCATACATATCTATATAGTAAAAACATTACTCTCCTTTTTGGATGTCGGGTAAAAAGGAAAACTTTATAATATATTTTAAATTAGTAATATAAATCACTTACCTGGTTTGTATTATGGCTAAAACGTCGCGTTGTTATTGGGAATTTTATCTTATTAGAAAATAGTAGTTGATTTAATATACGTTTTGCCATATTCAGTGATTCTTCAGCGGTCTACTGAGTAATGTATAAAATAAAAACATTACCGAGGCCTATTCGTAACTAGGTTAATAGGTCGCCCTGCTTTTTGGCTAGGTCGATACACGCAATGATTTTAAAATGAGAGTCACTTCCATATAATGTTATCACTTGTTACTAATCATTTATCATCACAAAATGTTACGTCAATTTACCACACGGAAATAGTAGTAAAAATGAGGTTATGTCAAGAAATATGCAAAATTGCAAAAAAATATATATGAAACATGTCTTAGAATATGAAAAATGTTGTTTATTCAATGAATTTTAATATGTTTCATAGATTGTTTTAGAATATTATACACTTTTTAAAGATATATCAATGTAAATTGATATAACAGTACAATCGACATGTGTTATGAAATACCTACGTAATACTGTGCATGTTTCAAGGGCACGCCAACTATAAATACTCGTGATCTGCGAATACACGAAGAAGAAAAAAATGGACTTTACACTTTAAAATAGGCATATACCATGTGTGGGTACTTACTCAAAAGTCTAAAGTACAATTAAAAATAATAATAAAAAAAAAGTGAGAAAATGGGTAATAGGTAGGTAAATTTATTTTTAAACATATTTACTTTAACGTTTTTTTTTAATATTTTGTTTTATTAATTCAACTAGGTACTACCTAGTTGAATATTAGTAGCATTAAAAACCCATATAATTTATTCTATCGTAACGTAATGTATCCTTCTTTTGTAGCAGTCGGGTAAAATGCTTCGTCATTCAATTGGTCAATCAATGAGTGTCTCGAGTATTTTTCGTATATTTAAGAGATCAAACGAAAGAATATCGAAGTGAAAAAGTCGATAATGGGTCTAGGTGTTAAATATTCATTTCATCTGTTTACAAAAAAAAGCGTACTTAGTTGAGTATTAAAAATATAAGGAGGCACATATTTAGTTAAACTTTAGCTATGTAGTGCAATTATGCGTTAAATTCCATAAGTTAACTCCAATTGGACTATGATACAGTACAACTAATAAACTCAATAGTTTATTGGTTGACAATTCCTACCGGTGACCTTTTTTACTACGGCTAATGTAATAAAGAAAACAATTATTTTTTCTTTTATCTATGTTTTTAATATTGGATATACCTTTAGGTATATTTTGCTCAGTCGTAGATCGTCATGGTCTGGCTAAGGTTCTTTGTTCTTCCTCAGGGGTTTAAGAAAACGAAAAATAAAAAAAAAAATAGTTTATTTAAGTACTTTTACACAATTTAGAGAAAAGATTTTCATAGTCCAATACCTATATTCAAGTGTCACTTTAATAAGTATATTATTTTTTTTTTAAGAAAATATTATTTATCTAAAAAAATAAGTGTTTTCCGGATATGTGTAGGTACAAAATTACTATATTATTACAAATTTGTTTTCCTAAAATTTTTATTTACGTATAACTTACAAAAATAAAAAATAAAACTTATTAAATTATTAATCACTTCCTTAAGTAGATACATACTACATTATATCAACTTAGTTACCTATCTAGTTATATTATCAAGTTATACAAGTTTTAAGAAACATATAATCTAGCAATAAAACAATATCACAATCAGAATGTTTCTTGTTATTATCAATAAGAATGATTCATGGTGTATTACAAATATGCTGTTTGTTTTAATCACCATACCACCAAGGGTGTCATGTGGACAATTGAATCAAACACACATTTAATGCATTTAGTAACTTAGGCACCTATTAGATGAGTATGTGTAACGATTTTTACAGATTCTACGAGTATAATAAACAATTATTTTCGTTTATAGATACTTATCTATAATCGAAAACAATGCAAATATGTCGTAAGTAGATGCTTATAAGATATTTATAAATTTACTTAGGAACAGATTATGTTGAACTTTGATCATTGGACTCGAAATATGTAATTAAAAGTTATAGCCTTTTAATTCTAATGACCAGAGAATCTGAATATAATTATAATATTCATAGCGTTAAGGTCCTGCGCATTAAAAGGTGATGGATTATGTAAATGCTACCTTAGGCGTCTTTCACAGAGTCCTTAGTGAAATAATAATAGTTTACGAATCGGTTTTATCTTCTATCCATGCACCTAATTTCATGAATAATTTTACACGTAAACCTCTAATTTCGTAATCATACTTTCTTTTTTATTTCAATAGTTTTGTAATTCACACGATTTTTTCATGTAATTAATTTGATCCTGTTAAGACACGCATACACGAATAGCTTTTTGAGAAATAATTACTTAGTAACAAACACTGGAGGTGAAGATTTATTATCTGCTCCATATCACTCGTGGCGGTATCTCTAACAGATAGTTGTAGCATGACATCGTAATATTATTTGATATCATCATATATCGCGACATCATATTATACAAATATTGACAAATTTAAATTGAGTTCGCTGTCTGTAGAATTGTTAAATGAAATGTGTTTTACACAATTGTTTAAAAATACAATACAGTTGAAAAACCCATCTTTCTATACAAAGTTGTGTACGATATCGCCATAAATCATACACGTACGATCTGTCGTTCAATTTTAAAGATCGAACGACGGATCGTTACTACTCGTACAATCGCTCAGTGCATTTAGGGCTTTAGCCGTGTTAGAGCACCATAATAGTCTGCGAGAAATATTTTGTCTACGGACAAATTTCTTTTTAAGTGAGTTGTATATGTACATCAGTATCGGCTTAAGGGGAGGCACCGAGGGTTGAGATTCTCGTAAAGTTTTTTTTTCTCCTGTCTTCAATGCTCCTCGAGGCTGATTAAAGACAGACAGCCGAGGGCATGTCTGGCTCGTAGAGTCCGTGCCGGAGGGCGTGTAATAGGGGGCGCGGGCCGCAGCCGCAGCGGCCGGTCCAGTCGTCCAGGTCGAGAGCCCACAGCGCAGCGCCGCGTGCCCCTGCGTGTGCTGCGGCTGCGCCCGCGCGTTCCATCTCGCTTACATGTAGGTACGAGGCCCACTGTGCACCCAGTGCCGCGTACGTACCGTTCTCCGTTCGTGTCTCCTGCCAATTACGATAGCGGACTTCTTCGCACACCTGTGTTGACAATAAAAAGTAATCAACTAGAATTATGAATTCTTATGGAAAATATAAAATAAATATTAGTTAATTAAAGGTAGTGCCTTCATGGTAATTGATGTTGTTGTGCTTAATAGCCCATAGGCTCTAGGGATAAAAAAAAAACAGACGACAAAATGTTTCTTTGGGAATTTGTTTTTATGGATGACAATGGTATAGTTACCCCACCTACGCTATTGGTATACACAGGCAGGGTACCAGTGAGGGATGATAGATGATGATGAGTCAGTCGGCCCATCGTGACAAATTCAACAACAAATCAATTATGATGCTTTCTAGAGGGAACCACGTGGAAGTCGACCGTATAGGGTATATCGCTAACAATAGGATTACTAATCTCCATCACTAAGTCCCTTCTTCCCGTAGGAAAAATGATAATATCGAAATGGAATATTGAATTCGATGGTATCCAATAGAGGAACATTAGTGAAGTACAAAAAGATGAGAATGACATCAGATCAGTTAGCTAATTATGGCGGATTTACAAGTAATTAACCAGGACCGTTAATAGAGGAAGTCGACCGGACAGGGTACTTATAATACCAGTAATAATAATACCTACATATGCCTTTGAATTTCGGTGCACGGTCACGACGTTTCTGGGTTTTATGATTATTTCCTTCTAATGCAATAGCCAACAATACTACGTCAACTACAAACATATTCAAAATTAGAACACAGCACGGTAGGAATAAAACTGTATGACTTGTCGCAGAAATGAATGCTTTCGTATCGTATCGGCTCCGTACCATTGCTTCGACATCCTGCCGGATGCGATCGACTGTCATCGCATCTTTTCGTATCCATTCCGATCCGATGTGATACGTGCTAAAAGTATCCTGTACAATATAGTGACGTTCTTGCAATGCAAAAAACAACCATCTCTTAAGGACATGTATCTGTTTTCTGTATAACCATCATCATCATCATTTCAGCCATTATCCGTCCACTGCTGGATATAAGCTTTTCCCATAGACTTTTTTTTAATGGGTGGTGATGGAATGGTAACCTCACCCGCACTATCAGTATACATCGGCGGGGCACCAGTGAAGGATGATAGGTGAGGATGAAACAGGTCAGTTAGCCCATCGTGACGAATTCAACAAGAATTGTTCATGATGGTTTCCAGAGAAACCACGTGGGGGTCGACCTAATAGGACATATTGCTAGCAATGTGGTTGTCAAACTTTATTGGTAACATTCCCTTTCCCCCTTCTCCCATAGACTGCCACAAAGAACGGTCCTCAGCCACCTGAATCCACTAACTCCCTGCTATGCATTTCAGGTCGTCACTCCATCTTGTTGGGGATTGTACTACACTGTGATTGCCCGTACTAGGTCGCCACTTAAGAACCTTTCTTCCCCATCGGTTGTCGGTTCTTCAACGCTATGTGACCAGCCCATTGTCACTTCAGTTTGCTTATCCTTTGGGCTATGTCGGTTTCTATGGTTCTTTCAAAATGAAGATATCCTCGTTTCGGAATCTATTACGTAAAGAGATTTCGTGTATAGCTCTCCCCACATGTAATAATAAAAATGTGGTATGTATATGACCTCGTAATAGGCGAGGAAGCCGGGCACGGCGGTGTAGTGCCCGGGCTGGCCGGGCCCGACGGCGGGCGCGCCGGGGCGCGGCGCTGCGCTGCGCAGCGTGTAGGTGCGCGCGTACGCCGGCACGCCCAGCACCAGCAGCCGCGCCGCCACCACGCTCGACCAGTACGACATCGAGTAGTTCTGCAACAATCGGATGACACTCACCACAAACCTTTTTTAAGCGACTTCCAAAAGGAGGAATTTCTCAATTTTGTCTCTATTTTTTGTGATTATATTACGCGATTACGTCGTAAATTTTCGTGAATTAACGTTTTTTTTTATTTATTTTTTATACAACTTAGAATTGCAAACAAGCTGACGGTCCACCTGATGGAAAGTGGTAACCGTCGCCTATAGACACGAGTAGTACCATGGACATAATAGAGTATACCGTTTCGCCCATAATACTCCCATTTATTAGTAGAGTACGTTTTTATTAGAAGAGTGAAAAACTGGTTGTTTTCGCTCTACTAATAAAAACTACAGTGTACGTAGCATTGAAAATATTTTGATAAATTTTGCATATAACACGAAACATTTAGTCGGTTATCGTTTGAAACAAAAGAAAGTACTTTTTTTTTGTGGAGTAAAATATACAAAAGATTTACACACAGTATCCCTTACGCTTTATTTTCAATGAAGACTAAGGTGACTAATAAATACCTTTTGTCTCTGTAATTTCACTTACTTTTTAAAATATATATATATATTTAAAAATATAAAATTTAATTTAAAAATATATTTAAAAAAAATAATTAAGGGAGAACTTACAAAACTGCTTATTCCTGTGATGTCACTAATATCTAAAGAGACAAGATAACTAGTTTTCCCAGTGTTGGAAGCGTAGTAATCGTTAGCTGCTATGGAAATCCAATCAAGTGTCGCTGCCAACACATCTGGGTCGTACGCCAAAGATGCTAGCTCTGGGTTCGGTGACACCATCGCTGATAGTTCCAAGTTGTGTGGGCGCAACGCCTTGGATAACTCTGTGAGTAATGCGCTGTAGTTGTCTTTCTCTGTGATGTCGAAGTCAATACATGGTATCTGGAAAATATCGATAGCTCTTCCTATTATATTCTCTTAGATAAATAACATCTAGATAGTATGCCCCTAAAAATGTTGTGAAAAAACTTTCAGAATGGTGGGTTCTTTTGACAGATATAAAATTATAATTACAGACCTATATCATATATTTTATCAGATAAACTATAATGAAATATTATTTACTATATATAACTTTATTTACATTTTCTACATAAACCATATTATCAAAAATATCCGACGTTAGTATAGTATAAACAACAATAGGCAACAGTTAATCATACTTTGGGACTATTTTTGACACTGCTTCATTTAGATGATTATAGATAGCTATTCTATATAATCCAGTAAGTATTTAATCAATAAAGAGTACCTACATACAACAAAATAGGTAACGAAAATAATAGATATCGGAAATTCATACCTGTTTACAAATAGGATACTGCCAAGCTATCTGGAGGCCGTCAAAGTTCCACTTATGCAAGAATCTCAAGACTGATTTAACAAATGTCTTTCTGTTTTCTGGGCTCACGACCAAACGACTCCATTTCTCAAACTCAGAGTCCTTCACTCCGCCCACACCGAGAATAACCTTTAATCCCTTTGATCGAAGTTCTGTCAGTTTCCCGTAGAAGTCTGCAATAAACGGTTATTCTACTAATTATTTTTTATTTTGTTACCTAGTTTTTTTCATTTTGGAATAACGGCATATCTGACGAAAACGGATGTAGTCGCTTTACTTCGTTACAATCGTTTTTGAACAATTATGGTATGGAAAGAGCTCTCTAGTGAGGTTTTCTATGTCTGTGAGTCTATAAATAAGGACTATAACGTGAGGTTCTTAAAAAAATGTATACAGTGGATTCTTTAATTTGGTTATACAAACGTAACGCCACTAGTATTTCAAGTGTCTTTAAGGTTACGATAACCGTTACTGGCAGGCAGGCCGTATGTTTGTTTTTCATGAAAAACATGAAAATAATTTAATGCGGCCCATCTGGTCGCCCCTAAAATACACCTTATTACGCCAAGCAGAGGACTTTTGTTGAAAATCTAGTGCAGTAAGTTAAAATGTAAATTATATTTACCGTATTGTACATCTAGTTCTGGATTTCCAGGAACTATCTGATATGACGAGCCATCAAGATTTGCCCATGCATAAACAATGTGCGTGCACAGTGATGGGTCTACTTCTTCCGGTCCAAAACTGCCTTCGCCTTTTCTGTAATTTTTTTTATATGATTTAAATAAAATTAAGAAATTATCTTCGTCTTGGCCAGCATAGTAGTAGATTATGTTTTTCAAGAAAGTCAGTAGATTCTTAAAAGGATTATTAAGTTTATTTAAAATTGGCGACGTTAATGTGTAATAATGCCACAAAAAAATAAGACGAATTAAAATATCTTCCTTTCGGAAGTTACTTAAAACTGAAATACGAAGCAGTCATAATGTGACTCCTTGACATTTTGTTGTAAATCTTTTGATGTGACAAATTGTAGTACCTGTAATATGCCCAGTTAGTGAAGTAGCATGCAAGTATAGGTTTCTCCTCTGACTTCTCCCGAGTAAGTCGTAAATGTGTTTTGCTCTTGCATGGTGAGTTCTCTGGTAGGTCACAGTGGTTCTGTAAAAAAAATATTACATTTTTAACCGTCTTAAAAATTATAAAGTTTTTAATTAGGCCGAATTTCTGTGTCTGTTCGTTAAAACACAATAAAAAATTAAATTGAAATAAAGACATCATTATTTACTAAGAAGTTTAAAATGAGGACATTTGATTTATTATGGAGAAGTTGTTTTCTCTTTCGTTACGCTAATAACAATACTAACATCTGATAAAGTGACTTACTTCATTCCAGAGTAACGGTGCGGGACAGGTGAGCTCGGCCCATTGTCCGTTTAGGCATAAGTAGTATTTGCTGCAGTCTACGCTATCAGCTTTAAATATAGTGTTTGAACACGATTTCCCTTCTAATGTAGAAAACTCTGAATTTCCCTGCAAATGAAAACCAAAAGTACTCACTATGATGAGGACATTAGGTACTTCGTAGATATCTCTCTATTAAGGGATCAAAAAACATAAGTCCAACTATAATATAATAAATAATAATAATAATTACTGTGTGGTTCCGGCTTTGAATGGACCACCCTTTCCTTTCCCGTGGGTGTCGTAAGAGACGACTAAGGGAACTTTATGGTTGAGGGATGGATAGTAACGTCCCCCTTTGAATACTATCAAAGCCTTTGAATATCAAAAAATAGTTGCCGTTGCCTACGTGCCTGCCATGTGTGACAATTACAAGTAAAACTCCCCAATAAGAGGAGGCCTATATTCAATAGTTAATAACTGATATAATGATGAAGGGATTAAAAAGATAAAATATACTTAAAAACATTTAAAAAAGAAATTTTAAATGGGAACACCGGTTTGCTCTAATGAAGCGTTTTTATGATGGGCCGTATGCTTGTTTATTACTTTCGTGGTATAAAAAGATTGTTAAACATTGTGTCTGATAGTTACAGAAACAATACAATTATCCTGACATATCGATAGACAGGCCATAAATTATAAAGGTCATAAATTTGAATCAGACTTACACCAAAAGCAAAGTGTGTCAATTTAAAGGTTCTAGCAACTCTCGGGTGAAGAAAGTAAATACTGTTAGCAAATTAATTCAAGCCACGTCGGTAGACTCCTCGTACACTATATTGAGTTCAACAACGGTAATTTTGATGGGAAAGAAATATTCTCTAATAGTGATCCTACATAGGCAAAAGAAGAGTAGAACGACCCCCAATTAGGTAGATGAAGTGACAACCTCTGGCTGCTACTCATAAGTACAACTGAGTTTGAAACTTTTTGTCTATGCTGTGTAAGTAACACAGCATAGACAAAAATTTTGACGTCAACCGATAATAAGGAAAACAAATGTATTTTTTAAAATATGTTGCAGGAAGTCAGCGGATGCAAGTAGATCAAGATTGTTTTTTTATGACTGTTTATAAAGGGTAGTAGGAAAGTCTATGTTTGATGATGATGATTCGTTTTTTCGAAAATGTTTCTAATAAATCACATAATTATTGAACATATCAATACTTACAGTGTTGTCTTCTTGATGATTCATGTCAGGCTGATGTAGAATCCCCGGTACGTTCTCCACATCCGGGGATAAATTATTGTCACTTGTCATATCTGGACGTGGGCCTTGCACTGTACAAATGATTAAATTTATTTAATATAATTTACATGCAATATAATAAACTTCTTATGCGAGTGTTACCATCACCAAATCACCAAAGTTATTTAGCGTTGTTTGCTGTTAACAAGTATCCTCTACGTCAATCTAAGAATTTATAAATTACAAATTTTAATTACGACTTAGTCTACATGACCGGGATAGAAAGTAAGTCCTTTTCGACTACTCTTTTCTTCCTATTCTTATTGCCTGCCGATAAATTAATGTTTAATATGATAAAATTTCAGTTTTTTAATGTTATTAAGAAGCGATTGTAAGAAAGCCATTAAAGTCACCGTTATCAGAATCGCAAGCATGTCGCTAAACTTTTTTTTTATGCAACTTAGAATGGCATCTAAGCTGACGGCCCACCTGTAGGAAAGTGGTAACCGTCGCCTATAGACATGAGCAGTACCATGGACATAACAGAGTTTACTGTTTCGCTCATCATACCCCTCACGCGTTAATATTACTGAGGACTCAGTTGTTATTCCTCTGTACCCTGTAAATTCATTGCTATATCCCACCTTTCAAACCGAAACACAGCCATGCAAACACAACTACTTCACGATAGAAATATAAATGGGACAGGAGTGCCCAAGCAAACGACTTTTGTACAGTCTTCCTCTGTTACCTACATACAAAAAATACAGTCGAACTTTAAGATAAAGATACAGTCGGTCTTCTGAAAAATAAAACTCATTTATAAAAATATAGACTCGTGGGTACTCACTCTCTTCAAGGAAACAAGGCGGTGGCATCTCGTTGTTCCGCAGTACAAAGTTGATGGTGGTCAACAGCGGGGACTTTCCGCAGCCGCAGTGCCGGCCGGTGAAGTCGTCGAGGTCAAGCGCCCAAGCCATAGCGCCGCCAAGACCCATCGCGCGTACGTACTCCGCCTTGTGCCGCGCCATATATTCGTCGTCGAATGATACCCACTGGTCGTCGTATGACGCGTACGGCCCTATACGACCGCCCGGGTCGCGGTACACGCGCCAGCCTTGTACTTTTATACGTTCGCATATCTGCAAATATTTGCAATATTTTTATATTTTTATGGAAATAAGAATATAAACAAATTTGTTTAACATTTTTACAAACAACCTTTTGTCCACACAACAAGCTTAAATCCATCATCTTGGATGACGGTAGGGTTTTTTCAATAGGTGAAAATTAAATAGTGACCCCGCTAGCGCTATCGGAATACATTGATGGGGCACCAGTGAGGGATGACAGGTAAGGGTGAAGCAGGTCGGTCGGTCCATCGTGACAAAATCAACAATTATTAATCACAATTGTTTCTAGGTGAAGGTCGACCTAATAGAGTACATTGCTAGCAATGGGGCAATTAGACTCTATTACTAACAATTACCCTCAACTGCTCCCAATAGTAGATTTGTTAACCTCAAATTTGAAAATCAAGGATTTGAAGTTGGAAAAGTTATGACAATTTAGTTTAAAAACACGACGCAAAAATTAAGTAGCAATGATATGTAATAAAAAAAATTAATAAAAGTATCCGAATTTTTTCGAAAAATATTCAAAAATTATAAAGTGAGCTATTAGTAATGTATTTCAAAATACATGATCTTGTCAGGACGCTTTACACGATCTTGTCCTTAAAAACTATCCAGGACAACCCAGGATATTCCAAAAACCAGAACTAAGCGACAGCTACATAAAATTTTGTGTATTGTCACTAACAATATCGTTTTCTATTGTTTAAATATTGAAAGGTTTTACCTTTCAATGGTTAAGGGGGTTGAAAAAAATACATTATCCGCTATCTTGTAACGGCGGCCATTATGAAACTATTATAATATTGTATTATCACTAGAACTAAAATTGTATGTAATATTGCAGCTCTGCCAGATGTCAAGACGTTGCTCTAATAGCTTGCAAACGTTAACAGAATCAAAACTAATTAGCTAACAAGTTTATAACAAACTGACTGGCCGCCTAAAAAGTGTTAACCGGCATTTATAGTCTCATTTCTATAACAGTATTACCTGATATCACAGATTATACTGTGATATCCAAGGTTCCCCTCATGAATTTTCTTATTAGCTGAAAATTCGTTACTGTATTTTTCTGTATATAAAAATAAGAAATATTTAATTGCACTGTCAGAACATTCCTTTAAAATGATTCCGATTTCACTTGGGTATAATAATAAATTTGTAAAAAATTCACATTGGAAAATTATTACCATACCTCGTAAAATGATAAGAAGCCTCGTGCTCTAGTCTCGTCACCAGGTTCGCCACCTCCGTCGCTAGATGCACCAAGACCGTTTGCACTGTTCTCTATCAAAGAGAACGATTGCCCATAGAACGGTACGCCCAAGATTAGTTTGTCACGAAGTGCTCCTTGGTTGATCCAATAATGGACAGTGTAATTCTGAAACAATAAAATCTGGTACAGTCAACGTAAAAAATAAATGAATAGGTACTTACTGTTTTACAAAAGCAATAAACACAGTTGTGTACACAAAATTAACTGAATGGTATATTCAACGGAGTAATAAGGGTTTTCAAAATTTTAACCTATTTTATCGATTTTTGATATAGACCGTAGTTACCTAATATGGTATTAATATTTAATAATGTGCCAGATTTATCTGATTTTTAAAGATGAGAAAAGAGTCACAGAATATAAAAGGTGTAAAAAAAAAATTTCCTTAAATTGACCACGACGAAAATCCAACCCAAACCTATATTTACGTAAAGTATTGTGCTTTCTATTGACTATGGATATCTATCTTAAGAATAAAAAAAGTTTTAGATGAATATAAAAACAATTATTACATAAAATCAAATTCATTGCGGACGAGGTTAAGGTATTAAGAGACAAAAGAAGAATATGTTACATATTTCTTCTGATGATAAATTAATCAAATAAATTGAAGAAAATAACTTACAACGTTCAATGTATAATCATCATCACGTTCGTGGCCATACATGGGTGCCAAATGACCTGTCTTCTTTTCCCACTGTCCGTGGTAATCATAAGTCATTAGCGAAATCCAATCCAAATTTTTTGACAGAGTTGGCACATCATACGCTGGAACATGATCTTAATGTTATTAATTTTAATTCACATTTGTGTTTAAAATTTCAAAATATTATCGTTTATTTATTTATACTTTATTGTGTACATTAATAATAAAAAAAATATGACATTAAATAAATGTATATAGCTTTTCCCATTATTTGGCCAGACTAGATTGGTCGACTTAGTATGTTTTGTTATATCTTCTTTCTTTGGGTCTTCCTCGGCCTTTCTCTTTCTATCCATTCACTTGAAAGTCATCATTTTTTGGTAACTAAAATAATATATTTGAAAGAAAAACACATTAATATTATATTTACCAACGTCAATAACTCGTTTGCTGGCTGACACCGCAGCAGACAAGAGTAGGCCCCGTGGAGTAAATGCAGCACGTAACTCTTTAACTAAATTGGTGAAACCATCTTTGTCTGAGTATGGACCCTTTTCGCAAGCCGCCTATAATCAAATGTTATTAAATATTAAATTATATACGTGTAACTTTACTTGTGATGTTTTAATGACGCAATTTACTCTATGTCCATTCTAAGTCTTTAAAACTAGGTATTTGACAAACAAATTACTGCAGCAATTTTTCTGTTAAAACATAATTATTACAGGTTTATTTATAATAATTAAAGATTATCTATAGAGTTTATTACAAATGTATACTTAATAGTATCTACTCGATGTATAAAACTTATATACTAATGTATACTATACTATAATAATATTCTAATGAAGTACTATTTATATAAATATTTATGTCAAGATTTTTGGAATTGGTGGAGAAGTAGGTACTCGTATAATAAGTAAGGATAACAGATACCGTTCTCTACAACCATTTTCATTGCTTATCAATTTTTTATTTTTGTTGTCAATTACGTGCATTTTGTGTGTATGTGACATACATAATAATATAGAAAAAATATAATATAAAAATATAAAAGGAAGTCTGTACTAATGTCGGTGACAAACATGTTTAATTCATTACTAGGATTATAACCCTATTAATGAATTAAATTGCTTAATGTTTTAGGACCTTACCTGCCAGCATTTAGGATATTCCCAGTCTAGATCGAGACCGTCGAAATCGTACTGTTCGAGGAAGTCAATGGCATGAACAACAAACTTCCTGCGTGCGGCGAGACTATTCACTAATCGTGAATATTTGTTGCCCGCGGAATCATCCCATCCGCCTAGCCCAAGCAAAACTTTTAGGCCTCGCTTCTTCAAAGATACCACTTTCTCGTAGAATTCTGTAAATTTTTGTTTTGAATAAAGCAAAATAGGTGGATAGACGAGACAAGTTAAAACATATTTTTGTTACCTAGTTAAAATGTTAAATATAGAAATTAAATTTATTAAATTTAATTAAAACAAACTACCGTCACTTTCAAAAACTATTTGATAAAACTAAATTATTTTACAATGACTTCCCTTTGGTTAATTAGGAAATAATGTTTTTAAGAATAATTATATTTTGTGTATAGTTATTTATTAAATCTATGTATGTATTAGAGAATCGCCGTATAGTCCGGGCATAGAATAGGCCACCCCTTTCTTTCCCGTGGGTGTCATAAGAGGCGACTGAGGGAACTTAATAGTCGAGGGATAGACAGCGGTGTCTCTCTTCAAACTTCACCAAAGCTAACAATCCACCTGCCAAGCGTGGCAAATACTGGCAAAACCCACCTTATGGGGTGGTCTATGTTTAGCAATGGACAGGAACGGCTGATATAATAAAAAATTTCATCATCATCATCATATCAGCTTTTAACTGTTTACTGCTGAACATAAGCTTCCCCATTGGGGGGTTTTACCAGTAGTTGCCATGCTTGGCAGGTGGATTGGCAACCGCAGTCAGGCTTTAGAGATATTTTAAGAGGGACGCTGCTGCCTATCTCTGACCCTTTCTTAGTAGGCTTTTACGACACCCACGCGAAAGGAAGAAGTAACCTATTCTATACCAGAACCATACGGCCAAATAATAAATTTATTAAAGAATAAATAAAAATATCCACATGCCCATAGCCACGTTCTCACAGAGCGCTGTTTTGTGTTCTCCAAGAAAATCATTGCCATATATATGTATAGTTCAGTTTCAGAGGAGTTTTAAACAAGACTTACTATTTTCGACATCGAGCCACATGTCGTGCGGTTTGATAACTAGCTTAACAGTATCCAGCGCAGCGAACGCATACACGATGTGGGTACACAGAGATGAGTCTATGTCACTCGGAGTAAACTTTCCAGAACCCTGTCTGCAACACATCATAAAAAATGTTTTAACTATTTATAGGCACTAACTATTAAGAAGTTAAAATTTAATTGCTTATTTAACTTAACTATCGTGGTAATTTAAAATTTAAATAAATTACCTGTACCAAGCCCAGTTAGTATAATAACAAACGACTTTATAACGTTCTTCTGGTAATACTACAGTGTCAATTGCTGTTGTCGGTTTCATAGTTGTTTGTACTACAGGGTTCGTCTGTGTTATAGGTTTAACAGGTGGTGAAGTAGGCTTAGGCTTGTATCCTGGTCTTACTTCAATGTCATCTAAATCTTCTTCTAGTGAATTAGAGGGTTCTGCTATTGGATATTGAATAGTAATAGTCTCTGGTTCCACATTCGGATCCAAGAGACCTTCTTTGATAGCATTCATTAGTGGATGCTTTCCTAGACCGCATCTGAAACAAATGTTGATGGATGCTATGTAATACTATAAAAACGATATAACCTCGGGGATTGTAATTATATTTCATTTTCTGACATAATTTGTAAAGAGATGACATTTACCTATTTCTAAAATCATCAAGATCGAGTGCCCATACCATTCCACCGGCGAGATTAAGAGATTTGATGAAATTAACTTTTTTCTTTAGAATATCAACGTCGTCGAATGATACCCATTGATCGTCTTTGTATGCGTAAGGGCCCATGCGCTGGTAAGGATCTTTTACTAGTTGCCATCCGCTATGTCTAATTCTGTCACAAATCTGCAATAAATAATTAAATATGGTGAAATATCTTAATGAGAAAAAGTAGTAAGTTTATAAATAAGAACTACAAATGTAGGTCTTGCAAGCGGATGATATTTGTTGTTTTTATGTATAAGTAATTTTCTGTTTAGACCGAGGATCTAAGACTATCCTTTAAATTTTTTCTATATATCAAATAAATAGAATAAGAATTAAACTTTAAATTGCTAAACTGAAGTGAATCAATATTCATTATTTGGAAAGAGTTTGATCAGTAAATCGAAGTCCAATGAAATACCTCATAGTAAGCTAAGAAACCCTTAGCTTGTGTATATTCTCCTGGTTCACCCCCAGCTACTGCAGGAACATTTAATCCTGTCGCATTCTTTCTTGCAAGAAGTCTTGGAGGAGTGTCCCATTGAGTTCCGATTGTGAATGTTTGTCCGTATAGTGGCATGCCCATTACTAGTTTCGATCGAGGTGCTCCTTTTTGGATCCAGTAGTGCATGGTGTAGTTCTAAAATAGAGTTACATTCTTTTAAATATGGATTATATTAAACATTTAAAAAAAAAAAAATACCGAATTCGGTTTTAAATAATAAAGATAGTTAATGAATATTACATTTATTATCAAATAGAGTGGTTTATTTACTGTATGTTTATGGTCATTGGATATGGAATTGTTCCTCTTAAAAAGTTCTAAAAAAAGAAAGTCCGCGATATCATATGTCTATCTTTTGACGTTGGATTATTAGCTTATAACCTTTTTAATGGTAAAGAAATTTGTTCTAAAATATTGCATTATTTGCGTAGGTGTTTTTATTAACATGGTATTAAACATTATGCAAATAGTATTTATTTTTATTCATTACAAGTGTTCAATTTTGAACAAACTTTTATAAATAGAGTTTTATAAATAGCAGGTGTATCGTGCGTTCGACTGTTAGATGGTCCATTTTGCTTTATTATTGTACTACATTTATGGTATTGAAAATAGAATATGTATTTATAAACTTACTGCATTGAAATAAGTGTTATCATCATCTGGATGATAATATAAGGGTGCAACATGACCAGTTTTCTTATCCCACTGTCCGTGATAGTCATATGTCATGACAGCAATCCAGTCTAAGTATCTGGCGAGCACAGGAACATCGTAGCCAGCATCTATAACTATTTTATTCGGCGAGACTGCAGATGACAGTAGCAACCCTTTAGGTTTTAATACGGAAGATAATTCTTGAACGAAATCAGCGAAAGCCTCTTTGTCAGAATCAGGACCTTTTGAGCAATCCACCTATAAACAGTATCTCTATAGTTAAATCTTCGGAGGATTAAATCAAATCACAATAATATTTATTGAAGATAAATATCTACAAACCTGCCAACATTTAGGATATTCCCAGTCCAAATCTAAACCATCAAAGCCATATTCTTCAAGGAATTGTACTGCGTGCGTTATGAACCTTTCACGAGCCAAGCGATCGTTGACTAGATTTGAATATTTATCACCGGCTGAATCATTCCACCCACCTAGTGCGAGGGATACTTTGATGCCGTATCTTTTGTATGCAACTACTCGATTGTAGAATTCTGCAGAAAATACTTACATGATAAATAGAGTACCCAGGCAAAGATTTTATTTTCCTTTTATGTTTTAGAAGAATACCTGTCTAGGTATTCTGTTACTATATAGGTAGTCTGCATTTCATATAAAATAAGAAACTTTGATGCATTAATACTGTGCATAATAGCTAAAGGATGCATGCCAGCAATTACACTTTGTGCTGTGTCAACATTTAATGTGTCGTGCATTTTCTTACCGTTATCATAATCTGCCCATGAGTCATGTGCTGACATGAGACCATCTGATCCTAATACAGCGAAACCGTATACAATGTGGGTGCACAGTGTAGGGTCTATGTCTTCAGGCACGTAGCTACCGATGCCTGGTCGATACCAGGACCAATTTGTATAGTAGCACACGAGTTTGTATCGAGCTACGGATGAAAAGGACATCGTAGTAAAATTATGTAGAGGAATTAATGAATAATAAAAAGATAATATATTATAAATTAGATAAGATTTCCTTTATTGAATATCGACACTAACTGTTAAGAAGACTTGGTCTAATTGGGGGATCTACTGATGGATGTTGTTGCATTTGATGTTCAGAGACGACATGTATATCTTCAAGATCTGGTTCAGGTAGTGGTGGCGGTTGTTCTGGTTTTGAGCTCGATGACGTTACTTTACATTTAGCATTTGCTGGCCAGTCGCAAATATTTTTTTCCTGAAAAAGTAAAAAGGTGATAAAATAGCTAGACAATCACTCCAATTGTATGATAATAAAGAGCTTAAACTACTGTTAGATGCGACATAAATAACAACTCCGGTTGATGCAGTTATAATTTTATCTTCTATATTTTCTAAATCTTACAAATTTAGTATATAAGAACGTAATACAGTAGGTAACCGTGTTTCTCTCAAGAAATCACGTAGCAGTGTCGTTTCAACCGCGCAAATAGAATTATAAAAAATTCGTAGTGTAGTATTATGCGAGCTGCTATAATTGTGCCGGTATGTCGCTTAGACTTGTATTGGTATGAACAACTACAATGTGAAACTAGAGAAAGAGGGAGAGAGAGAGAGAGATTTGAAAAATGAATCAAAACTAATTATAATTAATTATTTCTTTTTTTAACAAATATGACTATAAATTCAAACTAGTTTATTATACGTGAGAAAAAAGTTTTGTTGTTTAGAGTATTTACCCGATTCCAATGAAGACCACTGTTGCATGAAAATTCTTCAAATCTGCCGAAGAGACAGTGCCGATATCGGGTACAATCAGAAGGGTATCCGGAGTACTCGCCGTTTGTGCAAAATGCTGTGTAAAATATATGTTAAAATAATTACATACATTTAAGCAATACTACTCGGTATTTAACACATTTGACAGAGGAACGCGTGTTAGGATGAAGTTCAAACTTTTTTGTCCAACTTCTACTCATGTTTCATTGGACAAAATATTTTGTTCGTTGGTAGAGAAGGAAATAATATTGATTTTATCAAGTATTTAAAAAACAACGTACCTGTTTGTTGTATAATCATCTGTGAGGTGGCCGGTTGCTTCGTTGCCATGATACCAGCCGAGATGCCCTCACGGCGGTCGGTGCAGGAGGCGGCGTTGGGGAAGTCGCATTGCGAGCGGTCGGGCCTCCAGACGAGCCCCGGGGCGCAGCTCTGCGCCACCAGCACCCCGTTCACGCACACGTAGAACTTTTCACACTTCGGGTGCGAGTGGTACGTCCCCGTAGTGCAACCCTAGTGAAGTTTTGTTACGGTTAAAATTATTATATAGAATAGGACAGTCACATCTAAATCTTACTTAGATTCATTACATCTAGATAGAGTATTTCAAATACTTCGATGATAACATTCAATTTATATTAATTTTCTAATTTAATACTTATTGTACACACTAATTATACATAAAAGTATGACAGAGGTAATTAAATTTACAAAGGCGAGTTTAACTCAAAAATCTCAATAATCAATAATCAAAAAAAGTTCTCTTCCAGTGATATTCATTCAACATCCTTTTTTTAAAATGGCACTTCTTTAAAATTGTATTAAAATCTTGTAATTAGTGAATTGTGAAAATGTTGGTTAATGTGATATGATACAAATCAATACTTTATTTATTTATTTCATTGTTTATTTATATTTACTGTATTATTATGTATAACATACATACTTTCAGATATGTCTGCACGAAAAAATTACGTTTTTTTATTTATTTTTTAACTTGCATGCTATATTCCTTATTATTAGAATAAATGTGAATGTGTGTAAAGACGTTGGATGTTTGTTATAAACTGATTTTAACGAGATCAACATGATTTTATCATCTGTAAAAAAAGTATTAAATGTAATTACGAATTTAACAAACTATTTGATCACGAGAAACGGTATACCAATTATGATTATTATTTGATTAATTTTACTGTAAAATGTCAACTATCATTCGTATCATGCGACAACTATACTATGTATTTATAGCTGGGTACTATAATGTTTTTGTACGAAGTCTTCGGAATCTGATATTACCGTAACTGGTCTGTAATCCTCTTCCATCACGGTAGTAGGCCTAGCAGTTGTGAATGGTCTTCTGGTGGTTGTTGTGTAAGTCGTCGGACGATACGTCGACTTAGTGGAAACTGGTTTAGCTGAAAAAATAAACATTACATTACCTTCAGTCCTTCGGATACTTCACAAAACGGTTTTTGACTTAGGAGTACAAAATGCTAATATACTAAATTTAGTTTGCACTTTTAAGTATCTCTTATCACATTAGTAATGTTATGTCATGAGAAGTTCTAGAGATTGTTGAGATTGATACCAGCTGCTAAATTTCACTATCGCAATAGTCTCCACAGACTAAAGTACCATTCCGAGCACCTAGATGAGTGGGAATACTCCATCATGCATTTTTCTAAATACTGCAGTGCACGCATAAACACATTATGTCACCAATATTTCCAAACAAATATATTCTTAAATTCTACGACATGAACATTTTTTTTAAATGCCGGTAACATATCTGTAATTCCTCCAGTATTGCGAATATTCTTTTGTATAGAAAAATCCATTTATATTCCTAATTTCAGTGTTATATGTGTCATCATACATACAACATTTCTATTTTAACTTTTTTATGGTAAACAAGCTGACGACCCACCTGATGGAAAGTGGTAACTGTCGCCTATAGACATGAGCAGTACCATGGACATAACAGAATATACTATTTCGCCCATGATACCTCCCATGCGTTGCCATTCCTGACGACTCAAGTGTTATTCCTCTGTACCCTGTAAATACTTTTAGTATAGAACTCGATCCAGAAGTGGCGCGTCACTTGCGTAGTGAAGCCGCACACGCTAACTAAAAGAAGTAATAGACAAACAGATCGGGGTTACCTTCGCACATGGCGAACTCGATCCAGTCGCAGCGGCTTGTGCGCTTGTCCCAGTGCAGGCCGGGCGGGCAGCGCTGCCGCCGCCAGCGGCCGCCCGTGCAGAGCAGGTACGAGTCGCAGGTGGCTGCGGGCGCGTGGTGCTCGTTCGGGCCGCACTCGCCGTCCTCCATCGGCCGACCGCTAGGCGCCACTGTTTCAATGAATATTAAATTACTACGGGTACCTGGCACCCACCAGATGGTCAGTCTTCTCTACCATACCTTAGCTTCATACAGAATCAAGATGAACGCATATAGAGAGGTTTTGAAAAATGATTTTTATCGTAGATACTCAGGTTATGAAATAAGTTCTCAGGCAGCTGATGAAATATGTAAGTAATCGTATATTTTATGATGTTTATTATGCAAAATAGCAAATTTTGTGAAGTAATTTCTCCGTAAATTTTAAGATTAGAACTATCGTATAGTAAGGTATGGCCTTAACGTAACTTTATTGTTTATTCCAAATTTCAAATTGAAACATTTCATTTAATGGAAGAGCAAATCTTTTTAGTTTTATATGAAATAAACACCTGAGGGTGACTTTGGAAGTGTTCTTAGGGGATATCCCTAAGCACAGTTAAGGTACACATCCGATTTCACTGTTCCCGTAATATGGACAATAAGGGCAATTATACTAATAAATAATTATTGTCTTATATAATTTGAAGGCATCTTACTTGTAGGTGGTCTCGTGGGGTTTGGAGGACGTGTAGGTTTAGGCTTTTGAGTAGCGGGTTTTGAAGTTGATTCTGAAAAAACATTATTTCGTTATTGTAAAAAATTACGCATACGAATAAACTATACTCTAATTTTATCATAAGTTTTATTTTTATTTATTTATATCGTAAGTAATAATTGACCAATAGGAAGGTGTCTCGCCTATGTTGATGGTATACAATAACAGGGCACCAGTAGGAATTCGAGTAACAAGGATAAAATTAGGTAGACCATATTGCCCGTCGTAGTAAATTCAAAAGTCGTCCTAAACTGCGTTTGCCTGTACGAGGTCGCCACTCAAGAACCATACTTCCTCGTTGGTTGTCGGTTCTCCGAGCTATGTGACCAGCCCATTGTCACTTCAGATTGCTTATATTTAGCGTATAACCGTCTATCCGTAGCACAGTATAAGTAATAGTAACTACCACTCGTAGACACTGCCGACTGCTACGATCTGACTTCACCCCCTCTTAAATATGTCAGCATCCAAACTCTATTTTCCCGCGCTAATCTTAATTACAGACGCACACATTGTCACGTGTACAGACGTTATATGTTTCTATGTTGTAACAAGATCGGATCACGGATTGGAACAACGGATCGTGGCGTTTTTGTATGGAAGTATCAGGGGTGTGGTAGTAATAAGTGTTTACCTTGGCACTTTGCGTACTTGGGCCAATCGCATTGCTTCTCTGTGGGGCTCCAGTGCAGGCCGGGCGCGCAGCGCTGCAGCCGCCACACGCTGCCGTCGCATTGTAAGTACGAATTGCAGTCTCCCGACACCGGCCGGTAGTCCTGTCCCTGACATGGACCACCCTCTTTTTGTGAATCTATAATAGTACACAGATAATAAACTTTTTAGAATATAACATTTTATTGTATTTTTATAGGTACAATGTGCAATTATAAAAGGCAAAATACTCCTCAATATTGTTATTTGTGCTAATCATACTACTTGAATTATTTAAGTAGTAAATATCGAAGCTATTTTTGGTTTATTAAGATATTGGGTAGGTAGCACAAATTATACAAAAAATGACGGTAGATTTTTTTAATGGGTGTAAGATATACTATGGCGGGCCACCAGCCCTGCCGACATGGTATGGCAGCACAGGCGGTGCAGTTATCACTGGTGTGAAAAATGATAAATAAGGATAAAAACAGGTTAGTTAGCCCATCGTGACAAATTCTAAAAGAATTAACCAAGATGGTTTCCAAACGAGAACCGCATAGAGGTTGATCTGATTGTTAGACCCCATTACTAACAATCCCTTATTCCCAGTTAGCTGATGGCCTTTTAGAATTACCTTTAACACTACGCTGCATATAGAAGAAATTGATATATGTATTCAGTTAAGAGATCTTAGAGAATAATATGACATAATATTTCAACCGTGAAGCAGTTGTGTTTGCATGGCTGTGTTTCGGTTTGAAGGGTGGGATATGGCGTGAATTTACTGGGTACAGAGGAATAACACCTGAGTCCTCAGGAATGGCAACGCATGGGGGTATCACGAGCGAAACAGTATACTCTGTTATGTCCATAATACTGCTCATGTCTATAGGCGACGGTTACCACTTTCCATCAGGTGGGCCGACAGCTTGTTTGCCATTCTTAGTTGTATAAAAAAAAAATATCATAGTACCAGTGTCAGATGACGCGGTGGTAGTAGTCGATGGTCTGCGTGTGGTTGTCGTAGTCGTAGTAGTTGTTGTGGTAGTTCTCGTTGTGGTGGGCCGAGGCGGGCGCGCCGTTATCGGCGCAAGCGTAGTAGTCGCTGTGCTCGCTTCATTACTTGGTTTTTCTAGAAATGCAACGTGAATTTTTATTTTTCTCTAATATTTTGATCGTAAATGATTGAAGTATTCTTATAAATAATTTATTTCATTATGATTTACAAAATACAAATTCTTTAAGCCATTTCTATGTGCCATCTTTATTTGTATTTATTTATACTAATTAAAATGCTGTAGCATGCAGTTTTAGGCGTTGCAATATGATCAAGGCGTATATAAAGGGCAGCACACTTAACATATAAATCTGATTTACTTCTGTCCCATTCGTGTTTCTATCGTAAAGCAGTTGTGTTTGCATGGCTGTGTTTCGTTTTGAAAGGTGGGATATGGCGTGAATTTACAGGGTACAGAGGAATAACACCTGAGTCCTCAAGAATGGCAACGTATGGGGGTATTATGGGCAAAACAGTATACTCTGTTATGTCTATGGCACTGCTTGTCTATAGGCGACGGTTACTACTTTCCATCAAGTGGGCCGTCAGCTTGTTTGCCATTCTGTTGTATAAAAACAAAATCGCTCGTCTGCGCAAGCTAACAAATAAATAATCAGATGGTATGGATGACAATAATTCTATTTACAATACGGTATTGTCATTTAAATTTGACATAAGCTTTCTAACGACGATTTAATAACGTTAAAAATAGAAATAATTTCTTACCGTTGCATTTAGCGAAACTAGGCCAATCACATCTATTGACTGAAGACGCCCAATGAAGGCCCGGCGCACAGCGATGCTTCTGCCAGAGCCCGCTTTCACACTGCAGGTAGCTTTCGCAGTCGTTGGGTGCTGCACTGTACTCGCCCGCTTTGCACGCGCCTCCTTCACCAGTAATTTTAGTCAATAAGGTTACTTTGGAGATAAGTCAAGGAGTGAAATGTCAATATACCATTTCAAAAGAATTCTCAGCACTGTCAGCATAATGATATAAGGTCCGATCTTTTAGTGTCCTATAGGAGTTCAGAAACCTACCTAAGATTTAGTTATGTAGCGTCGAAATATCATTTCTCAAAATAAATAAATTTAATAATATAATATAAGAAACTAGCGGCCCGGTACGTGCTTCGCTACGTATAAAGTGAAATAATAAAATATATATATATATATATATATATATATATATATATATATATATATATATTTTATACATTTGAACAATTCAAGGCTCACCGTTGTATGAATGCACTCAACAATATGTTTAAAAATATAAACATAAAGCAATAATTATCGCTGACAATTTGCTTTTACAAAATGATCTGCCATATATTAAATTAATTTGTTACAAAAAATGTGATAAATGAAGAACCGCTCGACCGATTTTGTGCAAACTTCACATAAACCATCTACTAAATAGTCAGAACAAAGCCTAAACATTTGGTTTGGATAGGTGAGCCCGTACTTGAGTTATAAAATTACAACGAAAAGTGGCATTGATTTTTATATATATAGATAAATGAATGTCCCTAGATGATAGCATTTTTTTTTTCAGTTATTTCATTCTTGCAAATTTTTAGTTGTTCTATAAAATTATATCATCTAATGCTTTTTTAATAAATGATAAGGAAATGGTAAGCCAATATATGGTAAGTAAGTATGTTGTCAGTATACCTACGGTGGCAGGAAATGGTGTTGATGGAGAAGAAAGATTCTCTAGTAGCAATCTCATACACATAAGCCGACCCCCAGTACAATTACAACAGCTCGAATATGTTATAGAGAATCAGTATATACCTACAGATAACTCGGAAAATTATAGCAGTCGATGGGGAACGTTGTATTGGACAGTTAATGATGATGGTAACTGACCTTCGCTGTCTATCGCTGGTGGTTTAGTTACTGCAGTAGTGGGTCGTGTTGTAGTGGTAGTTGTGGTGGTGGTGGCACGTGTCGTTGTAGTGGCCAGGCTTGTGGTGGATGTTACAGGCCACCACGTCTGCGTGGAGCTGGGGGTCGTTGTCGCCTGGGTCCAGCTCGGCCATGTGGTTGACGTGTGATGGTCATGGTTGCCGTGACTGCCACCTCCACCTCCACCTAATGAACCTATATAACATATTAAATTTATTTTTATATTTTTCAATTGATGAAAATGGATAATAACCAAATAGTCAACTCTTACGTACTTTGTGAAACACTTCTTATTGAAAAAGGCGCCAACCGTTTATTATTTTTTTATTTATAAAATTTGGATTTGGAATAAAAAAATTATGAATTAAATATAATTATTAATATTTATTATTACCTACCTATGCTAATTAGGCTATTAGATTTGGCTATATAAGTACAATTCATCTAATAAGAATTCAAAAATAAAAAGTTTAACAGGTTATAATGAATAGCATAGAATAGAAATTTATTTATTTATTCATTAGTACAAATATGTGTACATGGCGGACTTAATGCTAAAAGCATTCTCTCTCAGTCAACCATAGGGAAGTGTCAGAATATTCGAATGCGGTACTTATAGTTATTGATATACATACATACTAAAATTACATATATAAACGAATAAATAACAAATATACTTACACATATATGATATATACTATCTACATATACACGAAATTGAGAATAATATAAAGCACTTACTGCTCGGATAAAGTAAAAAAGTGAGCGTGAACATTTTTTTTTTGAAAGACGGTTTATGGTAGTCGGTAGTCTCTTAATGGCATCAGGAAGTGCGTTCGAAAGTCGTGAAAAACGTAGGAGAAAAGAGTTTGAAGCGAAACGAGTACGGTGAAAGGGGAAAAATAGTTGGAGAGTATTACTGGAACGAAGGATACGATCGTGAGTTTCAAAAAGGTATTGTAAATAATCTTTATTCAAATAGATTTGCTTACAAGCTTTTTAAATCGTAATTTTTTACGATAAATATTATCTTTTTTTTTATTTGAGTAATAACAAAAAGATGACCTGTTTTAAGAAAGAAATAAATCATTCTATGGAGAGGATATGGCTTTAAAGCGAATCGTCGAAAATAAATTATTATTCAATAAGGAAAGAAAGGCATAAATGCCTAGATTTGGGTTTGTGTCTTAGATCAGATTCGGTTCATAGTTGGCTGTTTATGAACTGATTTTAATTATATTTGCAATCGTTAGGTTATTTATGCTCCTTTGTTGATCTCGTTTTATTTTGTTCGGCTTCTATTTTGGAAGGCGTTTCGCTTTTCTTGACGATAATATTAATCATATATTACCATCAGATTCAACGGTGGTGGTAGTAGGCGGTGGTGGGGTGACCGGCTGCGGAGGTCGCTCACAGGCTGCAGATGGTGGTGCGGGTACTGAGCGGCCGAGCGCGCGGCCCGCGGCCCGCAGCAGCGGCGACGGCTCGCTACAGCATCGATTGTTGAAATCGTCTAGATCGATCGCCCATGCCGTCACCCCGCCCAACCCTTGCCTCATTGCCCATTCCACCTATAAAGTAAATATATGGTCACGACTGTAATCCTGTATATTGTGGTATTTAGACCGTGAGGCATAGTAGTTTAAACCACACCTCAAAAAGGAAAACTTGAAATAAAATTCAAAAACCCAGTCTGCTAAGCTAGTTTAGCTGTCTATTCCTTCTTTATAGAGACGTGGGTCCCTTTAGAGTTTCACTTTATGGAAAAATGATAATTATGTCTTGTATTCGACTATAACATCACTGAAAAAAAAATATATAAAAACACCCAAAAAAAAAGTGAGTAAGAATTGAATAGGAACATAATAACTTTCAATGTTTGTGCATAATTCTTTCTCACTTTCTTTTAAGTTTTTGTAATTGAATTCTTTTGAAGTCTTTCATTTATATCAATAAAAATATTGAATTGCCAAAGGACTAGACATATCTTATAAAGTAATCCATACAAAACCTTTTCCGTTATTGATTTGGGATCGTCGTATCCCACCCACTGACTGTCTGAGTAAGCGTAGGGGCCGGCGTTTTCTTGTCTACCAGTTTTCCAGCGTAAACTCTTCACTACAAGAACGACAAAAATATTTTAATTGTCTTGATAGTTATCACTTGGTGAACTTGGAACACATATAAGAAAGAAAGAAGAGTGCAATTGTTTTTCTAATTATGTCCATAGAACAAAAATATTATTACTATTATTTTATGAAATACTACTTTGTTATTAGACGATATTTATTGTGATGATACGCAATGTCTTCGCCAATTTCGAACCGATTTCGATGATTCTAGTTACAACAGATAGGATTTATTCCTGTAGGGTTTCCATAGTAATTATGTAACGATCAAAATCATTTTAATTTTTTGCGGAACAAACTATTAATAACTGTAACTAACCTCTATAACAAATTTCGTAATAGGCCAACATTCCTGGTTGTTTCGTGAACTCTCCTGGTTCTCCGGGGCCTGCCGCCGGCGCCCCAGGTGCTTTTGCTGTTTCGACATCGGCGAGCCTGAACGATTGGCCATAAAAAGACAATCCGAGAAGCAGTTTTTTGGGATCTGCACCACCACTGATCATAGATTTTATGGCGTATTCCTATGAGATAAGAATGTTATTATAATATTACTTTTTATTAAATGTACATGCAGATGTATTTAAAATTAATACTATTTATTTTATACAAGAGTGATGCATTCAGCGATATTGTTGCTAAAAATGATGATGTTAGATTGGGAAAAAAGATAGGCGCCATCTACTTTTAACATTTGTAAAAGTCATTGGTTTTTGAGATATATCTACTACATCACATAAGCTTTGAGGATGTAGTCATCAGTATAAGCTACGTAAAGATTTTATTTAATTTAAATAGTGCATACATAATTATCTTCTTGAAGTTAGAAATATTTATAATTAACTGTGCACTGGTATATAATCTCAAGGTATCTTTCCTCCATGTGTCCCTCAAGGCCATAATGTTCTCGTAAAAATAGATTCAGATAAAAATACTTACTATGGAGTAGTAAGAGACTTGATCATTAGTCCGTGGTACCAATGGTGTATGATGTCCAGTGCTCTGTTCCCAACCGCCGTGGTAATCATATGTCATTGAGCTTAAAAAATCTGCTGCTTTAGATATGGCTGGCAAATCGTAGGCAACATCGATCACTTCTTTGTAACCCGATATTGCAACTCCAAGTTCCATTCCAGCACCATGTAATGCAGTTGATAGTTCCTGTATTTCAATTTATATCGTATTTATTTAAATAATGTGCAGATACCTACTACATTTTATATAACAATATCGTATTATTATTTTTTTGTTACTGTTATTTTGAATGAATTGTTTTGTAATCAACGCTAGAAATGGAATTTAAAATATGGATTGAAAATTATGATATATCAACTGTACTTTTTTGATTTCGAAATTATTAATTTATTGTTATAAAACAAAAGTACCTCAACAAATTTAGCAAAGTTTCTTTTGTCTGATGCTGCACCCTTTTTACAATTACTCTGCCAGCAAACTGGGTAATTCCAGTCCAGATGAAGGCCATTGAAATTGTGCATGCGTATAAAAGTCAGTAATTTTTCTGTAAACTTGGATCGAGCTGAAGCTGATGACACTAATCGGGAGTATTTATCGCCATCAGAATCGGTCCATCCTCCAAGGCCTAGGAGGACTTTCACGTCCTTCAAAGACGTTACGCGCTCGTATAAATCTAAAAACATATAATAATTAAGATAAATAAAAATTATAAAAGTAAAAAGGCTGGAAATTTATTATTGATAATATGTACGTGATAAATATTAGAGCAAGACTTTATGCAATTTCATTTGTCCATGTAGGTACCCATATTTCTGCCGCTAAGCGCTTGCTTGCGTGTCGCGTTCCGGTTTGAGAGACGAGTTATGGCAGTAAAGTTACAGCCCCACAGAAAAAGAAAATAAGATGGTTTTGTAACCAAGATCTTCATCACAATTCGGCAACACATGAATCATGCATCTGATTACCACCAAGACGACAATATACTAAACTCGTACAATAAAAATACTTAACTTAATCTTAAAATACTCACTATTTGTAAGATCTGCCCAAGGGTCAAACTCCTTTGCGACCAAATCAGTCGGAGACAGTGACGCGTAAGCGTAAACAACATGTGTGCAGAGTCTAGTATCAATATACTCCGGAACAAATTTACCATCGCCACGGCGGTAAAATGCCCAGCTCGTCATGTAGCATACCACTCGTTTGTCATTGTCTTTATCTAAATAAAAAACAAAAAAAAAATTTACTCGTTATTACTCTGTGTTAAATTTAATATTTAAAATCAGAAAGCAATAGATATTTACGTTTAATTGTACAGAATAAATTGATATCCGCCTTTATTAGTGAGAATACTTATATTTTATTTTTGATATAATAATATGCAATATACAAAATATTATATTAGCTATTTTTATATTATCTTCAGCATTAATGTAAATTGCATAGTTTGTATGAAAATTTTATATTTTTATTAATATAACAGAAAATTATAACACTTACTTTTTTTAATATCCCATGTAGATGAATACATTTCAGGGTTTATTAATGATTCCTTTTTATGGCTATAACTCCACTAAAAAAAATATTGATAATTACTTTCCTTGACATACAAAGAAAATACAATAGCAAAAAAATAAAAAGTGTCTTACTTTAAAATCGGTTTCGTATTCCCTTGATAAGAAACGTACAGCATCGTTAACGTTAATCCTTAATGTTTGTCCTGGAATACATCTCCTAACATCTTGGTGTCTATAAGAAAAGTAAGTATAAAAGCAGTATTAAAACAGCGAACAAAGGTAACTACTTTTTCTTTGATTTGTACTTGTTTGAATATGCTGCTCTTACCCACAGAACCCTGTAGAAGGATCATAAAGTCGATCTTCTTCGCAGACCATTCTATAATTTATTTTACCGCTACAAAAATGAAAATGTGCACAAGACTCTTCATCAGAAGCCAAATATGGTATATCAGAATCACAAGACCCGATTTTTAATGAAGATTGGCCAGACGGAACAGCCTCACCTGTGACAAAAATGTTTGTCTTAATTACTAATATTGTTATCTCTGATTCTGTACATCGTAATGATTTAGGAGTTTATTAGACACTTTTAAAAACTTGATACGTGTTTTGTCTATTATTTTAGTACAAATTTGCAAGACAATTAAATTTATTAATTTATTTAATTAATTTACAAGTAACAAATAAGGTTATCAAGTGAACAGATTGACTTATTACCATTTAAACTTGTAGCTATAGCGCTTAATATTGGAAACGCTGATCCACATAAACCACGGAAATCGTCCATGTCAAGAGCCCACGCGGCAGCACCAGCTAAACCAGATGTTTTGACGAATCGCATCTACAATAAAAATAATTAATAAAATTTCTGGACTTCATTACAATTTTATACTTGTCTGTTTATTAGTAATAAAAAGGTATTTGCCTTTTCTAAAATAGTATTAGGAGTATCATACGTAATCCATTGATTTTCAAACACAGCATAAGCATTCCCGGCCTCGTCAACATTGCTCATGCCTTTTCCTTCACGTTCAGCCATACATATCTAAAACACAATATTATATTATATATATATAATAGTCACTATTTTAATTTATAACATCTCTTACAAAATTAGTTACCTCGAAATAGGCCAACATTCCTTTAGTCTGTGTGTATTGTCCCTCTTCACCCCATCCACTAACATAGGCCCCAGGCGAAGCTTGTGTCGAATCAACTAATGTGTAGCTTCGACCAAATAAAGGAACACCAAGAACTAGTTTCTCAGCTGCCATAGAATTTTGTATGAGATATCTTACAACGAATTCCTAAAAATATAATAATAATCAATTAATTCCTTTCTACACCCATATCAGGACTGCTTGAACGTTGCTGTGTACGAGTATTTACTAATATCGTTTACGCACAATGTTGTCATATCTTTGGTCTCTAGACGATGCACCGGGGTCACGATGTAATGCGCTATGTTGAAGAGCTGTAGAGGGGGGCTCATCTTTTTTTCCGTAAGTCATATCCCACGCCTGAAGAACAGCATAATCAGTAGCCCCACTAACAGCACTTAAATCATAGCCATCTTCTATTTGGTATCTAAATGGCGGTAAAACGGTCGTTAAGAGAAAACCGTAAGTCGAAAATTTTTCTCTCATTTCGTAAAGTAATGATGTCAGCAAATCTTTTTCTTTGTCATCGTCACCTGTAAGCAAGAATTTACCTAAGTACGTAAAAAAATATTGAAATTTAATTTTTATTACAGAGTTTGAGTAGACATACCAGGATATGTCCAGTGAAGATCGAGTCCATCAAAATCGTGTTCTTGTAAAAAGCTTAAGGCACTGTCAATGAATTTGCTTCTACTTCTTGGGCTTTGTACCATTTCACTGAATAAGCGATCTGTGCCATCACCGCCCACACTTATAATGACTCGGATACCAGGTAAACGTTGTTTCAATCCAGTTGCAATGCGATAACCACCTGAAAAATACTGTTTTTAAAAAGCTGCATCAGCTACGAGTGTGTTAATGTCTACATGATTATAGGTAAACAGAGGTACCTTTTATAATGTCATAGTCTTCATTAGCTGGTATAATGGCATATGTATGAGGATGTATAACCGCAAATGCATAGTGGAGATGTGTGCATGACTTTGGTACGAGGCTCGCAGTAAATGCCAAAGGTGGTGCTCGATAAGCTGCCCATGACTCCAAGTAGCATACTACCAACCGACGAGAACCTGTATCCGTCGCTGTCTGTTGCATTTCTGAGTAAAATAGAATAACCATGGTAAACTAATATTTAAAAAAAATATTATGTTCATTAGTACTGTTGTATTTACCTTGAAGGTTGGCGTTACCATGGTGTAGCCGTTCGTCGTTCGTAGCGCTGTGGATAAACAAATTTTTATGCAATAAATATTATTATAATCTGACTCATATTTAATAAATATATAAAGATAGATATTACGAGATTATAGATTATTATCATCACCATTACAGCAGCTATTATCTGTTTACTGGGGAACATAAAAATCGTCTTGAACTACCTCATTTAATAAATGCCCTAAGCGATTTTCGAGTTTTTTTTTTATGGATGATAATGGAATGGTACCCCTGTCTACGCTGTCGGTATACACAGGTGAGGGATGTTAGGTGAGGATCACGCAGGTTAGCCCACCGTGACAGATCTAACAATAAATTAATCACGATGGTTTCCAGGGGAACCACGAAGAAGGCGACCTGACAGGGTTAATTGCTAGCAATGGGGATTAGTAGCCAATCTCTTCTCCCCCCGCTATTTTTAAGTTAGCTACTAAGAACTTAGTTATTTGAACTGTGTAATAAGTATAGCTTACTTGTTTAAGTAACTGGCGGCGCCGTAGAATTTATCCATGCTTTCTAAATGTTGTACTGTTGGTATATTCTCCACATCCTAAAAAATAATTTTTAAGTTAGTATCCATCCATGAAGAATGTGCGGCGAAATGTGAATATGTCATCATTTTATGTTCATCACAATGCCAATTGTCGGGCATATTAGTTCTCCGGCTATGGCGAACATCGTTAACAAACCAAATTGTGGGAAAATTTTACGTGTCATTTAACGTTTATCACAATAGTAATCGCCAATAAAATGTCTTCGAGTAGGTACTACCCTATCAATATTTACTTTTTAAATAAGATACAATCCATTTTACCTGAATAAATTTATACATGTTGGGATTTATAACAGATATTGGTCGTTTTTCGACTGCATCGCGTAAAGGCAGTCTGCCTTCTCTTTCTTCACGAAGACTCCTGTAGTAGAAATTTGCAGAAAATCAGTATATTTTTGTGATTTTTTTTATACAACTTAGAATGGCAAAAAGCTGACGGCCCAATCACTTTCCATCAGAAAGTGGTAATCGTCGCCTATAAACATGAGCAGTACCATGGACATAATAGATATACTGTTTCGCCCATGATACCCTCCATGCGATGCCATTCCTGAGGACTCAGGTGTTATTCCTTTGTATCCTGTAAATTCACGCCATATCCCACCCTTCAAACCGAAACACAGCCATGCGAACACAACTGTTTTACGGTTGAAACACGAATAGGACAGAGGTACACAAGCAAACGACTTTTGTACAAAGTCTCCTTCTGGTAGCCTTTAAAAATACTTAGAAATTAAAAAAAAATGATATCATTTTTTTTTTAATTTAATATCTTACTGTAACGGACATGCATATTAATAAAAATAATATTACCCTAATGGTACGCTTTCAACAGAGGCTCGGATGGGAGTTGCAATTGGCTCATGTTGAGGTATGGTTTCTACTGCGCTCCGTAGGAATGAATACGCATCAGTATGAGGGGAAGGCGACGAACTGATGCAAAAACAAGACACTATCAAAGCGGCGTGCTGAAACAATGTTTTTTCTTTTTCATTAATTTGCATTTTTAAGCGATTTGAAATGACAAACAAGCTGACAACTCATCTGATAAAAAATGGTAACCTTTATCCACAGACATGAACAAAAAATCACGAAATACTCTATGATATTCATAATTTTTTTATATTATTACTATAATGGTAAACAAACATACGGCCCGTCTAATGGTAAACGGGTTTTACTGTAACCTATTGACGCCTGTGACACCAGCGATGGCGTGCGCGCGTTTTTGATTTTAAGAAACCTTAATATGTCCTTTTTGAAGAATACCATGCTGTGGTCTCTAGAAAAACCTCGGCTGGAAGATTATTCCGCAGCTTAAGTGTTTGCGGGACGAAACTGCTTTAAAACCACACTGTTCGTAACCATTTCAGTTCTAGAGTGTGATGATGGATTCCCTGTCAATGGCGAACAGTGCGATAGTGAAAGGCTATATTTTATATTAGTATGTGATATTACTGAGAACTACGGTGTTATGTCTCCGTACCTACCCTGATAGCTTCTTCACGGTAAAAACTACTACCGAAGGAGATGAATTAATGATTTTGTGCGAAGTTATGAGAATTGTCGATGATCTTAGGCTTGCAAGCGGTATCGAATCCTTAAGTCTTAGGAGAGATTTTGCCTTACTTTGCGTGTTCTACCGCTTGTACAATGGATTGTGCTCACGGCCACTTTCTATCATCTTACAGCTCGCCATCGACAGAGAGTTCACTCTCATACCCTACAGCCTAAATGGTCGCGTACAATGCGGTTTCAGAGATGTTTTCTCCCACGAACACTGAGGTTATGGAATGAGCTGCTTGCCGAGGTTTTTCCAAGAGACTACAGCATAGGGTTTTTCAAAAGGGGAGTAAAGAGGTTTCTTCGGGGTCGACAACGCGCGCGTAATACCTCTGGTATTGTAGGCGTTCATAGGCTACGGTAACCGCTTACCATCAGGTGGGCCGTATGCTTGTTTGCCACTTCAGTGGTATAAAAAAATCGTCTATTAATTTTTTTGTTTGTTACCTCTCATTACTTTAAAATCATTAGTAGTTTTTAATTTTCTCGAACTTCTGGGGTTGATGATATTTATATCTACCGGATACATACTATTTTTATAATCTTATATAAAGTATAATTTACAGATTTGATACATCATACGGTCAGTGTCACTATTCAAAGCCCAATAAAATCCATTACAACATATCTAAGAACCTATAGGTAATACCTATATGTAACTACTTATAAACAAGAAAAATTCAATGCAGTGCGCCATTTGATAGGTACCTATCAAGTTTCAGAAGTATATTGAACAAAGGTTGGAAGGATGTTGACCTATCATTTGTGGAGGTACATTATTGAACAACACGAATAGATCGATTGCTCTGTAGACAATTAGATAATGCATTTATAGGTCCGTTAGGCCAACATAAAAAATCTATGTAAAAAATATCATCTATTATCTGGCCACTTTGTATATAAGGATGCCATTATATGGAGTATAAAAAAAAGATTGAAGATGCTTTTGTAGTTCTTATTTGCGGCGCCCGAATTGGTAGATTCGGATGTGTGGGCAGTTGACAGTTCGATGACCTATTGATCAAGTATCGCACTTCATCTTTGCGTAATTTGCATAACTTGACAGAGTCAAGAATTAAGATCAATACTTGAGTCTGGTTCAATACAGTTTACGTTTATTGTCAGTTTATACCTACATCCAATACTTTTGCATATTCAGTGCCAATGACCACATTCTGAATACTTGACCAAAAGGGTGATAAATTGGAAACTAATTGTATCGATTTCCTTTATTATCTTATGTCTCCTTAATATATATCCTTTATTATAGTATTTATTGCACTTTTAGTTATAGTCGAAATTAATAGGTATAAGTAATTATAATATATAAATTAAACATTATGATACGTATGTATCTATACTAATAATATTATAAAAAGTAAGACTTAATTGCTCGTTTGTTTATTTGTAATACATAAACATAAAATTACTTAACAAACATGAAAAATTCTTTCACCAAAAATAAAAAATAAATATTTTCAGCGAATAACATAGGCTATATTCATATTTTTTTTAATTAGAAAATTACAATAATATTACTCAAGAATTCTAAAATTTGTCTATAAAAGTTATTATCATGATATAAAAAAATAATGTGTAACTTATACATACTTATAGTTTACGAAAAAGATCATGAAGCTATATTCAATTATTATAGTTAAGTCACAATAACCTTTTTGTTTATATCAATCAATCATAATACAGGTTAAAACATTTGACAGAGAGAAGACATCCAACTAAATAGTTTTGTAATCAAGGTTGATTATCTTCTTGTAAATTCTTTAAATTATTCAAATTGAACATCATCATAATTTCTAAACGGAATTTTGTTTAGAAGTTATGGCGGATATGTAAATGCTAAAAATATGAAACATACTGCTCAAGTAAATTAAAAATACTAATTTATCTATCTACCTGTGTGAAACCAGGGCAGGTCGCTTTTCTATTATTATTTTGACTAGTTCTAACCGTTTTAAAAGCAATATTATTAAAGATTGTGTTCCACAAAATAATTGATTTCAATTGTGACAAAACAAATCATTTAATTAAAAAAAAAAACTAAAGTACTACACCTATTTTTATAAAATTTCTATAAGACTAATTAATAGTTTAAAATAAAAAAATAAACTTTCTTTATCTAAGGCTATATTAGATAAAAAAAGAATTTTTCAAATCGGATTAGAACTTAGATAATTTAGAAATTAGGTAACAAACACACAAAAATTCCAAACGAATTGAAGAACTTTCTTCTTTTTGAAGTCGGTTGAAAACATAAAATATGTTGTTGAAAAGTACTAATATTTAAATATCCCCATATAGAGGGGTATTAGTAAGGCCTCATCTCTTTTTTGGAAATTATTACTCCCATACCACCAGCGTAAACCAATATCTCAGGCGGTTTTTTTTTAATGTGTGATGATTGGTTATTGAATGGTAATCCCACCTGCGCTGGTGGGGCACCAGTGAAGGAAGGTGGTGGAGGGAGTAATCAGGTGAGCTCATCGTGACGAATTCAGTAGGAATCAACAAAGATCATTAAAATGAGGTCCTGCGTGGAACTTTACTGAATCAATAAACATCAAATTTGTCTTTTTCTTTTACACATTCTATACATGCAGGAGAAAGGAGATAAGAAATAATTTTTGCAGACCGAACTCTATTATGTAATAAATTTTGGCATTTAAAATAGTAAAAAATCCATGAAGTCATTTTAAGAATTTTGGTCTCTAGTATACTGTTCTAATAAATTATAGTGTTAAATAAGCGTTAGTACGTTGACACGGCTTGTTCGGAAAACAATAATTTGCATACAGGCTTCGAAGCCAGGTAGTTGTGCGCTGGGGTCATCGTCATCACCTCATCCCAACCAGTCCAAGGTATTTTGGTGCGACATTTCGCCAATCGATTAGGACCGCGGACCGAGACTTTAGTTTTTTTTTTCCACTGGACTTGGTAGGTAATCTGTTTTATATTCAATTTCAATATTATTAGTTTCTTTTGGACTTGCAGGATAAGATTTTATCGTTTATTCAACGTTGTTAAAGTATTAATAAGCGTTGAGGTAAAAAATTTTAATGGCTAGTTAAACAATTTTTATAGACTTACCTATTAAATCCATGTTAGGTATTAATATTAAAGTATAGAGTGCATTTGTTTGTATGCAGAGCAATCTCTATAAAATTCAATTGTTTCTGAAAGTAATTTTAATAAGAGAAATGGACACCTCGTAATATAATTTAAGATTTTTCAATAATACGATTCGATTAAAAAGAGATTCAGAAAAAAACAGAATTGTAAAGTAGGAGGTCTTATTTCAGTATATTGATAACCAATTTAAATTTATAATGAAACGGTACATAAAAAGTTTCGCATGTAAGCAATATCAGAGTATCTTCAGATAATTTTAGCGTTTATTTGTATATTGTTGTTTTCCGATTAAATTTACTTTATGAACTTGTGTTAGAGAAGATAGAAATACAATTAATACGTTCTCAAGTTCAAGATGTAGGAAGGCCGTCGTATGGTTGCAGTATCATTTCGTGCGCAACTCGCGTCCGCTTCTTTGCACGTGCATGCCATATATTGTAGACCAAGTATTTTGTATTTACTTGTTTAAATTAAAATCGATTTATAGGACTTGTATATATATAGTATTGGTGGTTATATACAGCTATGTGTACAAATACATCATTGTTAATAAAAAGAGACTAGAGAATTTTAAATAAAAGTCTGGATCTGTCTTCAGTCACAGATAAAGGCTCAAGAATGGCTATGGTCTGACTAAACTATTCATAAGTATTATTTGAGTTACTAATGTAAACAACAACCCAAGCATTTTTCTCCATCATTTTTATACTTAACTGGCAGTATCTCCATCTAGTACTATTGGCGTCCGAAGAAGTCTACCACAGTATGTTACATACTAATCTGTACCTACATAGCTACACGTACTAGAATAGTATTTAAGCACCGTCTTTTGGGTACCTAGCAATAAAATTTGGTGTTGTAATAGCGGTAAATAATGTGCCCGTATAAAAAGTGTTTTATCCAAAGTAGTTTCCGTATTCGGCATACTGATGTCTAGACTTTATCAACAATACTAAAAGGTTCTTACAAGTTGATATGGCATTTTTAGACCTTTAATAAATGCCGCTTGTAAATGCAAGGTGAACAAATGCCAACATACTGACTTCAGTAATCTATCTGTAAGGATTAAATCAACCCTGTCTTATTTGTATTCTATATATTATATATCACGTGGTACCTCATTAACCTGTGGAACTCAGTATTGATTTAGGAATGTGCTGTTACTATTTATAGAAGAAATTTAAAAAAATAGAGCAATTATTATTGCAAATACATTTTTTAATAAATTGTTGAAAGTTTTTAGATAGTAATATGTATGATTCCAAGCAGTCTAATAGTCATTTATTGAATTGTTAGGAACAGTAAGATAAATGGGGTGTATATCATATAATATATAGGGTAGGTCCCATGTAACGGATATATCGCATTTTATTACTTAAAAAATATGTCATGCATAAACAATGAGCCAAATACCAAATACTTAATTCGGTGAAAGAAATTTTGAACGGAGCATACCTACTTTAAATGTGTGGACTGTTCACATTCGCCGAGTTCTAAATATTGTAGGAAAATGCCGATGAACAAGTAGAAACAAATCAATGAGGTCAGTGAACCTTTAATTGATACATAAATTAATTGTTTTAGAACAGATTTTTCTAACAGTGTCTTAGAAAAATCACAACAGTAGGTAAGAATAATATTAAATTAATTTAAACTGCTTAGAAATATAAACCTTAATTAGCATAAGTATGTTACTTATTAGTAATTAGGAATTCTAATATGTACAAATATATAACGAAAATATTTAAATGTAACCAAATATATATTAATTAATATAAATTTATAGGTATATACACTGATACAATTTTTTTAAACAGATTCCAAAGAGGAGGCGGTTCTCAATTCGATTGTTTTATTTATGTTTGTTACCTCTTAACTTCGACATTTATAAATCAATTTAGAAAGGTCTGCAAGTATATTCTTTTGAATAAAAACAGTTATTCAAAAGGATATATTTGCAGAATGGATATATTTTCAAAATCGGGTTAATAGTTTAATTTTTAAAAGAACTGGTTTTGCTAACGATTGAAGCCGGTGTTTTCTTTTTTATTTTTAGAATTAAATCTTAAATAATAATAAAACAGAATTATGTAATAATATATTATTTACAGATTACCAGTATACAGTTTTAAAAGTAACAGAAGGTTTGTAAATGCTATATATAATTTCAAACTTATTAGGTACTTATTTTAAAATTATCGTTAATTATAGTTAATTTTAAAATAATCAGATGTAAAATTACTCACCCAAATAATATTTCGCCCCATAATGGGGAGCTTTTAAAACACAACAGCTTGCTTATCTGTAATACCAAAAACAAAAATATCAATACGTTATATTTGAATATTTTTTTTTTGTGTTAATTGAGAATAAATTTATTTTATTAATGGTCACTAATTGCATGAATTTAGTTTATTTACCTATTAATTATATTATTATCACAGGAAATGAACTAAGATGGTTTAGGACTCCTTATGGCTAGAGATGTCTGTATTTTGGTCGTGTGTGCCGGGCGACTGAGTGGACGGCGCGTTCGTCCCCTAGTGTTAAATATACTTCGGTGTCATCGTGCTGTTCATCTCGGATACATATACGTACAATTAAGTGTATACTGGATTTCGGACACATTATTATGTCCTAATGCAATATTTAAAAGCTATAACTACTATAAATATGGGACATAGAGGTCGATTCTGAAGCGTCATATTTTAAACCTATCTTCAAATTTAAAGCTTTAATTTTATTTCACATAGAAATGTTAATTACGACTATAAGGATCAATATAAACTGAATCTAAATAGATTTAAGTAAAAATTATTATTAAAATAGTTTGTGGCGGTCCATAAAATAGTACTTTTGCAAAAGTATCAAATTAAAATGTTAGTTGATTATTATTATTTGTAAAGTTCGATCAAGAAGTCACAACAAAAATAGTGAATTTAATATTAATTTTAGAGATAAATTTAGAAAATAGCGCCTAAGAATCGACCCATCTAGTGATTTTAGTTTTCTTCTCATATGTATTTGAAAATTCACTGATTGCGATAAAGTATCATGTCCTTCCCCATCCTATATAGATAGTACTTATATAACAAATTTCATAGAGATTGGTTAAGCTGTTAAGACATTAAGAGGTAACAGACAAACAAATTCACTGTCACATTTATAATTTTGGTAAAGGATAATTTCATTACAATTTTGACGAAAATTTTTGTACCCAATAACTATTCTTGATATGATACCGGTTTTCGATGATTTTGTATGATAGGTTTAATGACTCCTATTTCTAGGTATTTCTTTAATATAATTAATATAATATATCAATGTACAAAAAGTTGTAAATATTTACATGTGATTAATTTATTTTATAATAAGTTTTTATTAATGATTTAATATTTTTGGATATCAATGCAAATTTTTAGAATGTAATCTTATATTTGCCTACTAAACATAGGTATACTAGTTTTTACCTGTGACTTTGTCGGGATAAATTGCTTTGCCATATAAAACATAACCAATATTTTTTTTCATTCAAAATAATATATGTATATTATATATGTAACGATTAGTAGAGCCGTTGAGGTGCCAATAAGTAACAAACGAACAAATTTTCAGATTTATGGCATTATAATTTAAGATTGTTTTCTACAAAAAAGATTTCGAATATTCTTTTTTTATCTAAAAGGATATATTTTTGTAAATGGGACCCCATAGAAATTTTATCAAAATCGATCCAGTAGTTTAGTTTTTAAATCAAAATAACTGGGTTTACCACATCAATTACCATTTATTTTTGTGGAACATAATCATAATTAATTGAAGTCGATTGAAAAATAATAAACATTAAAAATTAAAAATAAATTAAAAGATTAAAAATTTTACTCTTTAATATATACACTTGGATTACTTGAAAAAAGTTGTTCAGTTTCATGAGTACTATACGATGGGTTTCCGTTAAATAAAATATATCCGGTAAATCTTATTTTTAATATATCTACGTATATTATTTTTAGAATTATTAAAAGTGTCTAACACTTTTGTATTTACTACTTTCACTTGTTAAACATATAGAACTACAATGCACTTCACTGACTTGGACAAACACTAATTTCAAATTTATATTTGTATCACTACAGGCACTGTTTATGTCCACTTTATAACATTTTGACACTAAACTTGCTATCAGTTGTCAATAGTTCTGTACCATCGTCAACCGACGGTTGCAATAGAAATTGGTAAGTAGATACGTACCTTACTAACGTGTTTATTATGTGAGGTACTTAAGTACTCGTGAGGTGTATTCAACCAGTGTCATTGCTAGAACATAAATTATTGAATTTTAGATTTCAAGCAATTAAATTGAGACAAGCCTAACCTATATATACTGGTACATAATATTTACACCATAATAAAATTAGGGACAAAATGTCTTTAATTTTTTTTCACATATGTGCTAAAGAGAATGGAAATAAATAAAAGAATTCGAATCAGTTATTTTTTTTAGAATGACGAGAAAAACACTGAACTGTTTTCAAGGAAATTTAATTGTATATTATGATTAAGTAGTTTTTACAGCAACTTCAAATTTACTTAATTAAACTTTAAAATTATACTTTAAAGTTTTGTCTGAATAACTCTAACAAATGATACGATAGCTCGATATCTTCTTAGTGTTTAGTCATGTAAAACATAATGGTTAATGATGTAGTCTTTACATCATTATGAAAAAAATCTCATGAGATTATTATACGATACTGTATCATCCGTTAATTGTCCACTGTTAAACAGAAGCCTCCCCCATAAAGGTGGTTTCGCTAGGTAGTTTCCATGCTTGGTGGGTATGTTGGCAACCACTGTGAGATTTTGGTGATGTTTTAAGAGGAACGTTGCTGCTTATCCCTCTATCACTAAGTAACCTTATTTGTCTCTTACAACACCCACGGGAAAGGAAGGGGTGGATCCATTCTATGCCGAGACCACACGGCCAATAAGGTTAATATTAATAAAAATCTAATAGAGACCATTAGTTAACATCATGGATATTGATATAATTTAAATTAAACATTTATTATTACTACGTATGTATATTAAAAAAAAAGGTAGGATAAAAATCACGTGTCTTTTTAAGATTTAAATTAATAAAGAAAAAAGTAATGGGAAGATATGATAGTTTAAATAACATATTTAGGGTTTTTTTTATAACCATGAGCGTGAAATGGTATTCCTGGACAGAAAAACAGTGTTTTTTGTTTATTGTTAGGCAGCTTGTTTGCCATTCTAAGTTACGTAAAAAATAGAGAGAAAAATTAAAACAAGTAAATATATAAACAGTTGGCCACCTCTGTCAGTGTTTTATCATCTGGTGTCGTTGCAGACGTGCGTACGGCACTGTTCCTTGGAGTGCCGATGCGCTGGCGCATTGGGCGCTACAGTAATTATTATGCACGTTGCGTTCCTTCCTTTCTTCCCGCCAATGTCAGCAGCATTGTTTGGCACGACATCGACGCCTAACACTACCTAACTGTATACCCACTAAGTGGACCCTGAAATTGGCATTGCTCTTGTTTTATTCACAAACTTGACCTGGACGCCTGACCTAGCTGACTTTTCTAAGGAAGTTATTCAGTCTAAGTGTATGAATGCGCTTTTATTTAGTGTTTTATTTTATAGGTATAATGTGATCTGCGCTTAATGATTAAAAGTGGTTTTATCATGGGTTCGTACCAGTCTGGCATGTTTGATAAATGACAAGAATTGATAGGTATAAAAAATAGACACATATAAATTTGAAAGTTGTTTGTAGTTTTATTTCTGTATTACATTAGTTTATTCTATGACTTTTGGCTGCAGTGTCCCAGTCTTTCCCGCACTGCAATGTTTCCTTTCCTTTCCCACATAAATTCCTTATTCCTCTCATTTACTAATTTCCTTTGCGCATTTCCAACGATCCCTTCCTTTTTTCCTCAATCCTTTCCTCCGAACCGTAGATGGCGGAAGCCACCAACAAATGCATTTCCAAAGAGGCAGGCGGCGGGTCGTAAAACTATAAGCTAAATCCTTTAGTAATATGAATAAAAACATATTACGCCGACCCCAAATAACAATTGGAATAAGGGTAGGAAGATGATGATTCTATAAAAATAATTACTTAAATTTCACTTTTAAATTTTAATTTTTATTATGTGATCATCATTAATTAAAACTATGGAATGCTTCTGAGCTGCTTGCATCTACGGATTCTTTGCCCCGTAATGAAATTAAGGATCGGCCTTCTATTGGACTATGTTTGTCTGTAAGACGTCGCCACTTGAAAACTTTTGTTTGAGCCATACTGCAAAAAATTGATGGTATAATCATATATTGTGTGTCTACGTTACTTATATACTCATAAGTATGTTTGTGAATGCCTATTCAGTGCATTTTAATAATTAGGATTCATCTTGATTTAGAAGGTGTGGAATTCTCTGTTCAAAACAAATTTAATAGTCGGATTTTTGTGGCCTTTTTATACCACCTTTATCATTGACACGTTTCCTTGTTTTACTGGGAGTGACAAATAAGCTGACAGCCTACCTGACATGAAAATCGTGACCACTACCTGTACATGTGAATAACGTATTGCATAAATACTATAGTATAGGTTGTGTTGTATACTTTGGTTACCACTTTCGTTGAATTAGGTGTCATGTCTCTTGTTTTAGTAATAATATTGGCTACTTTACTTTCAGCCTAAAAATACACGCATAGCTTTTTCGCGACAGAAATTTAAATACCGAAGACGGTGATATTTACAGTCATTGACAAGATTTTATCACCGGCTCACTAACAGACAAGATGCAAACTAAGTGTTAGTAGATAGATACGTTTTCAAAGAAATAGCAATATCCAGCAAGACGTTGGATATTGTTATTTTTAGCAAGCGGTAACTAAAACTTATCTACCAACAGACTCATTGCGTTGAAATAATTTAAGTACTTATATGTTATTAGTGACGACTATCGGCATTTGGTAGAACTTTGACGCATATTGATATTATTAGAATAACTTTACTATAATCATACCATCAACCAGAGGGAGACTTTGTACAAAATTCGTTTGCTTGGACACCTCTGTCCCATTAGTGTTTCTACCGTGAAACAGTTGTGTTTGCATAGTTGTATTTCGGTTTGAAGGATGGTATATGGCAGTGAATTTACAGGGTACAGTGGAATAACACCTGAGTCCTCAGTAATGGCAACGCATGGGGGGTATCAAGGGCGAAACAGTATACTCTGTTATGTCCACGGTACTGCTCATATTTATAGGCGACGGCTACCCCTTTCCATCAGGTGGGCCATCAGCTTGTTTGATATTTTAAGTTGCATAAAAAAATCATAACAAATATAGATGATTTTAGAAGAAATACTGTGAAATTCATCGTTGATCGTAGCACATACACTGGTTTTCAAAGACCTAAAACGTAAAAGAAGTCGCGTATGTATCAATTGCTTGTTTATCAAATGTTTTATGTATTTTTATTATTTATGTATTTACTTTTTCTTATAATTACTTTGTTAATAAATGGTTTCTTGTAACAGTATCTATAATAAAAATATTGTTCAGTTTCTATACATCTCATGTAAATTAGTCTCTAAATAGCCATAACTAAATAATATTTGTACAAAGTCTAAGTGTAAACAATGGATAAGTCATTGTAATTGATGTGAATAGTACCACTTTAAGAAAGATTTAACTCCCGTTAAGTACATACAAAAGAGGAGATGAACTGTGTTTGGGTTAACTTGGTTTACGTAGTTTATTTTCATCACATATACCTACTCATGTTACCTACTGTTCCGGATTATAGTGCCCTTTCAAAGTTGCTCTAAAGTCTAAAGGAACCAGTTTTTGTTTACATTTAAACTAGGTCTTGTGAGGAACAAGTGCTATGTGTATTTACAAGGGTAGAGGCCTCCGGGTGCATCACGAAGATTCACGATCAAGTTCAAGGTGGGCCGTTGGCATTTTGGGTGATTCGTCAATGGGTATGAGTGACAGCAATCGTCGCCCACATATATTATTATAGGCTCTTGTTAATACTAAGGTATCGATATGCAATTAAATACAAAGACTCTATTGTTTCAATTTCACGGAACAAAAATGTATGTAAATACATCCAGCAAAGGTGAATGACTAATTAATTGATTTTACTTATTTATACAACGCAATATGAATCAGGTTTATAATTAAATTCATATCTATCTACTTTTTAAGATTTATTAAGATTAGGTAAATTTAGTAATTTAGTTCAATGTAAAATAGTCAAATTTAAATATGAATCTTAAATATTGAAATCCTAGGTTTAATACTCGTATTTAAAAAGATTATGCTGCTATATTTTTAGTCTGCCATTATTATCATATTATATTCAGATATGTTCTGCAATTATTATATTATGTAAATGAGATATAAAACCGGATTGGGTCACTAATTATTATTCCATTTTTCCATGGAATACTTTCTCAGTTGTATACATAAGGAAATGTGGAACAGAAAAAACCCACAGATAAAATGTAAGTTCTAAACAAAGTAGCTATTATTATGAATTAAAAATAATACATTCGACTTCAACGTAAGTATCCACTTTAACGAATAAATGACAATAAATTACGCTATTAGTTTGTCCTTTATATAAAACTGGATAATGCTTTATTAACATAGTAATATACAGGCCAAAGAGGATATTATATTTTTATGTATAACCATTGGCGTAGGTACTAATTTGATTAATAACTTAATTTTAAAGACGATTATAAAATATTGTTTCAAATAATATGATTTGTTGTAGGCACAGTAATTGGTACTGATTAAGATGTAGAAAAAGTTTGTGTAGGTAAGGATGTGAAATTTTGTGTAATTTCCAGTAGTAAATATTCCTTCTATGGGACTAAATACTTAATATAATTTTATTTCAAGATATCTATTTTAATCTCAATAGTACTCTACTCGTATTTATCTCGATTACATGAAATGGATATCGCGAACATGTTTGTAAATTAATTCCAAATTTCATCAAAGAAAAATTCAGATCAAAACGGTTATACATGCATATGTATATATGTACAGTAAATATATACGATTCCTTGACTTTTTTAAACAAAGAATGGTTGTAAATATGCATTTAGCTATGCTGACGTAAACCTATAATGTCTAAGTTCTAATAAAAATATTATATATAAGATCATGTGCGTTGTATAACAAAATAGACTAATAAGTACGTATTTTGTGGAGAATGAGATAAAAAAGACAGATGAGATGGGCAGAAAAAAATAGCCACGGATACAACTATTAACCGATGATGGGATGTAATTTTTTTATCTTTTCCAAGATGACTGAAGTCCCCTCAAGAGACATAAGTTCGTTTGTGTAGATACTATATTTTTTTCATGTAAACACACTTTATACATGTAATGTTTTTTTTTCGTATAAACTTGTATTCGTTATTGAAATTGTATATGTTTGGTAAGTATAAATCCATAAAAAATAAAAATGTTTAAATCGAATCTTATTAAAATCTGTTATAGTGCCATCTATATTTTTGTAGTTGTACTTGTAAGTTGTGATAGCTTTAACTTAAATCATTTAAGGAAAATCAAATCAGTTTAAATGTTTTTATATTTATTACACAGATGTAGCTAGTGTGATTTCAATGTCATCATCAATACAAAGTATAAAACAAAGTCGTTTCCCGTCTGTCCCTATGTATGCTTAGATCTTTAAAACTACGCAACGGATTTTGATGATAGAGTGATTCATGAGGAAGCTTTATATGTATAATACATGTATAATATAATAGCAATAATTATCAATGTTTCTACTAATAATTTGAGAGGTTTCTAATGTGATGTGATGTAATGTGCCCCCGTGCGAAGCTGGGATGGGTCGCTAGTTAATAATATACTAGGTAGAACTAAAATTGAGTTCACCAATGTTTTTATGATATGAAATTATCTACGTATACTCTACGGCAAAATTATAAAAAGGAATGATTTTGAAACTCTATACAAAGCGATATTATGCATTATTGTTTTTTTGAGGCTTTAAGTTACTTTTAATATATGAATGAATAACAACAATAATATTTCAAATATGTAAGTACTTAATATGTACTTATATAGACTAAAATTAGTATTTAGGTACGTAAGTTAGATAATCGATTTTATATCCTAACAATATTATATGTATAGGTAAATCAAGATTCTGTCATATACCCTCACTTATTATTAATAAACATGGCACAATCAATTTTATATTTTAAATTATGGGGCCCGAATTGTAGTTACACTTTACTCGCTTGATTGGGTTATATTTACTGACAGAAATTAGGTGTAATCTCCTCCAATCCAATATGCTCAACATAACAATTAAAGTCATCTGCAAGAATACTACTGTTTCATTTTTGCTTCTGCCTCCAAATAGTTATAAATAATACTATTAATAACGTTATTTTAAAAAGAGCAATTTTTTAACTTCAATTTCAGTCCTTTCTACTACCAAACAGTTCGCAGGCTGTGTTCTGATCGAAGATAAATTACTGGATACTATGTACGACTCAAAGTTTTCGTGTCATAAAGAATTGGCATTGTCAACGTCTAGTACGTTAGTTAGTACGTCTAGTATAGTAATGTTATTGATGTTGTAAGAGCTTATATGAATTTGGTGGGCATTTACCATCAACCAGACTGTATGGTTACAGTTGTGATAGTAAATGGTAAAAAGTGATAGGTTTGTACAGTTATTTATTCATTTTATAAACATAAACAAAATAAGAAAAGTAATTTAAACAGTAGATTTTACAAAAAAAAAAAAAGACTTCGATCGCGGTAAAACCAGTTTTGTTATTTAAAAATTAAAGTATTTATTTGATTTTAATAAATTTTTTATGGAACTAATCTGCAAGTATATCTGAGTATCCTTCCAGATGAAAAAGAACTTTCCAAATCGGTTTATAAATGATGGAGGTATGCGGTAACAGATATAAAAAATACAACTGAATTGAAAACCTCGTCCATTTTTTTAAATCGGTTGAAAATTCAATATTTTTCTTACCATATAAGAAAACAATATATTGCGACAATTTAACCATTGAGATAAATCTCAATACGTTATTATCGAAGCTGATTCAGTGTTGAGAGTTGAAATTAAACAGTAGATAACATGAAATAGTTCGATTGACAACAGACATCGATAAGTATTTTAGTTGCCGAGTAAAATACATTTATATAAGACGTTTATTTTGCTCTAATTTTTTTTTAATAATATTTATTTAATATGGCGCCGGATAATCGTCAGTTATTTCTAAGTAAGCGTGTAGTTACTGAAAACAAGATTTTTGACGGTGGCATTCTAGTTAAAGATGGTGTGATAGAACAACTTCTTACAAGACAAGAAGCCAATAATTTCGTCACTGAAAACGATGGCAAAGTTGAGGTAGATCATTCTATAGATTATTACTTTGATGAACGAAAGGAGCAAGGTGTGAGCCTAGAAGAATGGTTAAGTGACCTCATAATTATGATGAAGTCACCTTCAGTCACGATAAAGACCCAATTAAATCCATAATACTGTACCTTTAGTGTAAAGTGTTAAATTCAAGTTTAACCAATTTATACAGCTTTATAGTATATGTTGTGAAATCGTTGTGTCCCGCCATGAAAAATAATAGTCGCATAGAAAAGGCCACACCTACCTTTCCTATGGGTGTGGTAAGAGATGACTTAAGGAACCTAATAGTAGAGGGACAGCGTTCCTCTTAAAACATCTCTAAACTACGGTAGCCAAATTGCCTGCCAAGTGCAGCAACTACTGGCAAAACCCCTTTTTGGGTAAGGCTTATGGTCAGCTATGGACAGGTAACGCCTGAAACAAATTTACTGTTGAGGTATAAAATATGTGAGCTATGTTTCTAAATAATAAATAATGCCGAATAAAACGAACTCATGTTCACTCTTTTAAGCGAAAAGCATATAATTATATTAAATATTGCGTAATTGATGCAAATAAATCGCATATAATGTATAAATAATGGTAGAAATAATTTATAAATAAATAAAGCGTTACCTGCGTACACTGGTATAGAAATTAATCTACAGACATATTAAGATGTCACCTATCTGTGTACTATCTCAAATTTCATTCAAATCCGTTCAACTCTTTAAGCATAATTGAATAACAAATATACAAGCACCTTAATATATTTTCACATTTATAATACTGGTAGGTTTACAGTTCAGTATACTTTCTTTAAGGAGATGGATACACTTTTATTAATTTGGTAATTTTATAAGTTATACCATAAGTGAGTACCTAGTATTAAATTCATTTTAGGTAGCATCCATTTCAGGTGATTGACGGCGGTGAATTAGCTTTACTTGCTGGCGTAGTCGACTCACACGTGCACGTGAACGAACCCGGTCGTACAGCATGGGAAGGATTTCGTACCGCAACAAGTGCTGCAGCCGCTGGAGGCATCACCACCATTGTTGACATGCCACTGTATGTGTATTCATAAACAAATTTGTAATCTAAAAACCTACACCAATTAATTAAAAACCGAATTTTCTCCTTTTAGGAATTGTTTTCAAATTATGATTTTTATACAGCTTTTTTGTCATGACAAAGGAAAGATATTATTGTGGTATTTTAAGAATATCAATAAAAAATAAGTAATATAAAACACAGTAAAGAAAGTCTATCGTTTGTTTGATGTTTTTTATGACTAAACTACAGAATCGATTTACTTTGAAAATGGAATAGATCGACATAATACATTGATATGAAAATTGTTATGTGGATGATATAGCAGACTCTCATAATACTAATGTTACAAATTTCAGGAATTCAATACCACCAACTACAACTTTAAAAAATCTGAATACGAAAGCATCATCAGCTGTTGGAAATGTGTTCGTAGATGTCGCTTTCTGGGGAGGAATTATTGTAGGAAATCAGGTAGGTGCCACGCTTTGCATTTTTATAAAATATTTTTTGCATAAAATGATTTTTATTTGTGAAAAAAAATTACAGTAACTTTAAACTTTTGAATATTAATATTATTAACCGTATTGAAAATCTCCTGCTATTTTTAAACTGGTTAAAAAAAATAAAAGAATGAAGAACCTGTTATTTTTATAAGTCGCTTACTAATGTGAAGCAATTGTAAATTTCCATATAAAAAATTTAAATTTTCAGAATTCGCTTCAAGACATGGTAAAGGCTGGAGTGGTTGGATTTAAGTGTTTCCTTTGTCCTAGCGGTGTCGAAGAATTTCCAAATGTGGACGCTCGAGACCTTGAACTTGCTTTTGTGGCACTCGAAGGGACAGGATCAGTGTTAGCAGTAATTATGTTATCTAAATACTTACTGTGCACAATATACTCGTACATATTACATAATATTTACAGAATTTTTTTTTATTTTAAATTTAAAAAAATTACTGGTTAGTTTTTTTTTATACAACTTAGAATGGCAAACAAGCTAACAGCCCACCTGATGGAAAGTGGTAACCGTTGCCTATAGACATGAGCAGTACCATGGACATAACAGAGTATACTGTTTCGTCCATGATTCCATTCCCCATGCGTTGCATTCTTGAGGACTCAGATGTTATTCGTCTGTACCCAGTAAATTCATATAAATAGTGTTGTAATTTTTAAGTTATATATAAGTAGATGTGGGTATAGATAATATTATATATTCTATAAATTCATAATTATTTTGATCGTGTGTCTTTTAAATATTTTTGTAAAAGAGTTTTTTTTATATTTTTACAGTTTCATGCAGAAATTGAAGAAGACAATGCTACTATAAAAAATAAAATTAAAAAGAAAGGTAAGGTACAGAAGAAAAATATAAAAATTCAAAAGCTTTTGTAGTAGGTATAAATAATGAGTAATAAGTATACGTATTATATTTAGTTTTTAACGCTTAAGGTTATTTTTATTTGTTATTGTTAAATACTTTTTACTGTTTAAATTATAGATTAAATTTATCTACGAAAGTGTTTATTATTAATAAAGCTATTCATCTGTTTAATCATGAAGACTGAAAACAAAATACTGTATTTGGCTTGAAATATTTAATGAATTTTGTAATTTTAGATCCAGAGGAATATACAACTTATTTGGAGTCGCGGCCACCGTCTATGGAGTTAAATGCCATATCACTAGTTAAAAGTTTTGTTGAAAAGACCGAGTAAGTGCGTTAATAATTTTATTTATTTGCGGAATTATGTTTCATAGTGAGACGTTACTTAAAAAATCTTCTTTATGTATGTATGTATATGTATTTCTATAAGTCTGTACAAATAAAATTCTGTACATATACATATGAAATAATGAAATACATATACAAATAAGGTAATATTATGGTATTGTGTAGGGTTATGATCCATATTTCCTTATTTCAAACGAAATTGTATCCACAATACCTAATAACACTTTATAGTTTCACTTTTGGGCATAGATCTTTCTTCACAAGAGAAAGCATAAGTCTTCTATTATGCAAGCCAAGCGGTTTCATATAGGGTTTCATTTTAAGTTTTTTTTTCTTGTATTGGTATATTGTGTTTTGTTACCTTTATTCCTCCATACAATATTCTGGAGATGAAAAGCTGTGGTGATCATTGTACTCTTATTTCACCACCTCACACAGGATTCTATCAATGGATAGTAGATAGCACTCATAATTAATTTATTATTGTAGTGTGCGAGTGCACATAGTCCACGTATCTTCAGCGAATGTAGTACCGTTGTTAGAGGAAGCACGGCGGATAAGGTTAGCTGCTGGAAACAAATCCTGGCGAGGAGGCGTCACCGCAGAGACTTGCCATCATTACCTGACGCTTAGTGCCGATCAAGTCCCACGAGGTTGCAGCGAATACAAGTGTGCACCACCTATCAGGGACCGTGACAATAAGGTGAAATTCATTAATCCTCATTATAGCGAAATATCAATGTAGATATCTACGTGTAACATAGGATATATTTTATTTTTGAAAATTCTATCTACCCGTGCGTAGCCAGGCCGGATCGCAGTTAAAATATATAGTCTCTGGTTGAACTGAAATGATCTGAAAAGATTGTAAGTCTCATTCTTAGACGTAAGCCGAATTTTTAAATATATAGTGTTCCTTTTTATTCCAAGATACGGCAGATATTTGTATGTATATAGTGTGTTAATTATATCATATAATATTTAGAAATATATAAAATAGAACAACTTAACAGGAGAATATGAGAATAAATATAAAGATCATTCATTACTGGATACAGTACACGTGATCGTTCTCGTCGTATGACGGCTCTTTTTACTATTGCATTCGGTACATTTACATCAATAGATTATAGAATATTTATTTTGTTTCTGATAAAATATACTTTCACAGGAGAGGTTATGGAAATATTTATTAGAAGACAAACTGGATATGGTGGTGTCTGATCATTCGCCTTGCACTCCCGATCTCAAGTGCAGTAACAATTTGGAAGCGTGGGGTGGAATTTCTTCTGTGCAATTTGGTAAAACTTGTAATGATTATGATTGCAATTTACTAGAATGTATGCATTCATAAATATAAAAATTAAAAATTATTTAATGAAGAAAGGTAGCGATCGATTACCTATCAAAGAATTCGCCATTTGTCATCTGAATTAAAATGAGATCTTAAATTACATGAGATCGCGGTCACAAATTAAAAACTAAGTGTAGTCATCTAGTTTAAAATTAAGTTGTTGAATATTCATACAGTATTTTTCTTAGGTTTATCTTTATTCTGGACAAACGCAAGTGCCCGTGGTTTGGATCTACGAAGTATCAGCAAATATTTGAGTTCTAGTACGGCTCTTCTTTGCGGTATACAGGACCGTAAAGGAGCAATAAAGCCAGGTCTGGATGCTGATCTGGTGTTCTTTGATCCTGATTCTACATTTACAGTGACTTCAGAGATTATAAGACACAAAAATAAGGTAACTACTATGAATTTTCTTATTATAATTTGGACAACTTAATTGGACGCTCTATATAGTTTAGAGGAATCAGAAAATATAACCAAGGTACTTAGAATTTCAGAATACAGATGTGCTTTGTTTAAAGAACCAGCCCCCCCCCCCCCTCCACGCCGGGAAAATTATTTTAAATACGGCAAAATTGAATAATTTAAAAAACAGAAACATAGAACACCATCAAACAATTAAACCACTATTTAAAGTTTTTTCCTCGATTTAAAAACATTAATATTTTATTGGTGACAATTTCTAATTCTGTATTCTATATATATCTTATAGTTCCTTTAGGTTAATTTTATACATAATAATGTTCTTAGTTATTAATGTTTGTTGATATTTTCAGCTAACGCCATATTTGGGCAAAGAACTGCAGGGTGTGGTAAAGCAGACTTACCTCCGCGGGCAGCTAATATACGATGGGTCAGATATACTGGGAGAACCTAAAGGAAACTTATTGTTAAATAGTTATTAATATTTACAATACACTTATCTCCAAATAGCTAATAATGCCCAATGAGGTTATAATAATATATTACCTAAACGTATATAAAAATATTATGATTTTTTAAAAAGGATTACATAATTTTTGTCACATTGCGTTGTTTTTGTTTTACATATATGGTATGTATATGTATGTATATATGTATGTATACCATATATATACCTCAAATATAGAACCGTTGACACAAATAATAAGAAAGCCCGCTATTTATTTTTATTTGACCGATTGCTTTTAAAATCGATATCTGAGGATCCGTATAGACTTCAAATATGGATTCGATGTCTGAATTATCATAATGACCGCTATTTTTATTTATAGTGACAAAAATATTTATTTGATTAAGGATTAATATAATAGCATTAAAAAATTAAACTTAAAATAAATGTTTTCACATTTAGTCAATTAGGTATAATTAATTAACTCATATTTTCCATTGCAATACGTAGGTATTTCCAAAAGCTTGCATAAAATTAAAATGAGTGCCATTTTGATTATTTTTAACATCAATACATGTTTTAAATCTCCAAAGATTCTGAGATATTTGTATTCAAAGAAATCAGTAAAGTATAAAGTATTCAAAATGGCTGTTAATTCTAGTGACATCATCCGTCCATATTTATAGATATATATCCACAAATACCGATTTTCAACCTTTATTTCAAAATTTTACAAAGCAAAATTTTTTTATATTTTTATAATATATATATATATATATATATATATATATATATATATATATATATATATATATATATAAATATTAAGAAATAAATAATATAATTAAAATATAAATAAAGTTACATTTTATAAAGGATTATTTATTCCTAAAAAGATTTTAAATTTCTAGCTTCACATTATTAACTTAATCTAAAGTAACAATTTTTAATCTGGCAACATTGTTGCATACACAATTATAGTAATCCAGGGCCGTAGACCCGTGTTTACGGTAGGGCAAAAAACTTTTTGGTAGGCCATAAGCTATAATTGACTTCAAAAAAGCAAATCTGTCTAATTTTTTTAGGGTCTTTCATTTTAAGGTGTAGTTAGAGGAAGGCATTAAAGGCACTGCCCTTCAATGCCTTCCTCTAACTACAGCCCGGTGTTATCACATTTTTGTCCCATTTTTGTGATTGCATTGCCAGTCTGTTAGTACGAAGTACATTGTACTAAGTCTGTGGCATAATCACTACATTATAAGGGTAACATTATTTTGTTTGTCAAATGTCATTTTTGTAACCGTCGGTATTTCGAATTCTTATAATTTTTTAATTAAAATATTTATTAGTGTTTTAGTGTAATATTAATCGAAAAGTTGAAAAATAAATGAATATCATAGTCGTGGTGTTTAATTTTGTATAAATTTGGACCAAAAGTCGTAAGTTGTTATAATTTCTTCTTGTCACTTAATTTTGACTTTTGTTTGACATTAGGAATTAACCTCAAAGCTTGGAAACTTGTTCAAACATTTGTATAGTATTTTTATATAAAAATATTTGAGATGTTTCTAGATGCCGAGTATAATAAGCAATACTGTTGATACTCATTTAATAGAAAGTGGTAAAATGCAGTTGGAGTGTTTAGAACTAGCTGGCCGTACGCTGGACCGGTATATAACCGCTGATAATTCGCGCCCTTCTTTCTTGGAGGTTCGTAAAATAACAAATTTTATAATTTATGTAGAAGTATTTTAGTCTATAAATATTTTTTCTCATTAATTCTTTTAAAACACTAGATAACTGGAATAGCTGCATTAAGAACACCAACATGCAGTGGCTTGAATGCTGGAGATTACAGAAACCTTGCAGCTATACTAAAACATCCAAATTTATCACAGTTGAAGATTTTAAACAAAGTTCCATTACCACCTGAAATAATGGAACATTTTGCTCGTATCCTTTTCATAAATTTCTTCGATCATTTTTATATATTTATTATTGTTACATAGTACTCTTTATTGTTTCTTTTAAAAGACTACAGTAGTAAATTTATAGATACAAATAATTACAAGAAATTATCACACTGAGCAAACAATAGGCAGCCTTGTCACAAAAATTCTCTTCCAGCCAACTTTTGGATGGAGATGGTTAATTATATAAGTAGTTTGTTCAGAGACATGATTAAATTCTATCATTGTGAATACATATGGAGATATAACAAATGTAATAATGTTAATATATATATTTTTACTTAAAATTAAATATCTAGACACCTAGATAAATATATAAAAAAATATAAATACATATTTATATTAATTATACATAATCTATATAAACCCATTCTGGTCTCACTACTGGGCACAGTTCTCTGTTTACAAGAAAATGACATTAGCTTACTCTTACCACTATGTTCAAGTGGATAGGTATATGATTTAATATGGGATTTTAGAGTTACTTCTTACTCTATTATGTTGTGCTTTGTTCTTTTTATCACCACTAAAAAAAAAATGAGTTATGGTATTATTATGATATATCAATATTTAAATAAACAGAGGTATTTCCTTAATATTAGTTGTCAGATATGCAATGTCACTGTTTAATGGGTGTATTCCCAGAAATAAGCAGAGTTTGGCTCGCAATAGACAGCAATATTTATGTGTGGGCTTTTGAACATGGCAGCGATGTGGCATACTTTGATGGATTAGGAGAAACTATAGTCAGTGTTGGTTTGGTGAAACCTAAGACTGGAGTGTTTCAGAGTTTTGTAAAATATTTACTTGTGTTGACCACAACAGTTGAGATTGTTGTATTAGGTAAAATGTTTGATATCTTCTTTGATACTTATTATTTTTTTCTTTTATTGCAGCAGGTATTTTCTAGTAAATAATGATGATTCACTAAGAATATGTAAGTAATAAATAATAATAATGATGTGGACCACAGTTACAAATACAATTAATCATAATTACAAATATTTATTTAGAAATATATTACTGGGATAAACCATATTTTATTTTGAATATTTTGTTCATGTTTTATATGTGAGAAAACACTTATTCAAACTTTGTTAAGACCTGATTTGCTTCTGTAAATATAATTAAATAAAAATTACTAGATCTCTAACTTCAATAGAATAATATAATTTTATAGTTTTCAGCAACTGTAAAAACGAACAGATTTTCAATTTAATTTTTTGGGTGTTTGTATATTTTACAAGATTTATTTGTGAGTTTTTGAACTAATTTTAATCTTGTAAATAATAACATTTACTTCTTTTCTGGTCCCTTATTAATTTTATTCCAATTGAAGTAACTGTTTATTTTTTGTGGAACAAAATCTGAAAAATAATTATTTCCTTGTTAGTATTAAAATATTATTAACAGTTTGATTTAATGAAATTCAAATACTTCACAACTCAACTGTCTAGGCTGAGATTATTTTTCAATTTTAGAGTTTCTTTAAAAATATTCTGGTTAAATTGTTGCTTATATACTGGTTTATTATATATTAAATTATAGAGCATTTTTATTTACAGGTGTAACATTTTCTTCAAGTAAAAATGATACTTCAAGTGAATTCCAAGAGATACATTTAGTCCCTGAACCAGTGTTTGTGTTACCAACTGATGGTGTGTCTATGATGTGTGTAAAATCTAATGCTAAAGGACGCATTTTTATGGGAGGAAAGGATGGATGTCTTTATGAAATAACATATCAAGTAAGAAACATTACTTGTCAATACATTCAGTCCCTTGAATTCTTTCTTAATTTTTTAAATACTAACTAGAATTTTTTATAGTGTAAAATAGTCTACTTAAGCCATTCTCATGAATTTGTGGCTAATTTTGTAAGTATAAAAGTACAAAAGGCAATATGTTTGCCTTTGTATTTGGAAAAATGCTTATGACTCTATAATTCTAATGAGATAGGCCCCTGGCCTAGTAAGTAGGTGGTCAGCAGTCAAGAGGCATTTGTCAACTGATACTGTTATGACAAATCAATATATTTGTGTTTGCCAAGCATATTATTATAATAATTTCTTAGTTTTTTGTTAGTTCCTTAAACAAGTACATGTTAACAAAGCAAACCTTGAGTTAATATTAAAGAAAATAGTTCTATTAAGTAATTATATTTACTACTAATATAATTGAGTAAACAAGTAAAAACACTTTTTTTTCAGGCTCAATTAGGATGGTTTGGTAAACATTGCAAGAAGGTTAATCATTCTACAAGTGCTTTATCGTTTTTGGTACCTTCTTTCCTGAATGCAGCTTTATATGATGAAGATGCTATAATCAAAATTGAAATTGACAATTCACGTCATATATTATACACACTGAGCGAGAAAGGTTGCATTGAAGTGTTTGATCTAGGAGCAGATGGTGAAAGTCTGAGCAAAGTAGTAAGATTATCACAAGGGAAAATTGTTTCATCAGCCATGGATATAGTCAAGTAAGCATGAGGTTTTTCAAATGGGAGGTAAAGAGGTTTCTTCAGGGTCGGCAACACATGCGTAATACCTCTGGTATTGCAGGTGTTCATAGGCTACGGTAACCACTTACCATCAGGTGGGCCGTATGCTTGTTTGCCACCTCAGTGGTATAAAAATAAATACAGTAAACCTACTGTATTTATTTTTATTTATAATTGTTGTAAAAGAAATTTGTATTATTTTACAATTTTTATATTTTATATAATATCAAATTGATTATCATTTTATGACATTCTCAAAGGTCTGTAATATTTATGTGCCGTGATAATGTATAATCCTCAGATGTAAATAATAAAGATAATCTTAGATCTTTGATATAGCCATAAAGGTGAAACCAGTCATAATTTTAATTTCAAACAACTTTTAATAATACTATCTTTTTCAGTTAGTGGCCTTTTTATAGAATGTATTAAAATTTAGTTCTGGACTCATCATAATAATACTTTCTTAACATCTCACTGCTTGGCACTAGTGCCTAGTCATAAGAGGAGGATATTAGCGTAATTACATGCTTTATATCACATTCATTTGTTACATGTCATTTCAGTAGCAAGAAGATTTACACAATTTCTTTTTCTTATTCTGATGTATTGAGCTTATATAATAGGGGAACTATTAGTCACTTAGAATATTCTGGGAGTGAAAAGAGAGAAATGTTCATATTTTATTAACACATTACACAAAATACCATGTAATACAAATTAATTTTTCAAAAATATACACATTTTTTGTTGTTAGTATTAGCTTATATACATATAATGATGATAAATACTAACTAAACCTATAACTATCATCACTTTTTAGGACATTAGAAGCCAATAATTTCAAACCAGTTGTAGCAATATCTGCTGTGGATGAATCAGAATCTGAACACTTAAATCTGGTGGCAGTTACACAAACTGGTGCAAGATTGTATTTTAGTACTGGAAGTGGGGAGTAAGTATTTGTACACAAAGGCTAGTAAATTTTGTTTTTGTTTTGAAGTGATATACAATGATAGTATTCCTGGTAATAATCGCCTATGAACATTAACAGTACTATGGATATCACAGAATCCATCGTGACACTGATATTAATTATAGTGCATAATATTAATTATAAATTTCTTTTTGTTAAAAAGAAAATTGAATTAAATTTCGAAATCATTTGACAATTTTATTAATTAAAATTATTTTTTATTTCTGTATGCATGACCTAAACTAGTAAGTCTATTAACTTGTAATTTAGTAGTTAGTTCCTTATATAATATGACATTTTGTGAAATTACAGCGCGAGTCAAGGCGCATCTCAGCGGCCGCAATACCTGACACTTCTTCACGTAAGGTTACCGCCTGGATTCACTCCCAACGCTTCAGTACTTAAACCGAAACAAGTTCACAGTGCTGTTTATGAAAATGGTAAAAATAAATTTGATAATTCTTAATTTAGAATAGTTAATTTATGACGTGCGTTTTATACATTCGATCTTTACCTATTGTTAAAAGCGAATGGAACTGTAAATTATTTTATAGTATTTAGAATAGCACAATACTGATTGCGCTATTGACGAAAAGTAGTAATTAACCACTTTTATACACCAGTCTTCTCTTTAGACTTACTATACATACACAACTATTCTGCATTTATTCTTCTCCTTAAATTATTGTTTGTCAATTTATTCATGTAAAAAATTTCATGACATCACACATTGTTACTCTTCAGTAAAGTATTATACCTCTTGCGTCACTGATTAAACAGATTTTTACCTTTTATATAAAAACATCAATGTATTGTTGTTTATGGAAAAAAATAATAGTCACCTACATATAAAATATTATATTGAAGTGGTAAACTTGCCTCCTGCCATGTTGAATTCTAATATAATTTGAAAATAGTGATTTAATTGAGTGCTATGTTTCCTATAATGGTAATAGCTAACAATACTTTTGACTTCCTCGTGAATTACAATGGAGAACATTTTTTTATCAGGTTCATTGGTTATGGTGTGTTCTGCTGGTGGTGGGGGTGAGGCCGAGACACTATGGTGTTTGTCTCGCGCGATACCTGGCGGCGTGGCATTTAGCGAGGCTCACACAGTCCTAGCGTTGGACGGCCCCGCATGGGCGCTGACGGCGCTCCCACCAAAACACGATGCAAATCTTTCCCCAGCTCTATTGTCAAAGAAAGGTACCCAATTAATTGGTTATAACAATTTGTGGATTGAATTAAACTTGTTTCATAATACTCACTATATATTAATATGTACTATATACTAGTCACTGTGTTATAACTTCTTTATGGAACTATATCATACTATTTTAAAGTTGTAAAAATTTTAGTCTAAAATTTTCTGCCCTCATTTAACTGATGTTAAAAAATAAGAGCTTTTATTTTTGTTTGTTTGTTACCTATTACGCAATATCTTTTTATGTAACTAAGAATGATAAAATTTTCCTTGTATAAAACAAACAAGCAATTAACTTTTGTTCAAAGTTTCCTCGGTAAATGCATAATATTACGCTTCCAGTGTAAAAGACTTACTAAACTCAGTGCATTATGTAAAGCAATTACTATTATGATTTGTGTAAGTTGACTTTTTTAATTTGGGGTTAACTCAAGGGAGAAAGTTGTGACTAGAATAACTAGCATCCCCATTATTAGCAATAGAGTATATTGCTAATAATGGGGATGCTAGTTATGTAATGTCAACTTGCTCGTCTCTCCTTCGGAAACCGTCGTGTTTAAACCGTGCGAATTCATCACTATGGACTAACTGCTAACTCTCTCTCTGCCAGTCTGATATTCTGCTAGAATATACCGTTAGCACAGGTTGGATTACCTTTCTATTATTACCCATTTAAAAAATCCTTTGATCGGTATGACATTTCAAATGACGTGTACGCGTGTGTCGTCAGAGGCGTGGTGTGTGTCGCGATGGGCGGTGGTGACGGGCGCGGGCGCGGCGCTGGTGGCAGCGGGCGCGGCGCCCGACCTGCTGCGCGCGTTGCTGCGGGACTGCGGCGGGCCCGACGCCGCGCCCGTGCGGGACTTCTTCCAGGTCGGCATCTACGCATGCTCGTAACCAGCTGGCAACTATGCGCAGGAAGCTCGCGTCACAATTTGTAGTAAAAGGCGATCAATCGAACTGTATATTCAGTACTAGCTTTTACCGGCGATTGGTTGAGATAAATAGTGTTTGTGAAGCACCCTACCTCCTCCTCTCCATTCTAGAGTAATATATACCATATTTCTGTCTTCCACATTTATAATATTAGTTATTAATTAATAAAGTCGTAGGTTATTGTGTTGCGTTACAGTGAATAATAAGTATCCAAAGACTGATATGATGCTTTTTGGTGTAACATTAATATCAAACAATCTGACATGGTCACGTCTTTTTGGAAAACATGTAACCGTTGCCTATAGATATGAATGTCGCTATGGATATCACACTGACAGCTAAAGGCTGATATGATAACGATGATGAAGATTTTACGCCTTTGTGAATACAGATGAGATTATAAAATGTAATTTTATTGCCTACATACTAATACATAGCTTTACAAACATAATTATTTAGTGGCAAAAACACGGTTGAAGGTGCAGTCGACTTTTGTACAAAGGAGGGATTGGATCCCTCACTGGTACGTATACGCTAGCGTATACCATTAGCAAATAACAATTCCGATTTCATCTTTTAAACTTTTAAAAGTTGTATAAAGTGTGTCTGTGGTGGGTATAGATGCAGACAGCGGAGCAGGCGTGTGCGAGCGCGCTGCGGCTGGCGTGCGAGGAGCCGCCGGCCGAGGTGGCGCTGCGCGAGTGGGCGGCGCGCGCGCTGCTGCTGTACGGCAGCCAGCCACAGCTCCACCAGCTCCCGCAGCACCCGCAGCACTCGCAGCACTCACACCTCTACTACCAGCCCTCGCACCCTTCACAGCCTTCCCATGTACCTTCCTCTTTAGGTAATTGCGATTTGCTATAACTAGCTTTATTTTTTTTTATACCTTTGCTTCTCCATGTGGCCACATCTATTAGTGGTCTAATAAACAGTTTAACAAATGATTTTACCTTCTGATGAAACATATTCATGACTGTTTGAATTGGTCTAATTTTTGTGGGAATAGTTTTTAAATTTTTAAAATATAATCTATTAAACAAGTAAAAGACAATGTTGGTGTTTATTATGTGTTGGTTATTTTTCTTACCATTTGTTTTTCCAAATTATTTTTAATCTTATTATAGTATATCTTTATAAACCTTCAAATATGTTCCAGGTTCTCCAAAGTTTTCACCACGTCAAATGTCGACACCCATGACCTTAAGAGGGGCGCAGGGTCAAATACATCAAGGAAAATTGAACCAGTCATACCAGGGTCAGATGAATCAATCATTCCCTGGTTCACCTAATCAGTCATTAATGCCACAGTCGCCATTCCATCAGAATGTTATGAGTCCGACACCTTTTAACCAGTCATCGTTTATGAGCTCACCTCAACAGAGAGACCCTAGTTTCCCTATACAAGTGGAATATAGTGCAAAACACAACGGACTTTACATATATATTGGCAGGATTCTTGCTCCCATTTGGAATCTGAAATGTGTCACAAAATCATCGACACCAGATAATAAAGAATTTGTAAGTAATACCTATTATTTATTATCACCGTTTAGAATATACATTTCTATATTAGTGTATATGTAGCATATATTGTGAGTATACGCACATTTTAGTAATACTGCTTACTAATTATGCTAGTAAGTTATATCTTAACATTGCAAGTATATATGTGTGGTTACTCATTCAACATGTACATAATGTTTACAATTTGTATTTTGAAGATAAAAAATCTCATATAATACCTCAAAGTACAGTCCTAAACCACCTGTTTCTGTTAACTTTTGCAATATTTTTGTGATTGTCTATAAAAATTTATAAACATGAAAATATAGGTGTATCACCAAGATGTATTGAAATACTTTTTAAACTAATATTCTGTATATCAGATGTGCAGCAAAGTGACAGGCGAGGACTGTGCATACATCGCACAGAAGCTGCAGCGCGTATGCGCGTTCATGCAGCGCACACTAGCGCCGCCGCACTCCGATGAACACGCTTCTCTGCATGCGCTAAAACTTTTCATAAGTGAGTTATCTATTTCTCTGCAGAGATTACGGAAGTGAAATGATATGTTATGGAGACATAACATCTTTGCTGTCAGGAATGATTATGCACGAGGAGTGTCATGGGCAGTTACCCTTTTTTACCTTTTTTTTTTTTTAATAATATATATGTATTATCATGTTGTACAGACTGCTCAAACTTAGTTTTCACACAGCCAAAATTTTTCAGAGTATTATTTAATTCTTTTCCATACTTAAATCAAGTTTTTCATTAAAATATGTTTTACAAATCAAAAGTACTTAATATTTGTTGTGAACATTTACAAAATTATAAGAGATCTTCAATGATTTTACAGTGATGGCGATAGAAATGTTGAGTTTGTGGAAAGTGTTATGTGAACACCAATTCCATGTGATTGCTGCAAGTTTGCCGCCCGATCAGCAGAGTGCATTACAAGCGGCTAGTTTTAGGTGAGTTTAAATTCTATATCATTAAAATGATGACTGCTTCTTTACCTATATAGCGCATATTACAGTACGCCTTTTCAAACGGAATTACGTATTTTCACTGTTATATGTTTTTACCCATGTTAAACTGTTTATTGAGATAAATGTTTAATAATTCCATTTAAACAATTATAAATATGAGATTGTATTAACTTATCTAATGATACATCATATTATATATATTTACATTTTGGATTATCAGATTTTTAATACCTATTATCGAATTTTTATATTGTTTTCTTATTGGTAAATTTTAGTTTTGCATTATTTTGATAATAAATACACGTTACCTAGGTGATCTTTGAGTGCCTTACTGCTTGATAAAAGATTGGATTTTTAGGTAGTGACTGAAAGAAACATATCACAAAATTATTTCACAAACATATAGATATAAATATTTTAGTCATTGAGTATGTTATAACTATATGAATATAGAAGCAGATACTGTTGGCACTGGATTAAGTTAATGATCAACATTATTTTGATATTTTAGGGAATTGTTAGTAGGAGGGCAAGAGGTAGCATGTTTACTGCTGAGTTCCCTAGTAGCTGGGTACTTACGCGACAATGCCTCAGTGGACGGCATCTCACAGAAATTGAGACAGCTCTGTCCCACACTGTACAGGCAAGAAGATGCCACCTGCTCCAAAGTAAGTCAAAACATGTATAGTTATTTAATTTTAAATCATTGTTATCTCATATTCATAAAAACAAATCGTATTTCAGGCCAATGAACTGCTAATGTTTGCAAAACAACAAAAGAATCCAGCAGAAAAAGAAGAAATGCTCCAACATGCACTGAAGCTTTGTAAGGTGAATCAATTATATTTTTTTTTAGTTATGCATTTTGCGATTTATTAATTGTGTAACATCATTACAGATAATGATAGTAATAATTATTTTGTACATCTTGATTTTTTTTGAAGATATCTTGTTAAGTGCAATTGGTAAAAACCCGACGTTGCATAAAAGTGTCAAATTAATTCCCAATTGCTTCAGTTTTTTTTTTCAAACCCAATAAATATTAAAATGTAATATTAAGAGTGTTCATAACTTTTGTTTACTGAAAAGTAGCAACGTAGCAATTGTTTGTCAATTTTCAAAAATAATTGAACAATTTTCAGTGTGTCCAATTAATTATTTTAAAAGTGCTCTGGTGAGGAACTTTCGTAACCAACAGTTATGAACGCTTTTATAAATATTTATATTAAACAATTATGTCGTGATATGTGTTTTGTTCAAAAGTAACCTTTTAAATATTTATTTTAGGATGTCGCTCCAATAGTAAACTTGCCATTAGTGTGTTCAAAATTGATATCAGCTGGATTTTACTCTGGTATTGTGGAATTGTGTGTGGCATGCGCCAACAAGTTGGATCCCCAGGATAAGGCGTTGCACTACTACAGGAGTGATCAGCCATCCCAGGATAGGGAGGGGCATATACTTTATTTTAAAAGGTATATACATCGAAACAATATGCATTTTATAACAATATGTATTTATCAATGTATATGTATAACGGGAATTTTATACTTATGTTTGTCGTTTCCGCCAATCGTTTGGACTTCATCTAGAAGTATTCTTGGGGGCATACAGCGCAATAGATATCTTTAAAAATTAACATATTCTTAAAGATATATATTAAGACCAGAGAAAGATTTTGTATAAAAATTTGCATGAGTAGATTGTGGGTATGGGCTGTGTGAAGGGTGGAATATGGAAGTATGCGGGGGTGTAACTCCTTAGTCCTCAGGAATGAGGAGTACTATTGGCGATACAATCTGCTCTGTGATTTATGCGCTATCCATGATTGGCCGTTATCTTGTTTGTCGTTTTCAGTTCAATAAAAAATATCATTAATTGTTACAAAAATAATTGTAATTATATTTCAATTAAAAATTGTTTATTTTTCTAGGATGGAAATATATCGTGAAGTGGGAAACGCACTAGAACGTCTGTACGAACGTAGTTCTGAGACATCAGGTAGCGAATATTCTCCGCGACGGCCCATGTCGCCGTCGGTCAGCGACGCCATGCTTACTTTGTCGCCCGCCGACGCTAACTATCAGGTACTCAAATTTACCTATTAAAATTGCTTAAAATATGTTTTTAATGAGGTTAATTTCGAGGCGATATTTCTCTAAATTTCTTAATCTAGTAATTTGATAGTTTCGTGCAATTTTTGTTTATATATATTTATGGATATAGACCATGATGAACTAAATTTATAATAATTTTGACTCGATGTATTAGAAATTTATTTAATATTGGCCCTTAGTCTAAATCTAATCCTTAATCTAAATTAAAGATTTCACTATTATATTAAATTGGAATACTAATTTTAGAGACAGGTTTAGAGAAATAGCATCTCAGAATTTATTCCATTGTTTCGAAATAAGTATGTAACTTAAATAAATATACTAAGTAGTGTACTTTAATTGTAACTTAATTTCTTTTATTTTAGGGTCGAAAATTAGTTTGGGAGTGTTTGTCGTGTAACGATGAACTCTTACACATAGCTGTTTATGAGTGGCTAGTGTCCAAAAATTTAGGAGCAGGTACGTTAATGTATTTTATATATAAAAGAGTTGACAATTTATTTGCGTCTTGTTGATGGATAAAGGCTATCATCCTTTTTTGTATAAATCCTATTAGGTACTATATTACGATATACATACTACATATTAAGTATGTATATACTTTATAATTCTCTAAATAACATGTTACTTTTTATAGCAATATATCTTCTTTGTATTGATCAATAGATGTTAAATTATGATATAACCTACCGTTATACTACATTTCGATCAAATTCGCTTTATTAACTGTGATTGAGTAACAGACATCTAAACGTTTTTACGTTCAAGTTTATAATATTAGAAGGTTCATAGTCAACTGTAGAGCAATTGTCAAAAAATTAAATATGAATGCGGGGCGTATATTATGCGAGATGATGACTTGTGTGTGGTGTGCGTCAGAACTGCTGTCGCTGGGCGCGGCGCCGCCGCCGTCGCTGCGGTCGTTCTTGGCGGGCGCGGCGCGGGCAGCTTCCGGTTCACGCGCACTGCAGCTGCTCGACCTGCTGTGGAAGGTGCTCGAGAAGTCCGGCGACCACCTCGCTGCCGCTGACGTGCTCGAGGGACTCGCCACACGACCCGGGTAAACTCGCGTTACTAAAGGAAACCTTATTTTATTGGCCTGATGAAGAATCGTTCAAGTCAATCGAATCGATCAGATCAAGTCGAGTCAATTCAAGAAATAAATTGTATAAATAGACTCTAGTTAAAGGACTGGAAGGAAATTAAAAGGGCATTATTACAAGTAATGGACCTTGACCTTGTTTTATGAGTTTTTACGATAACTTGGAAAATTGTTGACACAGTGCATGTTTCTATTAAATAGATTTTTTTTTAAATGGATGATAATGATAAGGTAATCGGTGAATGCTGTCATGGTAGTTGATATCAATGAATAGAATGAAGTCAAATCATTTGATTCATCATGACTAATTAATTCATTAGAAATTAACATGATAGTTTTAGAAGAGGCCACATGGAATGCAATCTGAAAGGGTTATATCGTTGGCAGTGCGTCCCATTTGTAACCATCCGTTTCGTGGGTGTGTGTGTGCAGGTCGGGCGCGACGCTCGCGCAGCGCATGTCGTGGCTGTCGGCGGGCGTGGTGTGCGTGCGCGGCGCGGGCGCGGGCGCGGGCGGCGGCGGCGGCGGCGGCGAGCTGCTGCGGCGGCTGGAGGAGGCGGCCGAGGTGGCGCGCGTGCAGGCCGCCGTGCGCGCCGCCGCCGCCGCGCTGCCGCGCCACCTGCAGCCGCCGCCGCCGCACATGCAGCGCCTCGACGACGAGCTGCTCGAGATCACGCAGGTACTTGCACCCTTATATTACAGTATACGTGCGTCCGTGTGGTACTAGTGTGTGTGTAAGTGGAAATGTGTGACATTTCTAGCTATATTTGCCCAATTTTAGTGACATACAATTTGCTGCTCTCGGTCATATTGCACCAAAGATCAGTCATTACATCAATGTAGCGATATGGTACGTTTACGTCCAGCGTTTGTTTGATCTTTTGGTTGACGGAAAATCATTGCTGTATTGTCGATCTTCGGCCGACAGGAGACCAGCAACGTTTTCTTATGTGATCACACCACAGTTAACGGATGGTTCATATTGACTACTTGATATATATGCTACGTTTGGCCGCTGAACTTTGGTCGCCAAAGACATAGTGAATAAATGTGCGCTATTCTAATAATTTGGAAATTGCTTTGTATCAGTAGCCATGTCTCTAGTGCTGGAATCAAATTGACAGTTTTATATTATTTTTAGTTTTTTTTTTTTTTTTATTATTTCTGGCTATGATAAGCAATTTAAAAAAAAAAGTATGGTTTTATATTGTCTGTATTTTATTTACAGTATTAATGTATAATATAATAAATGAAAAAATGTTAACACCATTTCTTTTATTTGGTATAACGGGTATTTATTAGCCTTTATTACATAAAGCTGACGGAACCTATTAAGTTTTTTTTAATGTGTAAAAATGGAATGGTAATCCCGTCTACGCTATCGGTATATGCTGGCGGGGCACCAGTGATAAATGATAAATAACAATTATGACCGGTCAGTCGGCCTATCATGACGTCATGGGTCAACTGACTTACTTTCATCGTCATCTATCATCTTCTACTGGTGCCCCGCCAGAGTATACTGATAGCACAGGCGGGGTTATCATTTTATCTCATTAAAAAAAAAACTTGCATCAGTTATACGAAGAGTACGCGGACCGGTACAACCTGTGGGAGTGCAAGCTGGCGATTGTGCAGTGCTCGGGCCACAACGACGCCCTTCTCGTGGAGAACATATGGAGCAACATTCTGGCGGAGGCAGAGGCGGCCTCGCGGCCACTGCCCACTGGCGACGAGCGGCTCGCCTCCGTCCTCAGCAAGCTCACCACGCTTGGCAGAGAATATGTTCACACGGGACACTGCTTCCCCCTTTGTAAGTATCAACATTACTGTATTAACACTTTAACATAGTTGTTTCTTTTGGATGGATGGATGGATGGCGATGAATGGTGTAACTCCGCCTTCACTAACGGTAAACGCTGGCGGGGCACCAGTGAGGAACGATAGGTGATGAATACACCAGGAAATTAGCACGATGGTTTCAGAAGGGGGGGGGGGGGGCACGTGGATATCGATCTGGCAGGATATATTCATGTTCAACAAATGTTCAACCTTCTTGAAACGCTCGTGACTAATTCTTAATAATCTCGATGGACCTATATTAATATTCGATGATTCTATAATAATATTCCACTGTTCCATTTAACAGGACAATATTATCCTTCTATGTTATATTATCTTTTTATAATATTGGGTTTAATTTTAAGTTTTTCGTCTCTTTTACTTACTCAACTCTTTCAGTTGACTTAATTAGGAAAAAGATGAAGATTACTTTGTACAAAAGTCATCTACTTGGGGACCTCTGACTCATTCATGTTTTTGCGGTAAAACAGTTGTTTGTAAATATATATATGTGGTATATGGCAGTGAATTTATAGGGTATAGATGAATAACACCTGAGTCCTCAGTAATGAACGCATCACGGGTATCATGAGCTACACAGTATACTCTGTTGTGTCCATAATACTGTTCATGTCTATAGGTGACGGTACTACTTTCCATCAGATAGGCAGTCAGCTTGTTTGTTATAAAATATCCTCGAGATGAAAAGGAATGGTGACACATATTTTAACGTCTTTACTACACATATGTTTAGATGGATACCAACTAGCAAATACCTTGACTATGATTTTAGTATGTGACCTGTGCATGCAGTACCAATTTCCATTAGCTGTTTTGCAGCTAAATAAATCCAAATATAACTAACCTATATACTAATTTATTTATAGATAGTGTAATAGAAGTCATTTAAGCTTTATATTCAGACAATATGAATATTTTTATTCTCCCAAAAATGTAATTTTATACAAATGTGAATTAAAAATTATTTTCTATTACTAACTCACAATATTCGGTCTGTTAGGTCAATTATAATTTTTTTTTATGCAACTTAGAATGGCAAACAAGCTGACGGCCCACCTGATGGAAAGTGGTAACCGTCGCCTATATACATGAGCAGTACCATGGACATAACAGCATACTGTTTCGCCCATGATACCCTCTAAGCGTTGCCATTCCTGAGGACTCAGATGTTATTCCTCCGTACTCAGTAAATTCATGCCCACCCTTCAAACCGAAACACAGCCATGCAAACACAACTGCTTCACGGTTGAAACACGAATGGGACAGAGGTACCCAAGCAATCGACTCTTGTACAAAGTCTTCCTCTGGTATTAAAAAGAATTCTGTTTATTGTATGTTTTAATTTATTATTTTTTCTTTGTAGATTTTATTGTCCGTCAGTTAGAAATAATGTCCTGTAAACTTCAAGCAGACAAAAGTATGGTGTATAGAACAATACTAAACATTGGTGTTTCAATAGAACAAGTACTGGATATATATATTAAGTGAGTATACTTTTATTTTATAACTACATTACGATTATAAAATATGAAAGGAATTTAACTGCTCCTAACAATATTGGTTATAGTATCAAAGTGTACTCCTACTGAAAACACAAAGCCTCTTTACACAGTGACATTATGTGACTTCAAAATTTTGTCTTCGCCAACTGACGTAATAGCACGCTTAAAGTAATTCGTACGGCGTTATTTTTAGCGCTGGTATTTTGCGCAATTGCATGTTGGGATGGGCGCAGGGGATACAGTGAAGGAAATCACTGTGGCCAAAAATAAACGTTTACTTTTTGCTATTGTTTTTGTCAATGTTACAAGTATGCAAATATTTTGATGCCGAAAAATTATCATGTGATGTGTGTACATAGGTTGGTAAGTGTGAACGAGCGCGTGTGGCTCGGGTGCGGCGACGAGACGCACGTGTGCGGCGTGGCGGCGCGCCTGATGCAGGCGGCGCGCGCCGACCTGGCGCCGCTGCCGCCGGCGCCGCGCCGCCGCGCACTCGCGCGCTGCAAGGACCTGCACGAGGCCGCGCTCTCCGCGTTACAGGTACGTGCACGGGCCACACTCTACCTTCTACTCTATAGTAGCCCTACAGTACCTCTACAGTATTTTACATCACTAGTAATTACAACTAGTAATGTGACACGATATTCGTATACATATTTATTTATACTTTTGCAAATATTAAAATATGTCTATAGGGCAGACTTAATGCTTAATGCGTATCTGTATCTGCGTCGCAGATTCTGTAAATAATATCCGAGAGAGAAAAAAAGATCGTGTACCTATCAATTTCTTGTAATGTATATTAGAAGTCGTTTTCTGCACAGGGCCTCTCATTTGTGGCGTGGTGTAAGGCCGTAGCTAACATAGCTTTTTTAGGATGTCTTGAATAGATTTTTTTACATTATTATTTTCATTGTATGGAATTCTAAATATCCATGACCGGTGAGCATGTTTCATACATGAGTAGGTTCATGAATGTGGAGAAATCGAAAGAGGTCTATTTAAGTCAGTGATTTGCTTTCAATTGTTGTCTATCCCAATCATGTGACAGATGTGTATGCATGATAATAAAAAATTGTTGTGTATAACATGCATCGGTAGATCAACATATTACCCTCAATGACGTTCAATGATGCGAGTATCGCACTGTTACTTATTACTGTTAGTTACTGCATTGCACTGAACTCTGTGATCCTAGGAGTATCTATGTATATACATAGTAAAAACCTTCTAATAAATTTCAAATCTCTTTGAATTTGGAATTTATTATATTCATCTAAAGAAAGAAGTTCTATTATAATTTGCCTTTTTGAGCTGTACAATATGTAAGAATTACATAATTAGTTACATTCATAGATACAGGTAGTACAGAGTATATTACTGTACTAGTTGGTACAGCACTTATCGATACTGACATGTAAGCTAGGTTTTAAACCTGTCACTCTGTATTCTCTCGCCAGGTCTTTTGCAGAGTAAGCTAAGAGAATTAAGTACGATCTTATAAACCATAAACCATATAATTCTTTTTTTTTTCACAGGCCCGGCCTAACACACAAGAACTTATCGACAAATTAACGGTAGCGCAGGCACATCTAGATCGTATGGATTGAACTAGTTCATAATAGGTTAGGTATTCAATTCTTTCGCATAAGAAGACATTAATGTTGGTCGTATTCAGTAGTTCTCGACTTATTCCAAATAATCTCATATATAGGTTGACATTTATTTTTGGTATTTCTCATTCAAAAGTAAACACACATCTGAATTTTTTTTTTATTTTACACTTTCATTATTAATACAAAATGTATATTTAATATTTTTTTAACATTATTAATTTACTGTATAAATTATTAATATCTGTTATTTACTTGCATAATTATGGCAGTGACCGATTAATTTCAATATCTGAATATGGAATTGCTACATTATTTAATTTTGAAGCACAAATATTTTTTATCAATCGTGTGCATGTAAAATATAAAAAGAAATCTGCATCTAAAGAACACTGTGTTATAATTGATGATTTCTATTTTTGTAAATAAAAATTATTGAAGTGCAAGCGATTTTCCAGTTATTGTGTTTACAATCCAGATTCCTTAGGACTAGAATAACCTTTGAAAGTGCTTAATATTCCAGTTGTGGTCTGCGAGTCCTTCAAAGTGAATAAGATGAGTGTTAATGAACAATGCTAGGTGTTACGATGAATCTTCGTCGAATGGATTTGTGTTTACCTGTTGATTGTGATGATGATCATCTGGGTAACTATATATGCTGGTGTGACCGCTGATCGTCGGTAAACCAACAGTGTTCATAGGCGATATTATAACGTTATTATACTGCTGTTTGGGCGTCTCTTTCGTAGAGTTTTTTCTTATAGTTGTATAAGTTGGCGTTGTTTTAGTTGGCATGTCCTTGATCTTCGTGCCGGCGCGATATGAGCTGAACTCGTCAGGAGGCGGCGGTAATGAGAAACCATCAGAATTTTGAGTTATTTCTGACGTTTCATCACTAAGTTCTTTAGCTGCTTTATAACGCATTTTTCTGGGCATTGTGTAAAATGTATTCATCTGAAACAGAAATAATTTGTTTAATACTATTGAAAGTGACGTCAAATTTGGCATCAATTCAGTCATTTATTTTCCATATAAAGAGGCTTTTTTTATATACTACTATATTGACTTATATTGATTCCACATATAAATATGCAATAGTTGCCATGATTGCCCCGGCATAGAATGGGCCACCCCTTCCTTTCCCGTGCCCGAGGGATGGTCTGTAGTGTCCCTATTAAAACATCTCTAAAAGCGTAATTGCGGTTGCCAACCCGCCTGCTAAGCATGGCAACTACTGGCAAAACCCCACTTATGGGGTAGGCTTATGACCAGTAGTGGACAGTTAACGGCTGGAATAATAAAAAATAAAAATACACAACAAAACCACAAATAACAAAATCTATACAGACATGAAGAGTATGTGGAGTTAAAATCTAATAATCCTACTGATTTATGAAAATGAATAATTTGTTTAAGAATCTAAAAATAATTACTGAACCCCTCATACTAAATCAACCATGTTAAATTTTATCTAACAGTTTCTTTGAAAAGCCCATAACTGATTTTTTATTGTCACTGTCACCAATACAGTCAATAAATACCGATCTATAAATTTTAGTAACGTATGACTAAAATAATAATAACTTACAGGTTTAGGCGCACTGTAATTCGCGGGTTCAGTCGGCAAATGCATCGCCAAATGGTCACATAGGACATCCATGTTTTTCTTTTTATTGATGTTCTGTAGCGAGTGCATCCTGCAGGTTGCACTATGCCGCAACCCATCATTACACTTATTGAGCCCTTCCTCGACCATGTCGTTCATATAACGTGCAGAATGGAACGAACTGGTTCTCCTAACGTCGTAGTTCCTCGACGGGTATTTAGAGACGGCCCTTCGAAACGAATCCGTCCGTCTAATGTTACACTCGCTGCCATCATCGCTGTCATGATACGTCTCGCAATTGGATTCTGTAAAATCAGTAATGTATGGTTTTTTGTGTTTTGATTTTAGTCCTTAAGAATATAAACCCATGAGCATAAAATAACATATATTCTGTAGCAAGTATCACGTAGTGTATTTGCGCGCAAATACTAACCTTATAGTACTGCGCAATATTTAGATGGTGTTCATTTTTTATAGGCGTCGACACGTACGCCTAGATACATTGGTGTTAAAAACCTCATTTATTAGAGACTAAAGAGGTTTTTATTCCGTTTGTATTTTCCCTTTCTTTGCGACTACGTTTTATAATTACGTCGTTAATATTTTCAATCTATTTACGAAATCGTCGCATTTTAGCATAGCAAAATGTAAGTGAGAACGTGAATCTTTATGAAAATTGATGTCGTAAAAATAATTTAGTAATCTCTATACTTATAATAAATCTGTAGAGAAGTCAATTCTGTACATGAAATATATTTCCAAAATAACTATCAGGGGTGATTAGTGATCGATACTGATGCTAAAAATGCAATCAGTAAAATTTTTGTCTGTCTATCTGTATGTTTGTATAAACAAAAACTACTCGAAGGATTTTAACGAATCTTGGTATAATTATTCTTCATACTCCTGGGCAGGTTATAGTATACTTTTCATCACGCTACGATCAATACGAGCAGAGCAGTGAAGGGAAATATTAAAAATGTCCACCCGTGCGAAGCAGGGACGGGCCGCTAGTAAGTAATGTACAATAAGTTTATGTACGGACACCTTCAACTTTGTAAGCGCAAAGCGGAGGGTCCCCGAAGATAGTGGTTAATGCAATATAGGCTTTATGTACTTAGTACCTTCAGTATTGTACGCGCAGAGTGGCGGATCCCCGAAGACGGGTCCGTCGCGGCGGTCCCGCTCCCTAGCGCACAGCACGAGGCCGCACGCCGCCAGCGCAACCAGCGCCACACCGCCGCACAGCGCCAGCGTCAACGTTGTTATGTTTGCTACCGTGCCCACTTGAATTATCTCTAAAATATCGTTGACATCATTGTGAGTCCAGAGCAAGTGTGCTTTTATAAGAAATCATTCATAATATGAAAATAGAGACGTGCCTTAACCAAACCGCCTCCTAAGCAGAGTGGTTACTGCAATAACAAATGACAAACGAATCTATCGATAGTTTTGTTGAAATAATAGAAACACTGGACTATATTCTGAGGTGACACTTTTCTAAACCTATTTCTAAAGTTCAAATTTCTATTTGATATTACAGCAAGATATTTATTCTAAGGACCAATATGAATTTCTAATAGTTTTAAGTCAAAATTATTATAAATATAGTTTATGGTGGTCCATAAAATAGTAATATTCGCGAAAGTATCAAACTAAAAAATTATGTATTTCTGATTTGTACGTTTGATAATCGGCAATTTTTTTAATATATGTGTCACGTCAGTTATTCTTTTGTTTTCATTTTCATTAATTAATTGGTTACGCGTGCATGAGATAGAATTAAGCAGCTACGCCTGGCATCTTGTTCTTTTTTTTTTTGCATGATTGATTGCTGATCAAGATTCATGTATTCGAAATTCAGTTTAGCAAAAACATTTTGTTATATCCAACATACATGTGTAATTGTTAATTAAGATTTATAACTGTCAAAACTATGTGCTTACCGCTTTTTTCTTTTATTATACTGTCTCTCTCGATCTCAACTGTGGTACTTTCACCCTTTTCGTTGAAAGCCGTTATTAAAAACGTATACTCTTCTGTTTCCGGTTTTTGGATCACAAACTTTGGTTCCAAACTTGTTATCGATAAGTACTGATTTTCAGAGTTTGTCGATTTTACAATCAATTTAAACTTCTGTAAGATAAAATTGTGTTTTTAATACTATAATATAGCGTTGGGTACGTAAAAAAATATTAATATATTTTGGAAAATTTTAAAAGTAAAGAATGATAAAATGCTTTTTTTTTGTTTGTCTAAGATGAGTATGTATACTAATATTAATTTGAAAGTGAGTTCGTTTCTCGTCGCCTCTCGTCGCGTTAACGGCTTGAATAACCGGTAATATTTAGTATACATGTAAAATTTAATATGGCGACAGACATAGACAATTTTTTATCTCAATTACACAGACGGTAGTCGCAGATAAAGCAAATAATTCATAAAAGAATATTGTCTACCTGTGGTAATCCACCATCGTGTCCCTTCTCACATAATATAGTGATATCTTTGTTATTTGATGTGGCTAGACACTGTGTGGGGGGCCGAGGCGCGGTTTCGTCTGTCACTAACGCGATACATGGAGAATGGGGTAATCCTTTATTAGGAACTTCGTTGAGACCCCAACAGAATACTGTGCCTGCAAAAACCGCACAATATTTGCTGTAGATTAAAATATCTCTCTAATTCTATTTTATCTTTTTACATAAAAAAATAATAATAAAGTAGAAAATACTGATAGATTTTGAGCCTTGACCTTGAGCTATATATGTTTTTATATGTAGGTAATATTGTAATTGCGATAGTCGCGTTGTTTTAATTTTACTTGCCTGTATAACATTATATCACAGTCTAAAGAACTTAAACCTTTTTTTATACAACTTAGAATGGCAAACAAGCTGACGGCCCACCTGATGGAAAGTGATAACCGTCGCCTATAGACATGACCAGTGCCATGAACATAACAGAGTATACTGTTTCGCCCATGATACCCCCAATGCACTGCCATTCCTGAGGACTCAGGTGTTATTCCTCTGTACCCAGTAAATTCACGCCATATCCCACCCTTCAAACCGAAACACAGCTATGCAAACAACTGCTTCACGGTTAAAACACGAATGGGAGAGAGGTACCCAAGCAATCGACTTTTGTACAAAGTCTCCTTCCTACCAGTCCTCCAATATGCATGTCTAAACAGAACAAAGAAAAAACGTACCTCCTTGTTAAAAAGTTTTAAGTTAGATTTTTCACAAATAATTTTGTATACCAAAGGTAATAAAAATGCTACTCACTGAAAGGCGTATCATTAGGTCTCTCGTATGACAAGTAAGGTTCTTCTGTTTTTATTGTGATGTGTGGGTGGTGACGCAATTGGTTTATATCGTCCACAGTGTCGTTCACAATTACCCACCGGAACGCAGATGGTTCGGGATTCGATTTCACGCTGCAAGTTATGTTTACAGTCTCGTTTTGCCGAACCCCGTACTGTGCTATGGCCTCCTCTTCGCAATATGCAGGGTCTAGAATTAATACCAATTGTTTTTTAGGACTGGAATGGAATGGTAACCTCTTCTGTGCTATTGATTTACGATAACAGCAGACCAATGATGATTAAGTTAGATTAAAGTCAGATCAGTTGGAATTGTGATTCATGCCTAAATTTTAATTATTTTTATAAAGTCCTACATGAACCACAACCTAAATAAATAAACAGACCACTATATCTGTTCATGTTTTTTTTGTTATGCTTTTATGGAGTTATTGGAATTTCAACGCAAAAAAAAACTTTAACAGTTATATTTAAAAGTTTTAAAGAGGAATAAATGACTATTAGAAAGATGTAAGTGTTTTTATAAAAAATGAGATTAGTAAATAATCTTGGCATATCTTGTTCGAAATTATCCAGTTAAAAATAACAATCCAAAAATAGTAATATGATTAAGAAATCAACTTTACTATATCTTGCTATTTGTTCATCTTATAAAATGTTATTTCAACAAAAAAATCATACTGGAATTGTATATGAAATCATCCATGGTATGAAGACATTTTATCTATACATATAGATAGTAATATTATAAAGAGGAAAGATTTTTTGTTTGTTTGTAATGGATAAATTCCAAAACTATTCGACTGATTTTAAAAATATTTTCATTTATAGAAAAACTACATTATCAGTGAATAACATAGGCTATATATTATTTCCGAATATTTTGTTTACTTGTGCGAAACCGGTCCGGATCTGTAAAGAGTAATGAAGCCGCGGAAAACAGCCATTTATTATTTAAAAAAAAAAAAGCTTACATGTGACATCAACAACAAGTGGTTCACTGTAAGTGGACCCTTCATCGTTGCTGGCTGCACAAACATACTCGCCAGCGTGCTCCTCAGATATATTCGATAATTCCAACGTGGGTCTTATTTGACTTGATTTACCATCATCGAGTACCACGTCTTCCTGCAATCATTTAATCGTACAATCACCTGTATTTTTGTACAATTAGGTACTTACTTGCTCAACAATGCATATCTTACCAGAGGGAGACTTTGTATAAAAGTCGTTTGCTTGGATACCTCTGTCCGATTCGTGTTTCTACTGTGAAGCAGTTGTGTTTGCATGGCTGTGTTACAGTTTAAAGGGTGGGATATGGCAGTAAATTTACAGTGTACAGAGGAATTACATCTGAGTCTTTAGAAATGACAACGCATGGGGGGTATCAAGGTGAAACTCTGTTATGTCCATGGTACTGTTCATGTCTATAGGCGACGGTTACCGCTTTTCATCAGGTAGGCCGACAGCTTATTTGCCATTCTAAGTAGCAGGAAAAAAATCTGCACTGGAGTTTTTTTATTGAAATTTAATGTATCTCCCCCTTTAAATATGTGGCAGATCAATCCATCGATAGACTTCATTTTCATCACATCATTTCTATGACCATACTAATAATAAAAAATGAAACGTAAACCAACACATATATATTCATAGATTCATTTACTACATTGTAAGCAGGTTATGACAGTTCATAATTTAATGTCTGTTATATTAAAATATTTAGTTTTTTGTCATCTTTAGATATATAATATATATCAAAGGAAAATTTAGAAAAAAGTCGTCTGAGTGGGTTCTGTTTTATTTTATTAATACTACTACAAAACTGTACCTACTTATCAAAGTAGGGCTGTGGTTTGGATTGAATGATGGAATTAAGATTAGATATGGAGGCATAACATTAAGGGTGTTATATTTCATATCTAATTAATATCGAAGTTTTTAAGAATGATAAAACACATAAGACATTATATTATAAGCTTTTAAGTGTATTTTGTTAATATCTACGATGTTATTGATGTCTACAGGCGATATTTGCTATTAAACAAAGTGGTATGAAATACTTTTACGTCCTTTTGTTGAAAAAACCTTTATATTTTTTTTTATAAATAAAATAGTAATACATAAAAAAAATATTAACTAAATTCAGCGTTTCTTAGGACTAGTTGAAATCCATAACTCTTTACCTCATGATACCATGTCAGTTGATATATAGATGGGTTGGCCTCGTAACTACAATTCAGTAACAAGTTGGATCCTTTTACAACAGCTATTGTTCTGTTATTTAATTCCTCATCAACGACTATTTCCAAAACAGGTGGATCTGAAATTAACCGAAATATAATATGAAAGTTTTACAAATAAAAATATGCATACCTATGTAATCATTAGAAATAGTCTTGGGTTACTTTAACGGTCCAGATTATCAAAGAAGAAATTAGCAAGAAGATTTATTATTGCCACATATGTATAAATTTCTATACGGTATTTCAGTTGTACGAGTCTTACGAAATACCTACTACTTTACCTTACCAAAGAGAGATTATGCAAAAGTCGTTTGCACCTTTGTTCCATTCGTATTTCTTCCGTAATGCAGCTATGCTTGCATGGTCGTCCTTCAAGGGTGGAATATGGCAGTGAAATTATAGAGTACAGGAGCACACTAACATAGTGTTCAGGAATGCCAATACATGAAGGGTACAATGAGCTTCACAATGTATGACTATTATTTATAATTTACTTTTTATAATTTTATAATTTGCACAAAACATAAATATATTTTGAAAGGCATTTGAAGTTGCCTCAGTCCTAAAAAAAAGTTTTTGCACGTTAATGTTAGCAAAACCTGTTAGATCTATATAAATCCATCAACGAATAACCAGTGTCTTTGTATTTATTATACACATGATTGCAAATAAATTTATCTTTATTTATGTTAATCTAATGTTCCTGGTTCTGTTAATGTCTAGGTATAAGCGATATTACCATTTTCTATTATGTAGGCCGTCAGCTTTAATGCAACTTTAAGTATCATAAAATTAATAAGTACCTACATAGAACTGTAAGTGGCAGGTCCTGTGCGCACAGAATTTTCTGATCTTCGTGTCCATATACGGGTGCACAACAAGTGATTTTAGACTCATCATGTCGCTGGTCTATAGTCAACTGGATGTCACTAACCACAAGTCGTTGAGTGGCCTCTGTCTGCAAACCCATTGTTGCTTAATAAAACTCGTTTTTTTTACATATATAACTGAGATGGTAAGTATAGAGCATCTGACCGTAAGCGTCTGATAAAGTAAAATAAAAGATAAATCATCAATTATAATGCCTGTCATTTCAATGCTCTCCTAATAGCATAGAGTAAGTAAATGAAATATATATTATCCATATCATAATAAAGTGAGGAAAACTCGAAATTAAAATCTTATACAAAGTCACCTGGACAACGTTCATGAGTTATTAAGGTAAATAGACACAGAATAGACATAGTATTTCTATGATTTATAATTCCACAGAAACGGGAAATAACGTTTCACGTGGATTTACGGTGTTTATTTTCATTATACATAGATTAAACTTAGTATCTGTGGTATTTCCATTTAACGCCTATCACAGTTTACCTTGAAGTGTAGATAGATACAAAATTATAAAACAAGAAAAAAAGTAAAATTACAGTAATGTTTTGCTCCAAATTGACAAGCTGCGTGTTATTGAGCCGCCACAGAATCGGCGGGGCTGGCCGAGCGCCCAGCACCCGACACTGTAGCGCAAGAGACTCGCCGGCTCGCACGCGGCCACCCACGATCTCCTTCTCAAACGGAACCCGTAGCACGACCAGCTCTGGTGGCACTGAGTGAAAATAGGTTCTAATATAAATACAATTTCATCCTCAGTAATTGTAAATTATATATATATATCATTCATAACTAAATATAATATATATAGTTAAATACTTAAATTAAAAATATAAATAGGTACTGTATCGACTAACTTTTCGGTGATGGAAAACACTGGTAACAAACCAAATTAATACGAGTGATGGCGTTAAGCTTACCTCCTATTATTGAATTGCTCAACAAATATGAGAATATTCATTTATTTTAATAATTTTGACTGGGAATAATTCTAAGTATCTATATAACAGAATATATCTAAGTATCTATATAACAAATAAAATACCATGCGTTTTAACCCACATGCTTTCGGCTATAAAATAGAGTATCTAAAACTTTTGGTTTTAAGCATAAAATAAAAAAAAAAAACTGCTAATATTACAAAGCGCGTTAGTATTTGCCTTTACATCACTAATGTTGTCTAAACTATAGAAAACACCTTATGGTAAGTCGCTTTTAGGAGACAACTGTGAAAACTTACGGTGCATATTGATGATAACATCTATGAAAAGCGGTGGCGTAACTTGATTGTTGTTGGCGGTGCACGTGAGCACAAGCCCGTGGTCCTCACGCACCAGCGGGCCGTAGCGTACGTCGCTGCGTACGCGTTGCTCGGACAGCGGCACCCACGTGTTTTTTAGTAACCGCTGCGTTGCCCACCATGACAAGGAGGCTTGTGGTTTTCCTGCAAAAAAATTTAAATCGTCACATGTTCATCATATGATTTTTTTTTATACAAATTAGAATGGCAAACAAGCTGACGGCCCACCTGATGGAAAGTGGTAACCGTTGCCTATAGACATGAGCAGTACCATGGATATAACAGAGTATACTGTTTCGCCCATGATACCCCCCATGCGTTGCCATTTCTGAGGACTTAGATGTTATTCCTCTGTACCCTGTAAATTCACGCCAATTTTTTATAGAAATTTGCAAAAAAATTGACAGGTCATTTGATGATAAATACATAAACATATGCATATGCATATGACGTAAGAGGGTCAAATTCGAAAGCCGAATAGAAATACGAACGAGATTCGAATATCTTACTTTATTTTACTTAATCATATCCGCATTCGTGATGCGGTTGGCGTAGCGATATTTTGAATAAATCCCATAAAAATAAGAAAATTACCGCATAATCTTAAAAGTTGATTTGCCATTTTACGAAACGCTTGCACATTCACAAACATGGATCAAACAATTTTTACATTAAATATTTATATTTATATTAAAATATGTAAGCTTTCAACATTATGGGTTAGTCGCACGTTATTGATGCTTGTTCTTGCAAAACCCACATGAAACCAAAGCAGAAGTAAACTTTACTAATTGTATATGCCAATATTCGGTTCAGTTGGCAAACTGGCAATGTAATCATGTATCGAATTTTTATCAGTTCGTCTGTATTCGATTTTACAGTTTAGGATCACAAAAAATATAAAAGGCATAACATCTTAGTCCTCAGGAATGATAACGCATGGGTGAAACAGTATACTCTGTTATGTCCATGATACTGCTCATGTCTACAGGCGACGGTTACCACTTTCCATCAGGTTGGTCGACAGCTTGTTTGCCATTTTAAGTTGCATAAAAAGAAATAGACAAACTGAGGACCTTTTCCTTTTGAAGCTTAAAAAATACTAACCTCCGTATGCGATACAGAAAAGATTAACAGTATCGCCGATATAGTAAGGCCCAATGTTTCTGCTCACGTTGGCTGCGTCACTGGTTGTCTCTACTCGTGTGCCATTCTCGGACACTACGTACAGCCGCTGGGGAGGCTCTGTAAATTATGTTATTTATGAATTCAAATTCAAATCATCCTTATTCGAATAAAAGTCTACACAACAACGTGCTTGTAAACAGGTAATAAAACCTTACAATATAATATAGGGCATTTCATAAACATGCCTACAAACATTTACAAGGTCGACAACGCATAAGCCAATCCTCTTATGTTGCTGGTGTTTATGAGCGACGGTAACCACTTTCCATCAGATGGATCGGCTGCATCTTTGCCTTCCTAACTATAAAAAAAAGTGTTTACAAGCATTTTAAATCGCCATTTTTTATGAAAGTACTGAATTATTACAGTAATTTTTTTTTGCTAGAATAAAGGGTCCAAGAGTTGTTTGTAACTTAAAGAGTCATGGTTTCAGGCAAGAGATATTGCGGGATCGCCATATTTATTTAATACTACTTAAAGTACCTACCAATAATAAAGTGTTATAAAAAAAAGGTGTTAGACACAAAATAATGTGCAATGTAATATTTACGTTGTGTTGTTTAATAAATAGAGGGAATTGTTCCGGTCGTACTTCCTCATTAATACGCGGTCCAATTAAGCGAAGCGCCGCGCCGTTCTGTTATGTCAGCAATTATTCGACAAACACAATAGATACCTATGCACAATCCTTTGTCTATTTAAATTTTGAATGTTTTATTTATTATAATTAATACCTAAATATTATAAAACTAATGAGTCGTGCCCTAATGGTGTATAACCCAAATATATAAATCTTAAAAGTCGAATTGAATCTGCTCGACACCACAAAAATCTGTTAATTTAAAATGTCAACTAATTTCAATTAAAAATCAATGGTGACTGAAACGTCGTTATTAAGCCAAATTAATTACTACACGAATGTATTTTTTTTATGCAATTTGGAATAGTAAACAGACTAATGGCCCATCTGTTATGGAATAAACTAATAATCCCGCAGTAAGTACATGTATGGTTTAGTGTGGCATAATACATGCGTTATTAAAAAAAAAACATTAAGAAATTTACCGATGACAACAACTTTTACGTATGTCTTGAGTGTTGGACTAGACGCAAAGTCCGCAGAACAAATGTATATTCCTTCATCGGCCGGTCGCACCGTCAATATCTGCAGTTTGCCCAGACCTTCGCTCTCTGCTTTCACCAGCCTGAAGCGGGAGCTTGACGACGATACAATGCCCTTACCGCTACGTTGGTCGTGACTGCTGATACAGAAAAAATGTATGGATGCATTTTTAGAAATTTTATTTAAATATAAATATCATATTCTAAGAATTATATTGTGATTGAAAAATGTCGAAGCGAGCGAGATTTATACTTGCTTAATATTATTGATTGGTAATAGACGTCTATCTATCTGTCATCGTTTAGGTGTAGATATGGGTCGAACATTATCTAATATCTTTACGAAGTTTCATATCTATAAAACTTAAATAGAATTTTCATTGAGAAGTGCATCACTTGTCTACGGGTGGACTGATTTCGCATTTTTTAAATTTTTCTTTAATCCCATTAAACCTTTTAGGGAAAGTAAAATATTTGAAATTTATTTATTTAACACTATACTGTACTAATATTACATGAATTTAGTATATAATATTAGGTAATTTTCAAACACATCTATATGTAATAAATTGTGAACATGTAGCGTCGACTAGACACAAGAGATTTTTTCTTAATGGTTGAAAATAAAATGGTAATCCCGACTGCGCTATCCGTACACGCTGGCGGAGCACTAGTGAGAGGTCACATACGTGAGGATGAAAGCAGGCCTATTAGATCGCCGTGACGAATTTTACAAAAATTTATCACGATGATTAAACTGGCCGTATGGTCCCGGTATAGCCACCCCTTCTGTTCTCGTAGGTGTCGTAAGAACCGACTAAGAGAACTAAATGGTCGATGGATAGGCAGCAGCGTCTCTCTTAAAACATCTCCAACGCCTAACTGCTGTTGCCAACCCGCCTGCCAACTACTGGCCTATTTTCAGCAGCAGACAATTAATGGCTGATATGGTATTGTATGATAATAACGATGGTTTCCAGGAAGAATCGTGTGGAGGTTGACCTGATAGAGTATTGCTGTTATTGTATTGTATTATCTGGGCTGTAAGACCCGATCACTAACAATCGCTCCCCCCCCCCCCCCCCCGCAAATGTAGTGGAGTGATAGTCAAAAATGTTAGGACTGACAGTATAATATAGTTTAAATAGGGGGAAAGGGATTGTTAGTAATGGAGACTGAGAATCCCATTGCTAGCAATATACCCAACCAGGTCGACCTCCTCGCGGTTCTCCCTGGAAACTATCATGGTTAATTCCTGATGAATTCATCATGATGGGCTAACTGGCCTGTTTTCATTCTCATCTATCACCCTTCACTGGTGCTCCACAAGCGTATACCGTTAGCGCAGGCGGGGTTACCATACCATTTTCACCCATAAAAAAAAATATAGTTTAAATATAATAAAAATTAAATTCACCTGTAAATAGCTTTAGATGATTCATTTTTGTACCACGCGAGGACAGTAAGTTTATCATTTTCATTTTCAGCGCTTATGTTGCACGGCAACTCTGCAGTGTGTCCTACCACTGCATCAACTGAAAAAAAAAATAGTGTTAACCTAGCTCCATTAAATACATTTTAAAATATTATAAATATAAAAGATTTGTTATATTATGAAATTACTACTTTATTAACTAAATACTATTACATATGTATATTCGCCGTGTGGTCCCGGTATAGACTAGGCCACCCCTTTCTTTTCAGCAGGTGTCGTAAGAGACGACTAAGAAAGGGCGAGGGATGTGCAGCAGCGTCCCTCTTAAAACATCTTCAAATCCTAACTGTGGTTGCCAATCCGCCTGCCAAGTGTGGCAACTACTGGAAATAGGGACAACTCCCAACGGGGAGGCTTATATTCAACAATGGACAGTTAACAGTTGATATAATATCTAATAGTATTTAGTACCTATATCCTCATATGTAGTATATTTAGGCAACTAGCGTTATAATACTTAAGGTAGTGAATATTTCGGTTCTTGTTTTAGTTAAAAAATATTATTTACTCACTGACCATATTCCACATAAAATATATAAGATTGTGTTAAAAAAAACCGACTTCAATTGTGGCAAAACCAGTTATTTTGATTTAAAAACTACTGGACCGATTTTGATAAAATTTCTATGGGACTAATCTGTAAGTATATCCTTTCGTAATTGACGGAGTTGTGAGGTAACAAATATAAAAAGTACAACCGAACTGAGAACCTTCTTGAACCTTTTTGAAGTCTGTTGAAAATGCAGATTTAATGCTTCATAGCATTTTCTTCCACCTGATCTTTATGATCTATACCTAAAGAAAATAATATACAAATATATTCCTACAGGTGTCTCGTACAAGATTTTTTAAACCACCTCCAAAAAAAGGAGTTCCTCAATTCGTCCGATTTTTACGTCGTAATCATTATAAAAAAGTTCTGTTTTATCACAATTGCAGCTGGCGTTTTTCTTTACGTATTTTAACAAAAAAATTGCTGTTTGCAAAGCAAAATCTATATATAAATTTAGAATATAGGGTATATACGAAATATCTCGTTGGTCACCGATAAGTCCACGACTGAAGTTGCTTAGTTTGCGGAGCAATAAGAAATTTATAATTTTATTCCTATTTTCAAAATTACTTGCTTCTATCTTTTATATAATATAAGAATCTATCAAGCTATATATCTTTAAAAATTTTCCTTATTTGTTTTTGCGTATAAATTTTTTTACAAATGCATCATTCAATATGAACAACTTTTTAAATAACAAACTGATTGAGACTGAATCAAAAGACGTTGCACTTCCTCTATTACGATTCTAAATTACCTCCAGATATGTCGGCGCATACTAATTTTATTTAAATATTTAATTAAAAATGTATAAGCGACATTACTCACCTACTTCATCAACTTCCTGTGCACTTAGTCTTTCTAATGATAACACAATAAACACTATTATATATACAAAACATTTCTTCATTTTTTTAACATTAATCCGTAATAAGATTATTTTAAATTTTGCTTCCAAAATATCGCATCGAAGAGGACATGGCGCGATCGGGAGCAAGAAACGGACACGCGTTTCAATTGACGCGGCTGGCAGCAATAAGCATTGTTGTCGGTCCAGGGAGCGCGGGACTTCGCTACCGGCCGCCCGGTCCCACTTCCGGAGCGCCCGTCTGCTCCCGCGCGCGACGTCACTCCCGTCCCGCCGAACAAACAGGCGCTCGACGGTTCATCATTTACCTTACACTTTTTAATTGGGGAGGTCGAAACAATTGGGTCATTTCAACTGGATTTACTTATTGTGTATTGTGCAAAAAGGGAAACGGTTTTATTTTCGCCCAATTTGATATCCGGTTTGCTTTTCAACAAGTTCAATTTTATAACAGATACTCTATTTTTGTTGGTACAGATGTGGTTGCATTCTAATATTTTTATTAAATCCTGGAATATTTACTATTTTCAGCTCTTACTAGGAATAGAACGAATGATCAGAGTCAATAGGTAACAAAATTTAAAACTTACCTATGCATAGATGAAACAGGCCGATTTTAGCTCAGTCTCTTAATTTCTTTTTTTTTATGTGTTTTACGCTAATACCGTAATACATCTACTATCAGGTCGATCTCCACGCGGTTTCCCATGGAAAACATTGTGGTTAGATCTAGTGGGATTTGTCACGATGGGTTAACGAACCTTCTTTCATCCTTACCTATCATGTCTCACGTTTTTCCTTAATAAAAGAAATATCGCAACGTATAGACAAGAAAGTACCTGTATGTGCCGTTTTATTTGATATGGCCAGGGCTTTTTTACTATGTCTGTCATAAAACATTTAAATAAACTGCAATATTATGGAATTAGTGGACTAGCTCACGAACGGATCAAAAGTTATCTTAGTGAAAGACCTCAATGTGTAGAAATAAACAAATTAAATAAATCCCTTTGAAAACATCAAACACTCATCATAATTTAAATAAACACATTCTGGTCTTCCTCAGGGTAACATGTTAGGATCATTACTTTTTTTGTTCTATATTATGATATCCCAGAAACAATGACATATCTTTCTAGATTATACGTTGACAACATATCACTTATTATACACATAAAACCTGGCTTTATCAATAAAAAAATAATAATAAACAAGGTGCCCATTGGATGAAAAATAATTATCTCTGTATAAATGTTAATCAAACAAAATTAATACATTTTTTATAATAAAAATGGTAAACCTATTCATTAGTACATCAACTACAGCTAATTTTTGATCAGTTTTTTATAGTTTTAGTACATGAAAAAAATGTTTTCGCTTTATATATAAGTTATGTTTTTTATATATTTATATTTATGTTATTTATATATATCATTTAAGTAATAAAAAAACTGCCTTAATGGCATATCATGGTTTTGTATGCTCTAACTAAAGGTACAGGATCATTATATGGAGAAAATCAGTTAACATAGCATTTATCATTTGGAAAAAAATGTATAACAACAATGTGTGGTGTGAGACCACTAAAATGCAGGTCTTATTAAAAAACTTAATTTATTAACTCTTCCAAAATGTATATAGCATATACATTTTGAAAATGTGCATGATTGCAAAAAAATCTAAACTTATATAAAAGGAAGCAAGGTTTTACTTTCTCTACTAGATTTCTTACCCCCTCGACTCCTTCATCAGTGCCACCATAGTAGTATGTCTAAAATTTTACAATTTATTGCCTAATTCTATTAAAAACTTTTCAGTAATGAAAATTAAAAGGATGTTAACCAAAATATTATGTAAAAACTGTATGTATAATATTGATGAATTTTAAGACTATGTTTAATATCAACATCTTAGCCACTATCTGTTCACTGCTGAACATAGGCCTTGCCTATAGATGCCATAAGAAACAGTCCTGAGCCACCTGAATCTACCGATTCCCTGCAATACATTTGAGGTCATCACTCCATCTAGTGGGTTCTTTGAGCTATGTGACCAGCCCATTGCTATTACTATGTCAATATTTGATATTTTTAAACTGCAATGCTTTTACAAAATTATGTGTATGTAATATACACTAAATAAAGGCTCTATATATTGTCATGCCCTTACAGAGTGTCACAGAATAACTGGAAGATCTTATACACTCTTTAAGTGTATGCATTGTATTATATTTTATGATATTGCAATAAACATTAAAAATTACCTCTAAAATATTTGTTCTAAACATATATTTAAAATAAATTTATAATTTTTTTTATGAAATAAGACAAAAATAATTATCAATAAATGATTTATTTCAGGTTTTTTAAATATTTTCAAATTATTTACTAGGTCAATATTTAGCATAAGAGAATTAAAAATTCTCTTGTTTTGATATGTAAACATTTAAACAATCAGAGGTAATTTAAACCACAACTCTTTGTCAATATTGTACAATAAGGAATTATTACATAGCACTGAACCATATTTCTATTTCAAATCTTTCAAGGACCGCACAAACAGTACTGCCAATATAGCTATGACTGCACTGCCAACAGTACCAACAAACATTTTTTTAGTCTTCATGTTAGTTGATTCTCTAGTCAATTCCTGAAAAACACAACAACATTACTGTCTCCTAACTTGGTCTACAACATTTTATAAGTTTATCAAACAATATATGTCATTTCATAAAGGTGTTCAATTTTATCGTATTAAAAGACATACAATAATAATTATAAATATTTATGATTAAATATTAACCTTTAACTGTGTATGTAATGTTATATCCATAGAATTCAAAATATTTGTAATTTCACTCAAAGTGGTTAATGCAATATCTGAAGCATATTTATCTTTATAAATTAAACAGTCTTGAATTTTCTTTGACTTCTTTAAAGTTAGTGTATTTGCCAACATACTCAAGTATATTCTATATAAATGCTGTGAACTTTCCTCTAGAATTTCAGTTATTTCTGTAGGGCTTAAATTTAAACTGATGTTATACCTGTAAAAATAATATGTATAAACCTAATTGGGAGCATTTGATTTTAAATTAGGAACAATAATGATAAGACAGAAATTGAGATTTTAATATAGATATGTATTTATATATTTCATTAGATCACCTATATCACTTCACCCAAGTTATTTATACTATAAAATAAATAACTCTTTTTTTATTATCAGCAGCTTTTATTTTTCAATTATTTTAATACAATTTTCTAATCCTGAAATATCACTATTAATAAATATAATATTTGGAAATAAATAGCATGATAAATAATAAAAATTTTGCAAATAAAAAATTATATAATTTTCTTATTTCTCATAGATATATCTCCAGAAGTAGTTGTCAAAAATCAGTATATTTATATCAAGACTGAATTTCATATATACAGATATTTTTCACGTAATTGTTCTAAGTTTAGATAATTTTTGCATAGATTTATTCTACTGTGCATAAATCTCCATCTACCTTCTCCTACCTTCAAAAAGTGATAAAAGTTTAGTGTAGATATAAACTTAAGAGTTATGTAATAGGCTTTAAAACTTTCTGCTTATATTCTTATTATTATATTAAACATATTCTTAATTAGACTACATTAACTTACAATAGTCTATTTTCTTCATATATTGGCAAGTTTTGAACTTCTTCAAGTAATTTATTCCTAATTTCAGGGTTGTCTACTCCTAGTTTAATAAGATCTTCATCTGTCAGCTGTGTTAACGTTAATTGGCCAATATTTTGTTTCCTTTAAAAAAAAAAATTAATGTTTATTAAAACTGATAGGTCTACACAAGTTAAACTAATAACTTCATAAAAGTAAAGTGTAACCAAAATATAATGTATATTTAATAAAACATAATTTGTATTACTAATTCTTTAATAATATTACAGATACTGGATACATGTTTTTTTTTTTCAAAATATTCCTTATAATTATAAACAAGGGATACTTACCTAAAAATATTAATATATTTTTCAGCTCCAACACTTATTAACAAGGCGCCTACAGTAATGTCAAATTGTAACGGATCGATTTTATCAACTAGAGCTAATTCAGAAATAGAACCTATTTCAGTATCCATAATATAATTAAATATTTTAAACTTATACTGTTTGAAAATTAAAAAAACGCTAGTTTTTTATAAACCTGATTTGACACAACTAGCGACAGAATCTGACAGATAAAGGTGATTTTGACAAACAAATGTGTCAAAATAAATGACATTCAACCTTTACACCAAGGCTAGTTTACACTGTAAATAGTGCAGATAACAAGAGCAGTATTAAGTAGAATATATAAACTATCACGCTATTAAGAGACAAGTATAAAGTGATATTAAGAAACTATGAAGTACTACGTAGCACACAGATGTATTTTTGCTGTTAAGTAACCTCCAGGTGCATTGCCTGCGATGTAATGTAGATATGATTTGTAGAACACTTTTAACAATAATTAAATTTAACAAATAAAAAGTTTTCTTTACCACAAACGTATAATGTATTCACATACTAACAGACTGGAAGGACTGTAGGACAAAAAATAGTTACAGTTTAAAAGGAAGCTGGGTGGACCTTGCGCATATTATTATTGGACACTAAGCCCATCCCAGGATGTAAGCGAAACTTTTTATTGGATTTAATCGAATCTGTACATAAAGTTCCTTCTTAGGGGGCCAAGGCTCTCCTACAATATAATGTTCAAAACACTAGTGTACATACAGTATAAATATTATGTATTTATGTAAAATTTAAGCTGAAAAAATATAAAAAAAAAATTGCACGGGTATGTAACGTATATATATATAAAATAATAAATATAAATATATGGTACATTATTATGTTTCTTTCCTCTTTTACATATTACAAATCTATATTATAATCCGGGATTGTAATTTATACTTTATAATCTAGTTTTTTACTTAATACTTGACAGCCTTAGATTATATAGATAGAGTGTCTGCTTGCAAATTCTTCAAGAAAAGCGGGTTAACTTTTTCATACTATTTTGCGTAATAAATAGTTATGAGTGAATTCTTTATAACTTCTTTATTAACTTTGTATTATAAATTCTGCACCTTTTTAATGCGCAAAAATTCATTTTATTTATTAAATAATTAAATGTAGATACATTGTGTGCGTAAGTATATAGAACGTAATTAAAAAAAACGAGTCAGCTAATTTGACAATTAGCTGATATAAATTGACCCGTTTTAAGGCTCGATGCTCTATCTATATAATTTAAGTTGACAGCTTATAAACTAGACAACTGTTTCGCTCCTGCGTTTATTACTTAATAAGTAATAAACTCTACAAGTTCGTGATTTCCGTTTGAATCCATGAATAAAAAATCCAATACCAGGTTTCTATAAGTAAAAAGTTTCAAATAAGTAGTTACCTATTGTTGAGTACCTTAAGTACCTTGAGTCGCTTAAGTACCTCAGTACTAGGTATTGAGGTACTTAAGCGACAATTGGTAGGTACTGTACCAGTACCTACTAAATGTCGCTTATTTTTTTTTAAACAAATTCGTTTATTTTTCTTATTTTATGCAGGTAGGTATATTGAAAACAGGCTAAATGTAGAATTCTTTTTTATATGTAATTATACCTACAAGTAAATACAAGAAACATCTTTTATATAAAAAAATGGGCTTTTATCATTTTCAGTAGGTGAATAATAAATAAACACAAAAGTTGTACAAAAAAACGACTTCAATTGTGGCAAAACCAGTTATTTAGATTTAAAAGTTAAACAATTGAACCGATTTTGATAAAATTTCTAAGGGATCAATCTGTAAATATTATTTTCAGATAAAAAAGAATTTTCCAAATCGATTTATACGAAGTAAAAAGATAGATATAGGTACCTACATCAAATACCTAAGTAATAAATGAACTAAATAAATACCTACACCCGACCAAAATCCTTCACTTTCCGTTCATAAATTTTGCTATTATAAATATAAATAAATATTAAAAACAAAATATTAAGAAGAACTTAAATTATCTATAATAACTTTAACAGCTTCCCAAGTTTCACGAGCAGTCGAAACTATTTGGGCTGCAGGTAGTATGTAGCCGTAGGGTCCGATAGAGTCTCCAAGATCCACGTGGTAGGAGAATTTAATGCCCGCACGTGCTTTAGCCCAATCATGTGACATTCCTGAAGCTTGTTGGTGCATTTCAGTGGCAGTTCCGACCTGTTATTAAATAATATAGTTAAAAACCAATTTAAGTATCTACTTAATAACTATGATACTTATATCTAAGTAGCTCTTATGCATTGCCATTTCCAGGGGCTTAATATTATGCCACTGTAGTCTATAATTTTATCCGCCGTCATTCCCCGCCTTTGGAACAGAAACAAGTACAGCAGCAGGTGAAATATAACTATGATATTATAAAAAGAGATGGTCGCTTATGATTAGATGGGCCGTCTCCATGGTTTCTATTCTCGTTTTACAAAAATTGTCAAAAATAGTTTATTTGCTTCATATGATCTATAATTAATTTAAAATTAAAATTAATTATATTCCCAAAGAGGGTTGACGTCAGTCAGGCAGGTGGCCGGTCGTAAAACTAAAAACCAAATCTTTTTGTATTATCGATAAAATCTTATTACGCCGACCCCAAATGATTGGGATAAGGGTAGGAAGATGATGATGATCTATAATTAATTACCTGGTACTTAGTGCCGTACACATCTGCAAGCGCTGCTGTAGCCAGTTTGCCCATCTCCATGAGGACACTGTCATCGTCAGTAGCTACCGTCGTGGGCGCGCTCGGCACCAACCACGTTTGAGAATATGCGTGTAGAGAGATGTACGCCTGGTAAATAAAATTATTATAGCATGTACGTGACTATATATATTTTTTTAATTTTATATTATAATTAGCTGACCCCGTAAACGTTGTTTTACCATTTATTGCGAAATTTAAAAATCGCGATTAAAATACAGGGGTTGATCATAAAATGATGAAAATTTAAAGTTGTATGTATTTTTCAATGCTAAATTATAATAAAATAAAAATAAAAAACATTGTCAAAAAAATAAAAAAAAATATTTTGGGGTGGGTCACCCTTATGATTGACGGGTATGAAAAATGATGTTGGCCGATTCTCAGACCTATCCAATATGCACACAAAATTTCATAAATTTAGAAAATAAAGAAAGGCTTTACCGATGTAAAGCCGTTTCGGAGGAGTTTGGTAACAAACACCGTGACACGAGAATTTTATATATTAGATTAAATAGGAATAGGATGCATTTGCAATTAGGACGTTTTGTCTATTTCACTTCTTGGGAAATAGGTCATCATTGTCATATCAGCCATTAACTGACCACTGCTAAACGTAGGCCTCCCCCATAAGAGAGACTTTGCCTGTAGTTGCTACGCTTGACAGGCGAGTTGGCCATCGCAGTTACACTCTGGTAATGTTTTAATAGGGACGCTGCTGTTGGGAAATAGTTAATTGATCTTAAATGTATTTACAAATTTGAACGAATTATTATCTAGTGTAGTTTCCATTTACAAATAGCGGTAGATAAAAATTATTGAGACAATAGTAGGGTCGAAAAAGCACCGTTCTTTATCTCTAAAAAAAAAAAAAATTCAGAATTTATTCACCAAATTAAATATATAATAGATTTGATTTTGATCTACGTTAAATTAATTAGTATGAAATTAAAACAAATTTTAGAGATAAGTTTAAAGAATGGTACATCAGATGGTGTTTCAGTTCTTTGAAAGTTCTTCACGTCTGATATTTATTCCTAACGAGGTATGGGGAAAGTATATAGGCTCATCATAGATCGTTAAAATTATAAAGTCTACACCTCAAGTAGCACTACTACAAGTATAACAGCAATATGAGTTTTTATTAATTACTAGTGAGAATGAAAAATAAGCGGACCACTTGACGGGAAAAAATATCCGTCGTCCATAGATTTTACAAATTAATCAAAACTATGATTTTCATGTCATAGATGATGTTTATGGTAAAAACCATGAACTCCTAAGTATATACAAATATATGTTACGAGGACTTTCATGCCAGAGATTGAAAACGATTACTCTTTTAAATTGAACATATCAAAGACTATTTTTAGCAGTAAATGAATAAGAGTAAGGTAGATAAAATACTGCGATGAAGAACTTGCTGTATTAGTGTTAATACAAAGACCAATTTCGTTTTCACAATGTCAATTTCTTCATGCGACAAATATAAGGGTATGTTTCGGTTCCATAGTCATAACCGGCAAACATGCATATTGAGGTAAGCTGAAGTGGCAATGAGCTGGTCAGGATCATAAGCAACAACCGACAAGAACCGAAGAAATGGTCTCAAGTGGTAATTGTGTGCTGTTAAATCTAATATAAAGTTAAGTATGTTACAGGAAGTCAGTGAATGCAGATGTCTTAGGGTTGTCGTTACAAAATTTTGCTATAAGGATGTGCTACAACGGCTGAATTGATGATGATATTGACTTACTAATCATTAATATTTGTCGAGGGTAGATACAACCCTAAATTTACTAGATAGATAGGTAGTAGATACAACACTTAATAAAAAAATATTACGAAGTATCAAATATGAGATCAATACTAGTGCAGGGTAGGCTTCATTTGAAAGTATAGAAAATGTTTTGAAAGTAACGATCTGTTCCCAATAATAGTTATTCCGCCACAATTTCTCACTATCAACATGCGGTCTGACTTTAGTGTACCATGAGAATGATAAATTGCAACACTGTTGCCAACAGAATAGAAACTGGGTAGGTACTTCTGATTTCTAACTGGTACAGTTGATAGTATGCCTACATAGGTAGGCACATAATAGCACAACCCATAGTTGTATTGCCATTACTTAAACGAATAAGTCAATACACAATTATGCTATTTGTTTCTTACCACTTTATTATAGGTAAACCGCTATTTATATCTTTGCGACAGGTACATAGAATAATTCCTTAAGAATGTCTATTACCTTTAAACACTGTTAGTCATCGTATAATTATAATCTTTATTATTACAGGTAATTAGACAAAATTATTATTAACAGATATGGATCTCTAGTTTCAACTTCAATAAAGAAACGCTTGCTTTGTTTTGTTCAGAAACAACACTTAGTTCGTAACGCTAGGACTCGATTTGTGTCAAACGATGTAACACAGTAAACAAGCAATTACGATCGTAAATAACTGCATAGCTATCATAAATAATGTTATTAGATAAAAACTGTTGGCACATGGTGAAATTAGAAATTCGTATTATGTGAAAACATTTCACTTTGTTTGATGTTATTAATGGAAGTGGTATAATATTGCTTTTTTTTTCATTTTATGAAGTTCAACTCTTTTGAAAATATAAATTTCGATAAGGATATAAACATGAATGAATTATTATATATCATTACGTTACGTAAGTACGTGTGCCACGTGGTCCCGGCATAGAATAGGCCACCCTTTCCATTCCCGTGGGTGTTGTAAGAGGCGACTAGAGGGAGGGCGAGGGATGGGCAGCAGCGTCCCTCTAAAAACATCTCTAAAGCCTAATATAATGCTGTTGCCAATGCGCTTGCCAAGCGTTGCAATCCCCCCAAGGGGAGGCTTATGTTCAGTAGTGGTCAGTTAAAGGCTGATATTATGATGATGATTATATCATACGTTGCTAATACTGGGCCGATTTGGATACTTATTTTTATAATCAAAAGTTTTTACTTCAGTTTTAGCTTCATATTGATTTTGTGTTTTCTTTACTTTTTATTTAATCATTATATAAATATTAAATATAAATAATTAATATTTTGACTGAATCTCGAGGACAAATAAACTGATGTCAATGGAATATTCATGTAATAAGATATAAAATAACAATGCGTTGTTGTTCTCGAAAGAAATAAACCTACACATTTACAATAGAACTTTCAAAAGATCCAATAATAGACACGTACCTTTTATTGGACCTCTTGAAAGTTTTAGTATGTAATAAAATTTAATAGAATAGATACCCAGGTAAAAGTAGGTTTTAGTACATAAAACGGCCCTATAAATAGATAGATAGATACTCTTTATTGTTTCTCTATAAGATTACAATAGTAAACTTATTATAAATACAAACAATTACAAGAAAATATTACACTAAGGAACTGATGGGTGGCCTTATCGCGATCTCTTACAGACAACCTTTGGATGGAGAAAAATAATTAATATATATTTAATTTATATTTCTTATGTGGATATATATACCTATGAAATTACCTTAATGTGTCCTTTACGTTCAGTTAAAAATTCCGAGACTGCTTTAGTTTCTGGCTCGCTGAAAGGGTGTGGGCCGGCGTAATTGTCTGCACACCGGTCTCGGGATGAGTCCTGCTCCCCCCAGTGGTAATCCCAATTACGGTCCACGTCCACACCCACGCACTCCCCTCGACCCCAATTCCATGGTAACCTACGGAAATTTGGTATGTAAAAAGAGCAATAGCAATGGGGAAAAAATCAGTGTTAGACATATCTTTATTGCAACTCCACACGGAGTGTTCATTGGTTGGATATGAAAAAAAAATACCTGAAATTAATTATGATTGGATTGGATTAGTTATGATTTTCAATCTATGAATTTGAATTTCCATAAAATCCATTCCATAAATCAAATATCCACTAAAAAGTACAAAAGTCGACTTCTCACGTGACTCATCTGTTATTTCGTAAGTCTACATAGGCATTTACATTCTTATACCGATATAGACATTTTTGAAGTGGCGTTTTTATTATTCACGTTACTACACCTTGACTAAAGCAAGTTCAATTGCTGCTATTCATCCTGAGGTGGCCTGGAAGGGACCGCTACTTGGTCGTTAGGTTCTCTATTATTATTAAAACACCGTTCGAACTTTCACAGAAAACAACGTTGTTTTTGTAAATAGAAGTACTTACACACTTGGTTAAATGAAATATAAGACGAAAACTCGTTCAGTACCATAAAAATGGTCAAAATGTCAACAAGAAATTATTAACTTAACTTGTTTTGCAAAAGTGTTGCTTTCTAAATCTATACCTACACATAATAAAATTTTAACTAGTCGGAGTCTAGTACTTATCCAATATGTAGGTAGTTCTAATTTAAATTTATTCTTATACATTACCAGGGGGAAACTTCGTACCAATGTTATCTGCAGGGGAGCACGTACAGAACACTAGAACTATCTTAGTTCTCAGGAATAGTATCGATTACTACTTTCCATCAAATGGTCTGTCAGATTATTTGCTTTTACAAATTGTATAATAATAATAATTGTATTTGCTCTATCCGCTGACATTGGTGCCCCTCTTCACTTTAGATTTGATGGTAGAGTACTCTTGTAGACTTAGGTTTACCTTTGTACATTTGCTTTTCACTGTCATGTTTCTTTATGTATTATTAGTGTTTTTTTTACGCAACTTATAATTTCACACAGGGTGACGGCCCACCTGGTGGAAAGTGGTAACCGTCACCTATAGACATGAGCAGTACCATGGATATAACATAGTATACTGTTTTACCCCATGAGTTGCAATTCCTGAGAACTCAGGTGTTATTCCTCTGTACCCTGTAAATTCACTGCCACACCCCACCATTCAAACCTTCAAATATGTATACATAAGGTATGAATAAATAAATCTTTTACAAATCTGGACCACTCTGATGTTTTAAATAATGAATACGCTTACCGTGTAATTAAAAGTTTAGTCTTTGTAATAAAATATTTTGCGTCTTAATCGACTCCAATAACTCACCATCCAACAAAAAAATCATCACTTTGATCATCATATAACGAGCGGGTTTTCTTCCAAAGTCGATCATGTGTATGGGAATGCTCGTAGCCATCCGGATTTAATACTGGCATTATGTAAAAATCTGCCTGTTTTAGCATTTCGTAATCAGCTCCTATGAACAATAAAATATTTTGCAAATATTAAAAAAAAAAATATCAGAACCTAACTGTAGTATAAAGAAATTTTCAAATCGACTAGTTACTTTCAGAGATAAGGTGGCCTATTCTATGCTGACACACACACATTATTATTAAAGAAAAATCATTTTATATAGGAAAGCACGTGACTGAATATGACGAATTATGAAAAACTACGAAATAAGAGACGAATGAAGAGTCCTTTAATACATACTTGATTTGTTCTGCTTACTATGACGTAAAGAGATGTATACATTTATGTTCAAACTCATTTTCCAAGTATTGCCTATTCGAATATCATTTATATTAAACATATTATACATAGTTGGTACTATTCATGGAAAATTTATTTATAATTATTACTAACAGAATAAGAAAAAAAATGTTATGTGTGTTGTGACACGAGCTGTATGGAGACATGGCAGGACATACTTGCTGGCACAATTAGTTTACCATAGCTAGTATATTTTACTAACAGTTGAGCATTGATAGTTTATAAGTATTATTGTACATAATCTTATTTTAAAAGAGTATTAATATGTAAATTCATACCCTGTCCTTTTTCACCTTCAATGAGAGCTTGCATTATCCAAGTCGCAACTGCAGGCGAGATCCACTCCCTAGCGTGAGAACCACCGTCTAGCCATATTGCAGGTTTTGAACGAAATCCGAGTTTCCACTTTTTTTTGTCTTTGCCTTTCCTATCTTTTATTCGTGTCTCATTTGTAGGCATAGATATCTGGAAAACGAGGAGATTATTTGCAATTATAATGTACTATTTTCGACAGACCATATATTTTTTAATACTTTTTTCCTAAAATGAGGCAGTTTACATTATTTTACGTTGTATCGGGGCGCTTTTCAATAATATTCAAAGTATCCTACTCTGAAGGATGGAAAATGGAACACAGCACCGTAAGAGTATTCAGTTAATTATAGGACTAGTGCCACTTCTTTACCTAATAGGGATTTAGACATTTTTTTATTATTTGTTATACTGATAAGAATAGCAAAGAAATTTTATATTAATCTGACAAAAAAATGATAATTGTAATATTTGAATCATAGATTACAATATGAATATTAATACTCCTACGTAATGAATACAGCATCAGAGATTACACTGGTTATCGTACCTTTAACAACAATTGATTGCAGATTCACAACAAAAATAACATTTTGTAAAATATATACGAAAATTACTACGGAGCAAAAGACTAATAATTTTGAAGTTTAAAAAAGTAGCAAAAGACTATTATATTTTAAAGTTTATTCATTGACAGCAAGTTCTTTCCATTTTTTCTATAATACGAGTACAATATAAAATTTCTTTACATAAATTTCGTATAGTTACGAGCTTCGATTTTTCCTTGACTGAAGCAAATTTTTATAGGCATGCAAGATACATGCAATTTGAAAATCTGCTTGTATTAAAATCCATATCTGTATTAATACCTTATGCTAATATCTAGGTAAACGTGTTGTACAAAATTATATATATTATTACATTTTTAATTTTCGTTGAAATAAGTAGATACAAGAATATTATATAGGTAAGTATTTACATGAATAAATTATAAGTACCTTAACAGCTACTAAAGGGAGTCCCTCTGATGAATTGCCCAGCATTATTAGTTCCACTAACTCTCCATATGCGTGTTGTAAGTAGTCTAAATAACGTAAGATATCCGCATATCGATGATATCGTCGCCAACTCATCGGGTGACCGAACACTTTGTTGGCTTCAAGTCTTTCTTTTTTGGAAAATTTTGGATTCTCGAGTACTATAGCTTTCTGTTAAATTAAGAAAAAAAAGTTTATATAGTTTGCTATTATTATTTACAATGTAAAGGTAATTTTGTAAGAATGTCTATTACCTGCAAGTCTCGAATCAGGATGTCAAAATCTATATTATAATAACTAAGGTGATGTTTAACATCCTCTAAAAGATCCGGTGGTGTAAGGAGATCTGTATACCCGTTGACAGTAGGATTGGACCACCACATTAGACCAGAGCCATCCCCTTCTTCTTGCAATTCGACTATCGCTGTTACTTTTTCTTTGGTTTTTGGATATATTCGTAATAACTGATAACCTTTGTAAGATATTCTCGGTGACTTTTTTTTCATTCTTTTATCTATAACATGATTATAATTAAAATTATATTCTGGCCTTAAATTAAGTTCTATTACTAGTTAAATAAAAATAACATCGAAGAAATATTAAAAAAAAAACCTCTATATAATTTTACAGTTTCTTAATAATTAAACAATTTAGTAAGTTAAGACGGTGAGTAAAATACTCTGCTATTTTAATTTTATTGTAATAATTTGTTTAAGTAAAGTAATAATAAATTGCAGTTATAAACTCGTACATAAAGCATTTACATAATTTATTAACATTTTGATTTCATTACCTGTATTTATAGCTTCGAAATAAACTCCATCATTGATTTCAGAATTGAGTAAAGCGGAGTACCAATCAGAATTAGGCATAGTCCATGGCGATACTGTCGTGGAAGACTGATTAGGTTTTGGTTGTTTTTCGAACCAACTAGCCCCTCCAAACCAGGTTGATTTTGATATCCAATTATAAATTCGCATAAAGATACCTGTCAAAATGTTTACAGATTGTTAAATTATAAACTCATTATGTAGTAAATGTAAAATGTGGCAAAATCAGAGAAGTAACTGTATTTACATGTATTTGTAACCTTAGATTTAAAACTCTATTTTTTTTAAATCTCTTTGCCAAATTTAATCTAAATTGACATAATACCTAATGTATCTATAAAAACGCAACAAACAAGAGTATTCTCACATTGAAAATATTAGAGAGTTTAAGTTTCGTCACTACTCGTATTATTTGCTTTGTCTTGTCCATAATCAGTTATTTGCTCGTACGTCCGGACATTCCTGGTATGGTCTTCATTTTTAACTGATTACGAAACTACATACACATATTAACCGTTATTTGTCCACTTTTAAACATAGGTTTCCCCCATAGATGGTCATTAGGAAGGGGCCGTTTCTTGTAGCAGTTTACTACTGTAGTCATTTTGCCAATAGTTGCCACACTTGGCAGACGGAGTTTGACTTTTGGTGATGTTTTAAGAGGGACGCTACAACCCATTTTTCGACCATTAAGTTTTGTTAGTCGTCTCTTACGACATCCACGGGAAAGGAACAGGTGGCCCATTCTATGTCCGAACCATAGGGCACGTTTACAGAATTGTTTTTCGCATATTCGAGCACTGACTACGTCATAATCTAGGCCATTTGTCTAATTTGGGGGACGTGTGTTCAAACTCTCCCCCAATCAAAAGCCTTTCAATTTGCACAATACTAATAAAAATAAAATATTCAAATTTGTATAACATTTCAATCACTACAAAATTCCGTTTTTTTTTTTTCTATGACAAGATACTATTTTAGGGTTTTTAATATTACTTTAAATTTGACAACGCTGTTTCAAATAAGATTTTGTATTGGGTAACTATAATTTTGTCATCAGGCAGTTTAGTTACTAGTTACTTATGATAGTGAAATCATAGGGTATGCGAAAGCATAATTTCTTTGTTGTCAGGAATAGCAACGCAGGGATGTTATTTATGATTTTTATGTAAATAACTTTATTGACCAAAAGAAAATATAGTACAAAAGTCGTACTTAATGCTAGTAGCATTCTCTACTCGTCAACCTTTGTATCTTTTTGGGATATCATTTGGGTTATAATGTATTCTATTATCTATGATACTATTTGTGCCAATTATTCTTCTCCTGTAGGCGTCATCTCTTGGCGAAGGTGATTATTATGGCGATTTTAATTCCATCCATCCACCACCGTCCTGAAGAGATCTAGCGCAAGAGTTTATATCTAGAGTTTACATCGTGCCTCCGATCAAACTGTTTATAATTACTTCTTTCTATCCAAAGGTTGCCTGGAAGAGATCGCTTTTAGCGATAAGGCCGCCCATTGTTTCCTCATTGTGATTATTTCTTGTAATTGTTTATATTTATAATAAGTTTATTATTGTAAACTTTTGGAGGAAACAATATATGGAGTATCTATCTATCTATAGGCGACGTTTACACTTTTCCGTCGTTAGGTTCTAATGGCATGAAAAAGTTACAAGTTCAATCTGGTGGCAGGTGAGTTCCGGGCATTATAAATGTTACATTGATGTAATCTGGGCCAACAACCTAGGCGTGAACGTAACTTTTCTGCTTTTCTTCATAACTAAAACCACGTGTGATAGTCGGTAACTAGTTATAATCATACTGGTTTTTCCGCAAATGCGAAGGTTTCCTTTATTACTAATTTTATTATTTTTAGTAAATATAATCTTACATAGTAGTATAGAGTCGTCAATGTTAATCGACGTTTAGCTGCTTATGTCTCCTGACTAACAAAGACAAAATTTTACAGGATAAAATATTCTAATTTTAAATTCATTCTATAGATAGTATTTATATAATTTTATATATAATTTTTTGTTTCATCGTAGACGATGAAACAAAAAATTTGAATAGTTGATTTTAAGATAAAGTCTCAATATTTTGAAGTAAAAATCAGTGGCAGACTAAGCCTATCCGAAGCCCAGGGCGGCAAAGTTGAATGACGGTAGTTTTAAAAGTTGACGTAATTTACAGAGCGTTTTGTTCAGTTCATATTTGTATGTATAAGTGATTATAATTTAGTTAAAATCTTGGAAATTAAATTTAAATTATACTAAATAAACATACATAAAATATGCTTCCGGTATAGAATGGCCACCCATTCCTTTCCCATGGGAATCGTAAGAAGCAACCAAGGGAACTAATAAGAGAATAATAACAATACCAACCGGCTTGTCCAGTGGCAACTACATATATATATATATATATATATATATATATATATATATATATATATATATATATATATGACAACTACATATGTATATAAATATATGATTATTATATGTATATTATTTTTGAATTACTGACTTAATTTAATATATATATATATATATATATATGACAACTACATATGTATATAAATATATGATTATTATATGTATATTATTTTTGAATTACTGACTTAATTTAATAATGCGCATCACGTTGCACCGTCAATTATATTTTCTGTTACACAGTCGACTGCTAGCTAACGGCTATATGGTATTAAGTCCGCCATTTACACTTTCTAGGTATAATAAATAAGTTTAATAAATAAAATATTGCTGTAATTTTATAATATTATATAGTATATACTCGTTTTAAAAATTAATTTCTTTTTAAATGCAAAATTAGCATCGCTATAATTCACGATTGATTGTCAAATGACGGTGATATCTGTTTTAATGTATTACGTTATTAAATAAAATTAAAATGTAACATCAGTTTAATCCCTTTGACACTTATAAAATATAGTCTCTAATAATATAAATAGTACTTTTACACACTATGTGCGTGAACTTTTAAACTGTTTTACGTGACTATTAAACATTCGCAGGCGTAGACCCGTTTTATATTATTTGACGAGGTTATTAAAAAAGGCGACCATCGTTCGCTTATAACACAATGAACTCACCCTAATATATTTAAATATGTATACCTATACTACATAAAACTGTACATCAATTATCAAGGCTCACTTATTCGTAAATAAACAGGTACCTAATTAAATAAAGGACAACAGCATTCCATAAAATAATACGTTTTATTCGCTTAATACGTAGGTACTTATTTAATTTTAAATTGAATACTTAATTTCAGATACATTGTATTTTAATAAATATTATAATTTATTTCCCATGCTACTTACTCATAAGTACAGACAACTAACGATAAAGATAAAATCTACCAAAACAGAAATAAAATTGATACGCTGGTACATGTGATGCATCTATATATCTATACCTATCGGACAAGATAACTGCGTTATGTAGAGTTATCCAACCTTATCAAATAAATAATTCAACCTACCTGAAAACCAACCTGGTTTTGTAGGCTTCTTAGAGGGCTTTTTCTTTAATTTATTATCGCCTTGAAAAAGTGTAGAAAACCATGCAGTTTTCTTTGGTGGGCAAGTGGTTTTCTGTTGTGTCTTGGTTGTTTTAGGAGTAGTACTTATAGATTGCCGATTGTGCGTGATGGTGGTCGGTCGGCGGGTAGTGGTCACCCGTTTTGGTTTTGTTGGTGGCCTCATTGTGCTCAAAGTTGGACGCCGTGATGCCGTCGGCCTTCTAGTTGTCCAACTAGCTATCTGCTCCATATTTTCATCAAACCAAAATTGCTCATTTTCGCCATAAACAATGGGCTGATACGGAATTCTGTTACCTATATTTGGTGTCACAAAAGGTCTTTTTGTCACTATAAAGTTTGTATGACTTTCAATTTTAATATTAGTTCTTTTAATTATATTTTTCTTATTATCATCTTTTGTTTTTTTAACAGTCACATTCACCTTGGGACCTTTATTTCTTAGTATAACTTTAGCACTGGGTCTCTTTGTAGTAGACAGTGGCGAAACGGGTTCGAAAGATTCGGAGTCTTCCCATAACTCGAAAGGATCAAAAGATGCCGAGTCGGAAGTTTCTAGGGACCGCGGCGGCGAAGTGAGCGCGACGGCCGCGCACGCCAGCAACGCTAGCAGCGCCAGGCGACGCGCCATAAGGCGAGCGTGTGCGCATGGCGAGGTGCGCGTGCACTGTAAGTCCTACCTCAAGCTGCTTGAATTGCACCGAGTCGACCACCTTCCCTGCCACTATCATTATGCGACGATGTCGCTTTCAACTTGGACGTGCCAACAGCCACTAGGTCAGCCCGCCTATTCCGCATCTACCACTGTTACAGTAGCCCACTCTCTATAAAACTATTACTTATTATGGTTTTCGCCGTGCCCTTAATTTTACTCTTTTATATTATAAAATTAAAAATTTATAAGTCACAATTTATTTTTATTCTGATTACACGAACCCTCTTCACAACATTATGGAAAACGATTTGTGAGTGTAATGAAAAATGCAAGGAAAATGTCATTGCAACTCTATTAATTTACTTCTCAACTTTAATATTAAACCTATTATAAAATTTATTTTTAACAAAAGGAAACTTGGTACAAAATAAACTTTGTATGTATAACTCTCACTATTTTTATTTTAATGATGATGATGGGAATGATAACTCCGCCTGTGCTGACAGTATACACTGGCGGGGCACCAGTGAGGGATGATAGGTGAGAATGATAAAGCAGGTCAGTTAGCCCATCATGATGATTACACCTGGAATTCAGCACGATGGTTTCTAGAAGGGCCACTTCCGATACCTGGGGTCGTGGGGTGATACCTAGAGGTCGATCTGATTGGGTATATTGCTAGCGATGTGACTGGTAGTCCGCATTACTTATCACTTCCTAGCTACACTAGCTATCCTCGTTTGGTTGTATCTCTGTTTGAAGAGCTCATCCTATCCTAAGAGGTAGGCAATTCATAAGGGATATCATTACAGTACTTGTCACGATATCCATGGTGTTGTTAATGTTTTTATGCGACGAATAATTATTACCTTCTAGTACCCGTCACTTGAGTGGCCATCGACTGGTTTCTGATTCCAAAACCTGTGCTAATTGTTAAATGTTTAATTAAAGAGATGTGATCCAGTGTTCAGATTGTAATTTCAAATGTTTCGTTTACGTTAATTTAAATTTCTCATGAATTTTCCATTGATCATGAACACCATTAACAAACTAACAATATTCGGAGAGCGGACTATAGGCCTTACGAGTACTATGTAGAATTCAAATAGGCTTAACAAAATCTGTACCAGTGAAAAGTAAAGTTCACCACTCGGCTAACAATGCCTTCGCTCTATTTTTATTTTACTCTATCTATCATGACTATATTTATTTATTACTAGTGTTCACCCGCGACTTTAGACGTGTGAATAGGAGAAACATGTCCCATGTAGGAATGTACTTTATCCGTCTTAAATAGTTCATATGACAAATTGTATAATAATTATTTAAGCTCTATAGGTACCAAGAGTTAATAAATAATTTGATTTTAACAAATAAAAGGATTTAAAAAATATAAATCTTTCCAACACTTAATGTTCTTTGCGAACATACAATGCGTAGTTTTTTATTTTAAATCCGCATTACTTCGCACTATTTTATAGGCTATGTAGTATATATAATACTAAATAATATATATTTAGACATGTAACCAGTTACAATTACATATTTTCGTATCTAATGAAAATTGTCCGGTGATATTAGTTACATTTGATAATATTGCGTGAAATTTAGACCAAGCTGCATGGTCGGCGCACATCCAGTGTCGCGTGTTCCACACGTCATGGGGGCGTTATTTGTTGAATTATACTCGTTTATTTACCAACGCACCACTGAACGACATGACAGATCATAGTATTTATAATATCAACTAGTTTTCTATCCCATTGAAGTGTCGCCACATAATAAATAACAATTAAGTTTCCACACAAGCCATAATATAAGAAATCTTAAAACTGACTAAAAATTATTATTTTTTGTTTGTTTAATGTACATATTAATAATATGAATAATTCAATATTTTCAATTTCCGAAATAAAAAGAAGAAAGAAAACGCTCTAACTTTTGCCCGAAACTCTGAATTAGTCATTTTGTAGTAAACATGTCATTAGACTAGAATTTTGCCCACTACTACGTTCGCGTAGTTTTTAGAAGTAGGAGAACTAATTAAATAGGTCAATTCTTGATAGCGTATTATTATTATAGTGTATTTGAAGTTAGATCTTCAAATACCTTCAAGAACACAGCAATTAACTACAATCAATCAACTCATTTGGTGCAGTAGTTTTTGCGTAATGCCGGAACAAACATATAGATAGACAGAAAGAATTCTAAAAATTGTTGTTTTGGTTTCTATTACTCCTACAAAAACCTTGTACATATTTTTTATTTACATCTTTTATGGACGTCGCGTCGTCCAGTTATAACTTTTGACCGACTTTAAAATTGAGTTTCTCAATGCCGTTCTATTTTTTTATTTGTTACCTCATAACTTCATCAGTTATAAACCGATTTGTAAAATTATTTTTTATCCGAAGGGATATATAGATTAGTTCCATAGAATTTTTATTAAAATCGGTTGAGTAGTTTAAAAATTAAAATATTGGGGTTGCCACAATTTAAGATAGTTTTTTTTTATGGAATTTTAACTTATATAAGTAATATTAACTAGACAGAATAAATTCTGAATTAGTTTATAATATAGTAATTTATATACCAACAGCTGTGTTCAGTTTTGTTCAAGTAGATTGGAATAAGAATTACCGTTATTTATAGGACAAAATTATAGGATTAGGATACCTATCAGTATAGTCGTTTAAACATGATTGAATGAAAACAAATTTTTAAACAGCTTTAATAAACTTTAACACTTATAATATTAGGTAAGTAGGAAGTGGGATTCAAATAGATATTTTAGTGCCAAATAATATTTTATTTAGGTTAGGTTGATTAACATTAATATTATTTTATCAGAACAAACTCGAATAAATTGAACATCTGTTCTTTATCGAATCATTGGACATTCATTGCATATCTACATATGAAATAATACCTACTTACTACTACTATTAATTATTAGATACTCAAGACTCAATGTCATTCTAACAAATCTGTTTAAATGTCCGTTCAAATTCATTCAATTATTTATGATTGAGTAACAAATATTCAAATACTAGTTGTAACCCACGGCTTCCCTCGCGTAAATCAGTACATAAAGTGTCGTATGTGCTAAATTGTCGAAGCTACTCGTGTACCATATTTCATTCAAATCCGTTTAGTAACTTTTACGCGAAAGAGTAACAAACAAAACCATCTATGCATTGTAATAAACATTCGCATTTATAAATTAATAGGATTTTTATAAATTTTCACATTTATAATTATTACTATTATTACGAATGTAAAGGTTTGTTTATTTCGTCTTGTCAAACTTAATAGCTCATAAATTTTATAAAAAATAATAATACTATAACAAGATTATCGAGAAAAAATATTACATATAAGTAGTTGGTACCATATTTAAATATAATTATTTTATAATATAGGTAACATAGCCACGATTGAAAATTCTTTTAATATGTTGACCGGAAGTTATTCAATTTACAAATAATTCCAAATGTCCTACTGTTCAATCCTGGTAGGAATGTTTTCTTCTACTGGCCTACTTCCTGTTCTGGAAAAAGAACATACAGGAACACGACCGCGGCCACCCGAATAACTGCAGTTCCTACCAATATCCCCTCCACTTCCTCATATTTGTTCCTTAAAATCATTATTGCTACGTTCCTTGCCTCTTTCTCCATTTTTATTCTTGCATAACGTAAATGGTAGATAAAGCACCAATTTCGGGGAGGAAACCAATTTTGGGGAGGGTTAACGTTAAGCAAATGGCTAGTCGTAAAATTATAAAGCTGAAAGTAACTCTCGGAATATGAGTCAAATTTAAAGAAATAATAATGTGGTTTTAAGCTTATACCAAGGATTCGCCCTAAACCCTTATCTCTTCCTGCTGATAATTGATTATCTGAGATGGCATATACAGAAAGACTCGTTAGTGTATGTTGTTTGTCGACCACATCGCCCTTGTCGGTAAAGATGGAGCTAAATAAATTGGTAAATTGACAAAAAAGCTAGAAAACGTTCTCCTGAAAATCAGCAGAACTAAGACGATTTCGGCGATCTTTCTAACTCTAAGTGTATGAGAATTGACAACATAACTATACCAATCTGCTCTGACTTTCAGTAGCTCTGTCCATTCCTCCAAAGCGGTGGTGAATTAGATCGAACTGTAAAGCACAGAATTAACGTAGTATGAATGAATGGTGGCAGATTACGATAACTACATGTGACGCGCATGTTTTCCTTTATTTCAAGGGGAAGATTTACAAAAACATGATATGGCCAAAAGGCCAATAGACAATAGTCTTATATAGATCTGAACACTGGTTAGTAAAAGTGATGGATGAAAGACAACCTCACTCACATGAAATGCGAATGTTGAGATGGTTATGTGCTGCGACAAAAATGGATAAGATGAAGAATGAGTATATAAGAGGAAATTTGAATGTGACGCCAGTAATAGAGAAGTTGAAAAGTAATCGTTTGTTATGGTATGGGCATGTGATTCGCAGGGAAAAAGAGAATGTGGTGAGAAAAGTATTACGAATGAATGTGAATGGTTATAAGGGTAAAGGAAAATCCAGAAGGAGATGGATAGACTAACAACTTGGCCAGAAAACGACCAGTGAGACGACTATAAATAGAGACGAATGGAAAAAGAAAATATACCCCAAATAAATATGAGAAAAGGCTAGAAGAAAAAATATTTCGACTACTACTGTTCAATATTTCTACTTTTTCGTTATTAATTTGTTTACATGAAGATTTTTAAACAAACATATTTTTTAGATAATGATTCTAGCATAAAATGCATATTAATTACCAAAAATGTAAACTAATAACGTAAATAACAATAAACATCTATAAAAAAAAATATCTTTCAAACTTGTATATTATTAAAAATACATAAGCAGGTAGGTCATATCATAATATTTGATATATTTGAGAGGTAGAACAATGTTTTATCAGTATCAGTATTTAATCATAGCAGTAGGTATTAGTTGTATGTAAACAAATTTACTGATTACTAAGTGATAAGAATTTTCTTTCAAGTGGTCCAGAAAAGTCGCCTAATCTTGACTTTTGTTGACATGATCCAGATTAGGTATATGTTTACCATGCATATTTACTGTATTTTTTTTTGTATGACACTTATTTTTTTGGGTCTGAGAATGGTTACTATACAAATAATTGCTAATTTTAGTATCTGCTTATTATACACATACACTATTGTTAACTTAAAAATTACAGGAAGTTTATACTTCCTATATACTCGTATATAGTTTCTAATTGTGCTTCTAAGTAATTCGACAACTAGGGTTAAATTTAAGAAACGAACTTATATGATTTGAATCGGGTTATTTACGCTTTATAAAGTTGGTTCGAATTCTAAGTATGTATGATAAACAAACGCCTAGGAGGAACTTTTTCTTGGCCTTAAAAAATAAATATAATAAACTCATTATTTGGTTTCACATAATAACACATAATTTATTTGTTACCTCTAAACGTCTAAACGACTCATCATGAAATTCTGTACGTACCTGGTATTAGGGATAGAGAAAGATATAGGATATTTTTGTCCTGGCCAGTCAATACTAGAGATTATTGGCAAATAAAAATTTTGTAACGTAAATCAAAAGTCTTCTATAATTTTTTTAAGAACAATAAAATGTCTTTATTGAAAAAGGAGAATGTTATCTTGTTTTTTTTTTCTATTTTGTTTTTGACAATAACAGACTATGCAACGAAAGATACAATTGTTATTGATAATAAAACTGGGTATTCCGGATAATAAAAAGTTTAATTGAATATCCTTCTGCAAAGAAATACACAGTGATATCAATCGCGATAAAATTGATGTAATATATATAGTTAATATCAAAATTAATTCAGCATTTACAAAGACCAATTCGGGTCACCTGTGTGTGTTTTTGGAACAGTATAAAATTAACCATTTTTCACCCAAAATAGCTTATTATCGAAGTAATAATTGTATCCTTAGTTGCATAATTAATTAATTATTGTTATTCCTAAAGAAAGGAAAGCGACGTTGTTGAAAACAAAGCCAGGCTAGGTCACCAAGTCACCAATACATTAGTCAATCGGCAGAGCTTCATGTGTTTAGTTCCAAAAACAGCGACGAGTATTAGTAGGAGTACCGTACCGAGTGGTCGTGCGGTGCGGCGCTGCGGAGTAACTCCGCGCGTAAAATTTACGAGTACGTTCGTAACACAGATATAGACACAAGTGACTTAGTTTATACGAAAACTGAACGTGTTACTATTAACCTAGTCTTGATGTTACAACAATTCTTTATTAAATCCAACCCTCTCCCATACTAATACTCTTCCGATAATACCATCTTTATTGCTGTTCGACAAAATTCTCTAAACTTTTTCGATATTTATTTTTTGTAGGAATACCGAATAGAAATTTAGCTGATGTCAATCTTATTCCATTGCCTATAATTAGGAGCAAAAATTGTTGATGCAGTTGGGGCATCTATTTAAACTATATCTGTGGTTCGTAACGTAGGCCACACGGGGCAATTACTCGCGCTCCAATAACCTACCTAGTTGAAGGCACTCGTTCGAGTTTGTCAAGTTGTCGCCGGGGCCAAGAGAGTTCACTGCCAGTTCCAGCCAGTTCACTGTTTGACGGTGCAGGTCATTGCCGTGCAAACGTGCGCTTTGTCTATCCGGTTTGCATACTGCACGATGACCGTACGTATAATTTTGAATTAATATATGTACATCTAAAAGAAAGTTCGGGGATGGCGTGCAAGTCGCCTGCTGAGAGAGAAAGGATTGTTCATAATGGGGTTTAACAGCCTTGTTACGAACAACACACCCTACCAGGAGGAGAAGGGTTTGTTAGTAATTGCGCTTAACAACCCCCTTGCTAGCAATATACCTACAGTACATACAGTTCGACCTTTACACGATTCCTTCTGGAAACCATCATGATTGATTTATTGTTAAATTCGTCACGATAGATTAACTGACCTGCTTCAACCTCACTCAGGAATGATTCCTGACTGGTGTCCCGGCAGTGCATACCGTTAGTGCAGGCGGAGTTACCATTGCATAATCATCCATTAAAAAAATAAACCCTATCAGGTCGAGTCCACGTGGTCCTCCTTGCAAACTATCCTGGTCAATTCATCACGATAGGGCTAACTTACTTCATCGTTACCTATAATAATTCATTGGTATCCTATCAACGTACACCGATAGTGCAAATATCATTCCATTTTCGTGTCACTGCCACTGTTTTGATGCTTGATGAAGGAATGGCATGAGAGACATCATGAATATTCATAATAGATTACGTTATAACTATGGTCCTATGCGCATCTATATATATAGGACGGTAACCCTATCTGCGCTGTCAGTATACGGAGCACCCTTGAAGGATAATAGGTGAGGATGAAAAGGCAAGTCGGTTAGCACATCGCGATGAATTCTCTAGGAATTAAGCACAATAATTTCCAGTTTGAACTGCGAGGTCAACCTGTCAGGGTATATTTATGGGAATGGAGCTACTAATTCCCATTACTTACAATCCCTTCGTCCCTTCAATAGCATGTTTTCCAATCCACATTGCATAAAAATTCTGTTAAACACTCATAGAGTAAAATCATAAAAATATAGATAAATGAATAATAATAATATTAATAGAATATTTATATGGCAGATGGTGAGTCTGAAGCCGACTTAGATTTATTAACAGTATCTATATATAATATGTCCAGCAGTGGATGGTTAATGGCTGATGATGATGATGATATATAATCACCGGAGAATAAGTTCACTAACTATACAAGGTAGTGAAAACAAAACAAAAACAGATCAAGGGCATGTCGATCTTGCATTAATTAATATTAAAATATGATGTATTAATTGATTTCCTTAACTAATTCAGTTATGATTTGTTGTGATAATTACCTCGTTAGTGTAACAGCCTAAAACACACTACCTCACTTTACAATGGTGGCAGATTCAATCCCTGTACGTGTATATACGGTTCGAGGATTGTATAAGTATTATATGTAAAAGAGTCATCATCATCATCTTCCTACCCTTATCCCAATTAATATATGGAGTCGGCGTAATATGGTTTTATACATATTACAAAAAGATTTGGCTTTTAGTTTTAAGACCGGCCGCCTGCCTGACGTCATCCCTCTTTGGCAAAAAATAAAATAAAAGAGTATTTACTTAAAAAAAAAATTCAGATTTACTTAAAAGTATTTACTCTTTTAAGCTAAATAACAAGATAAAACATGGTTGCTTACAAATTTATACATTTTCGAATGACATAATTACCGAAATTCTAACGTTTTGAGCTTTCAATATTTTGAAAATATTAGAAATAAGCGTCTTAGTCTCAAATCAATTTATTTATTATTAAAGAGGTTGTTTAATTTTAACATATTTCACATATTTCCCTTTATCTACCCCATAAAGAACCTGGTAATAAGATGAAGATATAGACAAAGATTACAATTTTTTAATAAAATTATATTAAATATTTTAAGAGAAACTAGCGAAACAAATATATTAAATAATAATAATGATCATATTTCAATGATTATTAAATTAATTAAAAAAAATATTGATTGAAAAAATTCGAAACAGGGGAAATTTAAACCTATGACTTCCCTGCTTGCGCGCTTCGAGATTTTATAATTATTGGAATATGATTTTTATATTCCCACAATTAAAGTAAATTGCCAAGTATCTAATTATAAATAAAAACGTTAATTCAATGACCATTTAACTTATTTAAAATAATTCATTTTCTACGCATTTTTTATTATTATGTGTTGCAAATTAGAATATATATATTTTATATATGCATAAAATATTTTATCTATTGAATATTTTTACGCGTTATGTCCGCTATATATCGGTACTTTAATTATATACATGAAAGTTAAATAAATAATAAGTATTTAGTATACTAATTATATATAATAATCCTATAAATTAATAACTAGAACGAAAATTAAAAACGTAAGTAGGTAAACGATTTTCGCTTTTTCTTTAATTATTAATACACCTAGATAACTACAATTCAAACCTCGTTATCAGTTCACCGTAGAAAGGAATAAAAGAAAATAAAACTGGTGGCGTAACGACATAAGCAAATAATAAGTGCAATTTGCTCCACAATTGAGTGGCTTCAAGCGTGAAGTTACAGCGATGAATTAATATATCTTATGCATATTACATCGAAAATAGAAAGATACTGTTTATTGATTCCTCCATAAGATTACACGATTTATATAAATACGTTTACTATTATTTATTATAAATACAAGCAATTACAAGAAAATATTACACTGAGAAATCAATGGGCGGTCTTATCGCTAAGAGCAATCTCTTCCTTTGGATAGAGAACAGTAATTACAAACAGTTTGACAGGAGGCACGAAACTGTTCGTTTTTTAAATACATATAGAGATATATAAATATATTTTAATTTAGAACATGTAAACGTATGTTTACAATAAAACTTTACTTCACTACGAGAAAGTTTCTTCATAAAGAAAAAAGTCGAAAAATTTATATGGCAACGCGAGATTAAATACTATCGATTGCAGAAATAATTCGGTTCAGAATTGACAACACAAAACAGAAAATAGCCATGTGCATATAGAATTTAATGATTTATTTCAATATCCTATCCCTGAACACAGGTAGAGTGGACACAACTATTAACGAATATTATATTTTTGATCAATTTTAAAAAGAAGGAGGTTCTTAAGAACCGATTATATTTGTTATGTTTGTTACCTCTTAAATCCGTCAGTTATTCGTCGGTTTGGAAAATTAATTTGTCTAAAAGGATATATTTACTGATTTATCCCATATAAATTTTATCAATTGTTTAGTTCGTAAATCGATATAACTAGTTTTACCACAATTGAAGTTGGTTTTTTGTGCAACTCAATCGTATTTTTTTATACCACAAAAGTAGCAAGCTAGCATACAGCCCGTCTGATGGTAAACGACCACAGTAGTCTATAGATATCTGCAACACTAGGTGTGTCACGTGCGCGTTGCCAACCCTGAAGAGACCTTAATATTTCCACAGCCTGAGCGTTCGTAAGAGAAAATTTCTCTGAAACCGCACTGTACGTGACCACTTAGGCTCAAGCGTGTGAGGATGAATTTCTTGTCGATGGTGAGCGGTACGATTATAAAAGATGACTGTAGGCATCATTTTAAACAATTCCTCAGAACACAACCCGTTATACAAGCAGTAGAACACACAAAGATTTTAGAGTTAAGGGCTCAATACCGCCTGTGAGCTTGGGATCGTAAACAATTCTCATGGCCTCTCTTTGAACCGAGTCAAATTATACTGAATCATCTTAAGTTCATATACGGGAAATTTTAATTTTAATACTGGATATCTTGTGTCTATATCTTTTATAAAGTCCATGAGGTAAATTATCTTAAAAAATTCGTAGTCCTGTAAATAGATACTTGAATGTTGGCCTATATGCGAAATTTAAATAAACTTATCATCTTTCCAGATATAGACAATTATCAATAATTATAATATATCACGCACGTTCTCAAATATATAGAATTTACTTGAATTAATAAAACAACATCTAGATGCAGTATATTTCTTCTACCGCTTTACCAAAAATTACCCAACCTATTTAAACCTGTATTAGTATTTTTTTAACTTAGATCACACGACACATAGACATATGAGTGTATGATTAAAATATACTTTATTTTGGAGTATTATATTCTAAGGGTATAACACTTTATAAGTTAAATACTATAATTATTACTCGCAACAACGGAATGGGTATGGCATTATTTAAAAAAATCATGCACAGACATTTAGATTCAGACTTCAAGTTTGGATCGGACCAATTTTTGAGACGGTTTTGGGCACACAACGTTTCATCTAGATGTAAATATATCATTTTTATCTAGAGGTAATAATCATACTCAGATGAGTATAATTATTGCGGCGAATTAAATGTTCTCGACATTAATGTTACGTCCTAGGCAAGCACCTCACCGGCGCCCCTCTAGCGGGCCTTATATTATAAATTTTAAATGGTACTAGCAGTAGGAAACATTGACGACTGAAGTTATGAATCGTTTACTTGAAAATTGATACGATTCACGTTCAATGACAATTTTTTAATAAAGAAAATAAATTTAAAATTTCTGCGTATACATTTTTGTCTTGTGAAATTGTCAATAACATCGTTAGCTTAAAGATAGCAATAAGTTTGATTCAATGTTAAGTATTACTAATCTCTTGTCTGTCATGGTTGAACAAAGATAATTTCTCACTCTTTTTAGACATAAAAAAATTCCGCTCACCACTGCAATTGCTGACTGCCGTCAATACGTACATTTTTTTTCTTAAGGCTACATGATGTTTTGATAAATTGTATATGTTTTATATTATCTAAGTAAGCGCATAGGTATTTATTAATAGAGTTAATATTATGTTCTTTAAAAATTTTGCGCGCGTGCCCCTTTGTAACCTAGGCACATGCCTAGTTTGCCCGTTAACATATATTATAAAGTTTGCTTAAAGGATAATTCGCCTCTGTCCTCACGTCTAAGTATGTAGTTACTGTTTAGAAATAATTCTTTAAATTCGCGCATAGCTGTGTTTAAATGCTCCGTACCTGGGATGAAAAAAAGCTAACACATTACTTATTATGTCAGTCATATGTTACGTTTACATATATCAGTCATAATTCTTCAGTTCATTAGCATTTTTCTTTAAAAAACATGTGAAAAATAGCCTAGATGGTGTTAGTATTAAACTACTAGTAGTATTATTCTGTAACCTCGTAAAAGAAGCCGCAAGTACAGCTTATTTTATTATAAAATAATCTTCTTAAGAAGTAATGAATAAGTTAATGTTAATACCACGAAGTTGTAAGAAATAAATATGTCAACTGGTACCGTATAAAATAAAAAGAAGCATTTTAACCTAATCGACCTTGTCCGTCAGAGTACTATAAGTAGGCAAGTAGATAACTTGGAAAGTGCCTTTTACTTGGGAAAATTTGGTTTTATATTTCATTGATTTACGACTCATCTAAAAAAAAATTGCCTACGCAAACCTTTTTTGTGTCAATTCGTTCAAAATATAGTGCGTTTTTTTTGTTTTTATATGTTAAAAATAGAACCTCATTTATTTTATTTTGACGAAGGGCTTGTTTTGAACATTACACACTGTTTATCACTTGTCATCATTATCATTTACCTTTTTGAGCCTAAGGGACTCGACCTTTATGAAAAATACCTCTACGTATTTCACATATATACAACAGTAATATAAGATCACTTGTTATTCCATGTATTAAATATATGTATTCCGGTTATACCGACTTAATAATTATTTATTTAAATTATATAATATATATTAATGAAGTAACTATGACCCAATTCATCCTTGCAATTAACAAAACAATCATCAAAATAACTTAAGAATCGGAAAGTCAAAACAATCAAAATAAAGTTCGTAGGTAAGAATCGGAGAGTAGGTTTACATTGTTGGAAGTCAATTAATAAAAATATTATGAGCATAAATTTTAAATAAAGAATAGTTTTCAGATTATAGTATTTTTATGCAATATGGAATAGCAGACGAGCTAACAGCTCACTTGATGAAAAGTGACAGCATCATGGATGTTATAAAATACAATGTAACCTCTATGAACCCATTCATGTCGTTCCTAAGGACTAAAATGTTATGCTTGTGGATAGAAGTAGTTTAATTTTTAATCGACTTCAAAATGAAGGTGGTTCTCGATTCGTTTATATTTTTTATGTTTGTAACCTCTTAACTAAAATTATTTTTTTATCTGAAAAAATATACTTACAGATTGGTCCTATAATTATTTTATCGAAATCGGTTCAATAGTTTAATTTGTAAAACAAAATACCTAACTGATTTTGCTACAATTGTAGACTGCTTTTTGTTGTTAGTATATTCAAATTTAGACTTCTTCGATTTTTTTTTATATTTAGACCTAAGTTTGCTAGTATTTATTGGCGATTAACATAAAATACGTATTTACTTTGGCAGACCGCAAACATACTATGGAGGTTACAAAACAAAATGTTTTTTGTGACACTCTACATGTGTTGCATAACCGAGTCTTGGATGCAAGTCGACGGCTCTGTATCAGTAAATCCGGTTGTCATTCAAATCAAAGGAGAAGACCAAGGAATGACAGATAATACTGTTAAGGTAAATTATTAAAGACTATTTATATTTGAGATACTATTTCACTGGCCCCGGAACGGGGTACGATTAGAAACGGTTTTAAATCTTGCATTTCAAAATTTTGCAATCACACTCAATTGCTAAACGTATAATATATATATATATATATATATATATATATATATATATATATATATATGTCACCAGAAATTAGAGTCAATGTGTTATTTAAATGATAGCATCCGTGGTACAGTTGTAGATCGCAAGTTCGATTCTCGAATTTAGAAAGCGATGTTTTCCAAATTGGCTCCCGGGCGGATCCGGGAGTTCTGGGTTGTGCTTCTAGATGTTCATTACCTGGTTCCTGATAAACAGGGTATATTAAGCTTAAAGACCCAACAATTGGTGTGATTGTTTGGCATTTATTACTATTTAATGAAGTACTAAGAGCGATACTTATCACTTTCCATCAGGTGGACCATCAGCTTGTTTGCCATTCTAAGTTACAAAAAAAGAAAACGTACTAATTTGTTTATTACTTGATTGTCTCCCGCAAAAATAATTAATTTGATCAACAGAGGTATCATGGTGGTCACAACATCAGTATTGTAAACGACAAGTTCATGTTGGACGGGCAGGCCCTGCACATCGTATCTGGATCTTTGCATTACTTCAGGTTACCGGCTGAATACTGGCGCGACCGTCTACGCAAACTTAAGGCGGCCGGGCTCAACTCTGTGTCGACGTAAGACTCATTAAACACTATAGCCTGTTTCAATAGAATTTCATAAAATGTAACAAACGTTATGCCAAAGGTATTCTCCTCTGATAATCTGTATGGTTCTAGAGTAACAGGGGTATGGAACTCCAGCCTTTCAAGCTACTGCAGTTTCTAACCATTATCCCCTCCGCAACTGCAAACTGTCCTTTCCCTTTGTTCTTAATAAAGCCTTTTCTTTTTTACTAACTTCGTTTACTCACTCTAAAGTTTCCCTTATTTTCCCACAATCATTTTATCCATACCGTATATAATTTCTTGCACGTTTATTTGTAATAAAAAAAATAGAATTAAAAGCAATATGTATATAAAAATATATGGCTATAAAAGCTGCCAGTACGTCAGCAATACTGTAAATGGTATACCACCAACATATATCTATGTATTCCCGAGAAGGGTGGAGTTGAGTCTAGAAGTTTTAAAAGCAATATGCATTAATCTGACATAAAAAATTCATTTTCTAAAAAACTTGTAATACTCGTATATATTTTTTAATAACTTTCTTTATTTCCTTTTTTTTTTTGTTTTTTAATTGAACTTTTTGCTTTAGTCGTAAGTATTTTTCTGCTTTATTTTCTTTTATCTGCTGTTCTAATTTATTATCATTAAAATTATTGTTGTATATTATATATTTTTTTTTATTTATTTATGGATATACGTAATATTAAGTAACAATATTTATACATATTTTAGTAGTAAATGCACCGCCTTCTTAATTTTCTGCTTGCCTCATGGTTGACTGATAGCAAACGGTGTTAAGTCCGCCATATGTACATTTACTTATATAATTGTGCATTAAAGTTTAAATAAATAAATAAATATTGATTATTGATTTTATGGATACAACAGTGATCGAAAACGACCTGGAAAACAATTTAATCATTCACTACAGCATTAGGATTTCTATAAGCTAGTTGCAATTACTTTTTGCGTATTATGAGCTTTTTGGGCACACTAACAAACAGCTTTTCCGGTGTTTTATAGTAGTAATTGTACAGACTAGTACAACACACCATTTGTATATTTTTATTCTTGGGAAATATTAAACATTAAAAAAAAAAGAAAAAAATAAAGATTCGTGTATGACATAGATGATTATCTACTTTCCCGTGACGTCACTGACGCCATATTGCTCAGAATATGCGTTTTAGCGGCCTATTTAAAATCATTTTGCTATGTTTTTGAAGAAATACTTATGTAAATTAAAAATAACTACTTTTTGAGTGATCTATAAACACTACTAAATAATCTGAGATGGTTTCCAAAAATCAGTCAAATAGCCAATTAGGATAAGAGCAGGATGATGATAATGATGATGTAAAAAATCAATCTGCTGATGTCCAATAGAAATAGTAGAAATTTTAAATTGATTAATGTTTCGATTTGTAATTATTTTTATTTAAAGTGTGTTTCTGTTATGCTAGTTGTATTAAAACTATGTACCAAGGCTTTGCACACGTAAATTAGGAGGGGAAAAGATGACATATTCTTATATCTTAAAAATCAAAACCAAACCAATATTTTTTCTATACGATTCTATTAAAAGATACATTGAAAATGTTGGCCTCGATGTTTTTTGTTCTGTTTTATGTGTGACCTTATAACTCTAAACAATGTGAACGATAAATTTGAATAATCTATCCTGTGGATATACCACTAATGAATATTGCGATTTTATTCAAATTTTGGAAGTGATCTGTGGATATAATAGTTTATAATAATATAAAATAGGTAAATTGATTCTAATGATTATTTTTTTAACTGAAAGTGTTTACTCTTCTCATGCTAATAGCATGTTACTCGTAATTACATATGTTACGGTTGAAATCAGTTTTTTCAACTTATTTGCCCTAACTTAGAATAAGTTGCATAAAAAAATATTTAAAAGAAAATGTATTTATCTAATCAAATATTTTCTGCGTTGTAATGTTGTCTACGTTTAAACTAATCTTTTCTTCTTTATTTACCAGATATGTAGAATGGAGTTACCATGAACCCGAAGAAAGACAGTACTTATTTGATGGCGACCGAGACATAGCTAGATTTGTACAAATGGCAGCAGAAGAAGGCTTGCATGTCTTATTACGTCCAGGTCCTTATATTTGTGCCGAAAGAGATTTAGTAAGAAATTAATTACTTACCTAAATTATTTTTAGAATACGATATGTATACATACGATAGTTATACAGTAATTTGTATATATAGTAGTTACACATAATAGGAACATGCTATTACAAAAAAAAAAAATATTAATATTATACCTATATTAAAGGCAAATATTATACCTGTCAATAATATGTTATTAAAATGGATAAAAATAACAGTATATATAGGAAACCTATTTGTATCATAATTATTTTCATTTCACAACCCTAATATGAATGAGTTATGTTGGAGTAAAACTCAACTTATGTTAAATTATTTTAAGCCGTAAAAAATATAGTCACCAACTTATATTATCTTAGATTACATATGTTCTTTTTTTTTTATACCACTGAGGTGGCAAACAGGCATACGACCCACCTGATGGTAAGCGGTTACCGTAGCCTATGAACGCCTGCAAAACTAGAGGTATTACGCGTGCGTTGCCGACCCTGAAAAAACCTCTTTACCCCCCTTTTGAAGAACCCCATGCTGTAATCTCTTGGGAAAACCTCGGCAGGGAGCTCATTCCACAATCTGAGTGTTCGTGGGAGAAAACATCTCTGAAACCGCGCAGTACGCGACCATTGAGGCTGTAGGACATGAGGATGAACTCCCTGTCGATGGCGAGCCGTACGATGGAAGAAAGTGGCTGTGGGCATCATATTAAACAATTCCTCTGAGTAAAATCCATTGTGCAGGCGGTAGAACACGCAGAGTGAGGCAAAATCTCTTCTAAGATTTAAGGGTTCGATACCGCCTGTGAGCCTGGGATCATCGACAATTCTCGTAGCTCGTCGCTGCACTTAGTCGAAGGGTTCAAACTGGTATCTAGGTGCTCCTGCTCATAAGTGACAGCAATACTCCATATGGGGCCGGATTTGCGATTTGTAAAGCATTAATCGCTGATCCGGTGTAAAGTAATGCTTCGCTCTATTAAGCACACCGAGTTTTGTGGATGCCAGCTTCACCTTATTTAGATAATTATAAGTATTACCAGATAAAGAAATTACTTTAACGTCACTGGGATGGGTACTTAACTCTGTCTTACTCGAGTATCTGCCGGGAATATGACAGTGAATATGGACATCACAGTGTAAACTATAATGTAGAATGTGCTGATTATGTCTAAAAAGAATGAGGACCGCCTGTTCATGTTCATTCATGTTCGGAAGCTGGCTAGTTGCGAAAAAATTAATTATAAGTAGATTTATAAAGAAAATAACGCTAGCAAGTAAAGAAAAAACATCGTCATAAGCAGATATCATTTCTATCTAAAAACATATTTCAGACACATTACTGTCTTCCTGCCTTTATCCAAATAATTTGAGATCGTAATATAGATTTCGGAGTAGGAAATAATGAAATTATAGCGCAGATGATTCGATATAAACTCATAAATATATAATGTTATATATGATATGAATTTATTGTTTCAGGGAGGTATTCCATATTGGATACTCGGCAAATATCCTAATATTAAATTAAGGACTACAGACAAAGGTAAATTATTGAGAATTTCAGAATATTCCATCTTATTATCGGTAACCGCAATATTAGGTATATTTTTCATTACTAATATTCACATTTTAAAATACATAATTGCAATATACTTTATTATACAAAATGATTACGTATATAATGCACGGGCCTTTAAATATTAAAGAAACATGTTATTTTTGACATAATACATTTAAAGCAATACATATAATGTCAAGAGAGATTTGAAATGATTCTCTAAAGTTTCTTATAGTTTTGAAAAGAGTAACATCTGAATTTCTTGCGGGTTCTTCTCAGCCGATAACTAGATTCCGAACCTAGCAGTAGAATAAAAAATATGATTTAAAAGCTCATAACAAAGTGTATTTCAACAAACATAATTTGCATTCTATTCTATTCTAAAGCTGGAACTAAATGTAATGCCGTTAGATTTTCCAAAAGATTTCAGTCGCGACCTTATTAGTACGAGATCAGATAAACTCTATTAATTGAAAAAAAAACGTAATATAATCAGGTCAGAATTTATAGATATAATATGTTAAATACAATAAGCAAAAAAATATTGTACACTTAAGAGCAATTTCCTATACATATTTGTTTTAAGATTTGTTTTGATTAATAATAATTGATGAATGTCTAAACATAATCAGCAAACCTATTAATGATTATCATCAATTATCCAAATGTAAAAACTAGTAAAATATATTTTTATGTCATTTACAGATTTTATACAAGAAACAAGAATATGGATGAACAAACTGTTCTCACGGCTAACACCTTTATTGTTTGGTAACGGTGGACCCATCATTTTGGTTCAGGTAACTTTTTTTCTTACATAGAATAAAATTTTGTGATCTTTATTATCTACTATTTACCTGCAAATTTTTTAGTCGATGCATTTCTGTTAAGTGACGCTTTTATTTTAGCCTTTTCTATTTTTGGCATGGGCCAATGGTCGTTACATATGTTAGACTACTATGCTAATTCATATAACGAAGTATAATTTGTTTATTTTGTAACCAAATCCAAGGTACTTCATAAATTGTGGTCAAAAATACTTCATACATCTTAAGTATGACTAGAATAATATTTTCTAAATGTACGTAATTTTGATAAACATTAAAATTGCATCCTTAAATTAATAAATTAAATACTGTTAATTTATCTGAAGTGCCGCCCTTACTAATGTTATAAATATAAAAGTGTGTTTGTTTGTTCGTCTTTTACCTCATAGCATTTAAAGGATTTATTTAAATCACTATGAAATTTGATATACACGTAATATATGAAATGGAGAAGAGCATATTCTTTATTGCACTTGTAAGTTACATATAAAATAATCTATTTATAAATGTTGTGAGCAAGGGTGAACTTATCTCTAACAGAGATCTCTTCCAGTCAACCCAGTACAGTAAGAAAGCATTTCGTTAGCGGGCAGCTGAAGTGCTACAACTATTAATACATAAACAAATATACAGGCAAGCAGCCTATATTCTTCTCCATTTCAAATATAATAATTATCTCGGTCAATGAACATATCCCGGTCACGCGGACGAAGTCACAAGGAAAAGCTACTACTACTGAACAACTACTGAATTATTTCTGAAAGGAAGTAAAATAGTTAATGCCATCTCAGGTATATAATATATGATAACATTTTTAGTGTGGTAAAGCAGTAGCCTTTGAGTAGATAGTGTACAATTCTGTAAGTGTCTGAGTATCTTATACTATATACAAAATTCGATTGCTTGGGTACCTCTGTCCCATTCGTGTTTCAACCGTGAAGCAGTTGTGTTTGCATGGCTGTGTTTCGGTTTGAAGGGTGGGGTATGGCGTGAATTTACCCAGTCCTCAGAAATTGCAGCGTATGGCAACTGTGAAGCAGTTGTTTTGGCATGACTATGTGTCGGTTTGAAGGGTGGGATATGGCAATGAATTTACAGGGTACAGAAAAATAACACCTGAGTCTTCAGGAATGGCAACGCATGGGGGGGTATCATGGGCGAAACAGTATACTCTGTTATGTCCATGGTACTGCTCATGTCTATAGGCGACGGTTACCACTTTTCATCAGGTGGACCGTTAGCTTGTTTGTCATTCTATGTTAAAAATTATATGGCATTTTTCTTAATAAAAATATGTTAATTCTATCAGGTAGAAAACGAGTACGGTAGCTACGGCAAGAACAAGGCTTACATGGAAAATATCCGTGACATAATCTTGGATCACGTGGGTACCAATGCACTGCTATATACCACAGATGGAGCCCCACCGTCGTATTTCCGCGCGGGTGCAGTCGCCGGAGCCCTCACTACTATAGATTTCGGCGCCAATACTGGCACGTATTTATTTACAATTTCCTTATACTTTTAGTCATAGTACTCATGCAAACACCACTCGTATTTTCACGAGGTAGAAAATCCATCCTCAAACCTTAGAACCAGAATCACACATTGTGCGGTTTCAGAGAAGCTTCTCCCCACGAACGCTCAGGTTGTGGAATGATCTCCCTGCCATGGCTTTTCCTAGAGACTACAGCTTGAGGTTCTTCAAAAAGCGCGTATTCAGGTTAATTAGGGGCGGCAACGAGCGCATGATATTCCTGGTGTTACAGGCGTCCATAGGCTACGCTAAACCCGTTTACCATCAGACGGATCGTATGCTTGTTTGCCACTGTAGTTGTATAAAAAAATGTAATATTATCTTGTACATAATAATTTAAAAAAGTAACTGTTGAATATCTTATAAGTTCTTCTCAGGAGATAACAACATTCTAAACCTAGCAATACAATCACAAAAAATTGACGTAAATCGTCAATTTTTTGTGATTGTATTAAAGAGTTATAAACAAGTTTATTTGAATAATAACTATTTCCATTCTATTGTTGCCTACCTCAATATTATTGCTACCTCTGACTTACTTCACACACAATTTTTCCTGGTTAGATAATTAGTAATATATTCTTTGTTTAATTAAAATATTTGCAAGCATCTAACTATGGACATGAACTTTAAATAATAAAATATATTATTTTTTCTGCTAGAAAAGTTCGGTATAAAAAAAACCTCATTCGCTTTAAAGTTATAAAACTCTAGGCGCAATATGCTAAACCCTCTGAAGACACAATTTTTCTCAATTACGAAGAAAGAGTCCCCATTTCTTGTGACATTTATCTTCAACAGTACTGTGGTGGTGGTGGTGATGGTGGTAGTGGTGATGGTGTTCTCGGCGTCGTCAGATTGAATGAGTTACTTCAATTCCGTGAACACATAGAAGAAAGAAGTTAGATTTGCTTTTAAAAAGTTTGAAATGATTTGTAAAGAGAGAAACAGTAATCATAGAGTTATAGCACGGGTTCGATATCTCATGGTACTGGTCTTAATCCTGACCGGCTGCATTTCAAAACTACCACATTTAAACGCATCTAATACTATATACATACAATACTATCTATAGTTCAGTTAAGTTCTAAATATATGCAAGAACAGATTTTGTTCTTGGAGGACCTCTACATTTCTTTTTTTTTTTTTTCTCTATTTCCAGTATGTTAGAGTAGATGAAATAATTAAAAGGTTATCTAATCAACAGGCCTTTTATTGTTTTAGATGTACGTTCAGCTATCAGTGGTCTACGACAATACATGCCACACGGACCGGTGATGAATTCGGAATACTACCCGGGCTGGCTCACTCACTGGGGCGAGACATTACAACAAGTGAGGACCGAGGACGTCGTCAAAACCCTGCGGAGCATGCTCGACAACAATGTCAACGTTAACTTTTACATGTTCTTTGGTGGCACTAATTTCGAATTCACTGCTGGTCAGTTCATTTTTACATTTTTATTTTATTTTATTTATTTGCTATATAAAAATACGGATCTCTAGGTCTCGTAGATTGATTTTGTAGTTAGTAAATTGTTTTGTCGACAAGAAATGTCATACACAACCGGTAGTTTTTATAATTAAAACTTTGTTCTGGCAATATATGTCATATGACTAATATGAGTTTTTACTTTCAAAAGAAGATAAGGGAATTTTTTATATATAGAACAGATACGCAAAGAGGGAAACGAGAGAAAAAGTTTATTGTAACATACGTTTAACGGCGTTACATTTCAAAGAATTATTAATTTATTATGAATATTAATGTTAGCTTTATAAATATTGTGAATGAAAAATATTTTGAATATTAACTTTTACTTTTTATTATTTTAATTAATATAAAATTTTTGATACAATACCATGACACAGGACTACAATAAAATTAGATGTTATTTATATATCGCAATAAGAATATTTGATGAGAATAAACACTGTTTTTTTAATATATTACAATTCACCAACAAGTAATAAAAAGAACTGATTAATAGAAGAAACAAATATTTATATTAATTTTAATTTACTTTTTCCATAACATTTTGAATGGGCAGTCGATGTCATAGGTCAGATTTCTTTCTTTACTTTTTTCAAAAAAGTGAAAAGAATAGATATCCAATTCCAAATGACCTACATTAACCATGCAGTTCTATATTTTGACATTTATTAAAAAAATATCAATAGTTTTATCTATATAATTTTTTATTTAAATAGTCCCTACTTATCTATAACATTTGCACAGGTGCCAATTATGGGGATACATACACAGCAGACATTACGTCATATGATTACGATGCGCCGCTATCTGAAGCTGGTGATCCCACTCCTAAATATTATGCAATTCGCGAACTATTAAAAAAGGTAATGTTATTTATTTATTCTTTATTGTACACGCTAATAATATATACGTATAGAACGCTGCAAGAATTTCATCATTATTTTAGCCGTTAATTGTCCAAAATTGAATATAAGCTTATGAAAGAAAGTCTAAAAGTGGAACATAGATTTCCCTCATAGACTGCCATAAAGAGCAATTTTGACTTACCTACAACTACTGACTCATTTCTTTTAAGAGCGACGCACTATCTAGTGGAGGAGGTCATACTGCGTTTTCCTTCTTTCAGAGTAATTATTTTTTGCAGATTATAACAATGTTATGAGAAAAATAACTTCAGCAATATTTTCTATTTACAGTATAAATTTGAAGCGAAAGACTTGCTCCCACCTATTCCATCTCCTAAAGGTGCTTATGGTGAATTGGGATTACATGCCCGACTTAATCTTTTATCTCCTAATGGGCGCTCGAGTTTAGGAAAAAAATATAATGACGTCACTGGTCAAAACTTGCCGACTTTTGAGAAATTACGGCAAAGAAGTGGCATGGTTCTGTATGAAACAACATTAAACACTCCGAATGGAACTCTAACTATATTGAAACCACGAGATTGGGTATACGTGTATGTTGACGGGGTATGTATAATAGCATCTAATAATAATTCATTATATTAAGTGTAATTCATTTATACTAAATGTATAAATGAATTATAATTACAGTAACAGGCAATTATATTAATATTGTAAAAAAACATTTTTAGAAACTGGCAGGGATTATCAGCAGAACCCACAAGAGGTACTCTATACATTTAAAATGCAACAAAAATTCCATATTGTCGCTGCTTGTAGAGAACCAGGGTCGTATTAATTTTGGAGATCAGTTGCATGATTATAAGGTAAATATGAAAATACATTTAATAACAGAAGTGAAAATTTTATAAATATATATATTTATATATACTATTTAGAACTTAATCAACTGTATATTCATATCCATGACAATTTACAGGGAATTTTAAGTACAGTCAACTATAACAACGTATCTCTTAATGGAAAATGGTCTATAACAGGATATCCATTGGAAGATATCAAATTAAACGGTAGTACAAGTACAAACTACGTGGAATCAAATTCACTACAAGGTCCCGTACTATATGAGGGTAATTTTACCTTGCCCACTGGGGACCCTCTCGATACCTATATAGATCCAACTGGTTGGAGCAAGGTGAGTTGAGAGTACTTTAGCGATTGCGTTTTATATCCTTAATTTTCCTTATTAATATTATAATGTGAAAGTGAGTTTATTTGTTTGTTTGTCATCTTAAAACATCTTAACGGCTTAACCATTCACTATGAAATTTGGTATACACATACTATATGGCATGCAGAAGGGCATAGGTTACTTTTTAACCCGGTCAGAAAACTTATTCCAGTCATGCTAACAAAAACGCAGGTAAAAGTTAGTACTATTATAAATGTAAAAGAGAGTTTGTTTGTTTTTACATTTTTTATTATACAACTTAGAATGGCAAACAAGCTGACGGCCCACCTGATGGAAAGTGGTAACCATCGCCTATAGACATGAGCAGTACCATGGAAATAACAGAGTATACTGTTTCGCCCATGATACCCCCCATGCGTTGCCCTTGTGTTGTTTTAGCGCTTTAACGTCTTAATCAGTCATTATGTTGTTTGGTTTACCTATACATACATATGAGAAGGACAAAAGCTACTATTTGTCTCACTCATGCGAACGAAATCGGACACATTTCCTAGTTTTTCTATAACTTTAAATTTACTTTAAAAAGAATGATATTTTTTTTTATTGTGGAATGAATTACATCTTTGTGTCGCCTCTATTATTTTTTTACGAAACCCATAAAGAATTCATCTATTTCCAGGGTTACATTTGGATCAACGGACACAACCTGGGTAGATACTGGCCTCGATTGGGTCCGCAAGTCACATTATATGTTCCTGGGGTGTGGCTGAATAAAGCGCCCACACCGAACCACCTTCAAATTCTTGAGTTAGAGAAGGCGCCTTCCAAACTTACAGTACAATCTATCGACTATGCAATACTGAATAGAACTGGCACCGTTTATACTGTATAAATTAAATGAACATGTCTATTGAACTTCCAAATAGAAGTATTTTTAAAATAATATACCTAGTTAGCGAACAGGGAAAACGTGTTTTTGTGTGATCTCGTAAAACAATAAAAGCATCTATAATTTGTTTTTATTTTACACTTGGCATACTTATCATATCAAGTTAATGATCTTGGCTTGTTTTTTTATTATCAAAATAACAGTATATAAAATATACACATAACTAGAATAGAAGAAGGTGTTATCACAAATAAAATTTATTGTTTTTATTACTTACTTTTAATGTCACATTTCGAAATAAACATTCCGAGGTTATTTGTCAATTATACCAGTTTACAAGTAATAAAAACCAGATGGGCCAATATTTTAATTATCATTATAATCAGTATGATTCAACACTGAAGTTAAATACGTTTGAAATAAAGTTGTTATAATTATTACTTTAATAATTTTGGAATACGAAATAGTATACGATATTAGGTATAAGAAATATATAAATACATCGATATTGTTACATTATAACCACAGGTTTGATCATAAAAGATATTTTTTATATTTTCTTCCATACTAAAACATGCACCTGTGGAGTTTTTACAAATGGTTTATAAACTTCTTTTCACTATATAATTGTCCAGGGGCTTATGAGTTTTACAGATTAACCCTATTCCTACAAATTGGCAAAGAGACTAGTTTTTACTTAGGTGATTAACAACTTTAAAATTTTTAAAAGTTTGTATTAAAACTCTAGTTTCAAGAATGTTACAAAATTAAATCTGAATTATTAACATACTTTTAAAGAGAGTGTCTAATCAATTAAATTAAATATTTTTCCTCAATGAAACGCAACAAAAACTTTATAGCCTATACCTGAAAAATTATAATTAATACTTATGTATTAATAGATCTTAACTCTTGTCGTTTTTTTTACCCATGTTTCTTTGGCTAAATATTCATTTAATCTGGTAGAGCACTCTCATAAACGGATAATGACGATTTTAAATTTACCTGTATAATTGTGGCTGCTCGTTTCAGCTTACTATGTCTATATTTACCTTTAACTTTATATTTACATTTACCTAAACTAGGTAGTCACAATACATTAAGTATTGTGACTAGTTTAAAAAAATAAATATTCTAGTCTCTTAATATGATTTGCTTATAACTTATTTTTGATCACACTCCGCTATTATTTCCTATATGGACAAAACTTTGTTCTTTAACAACCCATTAAAGTGCACTATTGGGTATAAGTGTATATACCTAGGTAGGTTTATTATTATCATAAAAGAAAAAGTCATCCCTTCCTACTCAAGAAAAAATAAATAGAAAGCTGCAACCTAAAAAATGAGAATAGGAAGTTTATTGAGAAGACATAAATTCGCCATTAACTTAAAACCATTTTAAGTAATAGCACTAGCAAGTAATATACCTGTCGTGGTGGAAGGAATATACACCCTGCCAGATCAACCTCTACACGATCTAATGCGGATACGTCATGGTTATTATTTTAATTCACAGTGGACCGACTGATTTCAATTTATCTTCGTCTATCATCACCTCACTCAGGTACTATCAATATCGGTAGAGTATCAACTCCGCTAATGTACACCGATAGCGCAGAAAGGAATAACATTCCATATTTACCCCATTAAAAGCGTGTTTCTATCTGATAATAACTAGTAGGATGGTCGGCATTTAGGTAATCAGATAGATTTTTACCTGTTTAAGAATGAAGGCGGCGCGGCGTAGAGTCAATGGGGTGCAACCGGCTTCATTCCATCGGCGTCGTATAACAATAAAAAAATTCAAGATTTTTAGGGCAGCAAAAAGAGCTGAGAACTGTCTTTTGTTCACTAGAGGTGGGGAGACTTTTGATAATGTACTTTTTTTACGTACAGTGTCATTAATTTTGATTTAATTTTGTGCGTCTCCTAAATAGGGTAAAGGCCATCCACAGGGATTCTCCAAAATCAGAAATGATATATAAAAGGTAATAATTTTGGTTTTGTAATTACTCTACAGAGAATGCACCAACGTTCACTTGCTAATCACTTTTAGGTAATACAAAACTAGTCAAAAATTGGTAGTAAAAATTGTATATCATTTTCAATCATTCAGCCTGCCGGTATATAGGCTAAAATTGAAAATTTTAGCATCCTTTTTAAAGTTCTGTTCTACTGGGATAAGTGATTGAATTTTTTATTAAGTATAATGTACCAAATTCAATAGAAAAAACTGAGCGTTCTTAGTTCTTCGTGTTTTGCTGTTAAGTTTTACTAACTTTCAATTTTTTTAACCCATTTATCATTATTTACTCATGTTTTTTAGAAAAGAATATTTAGTATTACAAATAAAACTCTTTTAAAAAATTCACTTCTCCAATATTCTATAAACTACTTAGAACACTTTTATTATCTGGGTATTTATGTACTCGTAGTCGTAGAACACGTTATATTAATTTATAAAAAATATAAATATTATAATAAAGTACTTATTTTTCTTTATTTTTTAAATTCTACTAATTGTACATATTATACGCATAGTTTTTTTTATCGTGTTAACAAATAACATTCCTAAAAAAATTAAGCCTTTACCTTTTTACTTTTTTAACCGTTTAGTTCTCTCTATCTGCTCAGGAAAATAATTAGCGTAAAGATAGATATTTATTTCATTAGTAAAATAAAATAAACTGCTCCTCTACTAATAACACTAATAATTATTTATAGTAGAGGTGCAGTTATTAATTATCCATATAATAGAGCGGATACAGTCAAATGTGCGGTTATTTAGAAGACAAACGTAGCTAAACTGGAATAACAAAGCATTATTTATTATTTTAGCTCTACTATGTTATTAACCCTATATTGATGAAAATATGTTATACATAGAGCACAAGTGATGTTTACGAGAATCACGATACAATTGAGACTGACATTATCAACAAAGAAATGACCCTGCAAAGACATGCTAAACATTTCGGAACATCTCTATACATATGATTAGATCGTGTCACTACCAACATCTGAGAGAACAGAACAGATATATAAATTTACAAGTGGTGTGAGTGAAAAAAAAATATTAACTGGTTTTTAATAATATTTGAATAAGGGGGGATATAAAACTAATCATTCACGGACCGACATTTCAATATCACTTTTATGGATCACAGAACAACAAAGATTTTTTAGCGCCACATAAGTACAACACGGCACAACAATTATTCCGAAATCTTTGGTATTTATTCATTTATAAATTTATTTAAACTAATGCACAGTGAAATTCTATGTACATTCGGCGGACTTAACACCGGACGGCGTTCTCTACCAGTCAACCATTGGGCAGAGAAGTTGGCGATGTATTCATGAATTAAGGAAACGTACAGTAATACTTAATATATTCACATATTATAAACAAATAATTAGGTATTAATATATATTAATATTTTTATTATACACAACAAATAAAATGTTTCCTTAACTCATTATTTAATGAGTTAAAACCAGGAATTTTAAACTTTCTAAACTTTAAAGCCATTTCACAAAAATTACTGTCTAACTAACTAACTATGACATTAACTTCGCAAAAGTAAAAATCATTATTTTAGAGGAGATCAAAGCAACTTAGTGTCTCTAAGTCTATATTTCTTTTTGTTTAATATTTTTTATAAATGTAGAGTAATTGTTTAAAACAGCTTTGAAATTACTTCTGGAGAAAAATGTAGAGTATTTTTTTAAAATAGCTTTGAAATTACTTTTAGAGATTCGTGTCTAAACATAAAAACTACAAAAAATTTATTACACAAAAATAAAACTTCAAACACGGCATAACTTTATTCTATATACTTACACGTACTTTGAAATTGATCTAACGGTCATAACTAATACTTGCACTCAATTTTGTTGGTTTTTTTCTTTGGTGTAATGAACGTTCGCTACATATGCACGACAAACTTCTTTAGAACTTTTACAAGCGAAATAATGCGATTCTGTCTGGCCTTGCATGGCAACACAAATTATTGTTTGCGTCGTGTAATCGTGTTGCCTCATTCGTTGGAGACGGGGGCCGGGGAGGGCCGGCAAACGAGACCGGCAACCACATCGTACATAGGTCTGTCGTCGTGCTAACCGCGACAGCGTCGGACCGTTCGTACGGAGGTTCGATATTACCACGTGGCCGGCACGCGGTTTAACTAAATAGTAAGTACATAACTATTATAGCTCAGAAAGGACTCGACACACAAAATTTTCAGAAATGAAACAGTAGTGCCAACATGCTGTACGAACTTCCTGCGTCATTTTGGTAACATAATGTCATTTTTAAGAATTTTCTGAGTTAAGTTCTTTCTGCTAAAGTACGTTCAGTTGAAAACAAGTCTTAAAATTTATTTGGATTTAATATTCTTATATAATTTATAATACATATGTATATATATATTTGTAGTTTAAGATATATAGATAACTGCAATGGGCATGTATTTTAAAACTACAAAATAAATTGTGATTAATTCTTTTTAACTTATATCCTTATTGATAAAGGATAGGTACCTATGATTGTTAAACGTTCCTCGGTAAGTATATAAGAATATAAAATATCTAAACGGAATTTTTATTTATAATTTCAAATATTTAGTTACTTAGAAAAATATAGATACTTACCTGTACCTAAACATTTCCCGTTTCGAATATTTAATTAGTAAAATGTTTTATTTCTGTGTTATAGTTATACTATAATACTAGTAATACATAGGTAAGTATATTATCACATTGTTATCATATGTTCTAAATATATATCACACATGTAGCAATATATTATTGGTAATTCTTCAATAAGTACTAAATGAATTGAGCCAAGAGGCCTTGACATTGCGATGATTGAAATGACCCGTCGACATTTCGATTACCTAGTACTTAGATACTTGTAGACGAAACAACACAGGGACTGTAACTCTTACTTTAAACTTATAACATAAACAAAAGTTAAACTTACGATAGACAGGTGTTTATTATATGTTTAGACGTCTTACTATAAAATGGAATCTAACATTTGTTTATATCGAAACAAAAGTGCCTGTTTCATAAAAAAGAAGTTTAAAGCAATCAGTTATATTATAATACTCTATGAATTTTGGCATATAAAATATCAAATAAATATACACTACGTTAACAGTGTTTTAAATATTTTTTTGTAATGAGACCGTAATAGTCTCAAATATCATATTTTTTTACTGAACAGATTTGAATTAAACTTGGAATATATTTTCTTTTTTTTTTTGGTGATAATGGAATGGTAACCCTGCCTGTACTATCGGTTTACACTTGCAAGTGAGAAATGACAGGTTAGAATGAAAGTGACGAATTACCCTTAAATGAACCACGATAATCTCCATGAAGGGCCTATTGCTAGCATCAGTGTCGTAGGATCCCATTACTGAATATTCCCTTCCGTCAAATAGTTTTTGCATATCTTTCTTTACCAGAATTTTTTAACAGAGGATCTAACTTACTTTGTACAAAAGTCATTTGCTTACTTGCTGTTTGGGTACGTCTGTCCCATTCGTGGTACTACTGTGGAGCAATTGTGTTTATATGGCTGTGTTTCGGTTTGAAAGGTACAGAGGAATAACACCTTAGTTCTCAGGAATGGCAACTCTGTTATTTCCGTTTGTCATTCTAAATTGCACTAAAAAAGCTTTGTTTTGCATATGCTATAGCTTAGTACAAATAGTAAACTAAGCTAAATGAAGTTTTTTTTAATGGACGATAATAAAATAACCCCGCCTACGCTAACGGGTATACACTGGTGGGGTACCAATGACGGATGATAGATGAGGATGAAAACAGGTCAGTTGGCCCATAGTGACGAATTCATAAAAAAAACAATCAAGATGGTTTCCAGGGGGAACCGTGTGGAGGTCAACCTGATAAGATATATTATTAGCAATGGGGTATCTAGTCCCATTCCTTAGAATCTCCCAGCTTAATGAAGTTAGATTTCTTTAGCATAGCTTTCAATGTGGCCTCCGCGTATATCATATATCACAAAAGGAAGTTTTTTTAATGGGTGATAATGGAACGGCAACCTGCGCTATCGATATACGCACAAGTAAGAGATAATAGATGAGGATGAAAGCAGATCAGTTAGTTCATCGTGATGAATGGGATTTTCAGTCTCCATTACTAACAATCCTTTTCCCCCCTGCGTAACCGGGGTATGGCTACTAATTGTGATATAAATTAGTCTATTGCCATTTCCATCCCATATAGTACGTATACCAAATTTTATATTGATTGGTAACCAAGAAACAAACTGACTTTCACATTTATAATATTAGTATGGATTTAATAAATTTATTTATTGGTATTCAGAAAATGATAAACGAAGACTTAAACTGCGAAGTGGGCCCGCCCTGCAGCTTAGTGCTGGCTGATGGCACCATATTCCAGGGCAGAAGTTTTGGCGCCAAAGTTCCTGCTGAAGGAGAAGTTGGTGAGTATCATTTTTAAACAATTAAAAATATTTCATTGTCACTGTATAGAATGGCGCTGTAATATCTCATAATATTTGGCTATTTTAGTGATATAGCGGTTTTTTATGGATAGTAATGGAATGGTAACCCCGGTAAGGATGAAGCGGGTCAATTGGCCAGTCTTGACGAATTTAACAATAAATCAATCACATGGGTTCCCAGGGGAATCACGAAGCGGTTATTACTAACAATCCCTTGTCCCCTAATGGTATAGAAGTTTTTGTTAATGGGTGAAAATGGAGTGGTAGACCCGCCTACGCTATGGGTATAAACGAAGTCCTCGTGAGAGATCATCGGTGAGGATGAAAGCATGTCAGTTAACCCATCGTGACAAATTCAAGTATTTACTTCGTTGATTTCTCAGGGAAACCGTGTGAAGGCCAACCTAATAGGCTACATTGCTAGCACTGTGGCTTGTTAAAAATCTCTTCATCCAATTGTTAACAATTCCTATTCCCCTGATACAGCAATTTAACACATAGCTTCCTTTGTTGCTGATTCGTACAATATGTACAATTCATTATAATGCCGCTATAAATGGCTAGTGTTAGAAAAAAATAATTTCAAAATAAAATAACCCCAATTAAATCAGCATATTTGTAGATGGCAATTTAATTTTCCAGTTTTCCAGACCGGTATGGTGGGTTACCCCGAGTCTTTAACGGATCCATCATATCACGCACAATTGTTAGTCCTCACATACCCACTAATTGGTAACTATGGTGTGCCTGATGAAAAGGACATCGATGAACATGGATTGCCCAGGTAAATATATTCAAATTTCTTTATAATTCTGAAAATAAATAGTCATGGCCTACTAACCACTGCCGAACATAGTATGCCTCTCCCACAAACATAAAAAACGACTTTATGTGCATACAATACTAAATTAAAAATTTATTCGAGAATAAAAAAAATATATATTTCTAATGGACTATATAATTGAAGTATATACCTAGTGTGATACCTAAATTACTTAATAACCTGAATTGAATATTTCACTAATAATTATAGATACTTCATTTATTTATTTATTCATTAACAATATCTGTCTTGCAATTAGCAATTATAGAAAACTGAATATAAAAAATTAGAAGTTTTATGCCACTTGGATTTCTAGAAAAATTTACTCTCGTTATTACTAATAGACATTTTCAATCGACTTAAAAAAGAAGGAAGTTCTCAATTCGGTTGTAAACCGATTTGGAAAATTCTTTTTTAACTACAAATTTTTTTTCATTTTTATTTGCAGATGGTTCGAATCAAATCGTATATGGGCTGCAGGCTTAATAGTTGGCGAAGTTAGTACAAGAGCATGCCATTGGAGAGCACGTCGGTCATTGGGCTCATGGCTGGCATCTCATGGAATTCCTGGCCTTTGCGATATTGATACGAGAGCATTGACCTGCCGATTACGCGCTGGCGTAACTCTAGGTCGGATAGTACAGGGTACACTGCCTACTGGTCCCCTCCCACCGCTATCTGATCCAAACAAAAGAAATTTAGTAGCTGAAGTGTCTGTTACGGTGTGTATTATTATAATTATTACTTTTAATTTATAAATATAAATAATAATGCAATATAAATATCTGAACTGAATTTGATGAAATCTAAAATCTACCAACTTACAAAATTGGAGTAAGTTGTAATAGAAAAAATGAAATTTTATAATAAGGTAGGTGCAGGGACCTACCTAATTATAAAATTTTATTTTTTCCTCATTTAGCAATTCTCCCTACTACTTCTACAATAATGTAATAAACAGACTAAAACAAATTTCAGTTAAAAGGTCAGTTTCATTATTAAGCTAACTCATTCCATAGATTTTCGACAATGGTGAACAATTCTTCCATATTAACCACAATCAGAAGGTACTGCGTCGTTTACAAATAACAGATTAAAAGCTTCTCGCAATCAATATATTATAAATATATCGAGATAGATTACAGGCATCATTTCCGTTTATTAATCTCAAGGATTTTCTTAAAGTTGATTTTATTAAATCTAATTAAATCAACTAAATAAGTTGATATAGTGTCGCCTTGACTTACCCTCGTTTCAACTTGGTCTAAGTATAAGGTCTTGGTCTAAGTACAAGTAAGGTGGTATAAGTAGTCTAATTGTTGTTGCTTGATTAACATATACTATTTTTCATTAACTCTGCGATCTATCATCGCTTTTTTACAATATCTTCCCTTAATCCTTTCCCTTAAGACCTTTTCATAATTAATAAAGATGAAAATAATATATTTTTTATATGCATGATAATCATTATTACTAATTGACATATTTCCTTGAAAAAATTACAGGAACCGAAAATCTTCAACCCCAACGGAGAAATTACAATTATGGCAGTAGACTGTGGCCTCAAATACAATCAAATAAGATGTTTTGTCAGAAGAAACGCTAAAGTGATCTTAGTGCCTTGGAACCATAGACTCAATCCAAATAATTACGATGGTCTTTTTATCAGTAATGGCCCAGGTGATCCTGAAAATTGCAAAAAATTAGTGGAAAATATTAAAGAAATCATAAATAACAAAACTGATATCAAACCAATTTTTGGCATTTGTCTTGGGCATCAACTTTTATCGACTGCAATTGGTTGTAAAACCTTCAAAATGAGGTAATACACCACTTCATTCTAGAAATAGTTTATGATATGGATAATAATAGTTTTTTCTTATATTTATAAATTTGTTGCTATTTTAATTGCAGCTATGGAAATCGTGGTCACAATTTACCGTGCACTCATAATGGAACAGGTAGATGTTTTATGACATCTCAGAATCACGGATATGCAGTGGATTCTAATAGTATACCAGCTGATTGGAAAGCATTATTTATTAATGAAAACGATAAAACAAACGAGGGCATTATTCATAAGAAAATGCCCTATTTCAGCGTTCAATTTCATCCCGAACATACTGCGGGCCCCACAGATCTGGAATGTCTATTCGACATATTTATTGAATCTGTGATATCATATAAAAATAAAAAACCACAACTCGTTGATGAAATGATTACAAAAAAATTAGAATTTGTGCCTACAATTCAAGAAAGACCGAAAAAAGTACTAATTCTTGGCTCTGGTGGGTTATCAATAGGCCAAGCAGGTGAATTTGACTATTCAGGATCTCAAGGTGTAAAGGCTATGCAGGAGGAAAAAATTCAGACTGTTTTAATTAATCCTAATATAGCCACCGTTCAAACGTCTAAAGGATTAGCAGATAAAGTATATTTCTTGCCTATCACTCCTGAATATGTGGAACAAGTTATTAAAGCCGAAAGGCCAACTGGCGTTTTACTTACATTTGGAGGGCAAACTGCTCTAAATTGTGGAGTAGAATTAGAAAAAGCTAAAGTATTTGAAAAGTATAACGTGAATGTCTTGGGTACTCCGATTCAGTCAATTGTAGATACTGAAGATCGAAAAATATTTGCCGAAAAGATTAACGCTATTGGAGAAAAGGTTGCACCTAGTGCAGCAGTGACTTCGGTAGATGAAGCTCTAACAGCTGCTTTACAAATTGGTTACCCAGTGATGGCACGGTCTGCATTTTCTTTAGGAGGTCTAGGTTCAGGTTTTGCAAACAACGAAGAAGAGCTTAAAATACTCGCTCATCATGCTTTATCACATTCTGATCAATTAATTATTGATAAATCTTTAAAAGGATGGAAAGAAGTAGAATACGAGGTTGTGAGAGATGCCTATGATAATTGTATAACTGTTTGTAATATGGAAAATATCGATCCGCTTGGTATACATACAGGAGAATCAATTGTTGTCGCTCCAAGTCAAACACTTTCAAATAGAGAATATTATATGTTACGTAATACGGCCATAAAAGTCATACGACATTTCGGCATTGTTGGCGAGTGTAATATACAATACGCTCTCAATCCAAATTCAGAAGAATTTTATATTATAGAAGTAAATGCAAGATTATCTAGAAGCTCTGCATTGGCCAGTAAAGCAACAGGTTACCCTCTAGCATATGTAGCAGCAAAATTATCTCTAGGTATTCCATTACCCATTATAAAAAACTCAGTAACAGGAGTGACTACTGCATGTTTTGAACCAAGTTTGGATTATTGCGTAGTGAAAATACCAAGATGGGATTTGGCTAAATTTAACAGAGTCAGTACTAAGATCGGAAGCTCTATGAAAAGTGTGGGAGAAGTCATGTCCATAGGTAGAAATTTTGAAGAAGCTTTTCAAAAAGCGTTGCGGATGGTTGATGAAAATGTTAATGGATTTGACCCGAATATAAAAAATGTTGATGAAAATGAACTTAAAGAACCCACAGATAAACGTATGTTTGTTTTAGCGGCAGCAATAAAAAATAATTACAGTGTAGAAAAGCTCTATGAACTCACTAAAATTGACCGATGGTTTCTAGAAAAATTTAAGAATATCATTGACTATTACAAGACTTTGACAACTTTTGATACAGGAACTATAACACTTGAAATATTAAAAAAAGCGAAAAAGATTGGATTCTCTGATAAACAAATTGCAGCAGCAATTAAAAGTACAGAAGCAGCCGTCAGAAAGTTAAGGGAAGAATTTCAAATTACTCCATTCGTGAAACAAATTGATACAGTTGCTGCAGAATGGCCTGCATATACTAATTATCTATACTTGACTTATAATGCTAGCACACACGATTTAGATTTTCCAGGTGAAATTACTATGGTACTTGGATCAGGTGTGTACAGAATAGGTAGCTCAGTTGAATTTGACTGGTGTGCTGTTGGATGTTTGAGAGAATTGAGAAAACAAGGTAAAAAAACAATAATGGTTAACTACAACCCGGAAACTGTAAGTACCGATTATGACATGAGTGACAGATTATATTTCGAGGAAATTTCATTCGAAGTCGTTATGGATATTTACAACATCGAGAAACCAAATGGAATTATATTATCAATGGGAGGACAGCTACCAAATAACATTGCTATGGATCTTCATCGCCAACAAGCAATAATATTAGGCACTTCGCCAGATATGATAGATAATGCAGAAAATAGATTTAAATTTTCACGTATGCTGGACAGAAAAGGCATAATGCAACCTAGATGGAAGGAACTTACAGATCTTGATTCCGCAATAACCTTTTGTGAAGAAGTTGGATATCCTTGTCTGGTACGACCATCTTACGTCTTGAGTGGTGCTGCTATGAATGTAGCACACTCAAACCAAGAGTTGGAAACTTATTTAAAATCAGCAAGTTTAGTAAGCAAGGATCATCCTGTTGTTATTTCTAAATTTATTATGGATGCTAAAGAAATCGATGTTGATGTAGTTGCTGCAGACGGAATTATTTACTGCATGGCAATTTCTGAGCATGTCGAAAATGCAGGAGTCCATTCTGGTGATGCAACATTAGTTACACCGCCACAAGATATTAACAATGAAACATTTGACAAAATAAAAGAAATTGCTAGCATCATAGCAGAGACGCTTGATGTAACAGGTCCTTTCAATATGCAGTTAATAGCAAAAGATAATGATTTAAAAGTTATTGAATGCAACGTTAGGGTTTCGAGATCATTTCCTTTTGTATCGAAAACTCTAGATCATGATTTTGTAGCCATGGCTACTAAGCTAATTTTAAATATACCTGTTGAACCTGTTGATGTAATGACTGGCTGCGGAAAAGTGGGAGTGAAAGTGCCTCAATTTTCATTCTCTAGACTATCTGGTGCTGACGTTACATTGGGAGTTGAAATGGCATCTACTGGTGAAGTAGCGTGTTTTGGTGAAAATCGTTACGAAGCTTATTTAAAATCACTAATGAGTACTGGTTTTAGAATACCCAAGAAAGCAATACTTTTATCTGTGGGAACATTTAAGGTAAATAAATAGTTTCTTATTTTAAATGGTCAGTAGTGTTATTTGACGTATTTGTGAGTTAAAGAGCTCTTTGAATCTACAATTATTTTTTTTTATGAATAAAACTATTAGTGAAATGTTTATAATATATGAAAGTATGCTAAATATAATGTTAACGTATTTTGTTTTTATATATTACAGCACAAATTAGAATTGTTACCAAGTGTACGTGCTTTACAAAAAATGGGTTACAAACTATATGCTAGTATGGGCACTGGAGACTTCTATACTGAACATGGCGTCGAGGTAATAATAATATCTTTTTTTACATATATATTAATGTATTTATAATTAAAATATGCCTGTATAAAAAGCTGATACAACAATTAGTTGTTGATACTATACGATGATACTGGTCTTTTTCGACATTGCAATATTTTACCTGTACATCTACAATTTAAATACACATTTCTTAAGGAAAACTTTTTTAACAAAAAAATATTGGAACGAAATTAATCATGCTGTATATACGAGGGCGGTCGCACGGAAGCAACTTTGTACCAATAGCGCTCGCGTAAATAACTGTTATGGTGAGCGTACGGCTGACTACCTGGTTCCTCGATTTATTAATGAACTACCCACCGATGTACGAGATAACATTACTATTAGCAACATCAAGTATAAATTAAAACGATACTTCTTGCATGGTTTTAATACAATTTAAATAATTTTAATGTATTTAGTATTAATATAAACCTACGTGGTTTCTGAATGCTAATGTAACATAAATTCTGTAACTTGTATTTTTATTGATAATAATAAAAAAAAAAAAGAAAAAAAAGTTAACATATTAACATTAACGTATTTTAAAAGTAATAAAAATACAATTATTATATATATAAAAAATATAATATATAAATAAAAAAACCATAATTACTGTACCCTTATAAAACTATAATATTAATATTAGTTAAAAAAGTACAGTTATGTTTTTTTACGAATTAATCTTATTTCATTTCATTTCAATTATTTTTTTATATCAGATTGAAAGCGTTCAATGGACATTCGACCACATTGGAGATCCTGAAGACGCAAGGTCAGATGGAGAACTTATGCATTTAGCAGATTTCATGGCAAGACGGCAACTAGACTTAGTAATAAATCTGCCTATGAGAGGAGGAGCCCGACGTGTATCGTCCTTTAGCACCCACGGATATCGCACAAGAAGACTGGCTGTTGATTATGCTGTGCCACTAGTAACAGATGTTAAATGTGCTAAATTGCTTGTAAAGGTTCGTATGGATGCAGATAAAATTAGTAATTTTACTCGTACATTTATTTATGTTTAAATATGTACATGTTGTATGCCGTTCTTGTGGGAATTTACAAAAAACGATTCTCAATGCTCACTTGCCTACGTTACAATAGAAACTGCTGCAAAATATCATGTCTCTGTCCAACCATTTCAGCAGTTTGTTAATTTATCAACTTTATATATTGTATGTATGTAAATGATATAGATAACATAATATGATCTCGCAGCAGCATGGAAGCCAAAATACTCTAATAGATAAATATTACTTAAGCAGCTAAGAATAGTTTTTATTATCACATTCATATTTACAATAAGGTGTGACGAAATAATTTCTTGTACCTTTGTGATTGATTATCTTATATTTTAAACAGGCAATGCAGCAATGCGGCGATGCTCCACCAATGAAAACACACACAGACTGTATGACTTCTCGTAACATAATAAAACTGCCAGGATTTATCGACATACATGTACATGCCCGCGAACCAGGTGCTCCATATAAAGAAGATTTCGATTCATGCACCGCCGCAGCTCTAGCTGGTGGTGTTACAATGATATGTGCTATGCCAAATACAAATCCTGCTGTCATTGATCGCTCCTCATACGATTATGTCTCAACATTAGCTCGTGTTAGTGCCCGGTGTGATTATGCTCTATTTGTGGGAGCCTCGTCAAGTAACTGTGATACTGTAGCTGAGTTAGCTCCTCAAGCTGCAGCTTTAAAAATGTACTTGAATCAGACTTTTACAACTCTGACACTAGATGACATGATCATCTGGCAGAGGCATCTCCAGAACTGGCCAAAAAAGTTCCCAGTCTGTGCTCACGCAGAACGCGAAAAGACAGGAGCAGTTATTCTTATGGCATCATTACTTGATCGACCAATACATATTTGTCATGTTGCTAGAAAAGAAGAAATTTTAATAATTAAAGCTGCCAAAGAGCGAGGTTTAAAAGTAACTTGTGAAGTATGCCCACATCATTTGTTTTTAAGTACAGCAGATTTCGATAGGATCGGAAAGGGTCGTGTTGAAGTACGCCCAGTCTTATGCAGTCCTGAAGATCAAGCAGAGCTTTGGAAAAATATGGACATCATAGATGTTTTTGCAACAGATCATGCTCCGCATACTGTTGAAGAGAAAGATTCTGAAAAACCACCACCAGGATTTCCTGGCTTAGAAACAATTTTACCACTATTATTAAATGCTGTTCATGAAGGTCGATTAACCATGGAAGACGTTATAAATAAATTTCATAGAAATCCTCGAAAAATATTTAACCTTCCTGAACAACCAAATACTTACGTCGAAGTTGACATGGATTATGAATGGACAATACCATCTGCTATGGAATTTTCAAAATCAAAATGGACACCTTTTGCAGGCATGCAAGTATGTGGTGCTATTCATCGTGTAACATTACGTGGTGAAATAGCTTATGTTGAAGGGCAAATTTTGATACCTCCAGGATTTGGTCAAAATGTTAGAGATTGGCCTACTCCTAAAAAACAAACTTTTCCAATATATTCCATCGAAAAAACAGAAAAGGAACAAAGCCGACCAAACTCTGCATTAGATTTACATTTGTCAGGAGAAATGAGCCGACTTAGTGACCTTGAATTAGATCAAATTGAAGCTAAGCCTGAGGGTCATAATAAATTAAATGTGCATTTTAATGAAATATCAGGTTTAAGATCTGGATCACCTTTACTAACTACAATCAGACAGAGATGTGATAGTAGTTCAAATTACAATCCTCCGCATATACCAATGTCTCACCGCCAACGCAGCGACTTGTTCGGAAAAAGTATTTTAACTGTTGATTCTTTTAGTAAAGAAACTCTCAATGATATATTCAATTTGGCACAGTTTATGAAGACTAGCGTAAATAAAGGTAGATATTTGGATGATATATTACGCGGAAAAGTCATGTCTTCTATATTTTATGAAGTAAGCACACGTACAAGTTGCAGTTTTGCAGCAGCCATGCAAAGATTAGGTGGTTCTGTCATTCATACTGATGCTACTAGTTCCTCAGCCAAAAAAGGTGAAACATTAGAAGATAGTGTCGCTGTAATGGCAAGTTACTCAGATGTTGTTGTTCTTCGACATCCAGAACCTGGTGCAGTTGCAGTGAGTTTTAAACATACCTACTATTTTTACATAGAAATTTTACTGTCTCATTTATATTAATTAGAAATTTTTGTATTTACAGCGAGCATCACGACATTGTCGCAAACCGATCATTAATGCAGGAGATGGAGTAGGTGAACATCCTACACAAGCTTTATTGGATATATTTACAATACGTGAAGAGATTGGTACAGTAAATGGACTCACTATAACTATGGTGGGAGATTTAAAGAACGGTCGCACTGTACACTCTCTTGCTCGTCTGCTGACATTGTATCAAGTGCAGTTACAGTACGTTAGTCCACCAGGTCTTGGAATGCCAAAACATATAATGGAGTTTGTAGCACAAAAAGGCATATCGCAAAAAGTTTTTGATAGTCTAGAAGATGTTTTGGCTGATACTCATGTTTTGTACATGACAAGAATTCAACGCGAAAGATTTCAAAGTACAGAAGAATATGAACAAGTAAGATAAGTTTTATTTTTATTTGGATGTTTATAGAGATTTAAGAAAAAAAATATGGAAGAATTTTTAAAAGGAGCAATAAATTGGTTTAGCTAAAATTGGGTTTGTTAGACCAATGCACCGCCATTTATTCTTTCTGGCCACGTGATGATTGACTGGTAGAAAATGTCTAATGGCATTATGTCAAACAATAATTTTTAGAAACTTTCTGTCTGATACATGCTCATTTTCATCATTCATCATTACTCAAAAACTACTGCACCAAATTGAATGCGATTTTCACTTTGTATTTCTGAAAGTCTAACCTAAAAATTGATATATGTTTTATGTAAATACGTCATCTAAAAGAGGTCCATTTCATTCGCTTTCCTACTTTTAAAATTAGTAACTATTTCGGTTTTTTATATACATGTTGTTTGTTTAACAGATGCGTGGATTGCTGGTAGTGACGCCGCAGTTGATGACGCGAGCTCGCCGGCGGATGGTAGTGATGCACCCTCTACCACGAGTGGACGAGATCTCACCTGAATTCGACTCAGATCCTCGAGCGGCATACTTTAGACAAGCTGAGTACGGCATGTACGTAAGGATGGCTCTCTTGGCCATGGTTGCTGGGGTCAACCCTCTTGTGTAATATGTTGGAAAAAAACTCCTATAGAATTTAAATTCCATTTTATAATTGTGAAACCTAAGTTCAACTCCAATAAGCAAAAGTCCAGTAAGCGGACTAAGTACAGCACATTCCGTGTTTGCCATTCTAGTTATACAATTTTAGGTTCGTGATATAGAATAGTTCATATGAAATGTTTATAAAGTAAGAAATTTAAGTTATTAAGATGTATGTAGTACATATATGTAAATAGTAATTTCAATTAATAATTATGTAAGTAATAAAAGTAATTTGTACACGTGACCTCCCTGTATGCATTTAATTTGACCAATTTTGTATATACTTAATAAGCATTTATAGTAATTGGTACGTACCTATATGCCAAATCAATAAAATATAAATTGTGATTTAACTATTATTTTGACATTTTTGTAAAGAATAAAATAGTATTTAGACACGTAAGGTGGAATAACAATCTTCTAAATCAATAAACGCAGAGAAACCATTAAACAATTCGATAAAAAAAAGGTTCTTTTTTATCGAAAGATCCTTATAATTTACATTACGTTTAAATTTAAAAACAAGAAATGTTATATATTTTACTATTTTTAAAGAAGTCTGATTAATTTATCTCAAATTAACATTATTCATTTTATAAAAATCATTTATGTATCTGATGTAAAAACTATAAATGTAACTCTACTATTAAAATAATGACCACAATATCATTTTATTATATTATTTTATATAGGTGTATGTAAAATGCACCTATTGTTATTTATTTATACCTACAATATTCATATTTTAGATAACTATATATATAATACCAGTAATTTAAATGCACTAATATAAAAAGGATCCATTTTGTAATTATATACCTATATAATATACATATATACCTATAATTTTTCCATAGCAGGTTCTCTATACTACACCCAATTGTTTTTCGTTTTCCTAAAGGTGACCTGTAAAAAATGCTATGTAAAGTCCGCCTTTTTATATAATTTTATCAATAAAGATTAAGAATACGAGCCAAAAATGATGTTTAAATATTTGAAAGCTTGTTAGATAATGGTGTGGTTTCCAATTTCTATTCAATATCTCTTTTGAATCTCAGTCTTGAATTTTTTGGTTCGATCTTTGAATAAAAAGATTAATAGGTCGAGATTGATATATCCCATTTTATGCTACGTGTTTGTGGTTTTCTTATTTTCCGTATATACTCGTATCTGTGTAAGTTTCCTTTTTTCGGAAAATTCTTAGTTCCTTTTACGCACATTTTCCTTTTATTTAAACGTCAACATGCACATGAATAGATCAAGATCGATTTTTATTGATATCAAACTTTTAATTCGAATTAATTCCAAAAATCGATTATTTTGTCTAAGATCTATCTATTTCTAACACTTTAACGAGCAGTCCATGCAAAGAGTGATCCAAAATACAGATTATTAGGTATAGAATGTCTAGTCTAACTAGTCATAGAATGAATATTGAAAATAAGAACATACATTGTCTTTGTTCTTCTTTATTGTCCTATCTTGTATATTTATTACAATATAAATATTATATAAATAAAGGTAAGAAACTGAAAAATTCGCGGTCGAACATGTGACCCGGTTTCTATAAAAAGCATTTTCTATATCAATCTTACCTATATTTCATGGGAAAGATTGCTTTTGATCACCTAATTGTCATACAAAATATAAAGGAGTCGTAATGAAGAATAACACGGTTATATTTTATAGAAATAATAAGCGTATAAATATGTGCATATATAATATTTAGTTTACAAAAAAATATAAACAAAAACTATTACTTTTTTTATTATGAAATAGAGATTCTAATGAACTTTACATGAATATATCTTAAATGTTTACACATCTAAATTCAATTACAACCATATTTTATACAATGTCAATATTTTATTTAACTTATACCGTTTACTACAGTTCCAAGTAGAAAAAATAACTATATAATGTGATAAGCGTGCGAAATAATAATTTATTATTAAGTACGTATCATCATATGAATCATACACACAGACACACACATGCTTGAAATATAAAAGTGTTGATACAAACATTCGATAAGGTAATACCTTATTATTAGTAGTAGTATTCTATAATCTGTTTCAATAGAAATTAATGAAAATGTAAACGAATAGAAAATCACTTAACTGATTGATTGTTCTGTAAGGATGTCAATATAATTGGACTATATTTTCATTATATCCTATTGAAACAGACTATAAAAAAAACTTAGGCGCTTCACACACTGACCCCACTTTTACCCACACCGCCGTGGTTTCCCCCCTCTGCCACAGAGGCAGCAGTCAGTGTGTGAATCCCTTTTTTAATTATGTTGATACAATGTAGATAGATATTTTATTATTCTATGAATATTATTGAGTGCTATTATTAAATGTAAAAATATATTTAGTCACTTAAATGTATGTAGATTATTATGTCATTTATTAAATAAATTTAATTTACCACTTTGATTCAACGAGAGAAATACAGTTACTATTCTGTATAAATAAATAATTTTGATACTACAAACATGTAGGTATATTTTTAACAATTTAGTCATTTAAAAATAAAACGCATATAAAATATTTAATCGTTTTTAGTAATTTTTTATCCCTTGACATTTTATCCACTTTAAAGAACTATCATGAAATTTGGAAAAAATATAAGTTTCTAGTATTTGAGATCAAAGGAGGACATAGTCGTGAATAAAATTAATATATAATTATCATATTATCTATATACTAACATTATATAGAGGAAAGATTTGATTGTTTGTTTGTAATGAATAAAAACAAGAACTACTTAAAAAAAACTAATTAATTAAAAATTGTTTCGATTTATAACACTACCGACTAACAAAGGCTACATATTATTTACAAAAAATTAAAGATCCCTACGAAAATTACAATAATGTAATCCAAGGCATCAATATTTGTCTATTAAAACTAATATAAAATACTAATTTATATTTACATATATCTATCTACCCGCGCGGAGCCCGGGCAGATCATTACTAACCAATAATCGTAACATCGTCTTAGACTGAATTATAAACTTTTAAATCACAATTACACCATTACAGGGATATCGAAAGGTAAAATATTTCAATCTATTATTTGGAGCTAATTACGCAAAAAATAGCCACCTTACCTGACATGTCTGTAAAATATGGCTGTTTTCTACATAACCAGCTCGATTTAATTTTAGATATGTCTAAATGACATTCATTAAACCATTTTCATTTTTCATAGCGCACCAACTATAATAATAGTCATGCAATAAAACGGCCATGTAGGCCGTGTGATTCTGGGAGAACCAGAAATGGGCAGCAACGTCCTTCTTAAAACATTTTCACAACCTGACTGTCATTACCAATCGGCCTGCCAAGCGTAGCAACTAATGCCAAAAAGCTTTTGTTCAGCAGTGGACAGTTAAAGGCTGATTTAATGATGATGAAGAAAATACATTATCAATAAAACGTAGAATTTAAATATAAATAAATAACCATGTGGAAAACCTAAAAGTATTCACCAATTTTAAAAGTTAAAACTTATAATAATCGAAACGCCACAACAACTTAGTACGACACAAATAGGTGAAACTGTGGTACTTATGTAGGCAAATTGAACAAAACTGTTTCACCTGGTAAAATTAATATTAAAAAATGCTCTAACGAGGCAATTTTAACGAATAAGTTTCAATAATAAAATTATTCTTTTTACATTTTATAGTATTGCTATAAATATGAGAGCAATGATTAGCAAATTTTATTTACAATGCCCCTTACATAGGGTATATTGACGTTATCAGAAATTCAGGCAACCAAAATGTAGGTTGCAAGATTTAAAATCTTTCTAAACTTGGTAATTGTGGTCCTGTAAATATTACTCCGACCTATAAACGAGATGTTCTGAAGCTGTGGGGTATTTTATGTCATTCATGATTTCATGCTTATTTCCTACCTATAACAATCAGCATTATTCAAAATTTTACTTAGCGGTAATTTAAAAAATTGTTAGTTTAAATAAATTTATACATGCAGTACTGAAAATTATCCAGTCATTGGTCAACTAGAATAATATCAATTATATCATAACTGTTATTATGGTAATATAACAATATAAATAATATAGAGGGCAATATTTATTTACTTATCTATCTATTTATGCAAAAATGAGCATTTGTTGCCTCCGTGATCCCAAAGTAGTCATAAACATACCTAGTTACGTGGAAATACATTTTTGAAAATTATTCTAAAATGCTTGCCTTGTATTTGGAATTTTCGTTATTTGACTGAAAAATATAGCAACTTGTATAACATAAATTTAACAACATTAGTATAATATAAATCTAAGATACGGACAAATTTTAATAAATGATACATGGGTTTATATTTTTCAATCTAATATGTCTTGAGACATTCTCATAACCTAGATTCCTCTTCAATTACCATATCTGTAAGCTGTACATGAGTACAGGATTTATGATCAACATGAATATCTGCCGCATGAATAAATGAAAATGGTGTGATTCCAGGTGTCTCAGTAGGGGAATTGTTACCATTAATATTGTCAAACTTTGGCCTGCGTTTCTTGATGGCTTTTGGCAGCGGACGATCTGCGTTGCTTTCTCTTCTCATTGATAATTTATAGCCTACTTGATTTGCTAATTTTCGCTGGCAATCCGCTAGTTTGTCACGAATAACATCCATGTATTCATTAGCTGTTATATCACCTCCAGGTTCCTCTAATAAAAGCAAACAAAGTCTTTGAGCTTGTTCCAAGTATATTATAGCCTGACCTATTGCTTCAAATTTTTCACTTGATCTTGACATAGCAATAAAGTGAGGTATGAAAAATTCGAGTACTAAACGTCGTCGCTCCATTTCCATTTTTGCCGGTAATATAACCTGCAATAAAAATTATTTAATTAGCTTTTCTAACATCAACGCTCTCGATTCCGATAGTTGTTACAAAAGATTGGTTGAATAGGTACATATATTTTATTTAAGTTTGTATGATATATTTAATATATTTTTTTCTATAAAGTTGGAACTATAAACAAAATTAAACTGAGTGGTATGTTCGTCCCTATGTTGTATTTAAACAAGCAAAATATAAACATGTCATATACAATGTGTAAGGGGCAGGTTGCCAAAAATTTAAACAGTGAATTCAGACCATTATTCTGAACTGAAAACCAGTGGAAATTCTTATCGGAAAATATCAGTTTCTTTTTCCTGATTTTTTTTCATTTAAAATTATGTAAACTATAATATAATCTTAATAATATAAAGTATTATAAAGAAATAATAATATTTTATAGCGAAATACCAAAAAACAGCAATGTAATTAATATACGTATTAAAATCTATATTATCTGTGATTACAGTAGTAGACACATTTTTATTAATTATAAAGAGTAATAATAAAAAAAAAATAAAAAAAATACTAACATTAGGATTTATTTCCCTTCTCTGTTTGGTAGCAGTCTTGTGTTTATTATATAACACTTTTTTACGTTCTTCAAGTCGTCTAAGTTTTTCTTTCTTCCATCTATATGGCTTATCCTGTGCTTTGGCATTTTCCTGTACATTTTGTTCATTTTCATCATCACTGTCAGAAACGTCTTTAGAAGTCAATGGAACAGTGGTGGTAATTGATGGATTAATTACACGCAATGGATTTTTGGAAGTTAAAATTGCATAAAGTCTATGGCAATTTAATTTAGGGTAAAATTCTGTCTTAACATATTTTAGTTTGTCGATTGCACATAAAACGTACGGTACTGGGCTTTCTAAAATATTTTTTAAAATTCTTTGAAGCCTCATTAATAATGGCCTGGGAATACTTTTGAATTCATTACAATTGTTCATAAAATAATTAGGTAATCTCTTTTGACACATGTGCACATAGAACGTTTCTAAAAATAATCGCAACGATTCTCCTGGACGATCTTCGGGCCATTTTGCAAAGTTATCTTCACATTGCCAGAATAGATGATTCTTGATGTGACTTGCATCTATTCCTACTTTTGATGTTTCGACTTCCAAAAATGTTCTATATAAAACCAGCGCAAATAAGTAACACCGAATATGACTATGGGCTAAACATTTTTCCAAAAAACGTTCTGCTGCAGGAAATATCAATTTCCACTGCAACTGCTGGTCAGGATTTAGTCCCCTTTTTGGTCTGTATCCAATAGGTACAAGAAAACAGCCAAAATCAATAGTTTTATGAACCATTTGCTTAGTAGGCCATTGATAACTTAAATTGGTCCTAGGATTTTGAATTATTTTTCTTTCTCGAATTACCCATTGATTAGCTGCGTTTGGCCAAGCTGCTATAAGAGCAGGGTATACTTCAAAGCGTATATCTTTTCCATTTAATACTGTATCACAATAGATACTCGCACCTTGGGTTAAGGCATTTTTCACAACCTCTTGTGACAAACCTAAGCTAATACCCAAATCTGTAATAAAAATATCAACAAAATTTCTCATAAATCTCACAGAATTTAAATAGTAATGAGTCTCATACAAATGCGCTTCAGAAATTCTAGACTCTAAGTTTTCAATATTTTCTTCTTCTTCTTCTTCGCTCCAATGATCAGCTCGTGTATATATTGAGATCCAAGCATCTTCGGGCAAAGTACCTGATATTAATGAAGAATTTGTTCGTACACTAAGTTCAATTCTTTTTGGTGTACTTGATTCCGTAATAGTCGAATATCCATAGTCAGACTCTGTTTCGCTTAATTCATTAAGACGGCTACTATTAGAAGTAGATCTATAACCAGATGTTTCAGTATCTTCAGATATATTATCAATATGCGGTAATTTGGATTGTTCGTCCTTTGTCGGGCCACTTAGTCCCCTTGTATTATTTTTTAATAGAGGCTTCTTGGATTTTTCACCTTCGTAAAATGTTTCTTTTGTATCTGTCTTAGAACGGTTCTGATTCCTATTATTGATATCTTCTCCTATTGTAGTATTTACTTTACGAAAATTCTTAACATTTGAAATATTACTCTTTTGAACTTGCAAACTAACTTTTTTTATAGGACCACTGAATCGCCTGTCTGATACATTTATCATACGTGTACTAACATTTGCGTTATTCAATATTAAATTTATCTCTGTGGAGTTCTCATTTAACCTGTTTCTAATACTTTCTAACAGCTCTTCTCCTTTTAATGAAGGCGGAAAATCATCTGATGCATTTGACTCTCTCTCTGAATCTGTATAGACAGTGTCATCAGAATCTATTGTATTTTCCGTGTTCTTCTCAGTTTCTTTCGTATAAGTACTTCCTAAAACCTCTAATTTCTTTAGTTTAACGAATCCTGTAAAATACAAAAATCTTTGTTTTAAATTAGAATTTCATTATATAATAATAATACGTTTTATTATAATTATAACAAAATATGAAATAAAAGAATATGTTACGGTGTCGTTGTAATTTTTAAAGTAGTCTGATTATTTTGAGAGACAATTATGAAACTGTATCTATCTGTGAGAGAAATTATTGTATAAATTAATCTGAAAATCAAAAGTATAGTATAGTTTAGTGTAGTGTTCCAAAGCAAAAAAAAAATTAAACAAAGAAGAGTAATGATTTTTGTAATTAACAATTACAGTAGATTAATTTTTCTTTTAATTTTCAATAATATAATCTATTCGTATTTTATTAGTTAATTTACCTGGTTCTTTGGTGTCTTGCATGCATAACTTATAAAATGGTGCATCAAGAACTGCACTGTAATCTGAGGTATCACCAGGCTCACTGGCTTCTATATTATCATAAATCACGAAAAGTCGATGTGGTAAAAGTGGTTCATTCTGCCCTTGTTTCCCTTGGTAGCGCACAAATTCGTGGAGACATTCTTGTAACCGATCCGCAAAGAACACGTGTTTATGGTGTTGAACCATAGCCTCATTGATCATATGCTCCCGATCCACGGTATTAGTATGCAAATGATCAAGTTCTCTGAAACAAAAAAAAGATTCAATCACTATTAATTCCAAAAAAAAATTAAGAAATTACAAATTTTGTAAATAGTACAATATAATATCGATTAATTATACTCCAATATTAGTTTCTTGCCCGCTACTTCGAATGCATGGATTTCAGAAGTAGGAAAACTAATGGAATATACCATTTCTAGATCACAAATTAAGATAAAACGTCCAGCAGTTTTTACATAATGTCGTATAACAGTATATTTATAGCTAATATATGTAGTCTTATTAAATATAAATATAATCAATAAATATACATATAAGAAAGGGCAATTTTAGTAATAAATACTGAAAATCACCGCAAAAATATTTGAGATAAAAATATACCTAAATATGTTTTGTTATCATTTAATATGCTTACATATAGGCAGATAAGTACATAGTTTTATCTTATAATAAGTCGGTATCTTTAAAACATATTGGATCAAAGCCTATCTAATAGATATTATTGAGATTCAATACATAGGTAACTGATATAGTATGAATAACAAGACAAATAATTACATTTAGGTATATATTCAATGGAATATAGTAGACTCTTCCGCCGAATACACCTTATCAATATCCTTATTAAGTATTAATATTACTTACGTTTATATATTATTAAAAAATAATTAAGTATACAGTTTTTAAATAATTATAAACAAGCCAGCTATTTTCTTAATTTGCTTTGCATATATTAGCTGTATGTTACGTTAATCGTTAACATTTTACACACTTTTAAGCGTTTTTAACTATTTGTTTTAGCTTGTAGAGTCAATATTATACTCGATACTAATAGATGGCTTTAAAAAATATCATTTTAACCTCTTTGGTGAGAAATTTTTAAAGTTTTTCTGTTATGTTGATCCATAATTAGCTTAATGTAAAAAACTGTAATCCTTATGTTCGAATTTGACAAATAAAATTTTGTTCCATAAGAAAGCAACAATAAACTAGCAATGGAAAATTATAAAATTTTCATAAAAACATAATGTCATAATTTTTGTGCCGAAGTATTATACTGAAGAAATTACATAAATATTCCTAAAACGTGCATAAGTACTTAATGTACTTGCCTGCTTATCTTATATTTCCAAGAGTAATTTATATAAGTAGATATTTATCTAACAGCAGTAAAATAGGACTTTCCCTTGGGTGTTTATTAAGAACTGATAATCAAAGTAAATTTATCACACTATTATTTAATTATTTAAAAAGGAAGGATATTTTTGTCAAGCCTATCGAAACAAAATACTTGTTAAATATTTATATTTGTCACTGGCCAAACCTGATTTCAGGACAAACTAGTTTTGCCTAGGCTAAACTAGTATCAATAGTATTGTTACAGTTAATAGTATTATAATATCAATAGTAGTTATCAATAGTATTGTTTATTTTACATTTATATTAATTATAAGCTTGTATGGAAATTTGAGTTTCAGACATTGTCCGCTAGAGACACAGATATATTTTCACATTATAGAAGTAAATGCGTAATGCGTTCACATTTAAATGAATAATTTCATTATTCATTTAAATAAATAATAACGAAAAATTTACGAAATGCCGTAACGTAAATTTTGGTACAAGTCATATTAGAGACTTTGATTACAACAAACATTTATTGCACTCATAAAGATTTTTTCAAAACCACTTATTTTTATTTAAACACTACTAAAACAGTTTTGATAAGATTTTAAGGAACTAAAAAGTATATCTTTTTAGATGAAAAAAAAATTCAGAGTCGGTTTATAAATTACGGAGTTATAAAGTAATAAACATAAAAATAAATGCAACCGAATTGAAAACCACATCATTCTTTCAAGTCCGTTAAAAATATCCCATCCTTCAAATCGAAACACAGCCATGCAAACACAACTGCTTCACGGTTAAAACACGAATGGGACAGAAGTACCCAAGCAATCGACTTTGTACAAAGTCTCCCTCTGATAATTAAGAAAACAAAGTCACCTATGAGCTTTCCTGTATCTCTATAATGATACGACACTGACATTTAAATCTTCGATCGCTTTTTCATCTTACTATAACGTTTCTGACATATTAAAATGGTATAATGAGTATGACCATCATACATCTTGGAATTGAATGAGAATGGATTAAATAAGGAAATTCAATAAGAATATTTTATGATGACATTTCAAAAAGTTGAAAATAATAATTAACAAAAAAAGATTTTTAAAAACAAACAGTAAAAATTAAATTAAAATATAATTGCTATTAAAATATGATAGTTTATATTTATAATAAGTTTACTATTGTAATCTTTTGGAGAAAATAATAAAGAGTATCTATCTATCTATCTAAAAATATGAAATACTTGCTTATGGCACCCTATAAAATAATGAAGGTTTACACTGGTAGAATAATACATGAAAGTGTGTATTAACAAAGCCTCTCACTGGACACTGCAAGCTAAACAAGCATATGGCTCAACTAAGCTTATGCCCAAAATGTATTTACAGATTTTGACTCAATGGGGAAGAAACGCCGCAGCACTTAATATGAGGACTTATACTTGTTGTAACATCTATACAATTACTATGTTTCTTGTAAATAAATAAATAAAATAATGTGTGGCTGTAGCCCACTCATACAAAAACAATATATCTCCTTTGCAAAACACGTTCTATATCCTGAGGAGATAAAAAAAACATCGCTACAAAGAACATCTGTCATTAATAGGAATAAGCAGCGAACTTTAAAAAAGGGCGAGCACAAAAGATTATGAAAAAGTCGCAATGTCACAGATTTTTCTTCCTAACAAAAGCCCATTTTTCAATAATAATAATAAACACGGAAGTTTTGCTAGGGATTTCGCCACATGATAATACAAAACGAAGATATCAAAAGACATATTTAAATAACCGATATTATACTTATATTATACTTCTATCTACAAATTAAACTAGCAATGGGCTAGTTACATCAAAGATCATTGCACCCATAATTGCAAGGGATGAGAAGTTTAGGAGTAACGATCGCATACATATAAACAAATTACTCCTACATGGTGTAACGTTACGGTCTCGTACTACTCGTATAGTTGAGTGTTAAAAGGTCGCAATCGTCATGGTTCGACATGAGTATATTTTTATTTATTTAATTATTTATTAACTGAAATTATTGCTCACCTTTCGTAATTGTCGAAGAACTGCACCGAGAGTAAGATATTGTTAAGTAGAAATGCATTAATGTCATAACGCAGCTGACGACGCATGTTATCCAGAGCTTCGTCATCGTAGGACCTGATATGCGCCGGCGGCGGGATGGGAGGCGCCGCCAACTGAGATGGGGCCATCCCTGATGGTACCACTGGTTGCTCTATTACACCCGGCCTTCTGTTTCCAGGATTGGACTTCACTTTTATTTTGTGCTCTCGCAAATGCTCGTTCCATCGCTCCCTTTCAAACAGATTCTCCGGTTCCTTTTTAGACTTTTTCGATTTCATATTTCCCATCACGAATTTTTTTAAATAAATATTAACAAGCAAAATATTAAAAAAAAAACTGTTATAAATTTTACGACAGTGTTATGAATTTAATTGTGATAAAATATTATAAAACTGTGCCTCCGGCATCCTGGTGCACGATAATTTTTAGAGGTTATTGTAATTACGCTAAACAATGTTTATAAATTCACTTTTAAACAGAAAAAATGCAGTTCCTATGTGCGATCATTATAAAAACTCGATTGACACTAATATTAAAACATTCATAAAAAAGTACGACTTTACCGACCATGTTTATCAAAGCAGATTGATTAATTGATAATAAGTAATCGAGGAAATTGATTACAGCTGCATTGTTGTCTTTTAATGTAATTACCTACAGGTTAGTTAATTTATTCTCAAATTACTAAACTATAGATTTGTTTTATAATAGTATATAGTTAGTTTAAAAACAGAAAATCTGATGAGTATGGTTGTGCATATAGAAAATAGCATTCGACACAAATCTTTGTCGTTACTTAACATTCTAAATGTGAAAGCGTTTATTTATTTAAATTACAGATTTACTAACTATGATTTAAATAAATAAACTTAATAAAATAAAACTAAGTACAGTAGAACCTGGATAAGTGAGAGCTCAAGGAAACGCGATCTCTGGTTTCTCTTATAGATGTTTCTCACTAACTCGAGTTTCTAGCTTACAGAGTTACAGGAGTGGTCTATCTCACTTATAGAGGTTTATAAAAATACGGCTAATATGTACGAAATTCGAAAGAAAATACGTATGTGGGTGTTATTTATTGAAATAATAGCTGAACATAAATATTTTTAAAATCTTACAACATTTACTTAAAAAAAATTGTTTATCGTTTTGTGATTATGTTATTACATTTTGTGCGTGTTTTTCAAGTTTATAAATTATATCATGGTTTAATCAACCACCGCATATTAAAAAAACTTGGGTAGGTTATGGTATTCAAAGATTGGCGTTGACACATTACCAATAGTATCGTAGGACACAAGCTTTACCCATTCATCATAGCTAGGTTCAACTTCAAGCTGATTTTCAAATTCAACCTTATTTTTCAGAAAGTCTAGACAGCAACTATTTAAACAATAACACGCACCACGTTTGGTAATTTGAATAAAATAAGAGTTCCTCGAAATTTAAGAACGAGTCATAAATAGTAAGTATTAAATAAGTTTATCTGCCGCTTATACGTCCGTGACGTCGGTTCACGCACGAAAAATTAGTGTCATTTATACAGGTTTATATTATTCTCTTATAAAAGTTTTAGGAGGTCGTAATGACGGGACCTGGCATATACTCTTATTAATAGTTTTCTCGCTTATCCAGTTCTCCCTTACTCAGATTTAACTGTACTACGTATATTCATCATCTTCCTACCCTTATCCAAATCATTTGGGGTCGGCGTATTATGATTTTATCCATATTACAAAAGATTTGGTTTTTAATTTTACGACCGGCAACCTGCCTGACGTCAACCCTCTTTGGGAATTGTACTACGTATATTAATTGAACAAAATAAAAAGACTAGGTACTTTTTATTTTAGATTGAATTATACTACTTTTACATAATTATGTTCCTATTCCAAAATACTATGTAAATATATGTTTTTTATAACGATTAGAAATGTAATAAACATATCTATTGATTTATGTGATGAGATATGATGTTTATTACTATAAGGCATACTTCCTTATCCATGTGTACCTAACAGTTTACGTACAGACAAGAATACTATAAGTCTTAAACATTATAAATATAAAGCATATTTTAATCCTTTTGAAATTGATAAGGTAGGTAGGCAATCTAAAACCTTAGAATAAGTACTACATATTAGCATTGTACTGATATAAAACAGAATTTAGTACTAAATATTATTACTATTGAATTTTTTTCTATTCCACTCATTAAGTAAATGTCCAATATTGAACATAAGCCTTCCCTATAATGAGAGTTTTGCCAATTATTGCCACATTTAGCAGGCGAGTTGGCAACCACAAAAAAAGTGATTTGCTTGGACGCCTCTGTACCATTCGTGTTTCTACCATGAAGCAGTTGTGTTTTCATGGCTGTGTTTCAGTTTGAAGGGTGAGATATGGAGTGAATTTACAGGGTACAGAGGAATAACACCTGAATCCTCAGGAATGGCAATGCATGGGGGGTATCATGGGCGCAACAGTATACTCTGTTATGTCCATGGTATTGCTCATGTTTATTGACAATGGTTACCACTTTCTATCAGGTGGGCTGTTAGCTCGTTTGTCATTCTAACTTGCAAAAAAAAAAATCAAGCTGCATGTTTTCTCAAAAAACTGGAATGTAAAATTATTCCTCTATTTCCTTCCATCATTCCTCACTGCTGCATCACCAGCATATACTAATAGCACAGATGAGGTTACCATTCTGTTCTCATCCTTTAAAAATGTCCTATAACAATTTAATAAACATCGTATCAAATTTATAAATAAGTAGCAAGTATATTCGTCATGAGTTCATAACTTAAGTATATGATCGTATAAAACTATATTTGCACTGCATGTCTTATAATATTTTTCGAATATCTATTTTTTAAATTAAATAACTCAATTATTTATCTATATTTTTTGTCCTTAGCTGTAATCAGATAATTAAAAACAATTTCAATGTAAATTTGGGATAGATATTGTCAAGAAAAATTTTTATTTGAATTTAAGAGATGGAAATGTAAAAGTCAATAGCATCTGTATAATTTTAATTAATAATAATATTTGATAACGTGATAAAATGCCTATATATGTTATTGAAAACTTCGGATCGTTTCATTTAGTTGTTTTTTTAAGCGTGTAACATATATAATAGAGTAGTAGTGTAGAAAACACTTTACCAACCATGTCCTATGTAGGAAATTCCAGATTTTATTATAGATTAGCTACTTAATATTTTATTATTAATAATCTTGGACAGACTGATATATCTTAAACGATAACTATATCCTTTTAGATGCAGATAGTGCCGATACATAGATAAATTTCAAGACCGTTGTTTTTTAGTCAAGACTTCGTGGCGCCTAAGAAGCAACCTAACATCAATTTTACAAGTGAGTGATGTCTTCCAGGTCAATTAAAAAATGCATCTCCAGTATTGTCCTGCACTTACACCTACCGTTAAATCTTCCGCTACCATTGCTGTTATGGATTCTTCATCGCACATCTTGCTCTGGACTTGAAGCTCAGCCATACACATGCATGTAATCGTACTCATCTCTCATAATAGACTTTTTACACAAAAAAATACCGTCTTCAATAGTGGAAAAAACATACTACAAAAAACTATACTACAGAACCGATTTTGATAAAATTAGTTAATATATATACAGACGAAAAAGTATATTCGAAATCGGTTTCTAAATAACTGAGTTACAACAAATTAAAAAAGCATACAACCATATTTAGAAAATATTTCTTTTAATTTTTTATTCTGTTATGATCAAAGATCGATCTTTTGAATCCCCATCTTCGATTATTTGTAAGTATCGATCTTTTCGTGGCCGCGTGGTCCCGGCATAGAATAGGCCACCCTTTCCTTTCCTGTGGGTGTTGTAGAAGGCGACTAAGGGAGGACGAGGGATGAGCAGCAGTGTCCCTCTTAGAACACTTCTAAAACCTGACTGCGACTTATGTTTAGCAGTTAATAGCTGATATAATGATATCATCATTTTTCTCTCTTTCAAAATTTTTCGCTCTTTTCAAAATAATAATAATAAAAGATTTATTGCACATAAAAATATACAGTCGTGGGCTTACAGTAATTAAATGTAACATTATGCCCAGCACAATAGCGTCTAAAATAGGCCTAGCCTGTATCTTAGACACCGATACCTTCAATTAGATATATATTTTCGTGCAGTTTCGCTATATTACAATAACACAAAATTCAGTAAACAACATGTTTTATATTACTAAAATAGGCTATATATATCAAAGATAGGATATGTAGGTATGGTTATTAAAGTAAGAGTTACTGTTAACAATATTATTATAACCATTTCATTAATGGTTATTCGGCATTCTAGGTGTCTTTTACAATTCAACCATTATTCCGTATAATTAAAGTACTATACCCATGTTTATGCAAATAAATATATCTTATCTTTAATAGGTACCTCATTTAATAGAACACAATTATACGTATACTCCCAGACAGAAGTAATACGACACGGACACTGTCCGAACGATTTACATCATTACACATAACAACTGGAGGTAAGCACTCTAAAATATGCCTACAGTAAGTAAATTTTATTATAATCTTTTATTGCGGAAATTATATACAAAAAAATTAGAAAAAAACACTACGATCGGTGAAGCACCAGTGTGTAATGATAGGTAAGGATAAAAGCAAGTTAGTTGGCCATTCGTGATTTTACTAAAAATTAACTACCTTGGTTTCTAGAGGGAAGGAGGTAGACCTGATCTCTAGTGATGGAGCCGCTAATACAAATTATCAAATTATTGCAGGAAGACACGTAACATACAGTCAAAATTGAATAGTTGAAGGGCGAAATAAAAATCTCCTCTTCCTGTTCGTGGAATCATAGTTGCTTATTACGACACCACAGAAGTGGCCTATGCAGGGACCACACGGTAAATCTCATTACCTCACTCGCTCCTATTGTGGATACTTTAATTCGTAATTTCATATTTGGGGTCATAATTGTGATTAAATGATGGACTGCGTAATAAAATTTTTTCTGGAGATTTTTTGATAATTTCACAAATACGGTACTAGTTGGAAACATTATTTATTTTTTCCGTTTTCATCAAGTATACCTTTATAAATTAAAATGATTTCAGATTTTTCGTTTCATAAACTTTAGAAATAAGAGTGGAGAGACAGTCTGCTTTTCTTACGTTTTTTATTATAAGTAAAAAACTACGCATCATACAAATAATTTTAGCCTTTTCATTTGCTATCCCACTTGACTAGTAGGTTCATAGTAAAATTTTGAGTATCCCTTTGAAAATCCTAGTTATTTTTTAAATTATTTATGTCGCAATATGTGTGAATCAACAATATGTAAAACTATCCCAACCAAATGTCAAATTGATGGCATTAGTAGTTGCTGAGATACAAGCATTTTGACAGACGGACGGACGGACAGATAGACGGAGAGACGGGCGAACACAGCACGATAAGAGTATAGTAAGCCACATCAGAAGCCATAATATACCTGCATGAAGTAATGCAAGTAGTTCTGTAAGTAATGATTTTTTAACAAACTCTTTCTTAAATAAAATTGTATTAGACATTTCTTTTTGATATGTCCAAAAAAGAGGGTTGACGTCAGTCAGGCGGCCGGTCATAAAACTAAAAGACTTTTTGTAATATGGATAAAAACATATTACACCGACCCCAAATAATAATTGGGATAAGGGTAGAAAGATGATGATGGAGTTAAAAAAAGTTTTATAAACGAACCTATCTACTATGTCAATTTTAAACACAGATCATAAAAACATATAGATTTTCTATTTCAGTACTATCAGCTTATTATTATTATGCTAGTTTTTATGACCTCATGTTGCCGAAATTATCAAGCAAAATTATCACGTACGTATTTACAAGATATTCATAAATATATCAATACAACGGGTACTGTGTTCTTCCGTCCCTGATTATAGATAACAACAAATTAATAATTTGATGCATGACCTGAATACCTTCAATAGCTAACAATTCTAGAGGTTCATACCTACTTGTTTTTTGATCCGTAATGAAAAAATGAGAACCGTCGTCATCACAATCATTTTAGATATTAAATTGTTCATAGTTCATTTTAAGACTCTCCAAAAACATCATAAAAAACGAGCCTAAGACCCTTGACTGACTAATAAAAAACATACCTAAGATTGTTAACTAAATATGTAAAAAAATAAATGTTACTTAGATCTTGGGATGTTTCTTATTAAATAACGCTGGCAATTATCATATTTCATTGAAAGCTGAACAGATTTTTATGCATCATGGGATGGAAAATAAGTTGACGGCACACTTAAGAACAAGAAGAGCACTATGGACAATTAAAGATAAACTTATGTCATTTTTCGACACATCCTTGTAAATAATATTCAGCTTCACAAACATTCCATTAAAAAAGAGACCCTATTTCATTCACTATAGCATATATTATGCCTCTAGCCGTCAAACTATGGAATTACATACATATATTTAAAATAATATACCATTATATATATAAAGCTATTTTATGGATTTCAACTTTTAATCATATCGCATCCGTTCTATTATCTTCCTCTTTGAATATTGATTTTAGCACACATATTTATACGTCATAACAGAAACGAATTATTATTAAAAATAAGAATTCTATAATCTTATTTTAAGCTACTTATATCTATTTATATCTGAAAAGATAATTAAGAATGTCAAGGTTCTAATTCCTTGTATTTTAGATAATATTTGAATTATAAAAGTATATTTAATGTAGGTACTATTTTTGTATGGACAAATAATAAATTAAATCAAATATACAATTACCTTTAATTTTATAATACATTTCATATTAATTACGCCCTAATACATATTATATACATTATTTAAGTACTAAATGAGCACAAACAAACAGATACAGGTAAAAAACAAAATATGACCTAAATTTATACAGTAAAATGAAATTAATTTCAAATAATTACGGGAATGATTATAATAATACAAACTTTAAACTTTAAAAAGTTTGATAAAGTACTCGTAAATATTAATAGCACTATTTGGCACAATTGCTTAAACCTGATGCTTTTAAATAGTAAAGTTAAGAGAATACACAACTTGAGTTATATCCCGTTTTTTCAAACTTGTCTTCAGTAACTTGACTCTAAGATCAGTATTGCTATTATGGTATATGTCGTAGTATTTCCGCAGGTGCAACACTCATGCCAGTCTCCTCCATATTATTGGCTATATTCTCGTGGTCACCTTCTCTGGTGTTGATCCGCCTGTGACTCTTACTCCGTTTCACTTCTCCCATCCTTTTTTCTAATAATCTTCTGGAATAAAAACAAAATATACATGTATTTCTATGCTTATACTCGTATAAAATCATGGTAAACAAAGAAGAATCATTAGAATCCAATTATTGGACACAATTCTCTCCATATAAAAGGAAGAGATTGACCTATATTAACATACTATGTAAGCCAGGTTACTTAGTTACAAGTTTTTTCTTCTCTTACGACATCCAGACGATGAAACGAGTGCTCAGTTTTTTACAATAATACGATATGTGACCACATCACCTAACAAACACAGGGATAATATGGTCCATAAATTCAATCAATCTAAAATTAAGTGTTCTACTGTTAATGGCCAGTCACATTATGCCGGCTCACTAAGTGCTTCGTCACGCTACGTTTGAAGGATCCGAGGTTTCAATATTAAAGAAGCATGTCACATAACACATTATTGTACCTATTCTTATACCTCCACCAAATGAAAAATATATCTACACATAAGCATGTCTAGACTTACTGCTGGCGACAATCAATCAAGACGCCGAGCAGAAAAACGACGGCAATGATGACCAACACGACAACCGTCACCCCAACAATGGTGGCCGCAGTGAGCGTGGGCACCTCCTCCTCAATCATTGATATCGATATACCCGGGTCTATTGTCGATTCCATTTCTGATAACAAACAAAAAAAAAATAGTTTCCTTCATACACGCAGCTAAAAGTAGGGCTTAAAAGGAACAACTAAAACGATTTTAATAAAATTTTCTTAATTTTAAATTATAGATCCCATAGAGCTAATTTTTGAAGACAGAAATTAGTTGACAAGTTATCATTATAAGATTTATAGGTTCATAATACAGTATTACCATGGTGGCTGTCTATCACTTTTATCAAAAATGAATTGTGACCATAAAATGTTTAATGTAGAAAACAATTTATGTTAACATCTATTATGTTGGTCATTTGGGATGACAAACAAATTGACGGCATACAGAAATAGAATATATATATATATATATATATATATATATATATATATATATATATATATATATAATTGTTATAATATTATTTTTATACACACCTATAGACATGAACAGCAATGTTATTTTTAAAATATATCTTAATTTTTATTGTATTGGTATAACTAAACGAGAATTTAAAGAACGATTGTCAAAAATTATAATTACAGTAAATTTATTAAATAGTCGTTGTCTAATTATATCAATGAAGTTATACGTTTACAAAAAGTAATGTCTGTAAGTCATCTACCATATAAGTCATCCATGATACAAACTCTGCTTAGTATGAAATAGTATTCCAAACTGAACAGAGAAATATGCGCAGTGGTACCTTCTCAATAAATTTATTCTGCCCACATAATGATAAACTTATTAAAATATTTTAAAATATTTAGTAATTTATTTAACACTTTATTGCACCAATACTACAGGACTTGTTAAAAGATTTTCAATGGCGGTCTTATTGCTAAGTAATCTCTGACAGACAATCTTATATAATGTTTTATTGATACGTTCTACAAAATCATCATCATCACCATCATATCAGCCTTTAACTGTCCACTGCTGAACGTAAACGTCCCCCTTGGGGGGTTTTGCCAGTAGTTGCCATGCTTGGCAGACGGATCAATCGGTGCCACTCCCTCGCTCTCCCTTATTCGCCTCTTACAACACCCATGGGAAAGGAAGGGGTAGCCTATTCTATGCCGAGACAACACGGATACAGAATTCTACAAAACACTACTTTTTAATGTCTCCTTACCTCCTTGCAAACTAGTATTCTTATCAGTAAAATCCATTAATCTGTAATCCTAACGGCTTCAGGATTTCTGCAAATAATACAGTGTTTATTATTTACTAATTCTTTTGTTATTGTTCATATGTTTTTTTTTTTTTTATTTTCTACTAGCTCTGTATCTTTTCTAGAAATATATATATACATATAAACATATTATATATATATATATATATATATGTGTGTGTGTGTGTGTAAAAACTTAATTTCCTTGAAAGGTGTTTTGAAATTTTCTTTAATTTATACGTGGTTGCACTCTTTAATATATTTAACATATTTTTGTCACAATCTAATCTATCCAACGTACTTAAATAAATTCATATTTTCGAAAAGTATTCGACTCCACTTATGCCTTATTCTACGAGAACCTACTTTCTTTAATTTTAGTTTGTGACACTTTTAAGTATATTTTTATAGGTAGGTGATTTTTTTTAAATTTGTTAAATATATTATATTATTATACATATAAGTATAATAATATAATATACGGTATATACTATATTTTATCAATAATATCTATAGATAGATATTTCATAGGATGCCTATTGATACTACAAATGCTTCGCCAAAAACAGCCCAATTTTTTTATTCTCGTGTGAGTAACACATCAAATCATCAGTGTGTGTTTGAATAAGGAAACCAAAATAGAACATTATAATACTATTAAAGATCATAAATTGCAACACCGACAAATAAAAGAAATGAATAATTCCGTGAGACAAAATACAACAAACTACATACTTTCGTTTATTTCTACATATTATTGTATGTAAATAACATTAATAAAATCTTTTCCTGAAAGATAGGCGCAATTTTTCCATTAAATAAATAGGTATTCTTCGAATCTAATAATAGTATCAAAGAAAAGAATTTCACGAAGACCGACAATAGTGATGTACGTCACTGTAATAATTAAGATTGAAAGATAAGCGATCAAATCAGTTATAAATATAATACGTAATTAAAAATTCAATCTGATAGACTTTAATCAAATTAATCGGCCGTACTCCTTACATTTTGCTACCAATAGCTAATTTATCATTGTCTGTAAATAATATCAAATTACAAAATTTAAGCATAAGAATTTTGCTTTGTAGTGGAAGCCATTGCGCTATTCTGATTTTTTTTAAAACAGCCTATGTCTCTGATTTTGGCAGCATGACCAGGTCACATATACTTATTAACCAATGTAATTTTCTATCCATAGTAGATCCGTAAACGAGCCTAAAGGTAAAAAATATATAATATTAATAAGAATTAATTTATCACATGTATAACATAGTTTGAAACAAAGTTACAACACTAAAAAAAATAGATAAATAGAAAAGATTGCAGTCGTCACAAAATTGTTATAAAACAATCTCTGGAAAGACTACACGAATGGCAACACTAATTAACAGAATTGGTTGAAAATTGACGAAAGTACGTTATATAAGAAGGTTCAATTAAATTAAAAACCACCTGGTTTTTGAAGTCGCTTAATTGTATTATCTTCAGTTTTAGGTATTTAACACGATTACATTGACTCTAAGGTCGCAAATTCTTGTTATAAGTAAGTCTACACTTGAATACTCCTTAGAAATGGCAACTCACGGAGGTTAACATGGGCGAAACAGTACTCTGTTATGTCCATGGTACTGTTCATGTCTATAGGCAACGGTTATCGCTTTCCATCTGGTAAGCCGTTAATTTCTTGCCATTCTAAGTCGCAAAAAAAATATAGATGATAGATGCTTCTATAAAATTCCATTACTTCACCCTAATTATTCTATTTGTTCACTCATTAGTGTATTTCGCACTACTGTAGTGGCACAATATCTTATCACATCTAATATCTACATTTAATTAATGCCGCTACTGTACATAATATATCTACGTACTACCTAACATGTGAAATATAATCCAATGCTAAGCAACAAAGAATTATTAAATCAGTGCTTACGATCGTTGATAACAGTTTAAAGTAAAAATAGTATAATACCTAGCTACACGCACACACACATACACACAGAATTACTATTAGATCACGAACAACATTCTTGTCTAGTGTAGGTAAAGGCGGAGTTACATTATAATAACAAGAGATAGTTCATTAATTACTATAATTTAAATTCACTTATGTGTAAATGTCGTAAACTATGATATATTGCTGAACTTGCTTTTTTGGCATTAAAGACATAACTTTAAATTTAATCAAATCATATGTACATACTTATCAAACAACTTTCGTTGAAATAAACAGCATTACTCTAAAAAATCTCGGTGCGAATGGATGTACCTCAAGGATATTAGTTGATATTAATGAATCCTTTTTTCTTGCCTTTTTATTGATTAGGTCTTAAAATTATGAAGGTATAAAATAGTACTATGCCTCTCTCCAAAAATCCCATTACAAGTTTTATTATAAAATTTAATAAATTTAATTTTATAGATAAAACTCTTTGAAATTACTGAGACCGGGAATCACAATTAACCGACCACCACTATGTAAATATTTTGTTAAGAGACTTATTTAAAAAATCTACTCAATTAAAACCGCTCGTTGCGAAAAGAAAATGTGGCAAAATCAGTTATTTTGATTAAAAAACTATTGAACCGATTTTCATAAAATTCCTATGGGACCAATCTATATTTTCTCAGTATTATCATCATATCATATCAGCCATTATTTTTCTACTACTCAATATAGGACTCCCCCATAGAGTACTATATGAAACAGTCCTGAGCCACCTGCATCCGCTGACTTCCTGCAATGCATTTGAGGTCACCTAGTAGGGAGTCGGCCTACACTCCGTTTACCCATACGGGGTCGTCACTCAAAAGCCTTCGAGCTTTGAGACTAGATTTTAAGAAACCTATATTAGTTTTACTTAGTTTGAGACTAAATTACAGTATTTAAAAAAATACAGAAAGAATGTATTAATCATAAATTTTTTTAACGATAAAAAAAACACCCATTATTGAAGATCATTAATATTATGACGCATTGATAACACTACGTCGTCTTGTGACTCTTCATATAGGAAGTCAATTGCGCGATCATTCACATTTTATCACGTACTTACTTATTCATTTAGCATTGTACAGATTGTGTAGTACCATGCATACAATAATTGTAAGCTATTTTAGTTTTATCCGCAACTTCATCTTTAAATAGGTCAGATATCACATTTCAATTAGTAATTTAGTATACATACATAGTAACTACTTGGGATGGAGGACTTCGACTACTGTTTATCCTGGCCATAACAATATCCCGGTCATGTAGTTAAGGATAATACAATGAAAAATACTTAAATAAATCATGTATTCCCTGCCTACAATGTGTTTTAATGTGTGTGTGTGTGTGTAACTTTTTTATAAGTAACATTTTTTTCGTTATTCGTGACTTCTTGCAATAGTTAAGAATAGTTAAAACTTGATTAAGCCAATATAAATATGTACTTCGTAGCAATACCAGTTTGGAAGGTCATTTGATTTAGAAACTTAATTTTTATTCAATACGTATATATGTTTTGAATTAAAATTAGGATTCTGCCTCAAATTATATTTATTGATTAATGTAGTTAATCGAGTGAGGTTCATGTTCGTGAAATTAATGTAATACATCATAAGATGTCAAAATAATAATACCTAGTATTCAATAGAATAGCACCCGTATATTTAATACTATATAGCCGTATCATTATAATATTGTACTTGAAAATACCAAACAGGTTAAATACTGATTGATAAACTACAGTTAGAGGTCGACGTACTGAATTCTCAAGTCCTTTTTAAATTCCCCAGGTAGTGCGTGAAGTCTGCAAAATAATATGTGACTCAAAAATAAAGTATTTTTACGTATACACCTATAGTCTTCAATGATAAGGATCGAGTAAGTAGAATATTTGCTTGCTTTCTGAATCACCACATTGCACCTTTATTATTCAACATAAGGCTTGTCGTCTAATAAATAAAGTTGATAAACATAAACACAGTCATCCCTTTAGTGACTGGTCACAACCTAATAGTAAACGCACGTGTATGTATGCACCTACGCCTGCAGACGCCCATAAGCTAAGCAAAGATGTAGAACTCTTGTTCTTAGAATATGGCAACCGCTTTCAAACGACCTGCGCATTTAGAGGGAAAGAGACTGTTAGTAACTGGTCTAGCGTCCCCCCCCCCGTGCTAGTAATATACCCTATCAGGTCGACAACATTGTGATTGCCCCCTGAAACTTCATCTTCATTTACACTTATCATTTGTCACTGCTGTCCCGCCAGCGTGCTCCGATAGAAGCAGGGTTACCATTCCATTATCATATATTAAAAAAAGACATGCGCATTTACCACTTTCATATCGTCTTATCTCACTATTATAATAAAAATATAATTAGACTGCCTATACATGGGAGATATTTAAAAAATAATGTAAGAGGTTTTAATAGGAGCAATAGATGCTAAAAAAATTGAATTTTTATCTCTCTATCTATATGTTAATTCCGGCATTATGCAAAAATTATTGCACAAAATTGAATGCGGTTTTCACTGTTGTTTTCTTGAAGATTTAAATTTAAAACTGGTATATGCTTTGTTTTAATATACAATTTAAAAGTGATCTATTTCATTGGTTTCCCTACTTCTAAAAACCACGCATGTAAAGTAAAGAGAAAAAGCTAGTAAATAATAAGTTACTAGTAAAAGCTACTGAGACATTATAGTTGAGGTCCAAATTTTATTAACAATAAATAAAAAAAAAAACAGTAGTAAAACTATGATTATTTAAAGTATTGCTATAAGTATAAATGACAAAATAATTAAAGATTACCACTTACGTACCACTGTTTTGTCACTTTGTTTCAAATTGAGAATTTAGCACAAAAAAAGAGATAAAACAATTCAATAGCGAAAATAGGTATATGAGGGATTTGATGATTTTTTTTAATAAAGGGGGTAATGTATAAACACTAACCATTTATATAAATGGAATAGCAGTACTATGTATTCATAAACAATAAATGTACTAGCTGATAACAGGTTGATGACTCATCTCGCTTATGTGGAACAATAGTAGAAAGTTTGACGCACTTTTGTGTTGCCCTTTTAGCTATACGACAGACAACATAGCTAGAAGATCCGTTAAGAAAATTTCAAAACATCCATTGTCACAACGTCTGCATGATTCAATGACAATACGGAAACATTTTGAATAGCCTACTTTATACAATTTCATGGTTGACGACTGGAAATTGGTGCATTTTTTTAACGTCGTTTCATAATAACGTAGGTATATGACTTTCATTTTGAAATTTAATAAATTTAATTCGACATTATGTAAGTAGTTAATACGCTCAATTTACTTTGTTGTAGAATATATACGAGTACTAGTATCTATAAACAAAGATAATTAAAATATAGATGGAACGCAAAAATCTGTTAGCAAAAACATACCAAAGACACCTAGGTATAGCAATACCATACTATACATATTGAACCTTATAAGACCAATCTATTAAGTACATTTTTTGTTATTTCATCTAGTATACCTACTATATTGAAATTCTTAATTTAACATATCATTTATTGTAAATAACGCTTACATTCAAGTAATTATATTTACATTACATTAAAATTCTAATTAAAAAAAAACTGATAACTGAGGAGAGACCGAGGAAATATCTAAGATTCTTCAAATATCCCATTTTTTATTGCCCAAACCAATTAATATTTATTAAGTTACTATGGAGTTAATTCTCAGGCACAATTTCTCTAAAAGTGAAATTCAAATTTAATATCACAGAGAAATCTTTATTCTATTGACCAATATGAATTAAATTTCTAATGTAATAAGTCAAAATTATTATAAATTTAGTTTACGATCGTCCATAAAACAGATATTATAAAAAACTATCAAATGAAAATATTAGATTAAGAGGTAGATTTACTGAAATGTCACCTTAGAATCGTCCGCAATGTCAAAGGATTTAAGGATACTTATAACGGTTACAACCACGGTTGGTACTTATGTGTGTCAAGAGCAGTTTGCCCGGATAGTGGCAATGAACACCAGTCGACCGCAATTGTTGAGGCCTCCGAATATAAATTGAAATTAAATGTCTTTTTAATTATTGAAACACAAAATACACCTATATATCATTCCGAATTTCTAAAACCACGCTCGATTAAAACGATTAAGAATTAGTAGATTTTATACACAATAAAATAGGTACGGTTTGTATCCGTTCAATTGTATAGTAACAAATATTTTGTTGGAACAGATAAGTAGGTACATTCGACTACCATCACCCATACAGAAAAAAAAAAAACAAATTAAAACTATATATAAATATGATAATTCTTATACAATACCTGTATATGTTGGTTAAAATTTATTATAAATATAGAATTTCTGCAAACTTAATATGCGATAAACTAATTATAATATCAAAATCCAATAAACATTGCTGATGTTTACTTTACAAAAGCCAAAGACAATCTCGTTTCCCATAAATAATATGTCTGAAATAATTTCTAATAACAAAATCGTTTCACATTATCTTTACCACTAGTAGCACTCTAGTACTAAACCATATGTTGATTTCAATCAAATAAGAGTCATACATATTAAGTAACTCGAGAATGGAAAATCAATTACCTACAAACCGTTTCCACGAACTTCTTTTGAACAGGTGATAACAAAGATCCGGAGGTTTTACAACACTTTATGATATACGCATATATATTAATAACATTCACATTATCTTTCTTCTATTCACTAATAAATGTGTAAAAAAATTTGTTGTTATTACGTCGCCGTATGGTTAGTTTGTCTAGTACGAGCTATATTTGCGCCCCGTCACTTTTGTATGGCGCAAGCGCAGCGCTTGGCGGCGCGTTTCTTACTGTCATATCCACAACCAGCCAGATCACTTCAGTTAAGCAAACCTTCTCGTTTAACTACAAGTTAATCTAGGACGATGCGAATTGTATTAAATTAACTACAATAATGAAAAGAAGTATAAACGTTAAAAGAAAATGCACATGATAAAGTATCATGTTTCAATGTAATAAATACTTATTCCAGATACGGAAAACGCCCTCTTTCGATGACCTCGTAGATATCATCATCCTATAAAACTAAGATGTTCCCAATATATATTTTTTTTATTTTATGTTAAATATCTTTAAGAAAGAGAATGTTCTCAATTTATTGTTTGTATTATTTATACATACTGCGTATGTTCTTTCTCCAATTTTAAACGAATTTTGATAATTCTAATTTCGATTTAGTCATATTAATCCTATATTAATTTTGTCAAGATTTTAGTAGCTGTTACTTTGCAAAGCAAAATCTTAAATTATGTAATTATATGTATATTATGCTAATACTTTGATACATTTGACATTAAATTTATGAACGGGTTTTATCTTCCCGTTTATTTATAATATTAATAATATTTTAATAACATATTAATAAATATTAAAGTTGTTATTTAAATTACTCAACAATTTGCAATCAAATTGATTCAAAATTTTCAATTGAAAATTATTACAGGAAAAAGTCATAAACTAACGAAGTAAATAAAAGAATGTCATATTATTAGACATAATGATAGTCTTCTTTGTCATTTAATAATATCTAATTACTTAACTACACTTAGAGGAGTATAATTCTACTTCACTTTAGTGTACCTACCGATAATATATCAAGATTACTTACACAAGTGTAAACATATAGCTGTAGAACGAGTGGAATCAGCCAGCGTACACTGAACGAGATACTCTGGTTTCCACTAAAGTGGTAGATATATTTTATATGGTAAGAAAACCTGTTCTTTTTCAATGCAACGAATTGAACTGTAACTGCAAAGAGATTTTTTGCAAAACATGTATAAAGTACCGTTGCTTGTAGGACTCTTTTCTAAATTTTATATTACACTACTTTTATATTTTAGAAGTAAAATAATATATATACTATTCACAATAATCATATTTGTTATAACAAAAATGTATCTACATATTAATTAAAAAAATATTATTAATTATAAAAAAAATATTTTGTAATCAAAATATTTATTAATTGTTTATAAAATGTAATATTTTGAAAAACAACCGATAATATTATTAATTAAACAACCGATAATAATATTATGAATCAAACATTACGAAATCGGAAGTCAACCTACACAAACATCAAAATCAATCATAATGTTTTTACACTTGAACTATAAAAAAATATTTCTATAGCTGATAAAAGCAACCAAAATCCGGCTAGGGATTCTAAATTCTAAAATTTAATTATTAGGGGACCTGCGTCACATATCGTTTTGCAAAGTTGAGATCAGTGAATATTATGTTATCTATATTTCAATTTGCTCTTAATAGAGCGGCATAAAATTTATTTGTCTAAATTTTTATATAAAATATTAGTTATCATTAAATTCACGGTTTCAAAGTCATAGAGATTACTATTGCGTTAACTCCACTTATTTTACAGTGTACATTATAAATAATAAAGTTAAAAAAGCAGCCTTAAGCCTAATATTTGTATTTTTGTTATCTTCTATTGGTCAAAGTAAAGTAGTAATTTAAAATACTAATTTATCATCGTAAAAGATGATTGAATTTGGTTTATTTATGTGACTAATATAAGAGAAAAATCAGTGAAAAAATTCATTTACTAAATGTATTAAAGAAAAAAAATACGAATTAGTTGTTTTATTATTGTTAGTTGTTTGAATGAATTCCAAAAAAAAAATGAAATTTTTGTGTAATGCCCGTAAAAAAAAAACTCTGATAAAACGAACGGACATGGACAGGCAAAAAAATATCTAAAATGATTGTTGCTTCGTATATTGCACAAAATATGGTGCAATGACTAAAACTGGACCAATTTATTTTTCTCTTTATAGTTTTAAATATAATACTCTATGTACAGGAGACATAGTTATGTAGATGTCAGTATATTTAGTAAGGTCAAATCAAATTTTTGTGGATTGTTTACCTGATTTTGCTCGAAATGATATTAAACAAAAAATGGTAGAATGCAAATAAAAAATTATAATCTCTAATTTTGAATAGTTTTTATATATAAGAAAAACTTACAAAAAAGGCTCATTAAAAACAAAAGGTTATACTTTTTTTCTGATTTGGATCTTAATATTTTTGGCGATATAGTTCTATTAAAATCGTAGAAGTAAATTTATTTTCATACTTGTAAAATAGAACAAAACGGACCAAAAATGAACTTCTTGTCTATTAAAACCTGCAAATAGTAATAGTAATAGTAGTAAATCCGTTTAGTTCTACTGCCTATAGTGTGCAGGAACTAAATCGTAGAACTATACGGATATAATCTTTATTTTTATTAATTTTATTATTACAAACTTCAAAAGCTATACTACAAAACGTTATTATGAAAAATAAAAAATAAATACTATATTTATATAATATTAAAAGTTTTAAAATATATTCCTCTACTTTAAAAATACCTTTGTTTAGATCATCTTTAATGTAGAAATACAACTGTAGTCATATTTTATTTATTCAAAAATCTTAAAAAAAATAGCCAATTGACTCACAGCAAATACCTTTTTCCTACCTAGTTCCTAGTTTCCTAGTTCTTACTTCATGCAGGGAAACCCTATGCAAAATTTTATATTTTATAGACCTCGGAGTTTAGGTTGTATGTCATGTATGTTAGTCGTTTGCTTGGGCACCTCTATTCCATTTGCGTTTAGAAACACGAATGGAATAGAGGTGCTTTACGCAATACAACTGCTTCACGTGCTACCGTGAAGCAGTTGTTTTGGCATGGCTGTGTTTCGGTTTGGAGGGTAGGATATGACAGTGAATTTACAGGGTATAGAAAAATAAAACCTGAGTCCTCAGGAATGGCAACGCATGGGGGGTATCATGAGCGAAACAGTATACTCTGTTATGTCCATGGTACTGCTCATGCTATAGGCGACGGTTATTACTTTCCATCAGGTGGACCGTCAGCTAGTTTACCATTCTTGATTGCCTAAAAAATATACCTACATGTATGTGCGTGTGTGTGTGTCCTTTTATTTATAAGGAGTATATCCTTTTGGATTACTTTACTTATACATATTATTACTAAAAAATACTTATAAAGTATTTTATTATTGTTTAATCTCCTATCTAAAATTACTTATATGTATCTCTGTTTGTTTACTAACTTCTCTGCCTTGTACCTTAACGAAGAATATTGGCCAATTTTTTTTAACATTACAAACGATTAATTGTAGATAATATTTGCAAGCAAACGAAAGCCAAAAAATTAGTAACTCGGAACATTTACACCTAATTATTTCTTTTCTCTTACTTTTGAAAATCAGCATTATAAATAATTATTGTAAATAGCAATCTAATCAACAAACGTATTGAGATAGAAGTCATAAATATGGATGATAAATAATTAGACTTTGTTTTCACACTCAGGTACGTGATTATGATTATAATAAACTAGAAAATACTCGACGTACATCAATCTTTCGACTTCAAACTATTTTTTCTGCCAATTACTGGAACGTTAAATGTAACAAATGCGTAGTATATGAACTACTTACCATGAACCTACTTTGCTATCTTATCTCATAAATATAATAAAATTGTAACTAGACCAATGTCTGTACATGTGAGATATTTAGGGTGATATGAGGAATAGAATATAAGATATTTTTTTGGACATTTTGACTGTCTATGTATTAGTTCCAACATTACACAACAACTGAACCGATTTGCTGTTTTCACAGTTGTGTTCCTGAAGGACTTCTGAAATATACACGTACGAAGTAACGGGCAAAAAGCTAGGTTAGCTTATTTAAGTTAGGCTAACTAGCTATATTTTACTATTTTATGCAAAAGCATGAGTATCTCTGTCCCATGCGTATTTATATGCTTACATCAGTTATTCTATACTGACATACTATTTTTCGGTTTGTGGCAGTGAAGTTACAGAACATGAAAACATAACACCTGAAGGCTAAGATATTCATCTTTAACAATGGAAACACATGAGTAATACCATGGGTGTCACAGTGTATTATATGATTTAGGTATTCTTGTTATCTTATTACCGTCAATTTTTATACATAATTTTTTATTCTAAAGTTTTAAACTTACATATAGGTAAAAGTTTTATTGCCATAATATCAATCATTTTGTGTATATACCTTACCTGAGCAAAAAATGCATTAATACTGATTGATTATATAATCTACAAGTATTAATGTATTTTTTAAACCTCTATATAAAGGGGGAGAAAAGTGTTTATAATAGAAACTAGTGGCCCAGCTTTAATTGATTAAGTCGATCTCCAAGTGGTTGACCCTGGACACAATTGTAATGAATTCATCATAATAAGGTAATTAACTTAACTCTATCCTCACCTATCATCCCTTATTAATACCCTGCTAGTCTAACCTAATAGCGTAGGTGATACTATTTCATTTTTATTCATTAATAAAGTAGATTAGTTAATAAAAAATGTTTTAGCTAGTGTCGTACTGTTTTGAATAAAACCTACAATATGGGGACTGTTATCATCGGTCACCAGACACGACGTGCCTGTGCGGCTCGTACCTGGCACGGCGTAACACCACAAACAGAACTGCACAAAAACATCACACAGCTGCTAAAAATCACATTATTCGTGAAGGTCTTCTATGCAGTATTAATATGTAATAGGGGAATAAAAGCATTTATTATGTAAAATAAATATTTAATATGTAATAAGCACATTTTAGTATTTGGTTATTGTTGAAACAATTGTAAACTAAATTTCTTTACCTACTCTTACATTTAAAAAAAATATATAACATTAAAATACTATTAATACAAATTCAGATAAATGTTGTCTGGAAAAGAGAAAAAAATTATAACATATACATAGTTTGTGTAAATTTGTTCAAATATTTCTATTCTATGACAATGTCTAAGCCCTCAGTGTTCAGGAACAAATTTTTTTATGCCATATGCCCTTACTATCTACTATTCCATGCTTCACGTGACCAGGTATTTCCATTAATACATACTATTATGTGTAATAATAATATATATTTTTTTAAATCTACAAATACCAATGCCGATTTGTGAACATAGATAAATAGACGATGATAAGTCACTTATAAAAATTTAACCCAAACACTTCGAAAATTCGAATGCAATATAGAAGACTTATTAATTTACCTAAATAATTAGTGTTAATTATTAATTACCATTATTAGCCTAGTTAACATTAAATTAATTAAATCATACAATTTCCCCCAAGGGACATTATAATAAACAACGTATAAACATATTTCACAACTCCATCTAGTACCAAACTAATCAGAGCTTGTATGGGTACTAAACAACTAATGGGCTTATTTCCTTTTTAATACATACATATTATACAAAGAAGAACTTTAATAATACAAACAGTGATAAGCATAAATGTATGGAACAATTTACGGAAACATGCGGACACCGAACCCGCGGCCATCGGAAGGTGATGCCAGTGAGACGGTGTATTAAACCGCTAGACCAACAAGGTCGTCGCAATAATATGAAAGTTGTTAAAGATATATGGATGTTTGTTGCTCAATCTCTTAACAGCAGGACGGATTTGAATCATATTTGGTAGGTACGCAATACTTATATCATGCATTTGAATGTAGATATAATTATTTACTCTCTAATTCACGGGTAATACAGCATATACTAACATCAAAGTAAATTTTGGAAATTTCAAACACAAGCTGACGGTCCACCTGATGGAAAGTGGTAACTGCCATATCTTACCCTTCAAACCGAAACACAAGCATGCAAACACGACTGCTTCACGGTAATAACACGAATGGGACAGAGGCACCCAAACAAACCACTTTTGTACAAAATTTCCTTCTGGTATAAAAAAAAAATGTACCTTCATATTTCAACCTAAGTTCTTTGGAAAATATATTTCAGTCACCCCTTCAAATGATTAATGAAACTAAATATATTTCTGTAGAAAATCTAAAATTTATACTTTTGTTGGATTTTGATTATTATTGAATATTTGCGTGTGTTGAAGATTGCAACTTCTTTGATAGCCATATATAAACTATTATTTATCAAGAAACGGAGTATTTATTTTCAAAAAATTACAGCTACTGATAAAATAAAAATAATATATGGCTATCAAAGAAGGTTTGCAATCTTCAACAGCGTGAGCATATAGATACTTAATATAAAATGGAATGACAACAATGACAAGTAGAAGACTGAAATTTATCGATATCCTTTGTGATATCTGTAGGAGATGTAAGCATCCACGCCGTGCAGAATCCCAACCACCACGCCGACATACTGTGAAGATAAAAGTAGTTAATGTAGTACTAATATATTAATATTATTTAAAGAAGTCAAAATATAGACAGGAATACTACTAATATAATAAAATTGTAACTGGACGATATTTATTAAAGCATTATATCTGATTATATCTTCGTTGTTATATCTAAAGACGTAATTATAATCTGGTGTATGCTTTATCTTAGTACACTGTTCAGAAGTGGTATATTTAATTAGTTTTCTTAATATTGAAATCCACGCGTCAAAACTAACGCACAAAAAGCAAATCAGCGTATAAATTATGAATGTCCTTGTAAGTTTATTATTATTAAGATTACCAAAAGAATTTCTTTTGGATTGCATTTTATTGTGGCTATATTACGCGATTACATCACTAATTACGTATTTTAATAATTCTTTTCGCAATTGATAAGACTCACTCCCATAGTGGTCCCATATTAATTTCGTGACGATTCAAATTACAGTTTCTCTTTGCGAAACAAGATATAGTTTTGTGAAGGACTATCCTCTTGTGAATATACGATTTCTCATTTTAAATTCATATATTTCGAAACGAAACACAACAATAATGACGATGTATCTTGTCATTATCGGTGTATTTTTCTATAATTTAAATCGCTGTTTTTTATCCAAATTTCACTTATATTCATTTTTAGGACAATACTGAGCCAATTTTGTAGTTCATCATATAAATAAAACTAGAGCAACATTCTAACCAGTGCGACATAAAGATTGTCAATTGTTTCTTCTGAGCTTTCCTAACAATACGATTATAACATATGTATCTTTAGGTAATAGACACTCAATACTTACATAAACTGCAGTCATTGCCGGGTATGCTGCATACATGCTGATGGATGTATAACGGGTATATAGGTATATGTTCACTGCTACACCCATATATGAAGAAGCCGAGAGATAGAGAAAACAAGCTACTGCGTTGAACAAGCACTCCTGCAAACGATAAACGTGGCAAATTATTTATTTATTAAACTTTAATGCACCAATACTAATGCAAGCAGCATTAAATAAAATACAAAAGAAAAATTGTAAATAGTTTTAAATAGGTATATAAGATAATCTTATCACCAAAGCCATTTCTTCTATTTAACATTTGGGAAAAAAATAAGGATATATAAAAAATATAAATTAACCATCATGAACACTTTGTATAATATATATTCTATAATTTATATACTGTATCATACATTCATCATGAAATACATGTAACACAGATTACATTTAATAATATACCTACAATGGAGAATGTCTAAATAAATATTAGCAAAACTAAATCTAATGACTCGTAAGCTTAAACAACTTTCTATTTTATTTACTCAATTACTCGCTGTTTCCCGCGGCTTTGCCAGTTGAATTAATGGATGTATTAAGTGCGCTACGACCACGTAGCGCACTTAATACATCAATTATTAGGTAGTTACCAAACTACCTATAATATAGACAAGCTTTACCACTGTATGGGTAACAAATATAATTTTAATTATATGTAAAAGTTTGTGTTTGCTACCTTTGTTTTATGTTGTTTTGTTTGTTGTATGTTTTAAAAAAATAAACTACCTAGAGGTTATATTTAACTAAATTTTAACTTTTCAACCGTTGAATCTTACAGGTACATCAATATTTAAAACCAATTCAAGTTAAAATAGGTATAAATCCCTATCAGATATACGAGGTTTGTCCGGAAAGTACGTATAAAAGTTTTTTAATAATTTTATTTTACAATTATTCAGGTAAATCAATTTTATCCCCTTCAAAGTACTCCCCCTGTGACATAATGCACTTGTGCCAACGCCGTTTCCACTGTGAGAAGGCTCCTTGAAAGTCCTCTGGTTGTAGGTTTCTCAGCTGCCCCGTCGTAGCTTTTTTTATCTCATTTATGTCCCCCAAATGCCGCCCCCGAAGTACCAATTTGGTTTTTGGGAACAAGAAGAAGTCACACGGGGCCAAATCCGGCGAATAGGGGGGTGTTCGGTCACCGTAATGGAATTTTTACTCAAAAACTCACGGACAACAAGAGAGGTGTGGGCAGGGGCATTGTCGTGGTGAAGAATCCAACGCCCCTCTCGCGCCAATTCTGGACGAACTCGTGCCACACGAGCTTTGAGGCGTCTGAGCACATCGACGTAGAATTTTCCATCAACTGTCTGGCCTGGAGGGACGAATTCTTGATGGACAATCCCCCGAACATCGAAAAAAACAATCAACATTGTCTCGGCCCTCTCTGAATCTTTTTAGCCACTTGTGGACGGTTGGTTCCTTCACAGCATCATCCCCATAAACTGTTCTGAGATCGGCAAAAATTTCACGGCCATTCTTGCCGAGTTTCGAGAGAAACTTGATTACGACGCGCTGCTCTTCAACGGAAGCGGGCTCCATGCCGACGGGGTTTCGTTAAGAGGTAACTTCACAGATGGCGTGACAAGCCAGTTCGCACCGCACGGCGGTCAGACCAGAACTGAAGCATTGTTAGGGACATAAGGAAGGGGTCCTGCGCTTACCTGGCCTCCCCACTCCTCTTTCTCGCATTCCAGAACACTTTTATACGAACTTTCCGGACAGACCTCGTATTTGAACATTTGCATTCACCGATTAATAATAAATAAATCTGATCGAAGATTTGACTTGACAGTGGCCAGTAGATATAAGCGGCATCTTCACAGGTAAATTTATTATTTATCTAATCTCGTAGATAAAATTAAATTTTTATGATCAATAATGCAATTGATTGCAATATAATTTCACAGATTAAATGCATTTTTGTTGTAAAGATGAAATTAAGGTAATTTAAAAAGATGCGACTTGAATATACTTAAGTGTATGTCAAATTTCATAACGATTGGTTAAGCCACGAGATAACAAACAAAAAATCAAATAAATATATGCATGTAAACAAACGAGCTCACTTTTAGATTTATAATATTATTTATAGATATTAAATAAAAAAATATAACAATACTTACAAAAATCGATTGCCGTATGAGTTGTTGTGAATTAGAAGACAGAACGTAGCAAGTGATGAGAAGAGCAGTGGTAAGGAGGCAGGCGGAGGCCGTGGTCAAAAAACTGTGGAACGCTGATCCCATAGTACTAGCTTCGGACATGCCATACTTAACTAGCAGGCTCTGGCATAGTCCACCTAGCATCTGTCGATAATTTAGAAAATGATATTGTTTATAATAATACCTATATTTTTATATTATATACTAGCAGATCTTGAGAAATGGTTTTTCCCCCTACCACCACCTACTGAGTCCATTTTTTCTTGACGGTATAACAAATATTGTTTGCTCTAATTTAAGAATAGGTATATAATATTTTGCTCACGTGTAGAACAAAATCTCTTAAGATCAGTTATGTGCTTTCTAAAATTAGCATAAATTCATAGTGTCTCAAGATCTATCGCTATCCTATATGAATGTTAGCCTGGAATTTCCGGGTTATGATGCTAACGTACGAAAAGCAACTGTGTGTTGAAAACGGATAATATTAATAATAAAATTTTAAAGAAGTTTAAAAGTAACAAGAGAAATTAATAAATAATCGTCAGGGGTGATGCGATAACGGCAAGATTGCACTTCTATTTATCAGTCAATACGCGATTAGCTTATAGGTACCTACTATACTGAGGTTACAGCCAACGCCTACTCCGTTTTAAATAATGTTAATTCAGCCTTTTCAAAACAATACATATGTCTTATATCTAAAAAATCAAATCAAATTATTTTGCAAAAACATAGATAACATTTTTCCTTACAACATTACGTTGCATAAATATTAATTGATTACTTTTTATATACAACTATGTTTTGCCTCTCCTGGCGTGTAATTTTTTTAAATGTATATACATGACATGAAAATTAACAAATGTATATTATTATCTAAAACATATAATTGAGTCGTTCCTTTAGAGTATTAGGTATACTCCGTGATAAAAGAAAAATATTGTTTGATTAGGAATTTTCTAAATGATAGGAGTAACAGAAAAACTTATTAAAAAGTATACAGCAGTTTCCACTATTGTCCTTTTGACGTGATCGATCTGTTGGTGTTTTATTTCAAAGCGAACTTAAAAAAGATGTGTAGGTTTTAATTATTAAATTATTTTCGAATAAAATGTAACAAATAAATAAATACATTATTGTCGTAATGTCAAACTCTGAACGACTCTTTCAGGGCTGCTACCGCATCCATGTTTCTATCTCATAAATTGTAGCCTCTTCACCAATATCCAGATGGTGTAACAGGCTTCATTGATGGACTAGGCAGATATATCGTTATATAAAAAATATATCAAAGCTGAAGTACCTAGTTATCTATTCTTCAAAATCTTTCAATGAAATGACCGTAGGATTAACTAAAAAATTAGTTTACTTGTATTTTGCAGTGGTAATCAATTATCAAAGATTAACCTATAATTAATTAGTTATTAGAATCGTCAATAATTTTGATAAATTATAAAATATCTTGCTATCAGTTTACATTCTAGTATGATTGTTAAAATATGTGGACGCATTGGTCAATAATATTTTTTTAATGCCAATAATCGGCAATCTTTTTCTTAATACTATTTAATAGACAGATATCCAAAGCACAGTCCGTATAGTAGTATATTATTTGTAAATTTACTGAATTCCTTATGTTACAAAGGTCTGCGTAGGCGATAGATACATATTTGACTGCAAAGAATTTTTTTCCATTTTATCAATATGACATCAACACATAAGGTATCTGTAGATCATTGCTATGCATTAATTTCGTATACATGTTCTCAAATATTGTGCATTGTTGCACAGGCCCTAAGGAAAGAAGTAATTTACTGAAATTCTCAATAGAATGCGAGATAATAACAAACTTATGCGAGGAAACCGCAATTGATAATAAAAAAAAAAACAGATAATTTTAGACTTTTGAAACAGATGGAGGTGGGCATTAATAATGAAAATTAATAATGAAATGCTCGTTAATTAAGTCATAAATTATAATCATAATTAATCATATATGATATTACTGCCCAATTCAGAATACAATTTCAGTATAATCTAAGAATTTCAGCTAAGAAAAATGACCATTGTTTTTTTATAACCGGTAACAGAAAACTGTACTACTGTAAACGTGTGAATGTGTTACCCTCAGGAATTTTTAAACCGTCAGTACTACTGTGCTGGGTAACTTGACTGACTTGCAATTTACATTTTTCATATTATTTTTATTTACTTATTTATATTTTTAAAGTGTACTAATATACTAATGGTAGCGGAATTAAACAAAATAATTGTAATCGAATAACCAAACCAATGTATTTTGTAAAATAAGATATACTTACAGCTTCAGCTAACTTGATAAGACCATGTTGGCTAGTTAGGTATCCAAAATTGATACATTCACAGCATCGACAGCAGCAGCACTTGATGCCTTTGCCACCACCAGCCCCTCCACCCGGCGTCACTCGCACTATAGTCGGCACACGGTTCATCGCACAATTACAATATAATAACTTATGTCTAGACACTTTTAAAATATTTTAAACTATCGAATCGGATTTTTCGCTTATTTTTCGCAATGTTCAGCCCGTAACTGAAATGAACAAGAATGAGCAATGGCCAGGATGCCTGGATTTCTACGCGGTCAGTGTTAGTCACCACAACACAATATTTTTAGATGTATTCGCTGCGTATTCAATAAAAGTTCACCGAACTCCTACCCCGTTACCTAAATACTTGAGATCACAAATATTCATTCAAAAATTAGAACAATTTACATTGTTATAATGCCTATTTTTGCAGTCCATAACTATACTAGTTTAAATGTAAATTGTATCTCTTCTCTACCAATAAAGGACTCTGTTCAAAAGTCAAAGGACGAATAATTTTAAATTTGTCGCGTGCTCGTGGCTTAAACTCTGCGTGTGCGCATGGTAAAAATAACCATATGCACAGTGTTCCTGTATACAAAATGTGTAGACAAAATATATCTATTTAATTTGATTTTTATTATAAAATGTTATGAAATAACTTTTAAATTATTACGAAATTATCAAAGACTAAAATATAAAACATTTGAAAAAAAGTAGTTTAATAAAATGTATTTAAAAATAACTATTCTTTCATCGTCATTTTTGCCATTCATTTGATCTATTCTAATTAATTCTAAACAAGAAATACGGATATATTAAACCCAAATATATGCGAGAATGAATTTATTACCTACATATAAAATAAGCTAATTAAAGAAAAGAAAATTGTATGTATAAATACAATATAACTATACCATATATATAATATATTAACAAGCCAACAAATTCCAATGTAATAAATATTCTTTGCTCAACAATTTCCGATGCAGAACCGCTGTGCGAGATCTCAACTCTCCAGGGGTGATGTGCTATTTAGGGAATTCAGGAAGGATAAATAATGCGCCATATGGTCTGAACTCTACGTTAAAGATTTACCGTACAGTATTATGACTTTTGTAGCTAAAGGCAAAATTTTTACCTTATTGATTACCTTAGCTGATCCGAGTTCCATACAAAGTCAAACATCATAATTCTATTTGTATTGGTTTTTTTTTTATGCAATTTCATATTATGGAAAATCTAACGACCTACCTGATAAAAAATGGTAACCGTTGCCTATAGACATGAGTAGTACCATAGACATAACAGAGTATGCTATGTCAAATTCAAATTTTGATGCTGTATCGCCCATGATATCCTTCATGCTTTACCATTCCTGAGGATTAATGTGCTTTACCTCTGTACCCTGTAATTTCCCATATTCCGCCTGATAGATAATTTATTATATAATATTTATTGTACTCAGACATACAGTCCTACTAATAATTATGAGTTTTTTTAATAGATGAAAATAGAATGGTAATGGTAACTCCACCTGCACTATCGGTATACGCTGCTGGGGCACCAGTGAGGGATGATAGGGGAAAATGAAGCAGGTCAGTTGTCCAATCGAGATGAATTCATCAAAAATTAACCACGATAGTTTCCAGGGGGAACCGTGTGGAGATCGACGTATTAGGGTACATCGCTAGTAATGAATCTTAGATCTCATTACTAACAATCCCTGTGCCCCCAATAATTACGAGTAGAAATAATGTAAGCATAGGTGAACTTATTTATTTTGTTATATGTAAAAACATTGTAAAGAAAAAAGCAAGTATCTCAGCGGGTAAATACGTATTATAATGCTATATTTTGTGTTGTGAAACTACAGATTTACTGAATAACAGAGGTTCGTTCAGAACCTAAATGACGGATTGGACATAGTAGATGTGAATTTAATGTACTCGTTAGTATACTTTTAAATATTGCTCATTTAATTCATATTAACGTTTTAACATAATAATTTATGTTAAAAATAACTTTTTAACATATACTTCTCTATCTCTTAAAATGAAGCAATCAATCATTAAATTATATCATTTTTTTTTCTTTATAGAACTTAAAGAGACATATCATTAAATCAAAGCTACATCTTAGTAATATAACTGTAACTATTTCTGTGCACGGGAGATATTTAGAAAACTCGTATGAGAAGCCTTAATTATTGTTTTGTTCTTAATAATAATAATTTTGTGTGTCTGTCTGTGTGTCTATTCGGCATCACGCAAAAACCACTGCACGAAATTGCGGCTTCACAATTGTATTTCCAAAAGTCTATCCTAAAAAATGGTGTATGTTTTATTTCGATACGCTGTTTAAAGGGGGTCTATTTCAGTGGGTTTTCTAACTTTGAAAACCGCTCCTATAATTTAGCAGGGAGAAAAATAATTATGAAGGTATAAATAATGATTGATTCCATTGCCCATTTTTTTCTCGAAAAAATTTTGATTCGGAGAGTATACTAAATTTGAGTAAGTCTATCCACTCCATATATACGGATATAGGTGATTACAGGATTCCGATATATACTCATTATATATTTATATTATGAAATAATATAAATATGTATTACACAGGCATATTTTTGACCGTGTGGTCCCAACATAGAATAAGCCACAATTTGATTTAAAGTCAGTACTTACGCAAAAATAACTATTTATTTGTACCTATACAAAATATTTATGGACGAATAAAAAATATATTTTATTAAGATACATTTTATTAAAAACCTTATTATTATTCTTTATAGATACTTACATATTATTATTTCAGGATTAATTATTTTTCTTATTCTCATTTTACATTTAGTTACTACATAATTCGATCCAGTGGCATATATTTTTTAATCTTTCTTGTAAAAAAACTACAAGTTTGACAATATTTAAAAATTAAAATCAAATTATCTTTCAATTACGTGTCAACTTTTTGCAATTAAATTAAATGTAAATTACAATTTCTTTTCTATTTCCTTTACTTTTGCCACTCCAACAAAATAACAATTTTATATAATAATCGCGCATACAAAAAGAGTAAATCCAGATTTATTTAAATACATTAATTGACTTTATCTTGGACAAGAGGGGCCTTTAAAAGCAAAACTTTGAACCTATAGATAAATAAATCATTTTATACTTCATAGTAATTGACTAGTAACATAATATCTTAAATATTTTCCGCATTACTCTACATTTAAAAAAAAGTAAAGGAAAAACCACAAACATAGATACATCAATGGACAAATAAATATTAATTTTATTGTTATTTATGCTCTATAAAAGCTAAACTGACTTTAATAATAAATTAAAAATTATCTAAAAATGATCTTATAAATAAGTACATGTTGTAAGTATAACCGTGGCTATGTTTGAGTTTAAATTACCCCTAAATCCGTTTTAAGTAATTACAGTTTTAACAGCAATAATGCAGCAGAGATATCATTACATACAAGGACTATTGATTATAAAAAAAATTCTTAAAATCTCTTCAAAATAGCAAAATATTGTGTAATGTACATAACAATTGAATTGAGAACATTCTCTCTTTTTTGAAGCCACTTTAAAATGTCACTTCATTGAAACCGTATTGTAATTGACATTACCTCGAAATTTGATTCATTGGACCAATACTTTAAACCTAAATATATACATATAAAATACGTAAAATAAATACATATAATAATCATACCATTTTAATTGACTATTTTAATATGCGTATAAAATAACATTAAAATTTATTAAATAAATACAAAATTATATGTGATTAAACTAGAACGAAAGACTATTGTTTCGTCTGTGTTATATACCATATCTCCGATCCCACCGGAACGGAACACCACCTACTTTCAAAATAGATAGCATTCCAATTCTAAATAGCTCAGAGATCTTATTGTTAGATCTTACAGTTACTTTGTATAAATTGCCTCTAGTGGATTGTTTCAGAAATTAAGATTGCCTTATAAATTTATAAACTAAACGTAAACGCGATCGCAACGTAAATCTTTCTGAAAATCACACAAGGCACTCTGTTTTATCGGAGAAAAATAACATACAAAAAAAAGGTTAAATCGAAATCAATAGCATCAACGATCATAGCAACGAGACCAGCTCTGATATTTGTACGGAAGACTAAGTATTTTATGTGATTTTCCTACTAGCTTCTGTATCAATTTTACTACTACAACACTTAAAAGTACACTAATGATTTCGATTCAAAATCCTGTATAATTTCTATGCTTTAAATACATACATCTTGTCACAGTGTAGATACTTGTGCCAATAAATAATGCATGCATATGTATTAAAAATTAAATCTTATAAAATTCCTTTGAAATATAGAGCATTTATTATTAGACATCTTTGTAATTATACAAGAAAAACAATATGAGGTAGACCTTACACTGCTGTAAACATTGAAATAGAAATTCATACTTATATATCTTTTTACACCACTAAATAGGAAGACGTGGCTAACATTACAACCATATATTATAAAGTATAAATGCGTAAAGTAACTACTTAACAAATACAAAAATAAAAAAATTTAGTGCTCGCATCTGATTATTTTCGTTTGAGCTGACAATATTCTCGTTTTCAGCTGAAGATTAAAAAATGTCATAATATTTGTATTATGCATACGCACAATTGCGTATAATAGATAATACAATAGTTAAAGTAAATGTGATATATTAAATATGACAGTTTCAAATTCTAGACTTAATAGTTAATGAATTAATAGTAATATGGCTATTACGGCTGGCGCCAAACAATTGGTCGATTCTGAGGCGCCATTAATCTAATCTCTAAAATTAAAGTTTCAACTTGATATCACAGTAAAATCTTTATTGTGGATACTAATATGAACTAAATTTCTAATAGGTTTAAGTAAAAAATATAATTTTAGTTTATAATAGTCCATAAAACGATAATTTCCCCTAAAATCCTCAACGTAAAATATTAACGGTTCAGAGAAATAGTGTCTCAGAATCGGTTCCAATATTCTTGTTACAAACAAAGTTTGGCCAAGTAAGTAACTATAATTTGTGCTAAATTATAAATACCGAAGCAAAATTAAATAAGTATATGTATATATATGATTAAATCGATTTCATGAGATTCTGAGTTCAATTAAATGCCTCTATAAGACCGGTTCGCCAGAAATGTACTTAGTAGGTAGAGGCCAGCAAGAATCAATCCCATCACCTGAAAATTTTATAAAATAAACTTTAAATATATTTATTTATACTTATACATAATAAAACATGTATACTGAGCAAACTTATTGCCTAAATAACTTAAAATCTCAAAAATAAATGTAAAATTAAATATCCTCAATATTAAAGAAGACAATTTTATATCTAAAACTAATAATAATAAAATATACCTACTCATAAGTAGTAACAATTTACACAAAATAAATATTATAAAAATGTTTATTCTCATTTTGTAGCGATCAGTTATTATAAACATATAAACTTAATTTACTTTAAACTGCAAAATTCATGACAAATTACAGTCGTATTTTTTTAACTTTCGATATTGTTTTTTCAATGTTTTTCATATTACTTATTTTTAGAGACGTAATGAAATTATTCATACATACCGCTGCAGCTAAGTATGGCTCATATGAATTGTAATAACTTCTCCTGTTCTGATTGACTTCTGTTAGAAATGTGATGCCCGCTGCTAAATATAGTATAAAGGCCAAGCCATGGTAAATGACTTCCTGGAAAAACAAAATAAAAAATATTAACGTCAACACACAAATAAGATTCAGTTAGTTCAGATACAGTCAAGAAATGGATGTCTAATTTAGAGACATCAGCTGATTTCAAAATAGAAGACTATTTTGTTCTAGTAGTTGATATCTCTAAATTCTTAAATTGTCTGTATTTTGTTTTCACCAGATCTACTTGAATTTTGAGGATTCTTTTTACTTTTAACCAGTTGAATAACATTAAAACTCTTTGAAAAAGCGAGTTTGATTTCTCCAGTTTTTATAATCCCAAGTTTTCCATCTCAATTCATAATAATAACGATAGAAGGTGAAATCACAATAATTCGCATCCTTTTATATAAGTACTAACTTTTGCCCGCAACTTCGTACGCGTAACCGGGATATGTCGCTTAACCGAGATAAAAAGTAGCCTATATCCTTTTCTATCCCTTATAATTTATATATACCAAATTCCTTAGTGATTGGATACATCGTTAAGACGCTAATTGATAACAAACAAACAAAAATATACATTCACATTTATAATATTAGTAAAGATAAGAACTTATTTATAATATTGTAACTTCATTTACCAAATCAACATATGATACAAAACACTGTTAATACTAAGAGCATTCTTTATTAGTTTAATGATTAAATATGTACCTATAGGTAGCTACAGTGAATCAACTCAACATACATGCAATTAAATTATATTAATTTATTATACTTATTAATTAACTATAATTTTTTCATATTAATGTTGGTGCGATTTCAAATCGTATTTCTTTTAGAGAATCGTTCAATTTCACTGGTAGAATGCTGATCATAACATTTAGATTTCACCTTATATTGAACTATATTGAATCATATAGAATCAACTACAGATAGTCCTGACTCCTGAACTAGCATTAAGTATATGTCTGAAGGCAATGCCTTCCCAAATTACAATTTTAGTTACTGTTACAAAATTACTGATTTACATTAATTAAAAATACATAATAACAATATTTATCTTGTGTATGCGGCTGTATGTGTTAGTGTACGCACGTGTCCACGTGTGCGTGTGTGCGTTGTGTATGTGTGCAAGCGTGCGCGTGTTTGTGTATGTACACAATAATTATACTCGTATAAACATGAATACTCACATAAACAGTCTTAGATATTAGTGAAGCCGATGACAATGATATTATACACGAAGTAAGTAAACAAAATGTGCCTATGAGGAAGGAGACAGCTATTAACAGGAAAAATAATTCCGCTCTCTGTGACACGGCTCTGTAATTGGTGTCGTAGTAGTAGCTCACAATACCGACGCAGGCTGCACCCATTAACTGAAATCAAATAAAAACAACTATAAGTAGAAGGCTCCACGAATTATATTTTATAAAAATATTATAAATGTGGAAGTGTGTTTGTTTTTTTGTTACTTTATAGCGTCTTAGCGGTTAAACCAATCATTATGAAATTTGGTATATTTGGAACTATATGAGATGAAGAAGGATATAGACTATTTTTTATCTCAACCACTAAACATATCTTGATCAAGCAGAAGTCACGGATAAATGCTAGTAGTATACATCTATATACTATACTGTTACTGTACATACTACATTAGCTAAATAAAAATATAAAAATATTAACTTGTATTATGCACAACATTCATTCATTCCGTTTTTCAAAGATTGACTAGGAGAGAATGCTATGCATTAAGACCGCCTTTTATACCAAACATTTTTTTGAAATGTAGTCAATAAATAATAAATAAATAAAGCAGCCTTATTTTTGTAATTTACAAAGATGTTAACGAATATACAAATAACAAAAAAATTATGCTTTTTAAACTGAACAAAATATTTGGTAAACTCAAGAAATTCAATCACACCAAATAATTACCCCTCAGACAAATTTAAAATATACGGCACGGTATTTAAAATATACAAGTAATAATATATATACCTATAATATATATATATATAAAGTACATACTTAATAAAGAATCACGAGTACCTGTCCAATTTAATCGTTTTCCTTCTGAATCTTTCTTCTACTTCTTTTTGATGATAGAATGACAAAAAAATTAAGATTTAACTATTTGATTTGTCATAGTCCACATGTAACCTGATTTAACCATTCTCTTGGGATATCTGAAAAACTCTCTTTTATTTTTACAGACCCTAGTTAGAGCATGTCCAATTAACAAAGACCTCCACGTTCTACACGACTGCATACAATAAATAGGTCAAGCTGTATTTCATGATTCGCTCGACAGATCCCGCGATGTCAGAACAAACAGATAGTTGGATATAATTTTAAAAATGAATGATTTAGGTTTCATTATTAGTTTTTAGCGTCAGTAATTTTCATAGAATAAATTCAATGTACGGGAATTTCGAAACTTGCAATTTTAATAACAACATTAAACATATAATTAGGTACCTTATTCCTTGATAAAATAATATCTACCTAGCAACTGCAAGTACGTATAGAAACGCCATACTAACATATAAGTCATATATAAGTATTAATATACATATATTCGAGTTTTCTGATCGTTTTAGCTTTACGATGCATGACTTCATACTGCGGCTATTTTGAAAGCCCACTAAGTAAATATACCTACTGAATAGTAGGTGCTCGTGCTGTTCGATTTAAACGATTCTATAATTTGTGTACAAGATAAAATTAGTTTAAAGTGATGCAAGCAGAGCCATACTTTCACAGTAAATTGTATTTATTTTATATCCATATCACGTTTGGTCACAGAAGTTTTCACCTTTACTTTTGTGATTTACATATTGTTTATATTCGTGGTATCTTGCTCAGCGCTGTTATTTTCTGACAGAAACATGAAAGAAATAAGGGAACCTAATGTAAACTAATGTTTCTATTTGAATATTTATAATATTAATATTCATTCAGTATTCTGCTATTTAAATAGTCAAGCCTGGACAAAGTATCCGCTAAGAGAGTTATGAATATATCAGCTGGTTAGTTGGGTACAAATACTATGGGATTAGGATATGCACATAAAAGTAAATAATGTTAATTTAACAACTTACACTAAAGCAGTTTCGGGGCATTACGTAGTGTATCATAGGTATATATTACCTAACTAGTGATAAATCGGTTGGACATGAGAGTAAATAATGATGACGCGTCCCATGACATCATTTGTCGTTCAGTGAAAACAAAAGATGTGTAGGTACAGAGAGTCACTTTTAGATGTTATTAAACTTTACAGAGAATTAAAATGTCTTTAACAAAAAATTGTGATTGGTTAACTAATAATATTTTTTTTTTATTTCTCACCAGAGAAGTTTATATAAGAATAATAAAGTGAGCAGATACGAAATATATTCGCGTTCATCCATTACTTAGTATATAGAGATTTTGACTCTATTCGTCACATAGACTTTTCATTTATATAATCGAAATTATTTGTAAAAATATTATCATTACTTTGTTATCTAAAAGATTATTATACACTGCATGACTATACCTAGAGATTTTTTCGAAAAATAAGATATTATCCGGAGATATGTTAAAACGAAATTTCATTAACGTAAAATGCGTCTGTTAGTAGCCCCAGTCTCCAAGAATGTTGATTCTGTTGCTCAACCGAGATACGTATTTTTGTATCACTAAAGTAGGACGCATTCTGTTTAAAATTCATACATAAAGAGGTAAGAATAAAGCTGAAATAAGTATAGCTCGAGAACAGCAGTGTGTATCTATGTATATTTATGTGCCACATAAGCTTTTCTTTACTTTTAATTAATTCTTCATTTGATTTAGTACTTGCACATAAAAAAAACATATTCAATGTCATATATCTTTAAATACGCGCATCATTTTTAAAGAACATTAATTGACATCTCCAATTTCAAAATTAATCTTTATGACTGACACTCAAAAATATTGTTAATGACGGTATAAAATTCTAATTAATGTAAAAAACGGAGTTTGGACTTGAGACTCTGGGTCCGTGGGGCCCCAAGGCCAATCTTTTCAAAAAGATATCACGTCGGCTGGTGGAAACCTCTGGTGACCGGAAGGCTGGCCTATACTTTGGTCAACGCATTTCCATAGCTATTCAGCGTTGAAATGCAGCAAGTCTCCTATGTTGGCAATACCAGTTGGCATTGATCTTATAGAAATTTTTTATCTTTCAGTAATTTTTAAAATCTTGTTTTTTTTTATATTTATAGTACATAGATGTAAGGTGTGTATATAATAGAAAAGTTATATTTTTTACACATTTGTATAATAATATATAATTTTGTATATAATTAATATATATGAATAATTATGTACAAAATATTCCGATATTAAATCTATCTAAGACAACTCATTAACGCACTTACCAACTGTGCAAGTTTCAGTAAGCCAGGCATAGAACCCAGATACCCGCTGTTGATGTACAGCGCGGTACCAGAGGACACCGCAGTCGTTCGAGTTATGGTCACCGTATGTGACATACTGGACAATCTGCAATTTTTATATCATACATTCTCATTTATTTCTTTTTCTGTTTCTCTATTCACAAACAATGTATTCCACAGGGTGAGATTGAAGTCGTTAACGTCATCTATGTAAAATTAAGAATCTGCCCATGCCATAGAATAAATTAAGAGATAAATTTCATTAATCAAAAATTCAAAAACAAAAAAATATTTTGGATCGCCCATACATAGTATTATATTTTTCATGCCCAAACAAACTTATCATCTGAACACGACATATATGTATATATATACGAGTAGAGCTCAAAATATTTTGTCGTTTCCATGTTCACCCATGTTCCTATAGTGAAAACGCACAATTTCGCGGTTAGTAAACCTGATCGATATAATACTAAAGATTTTGATTTCATCCTGTATCGTAAATAAGAAATATGAATTAAATTAAAGTTTTGCTGAACATAGGCCTTCCCCATATACTCATAAAGAACGATCCTGAATAACCTGCATCCACTGACTCCCTGCAATGTATTTAAAGTCATCATTCCATCTAGGGGGAGGGTCGTCCTACACTGCGTTTAAAAAAGTTTAAGTAGATTAGGGTACAGCGATTATTAAGAATTATAATTCATATGTGATATTTAACCACAATTTCTATTTTCAAACGAGGATGAAACGTACTAATAAATACGTTAAGCTAGCAAGTTTGTATAGAATATATATATATATATATATATATATATATATATATATATATATATATATATATATATATATATATATATTGGATACTAATAGAATGGTAAACCCGCCTACACAAAGAATTAACAACGTTAGTTTCCAAGAGGAACTGTATGGAAATCAATTTAACACGGTATTTGCTAGTAATGTGGCCACTAATGCGAAGTTTTTCCCTCCTAATAAATAATTAAGCCCCAATATACAAGGTGCTTATATTTATACATTGTCCTTGATTAAGTTATAATCTTAACATCGAAACTTTTACAGAGTCAATACGAAATAGCACATTAACTCATCACCAAAAATGGGCACAGAGGTCGCCATGTTGGGCGTGCATGACGTTGCTGCGTTTATGTGCCGAGGCCGGCAGCTCTCGAGTCTCAAGAATAAAATAATACATTACGTACACAGCTTATAAGTTATATACTTATTATGCTTTTTCGAAATAAACACAAGTACAAATTTTTTTTCACAAAGTCAATTTTATTCCAGTGTACCTACTTAGTATAAATATGTCAAAGCCCTCCCTAAGTTGTTTATTAGAATTGACTTCAAGACCGACTCTTGTAAGACAGGTTAATGAAGCATTGAGTTCCAATATTTCTTGAAGATTATTATTTATTACCTCAACATTTTAAACATATTAATTTTTAACAATAATTATAAAAAGTATATACTTAAACCAAAGCTTGATTAAATGTTTAAGAGTATAATATTACAGAATTACAATACTACTCTATAATTATCACATCAGGTAATTGAGCAGAGTTGGGGGAATTAATTGTTGGTAATGCTGACTAATAATAGTCTGAATGCTAGCAATATACCCTGTCAGGTCGACTTTCACGTGGTCCCCCATGAAAACCATCGTGCTAAATTCCAGGTGCAATTATCACGATGAGCTTAATAACCTCCTTTTTTATTGTCACCTATCGTCCCTCACAGGTACCCCGCCAGAGTATACCGTTAGCTCGGACGGGGTTCTCATTTCAGTTAACCACTACTGAAAATAGGCCTTTCCTTTTAATGTAAATGATTAACAATTGTTAAAATTGACGCATAAAGTATTGTTTAAATTTAAATAATTACACAGCATATTTTATTATCGATATCCTTAAAACGTCTTCGTCCTTAAATCATATTAGTCACTTCTGATCGTTATTAATCTCGCTGATTATCAATATAATGATAAGAACTTCTTTGTTTCATTCATTCATAAAAATGATAGTAGGCACTGTACAGGTTGTTGACCTCGTCGCGCCACTATATCTCCCTTAGTCTAGACTTGTACCCCCATAACAACTCTACGTCTGCGATATATTTGTAAAATAGATGTTCACTTACTATTCACTACTTATAAGGAAGGTGGTATTAGAAATCTTACAATAAAAACAACAATTAAAATTTTAATGTAATTACAAAAATTCTGTTGGATTCTGTTGTTGTGTTATGAGAAATAAAACATGGGACTTAAGGGTACCAATCAGACCAGAGTATAAAATATAATAAAAAATATAATATGTTTCTCAAGAACTTCATAAAAAAGTACCATGTTTTGTTGAAATTATCACAGAAACACTCCCTAATTAAACTAATTACAAATTGAAGTATTTAATTAATGATTGGTTTTTAAATTGTACTAATTAATATTGGACATCAGCGGGCTATTTTTTATGCGAGGAAATCATTCGTTTGTTTACGTTTTAATTAAGTTCTATTGTAACACATTGAAACAACTTTGTATACCAGAAGAGACTTTGTTCAAAAGTCGTTTGCTTGAGCACCTCTGTCCCATTCGTGTTTCTACCGTGAAGCAGTTGTGTTTTTTTTAATGGGTGATAATGGAATGGTAACCCCACCCGCGCTATCGGTATACACCGGCGGGGCACCATTGAAGGATGATAGATGAGGATGAAGCAGGTCAATTTCAACAAGAATTGTTCACGATGGTTTCCAGGGGGAACCACGTGGAGGTCGACCTAATAAGGCATATTGGAGCTATCAAACTTCATTGCTAACAATCCCTTTCCCCCCAAGCAGTTATGTTTGCGTAGCTGTTTCGGTTTGAAAGGTGGAATATGACAATGAATTTACAGGGTACAGAGGAATAATATCTGAGGCCTCAGGAATGGCAACGCATAAGGGGTATCATGGGCGAAAGAGTATACTCTGTTATGTCCGTAGTACTGCTCATGTCTATAGGCGACGGTTACTATTTTCCATCAGGTGGGCCGTAAGTTTGTTTGCTATTATAAGTTGTATAAAAAAAACAGGCTATTCATTCGTTTTTAAACTAGCTCAACCGAAAATTGTACCCAGGTATTGCACTTACACTTTATTACTACCTACATACGCTGCATCGAACTCCATGGCCCAAAAAAATTTAAATAAAAATTAAAAAGTATATAAGTAATATGCTAATGATCACTTTTAATGAATACTTTCAGGAGAATCTTAATCAAATACAGTATATATCACAACTTGACCTGAAGTGATACATGATGTACTTATATATATATATAATGTACTTCAAGACAGTTTGTGATAACAAAGTGATAAGCGCTGTCAATATTTAACTTGTATATAAATATTATATTAAGTAAAGTGACTATAAAGCAGAACAAGCGAAAAATAAGGCGGGAATGTTACTGCCTATAAATAGCTTATCTATAAACAAGATCTCATATAAACATACTCACGCTTTAGAGGTGGATGATCAAGATGAAACTAAAAATTAGCACAGGTGTACAACAAAATGGAACGTGTGAAGGAGAGTTGGCGAATAAAACGACTACTGACGACTGCTAGCTACCAATGCGTGTGCACTGTGGTCGGACAGTGAGTCACTGCCATGCTACTTCGCGCATGCGTCCACGGTCCATACGTATACATTAACAAATTTATATTCGCAGTGTACACAACATTTACTGAATCATTGCTGTAGTAATTAACAATTATTTATTTTAGACACTGAAGCCAATTATTTAATTGAACCAGTATTTAATTATACCTTTAAAAATGACAGTTTTGTAGATATACTTATTAGCGTGTGCAGAAAACTTTTGTTGTTATCGTAACCTTGGCGTGAGTTTTCCCGTTGTTATAAGCATGGGTATGAGTACTAAACAGAAGTTTATGAATGTATATGTATATTTTTGAAGCGAAAGGATAACTGTGGCAGGATATAAACACTGACGTCTTATAATCTCTGACGTTGAGCCCACGTCTAACTCCCTACTACTATTCAAACCCTATTGTTGTTAACATTTGTAAATATTTACTTTATATTACAATTATTAGCTATGTGTATAGTAGCGTTATGCCAAAAACTATTGTTTTTAAAATTTCATTCTGCGTGTTTGTCTGTTTTTTATTTTTATGATAAATATCAACATTAGGTTAATATAAAGTTTAAAAAATTACGCCTCACAAAGACAAACAAAATATGACAAAACCTTTGCAACAACAGGTTGTAAGGATTATAGTTTTATATTTACTCTAAATTTCAGTGTATAAAAACTAGAAAACTGTGCAAAATAAATCTATATTGGTAAGTTCATATTCGTGATTCGTAGGTACAGTTGGTCACTCTGGCAGAGTATAGATATACCCGCATTCAAAATGCTCCTGAATCAAGGAAGAAATAACTTTAAGCGAAGTTGCATTTATATTATTTAACAATTAATGAACTTCACGCATTTTTAGGTTAATCTGCTAAACAGTGCAATATTCGAGCGATGCTGTATTTACGTTTAAAAAGCCAGTGGCCTGGATGAAATCCCAGGTATGATACTAAAAAAAGGCGTAACAAAGTTGCATCTCAATCAGCTATACTATCTCTTCCATCATTAAATTAATCTTTATTGAAATAGACTTGTTTATAAGCACTCTTAAATCGTTATCGTTTTTTAAATCTACTGCAGGGTTTTAAATGTTGTTATTTATTGAAAAGAGCCCGCAAGAAACTCAACAATCACTCTTTTAAATCTCTGTTAACATTCTAATAAAGGTAGCTTTGTTAAAAGTTTGGAGGATGTCGAATATTGAACCAATCCACAAAATAATTAATCGTTCCTGCCAGTTATTAATACATATCACCTTTTTTTTATGCAACTTAGAATGGCAAACAAGCAGACAGCCCAGTTGATGGAAATTGGTAACCGTCGCCTATAGACATGAGCAGACATAACAAAGTATACTGTTATGTCCATGTTATACCTGCAGTTCTTTATAAGATATTCAATCGAATTGCTTACAATTAACATAATGTACATTATGCTGTTCATATCTATAAATGATGGCTACCAGTTTCATCAGGTGAGCTGTCAGCTTATTGTCCATTCTTAGTTGTATAAAAAGACCCATCAAAATAGCTGATCAATCGTCTTCAAAATTAAACGTCTAATATTTCGTAGCAATACCAAAATGAACAGAAAAATCTCATCGGTATAGTTCCTAACTAATATTTAAAGGAGGAAATAAGATTAAAAATGAAATAAATGCCACTAGATTATCAAGAAATATAAATGATAACGATGGTACGTCATAAGATGAATGCGGAGCACTCTAGTATAATGTATTTTGTATTAAAAATACTATACATAATGAAAATCTAACTACATAAGTGGATAATAGTATATTGTATGATATTGAAACCACACTTGTTTTATGTTAAAATATATTTATTAACTTTTTACAAAATTAGTTATTAAATAATAAACTATTTCATAAAACCTCCCTTTTTCTAACTTTTGTCACTTCATTTAGCCCATACTTATGACTTTATAAGATATTAAAAATATAATATATATAGGTACAATAAGAATTAAAATTAATAATATTGTAAACGTGAAGTGATCATTGTACCTAGTTAACTATTATACGTATAAATTATTAATACTCATAAGACAATGTCGTGACAAGGTGCTCACAATTAACATCTCCACGTTCAACATAACTTAAATATTTAACGACATAACGAAACAATGGAGCCTATTCTGAAATGCCATTTCCTAAACTTCCCTAAAATTAAAATTTGAAATTAACTAATCGTAGGAGAACCATAAAGATCACCAAGAACTAACTATAAAGAAGTAATACACAAATCTATTACAAATTTCGTTCATACCAAATCCAGGAATAATAATTTCGCTGCATCCAATATTAAACGGAAATTTTAACTTTAGCGACTAGATAGAGAGTGACGCTTCAGAATCGACCCCAATAACTTGTTGATCTCTAAACCCATCACGTTATACGAATAAAGAAAATAAGCTACATCGCATGAAACATATTAATGTGGAATAGATAATACAAATATTTGAATCGTACCTATCTAATTTAAAATGCCAACATAGATACATTTTTAAACCACGTTATTGCTAATCAGCACACAACTGCTTTAGTAGTAATCACAATTTGAAAATAGAAAGCCAAAAGTTTCTTCTGCAATGATTATGTTTAACTTCAATTTTATAAATTTACCATAATTATGTAATGTATGGAATTTTAATTTCACAACCAACTCCTACAAAGGTGAAGATTAAAATTATTTGGTACCAAAACCAACCTCAACCTTGTATTTTTTTTTACTGTAATGAATATTAAAAAAAATGATATCATCACGATCGCAAGTTATTATAACAGTACATTTAACTGCAATTCGATTAAGATTATGAAACGTAATAATAAATATCTTTGAAAAAATATTACTTTAGAATATAAGACATTAAGAATAAATTATATTCTTTCTTTTCTCTTTATTATATAAAATAATAATTGAAGTTTACGTAGGTATCTCTTTTAAGGCTAGTAAACAAAGTATAACAACCACAAAATAAATTATTATTCTGTATTTACAGTATCTTTCATATTATTATACTTAGGTACAATTTAAGTAAAATTTCTCTGTAATCATGATTCAGATCTATATACATGATAACATTTTCATGATAAGAAATGTAACAAATTGATATGTGCATGTGTCACGCAGTTCTTCAACATGACTTATATTGTTTTCAATATCAAAACAGACTGCGAAAGGCATTTATATATAAAAGAAAAACTCTAGTTTCACATTCCCATATAACATTACCGATAAAAATTAAGAAATAGTCATTATAGAAAAATGCATGAAGGAAGTGGAATTGTTATGATAACAATCCATTCTTCTGCTGGGCACAGGTGAGAAGATAAGCAGTGGAATATTCGAAAATGTAAATTCCGTGAATAAATAGACGCATCACAGTTTTAAAAAAAAATATAACATAGTTCTAGTTAGAAAAAAGTGCATTATCTGCTTGAATGTGCTTTATATATTATATATATATATATATATATATATATATATATATATATATATATATATATATATATATATATATATATATATATATATATATATATATATATATATATATATATATATATATATATATATATATATATATATATATATATATATATATATATATATATATATATATATATATATATATAATATCAATGACCAGCAGAATTTAATACCTTCTTCGTAAGTCCATTTCCTTGCAAATTTAACCGCCTTAAAAATTTCGCTGCTTTTTAAACAACAAAGATATTGAACTCATATAATCAATATACAATTCGACTTTTAAAACAAAATATATTTAAAAAAAAATGCCAGCAAACAAATTTACTACTTACAAGAGAGTTTGTTGATAGAAAAAAAGAGAAAATGCAGAAAATAGCACAAAATAAAACTTCGAGGTATTCATATGTAAAGTATTAATGTTTTATAGATTCAAATGTCCCGCTTTTCTTTAATCAGTCTTTTACAAATAATATGCTTCATATTCTTAATATAACAACATTTTAGATACTGTTCTTAATAATAATAATTAAAATATTAACATCAACGTTTATTTTTGTATATTTTATTTGTGAAAATAATAATAGGTATGTACTATTTATTTACATGCGTGAACATTGTATGGCCTTGATTATTAATTACAATACTTGTAATTGCTAATTATTTTTTATATGACTTATGAGATAACGTGTGCTTATATTATAGAAAGAAATGTATAATAACATAATTTTAAAATGCTGATTTCATATCGTGGACAATATTATTTAAGATGGTCAATAATAATTAATATCTCTTAATTACTAAAATATAATTTTGATTTTCAAAATACGAGTTCGTATAAATTGTTCTGAATCCCCAGTATGAATTGAACATATGCTTGAGTTACTGCTACGTTATTGTTTACCTCGAAAGGTATTGAAGACTTTTAACTGTACCTCTAGCGGATGATTTTGATAACTTAAACTGCCATATAAACTTATCGACGTTAACGTAAACGCAACAGTAACTTAAAACGGTACAAGTCATACTAGGGACTCTGGTAGAGATTACGCTACTGGCCGGCCACCGCCACTCGCGCTTGAACGGTGCCGTTGTTCACGCCGCTACGCTCACGGTACTCTTGTGTTCCTTGAACAGCAGGAAAGAACTTGCTCCATAGGCCAATGTGTTGAAGATGCCGAACACCTGTTCAAAGTTAAACATAACAATTACTTTGGACAATTTCAAGTAAAATTTATGAGTCGATGGTTTGTTTGAGTTTGTACAAGTCGTCAAAATGTGTGTCTATCAAGAATAATAATAATAAAAAGAATTCCATATACGCAACACAAATAAATATGTAAAGACCCGATTATCACGGTCACAGCACAAACTCTGCCGAGTTTGAGGCTACATGGTGCTGCGTGATATATCCAAATCAATATAATGTTACAGACAATTCTGTACTAATTCATTAGTTCGAGCCCACCGATTAAAATATTATGCACATTGTGTCATTCAAACAACAACATACACATAAGTGCTCATGGCAGAAATGAGTAAGACGATGACGCTTACTTCAATAAGTGATTCATACCAAAATAATCATAATATTTTATAAAGAATTAATCAGAAAATTTTGCCGTTAAACAAGTTCCTGCTGCAATCATTTGAAGAGGTATTAAAAAAATTACCTAAAACTTAATGAGATATTAATAAAAATTTGATTGGTTTATAATTTTTTTTTTTTTTTTTTACATATTACACCACAGTCACTTTGACCACGCACAAATGAAATTTATCTCATCATTTTTAAAAACTCAAAGCATATTATACAATAAAAAATGTGTGTTTTAAACAAATATACATAAGTATTTTTGTTGCACTCGAAAATACAAAAATTCATTATAATGAGAAATAATGTGACCAGTAACCTAAAAGAAATCTCTTTCAGTCAATATAACAAAGTGCCATATGGAATAATTAGTATACAGAAGGAATAACAGTCACACTAAGAATCAGACATATAATAAAATTCTATCTAGTCAATGTTTGTACATGGAAGATATTTAAGATTAATTTGGTATGAAGGTTCTTAATAAGGGCAATAGATGCCAGAACAATTTTTAAAAATTTTGTCTGTTTGTCTGTTTATATATCTGTATGTTTGTTCCGAAATCACTGCACCAAATTAAATACCGTTTTCACAGTTATATTCCTGAAAGTCTAACTTGAAAACTGAAATATGTTTTATCTTGACATGCCACATGAAAGTGGTCTATTTAATTGATTTTCCTACCTATAAGTCTACGCTTACAAAGTAATGGCTAAAAAATTCGTTTATTATAAAGAAACTTCTTCTCTCGAATAGATTTATCAATTACAACTTGAACTTGAAATTCAAGTATGTGTAATGTCATTAATGTCTCATTACACGTTTGTAGCAAGTTTTACGATTCAATTTCGACATATTAATTAATATTCTATGCGTTCTGTAATTTTTATACATATCGATGACGTAACCTGCCGTAGTCGACTGACATTTCCGATAATATATTTAAAACCTACGTATCATTTCAGAGATAAACAGGTATAACCACATATACGGAAAGGCACTAGTAAGTGTAGGATGCTGTGACCTAAAATCGAAATAAAGTTTGCAACTTATTATAATGGAATGTCTGTATGATACAAAGCTTTTCTCTTATACAATTAATTATAAACAGTTTGAAGTATCTAAGAATCAACTTATTGCAAATTAAATAAAGTTGCAATTGGATAAATTAAACTGACCTATGTTAACAAACTCTTTTAAAAATTTTATTATATCACAAATTCCCAGAATTTGTTGCACATTATTATAAATCTCATAATAATGCAAATTATATTTGTTAGCACATAAGGACTAACAAGTAATTTTGTATAAACAAATAAATTGATGATAGATTTGGAAGATGGTGACAGTTTTTATAATAAGTAATGTGTTCAAATTTGAATTCATTAAATTGATCATGACATGTGTAATAGATAAACATTATTTTATAAAAATATATACACTAAAAAATAGATAGGAATACAAACATTTATATATTGTGCAAGTATCGAACTCCTAACCAATGGAAGGCATCAAACTCTATACAATTAAGATAGTCATTAAAATAACTGATATACGGTGATTAAACTCTCTGATAATCTTAAGAGAAAACTATCACAAAATAAGGGCATAATGTATTTTTTTTATTGAACTTTGAACTATCACCAATTTTTATTACATATGGGGCAAACGTGCTTGAGGCTGACCGTCATGTGTTGCAGTAACAAACACGTGATTTCGTTACTTCTTAATTAATGTATGTGTGTGTATGTGCTTTTTTAATATGTATATATCACGCATATTATTTGTTATATATGTGATATATGCTAGATTGGAGATACAAAAAAAAAATTATTTAATTATGCAATAACAATGCCAACTTACAGCAGCTGCAACATTAGCGCCATAGCCGTGCGCGTAGTAACTTGCCGTCGCTGCGAATAGCACGATGAACGCGATCAAATAGAACACTGTCTGGATACTCGTGCTTATTAGTTCCTGCAATTGAACAGTTCACATATTAATATCTATTGACTTTCATTGGTTGACCTGTTTCTGAGCGAGAAACCAATTTGTAACCAATAGATTTAATTAGCTAGGAAATGTCGTATTCAACGAATAAATTAGCCTATAACTATCAAAATTATTCCATCGTCCTATGGAGACAAAACTCTTATACTGTTACCACACAATAACGCATATAAATAAAATTTCAATTTCAATAAAATTTGCCACTTCACATATATGTAGTATATTTGTGAAATTATCGGCTACGGATGCATACCACCATCGTCCTCAGAATTGACATCACAGTTTTTCTGCAATGGCCTTCAATCTGATGAGGCGTCAGCTTTTTAACATTTTAAGTACCATAAAGATACCTATTTATTAGTTAAGTGAAGGCGGTAGACTTACCGCCTTGTATAATAAAGACGTCAATTATCTTATGAATCTATTTTAGCTATTGAAATGTTTTATCCTTTTCTTTTTAGTTTTTGAGTTTTTTAAAATACCGACAAAACACTCTATTAATTTTAATAAGTTTGTAGGATGTTTAAGTTTTTATAAATAAGGGGATTATTCTTAACCACTTACTGTTATAGAACACATGTAACACTCGATTGCCACGATTCGTAGAGTTTAATCTAATCTAAGTTTACAGTAACAGTCAACCTAAGCCCCTTACTACCCTTTCTCACCTGAGATTATTGTCCTTACCATATTTTAAACCTTCATTATCTTACTAGACAAATGGATACCAAAAACATTCAAGTAGGTATTAATTATATGTAGTCATAGATCCACAATATTCACGAATTTAATGTTGAAAACAACAAACGTAAAATATCTTTTAAATGTGGTTAAATTATATACTTACAGATAAAACCCAATTGATAGGGATCTTTAACGCTTCTCTGATGCTAAGAAAATAGACGAAGCTCCACAGGAGTGTTGTGATGAAACACGTAACAGCTACGAATACAAACCACGTAGAGTACCAGGGTGATGAAAGAGCCATACAAAGAATGCCCAATATCTGAAAAAAGTGAAAAGAAAAACATTTTGTTAATAACTACATGGATACTTATCATTACTTACTACGAAATGAAAACGATATCAAAAACCGGTTCTATTAGTAGTAGTATCTGGGTATATGTTGTAATTTTGTGTCTATAAAATTGAGAAATTCTAATGACTAGAATTTGTCAATTTTATTTTATTTATTTTCTAATATACTTTCAACAATCAAAGATACTTGAAATTTAAACTTTGTCAAACCAAATAAAAGTACAAGGCCTAATTAATTGTATGTAAATTTACACGCTCGCAAATGGAAAATGCATAAACTTTTATATCCACTTTTAACATATTCAAGAGGCAGCTAATAGTTGACTAGATATATGACATCTATTTCTAAATTTTATACTATATGTAAGGTAAGTGCTTTATATGGTAAATATTATTTTTTGAATCCACAGCACTATCCACTACTTGGTGACGATAAGTGCACTTGGGTGTAAAGTATTGTTAGCAATAGGGACTGGTAGACCAATTGCTAATAATATACCCCATTAGGCCAACTTCCTCGTAGTCCTCCTGGAAACCATCGTAGTTTTCCTGGTGAATTCGTCACGATAAGCTAACGGTTCTGACTTCATACTCATTGGTACCTGGCCAATATATACTCGTAACGCACAAGGGGTTATCTATTTTTATTATATAAAAAAAATACTTTACAAGGAAATATACATTGTGTTGATAAGCAAATGAGATTATGTAAAATCAACGGTAATATTTTAGTACTTACTACTATACTAGGGCAACGGTACCAGTCAGTTAAATTAATATCAGGCATTGGTAGGGTTCTAGAACTAGGGTTGGTTGTTATTAAAAATATTAATTCATTAATTTTTGATTGAATTTAAATTGAATGATTTTATGGTCAATAATGTCGTATGTTATTTAACTCTATCATTAACTATATCAATTACGAGTTGGATTCTAATCTATTATCCTGTTATTGTGAATAATATAGTCCATACTTATTACCTATTAAGGAAAGTAATCATTTTGTTAATTAAAGTAGTGTAGCTGTAAGTGAAAAAAAAATATAGTAACTTTAGTCAAAATATTTTTAATAGCTATGGCACGTCTCGAATAAATATAGAAATAAAAATTTACTGAATTGCCTAAAATTGTTGTTCTTGCTTGTGTCCCAAACGTTCGTTGACTGATTTACCATAATGATCTGATTATATAATACTTATTATATTGTTAACTACATAGAAATAAATATATCACAATAACAGAGATACAAACATTGTACCAACGTTCGACATCAATAATTCCTGATGAATTCATTATGATGGGCTAACTGACCTGTTTTCATTCTCATCTATCACCCTTCACTGGTGCTTTTTTTTTTTACAACACAGGGGGCAAACGAGCATGCGGCTCACCTGGTGGTAAGTGACTACCGCCGTCCATGATCACCCACAACACCAGCGGCAGAGCAGGTGTGCTGCCGGCCTTTTAAAAAGGAATATACTCTTTTCTTGAAGGTTATGTTATGCTCCGTCAGCGTATCCCGTTAGCACAGACGGGGTTACCATACCATTTTCACCCATAAAAAAAAATAGTAACCAACCAGTAGCTATTGATGTCATAAACTATACATAGACATAGAATAGTTATATGTCAATCCTTATGAACCTTTAAATTTGTATAAATATGATTCAATTAGGAGTAAGTAGTAAAAAGGCGACATGTTTCAACGCCTGTGCCATATATAAAAGGCAATCGACAACCCTATATAGCAGCTGCCTACCCGTCGTACCGCGCCGCGCGGTCGCACTTAACCGCCAAACCGGTTCCTAGGTATCATACGCCGTTGTCGGAACGCACACTGTTGCAATGTTTGCTAGCTCAACAGGTGTTATTTGTAGAAATTCCACATTATAACTGGACTTCTCTATCAATACTGCAAACAGTTGATATAGTCTTGGTAACTTTCATTTTTTTTAGACAATTTTTTTTTTATTTTATAACTAACTGTAACCCACAACTTTAACAATGAATAAAAAGTATAATAAGAATAATTAATACAGGGCATGCATTTTATGCCAAAGTTCATTCAAATTTGTTTAGCCGTTTAAATGTGATTGAATAATAAATATATATATTTATTACATGTATATAAATGACTAAAAAGTAAATTAAACATTAATTTAAACAAACATCGAAATTGTTTGTCATTTTAAGTTGTATAAACAAAATATCTAATCGTTTAAACACCTTTCACCTTTTTAATATTCATAAAATTAATACTTTTAGATAATTTTAAGCATTTTTTATTAGAATTAAATATCAATTATAATACTACTAACTTTTATCCGCGACTTTGTCCGCGTGACTGGGTTCACTGACCGGAATAAAAAGTAACCTATATGCTTCTCTATCTCATATAGTATGTGAGTACCACATTTCGTTGTACTTACTTATGTCGTTAATTCGCTACAGGTAACAAACAAGCAAACAAACTCAATATCACATTTATTTTATTTTCAATATTAGTAAGGGTTGTCGAAGTATTTGTCTAGGTATAATCCTTCCATAACTTAAACACTAAAATATACAACGACAGGAAATCGACTGTAAAGTAAACCTTAAATGTGTGTCACACAAGACGTGAGCGCAGTATGGAGAAAGTGCGTAGTGAGTACATATGGGACGCAACCGCCATTCCGATGGCGACACGGCGCTATCAATGGGTTCACAGACCATCGTCGCTTTTACACGTTGCGCTTTGCTGTCTCGCTCCAAATAACGAAACGTGGCCGGATTTCCGATTCAATGTAGACGATGCTATGCGCTGATTTGATTATATTCCAAATCAATAGAGCACAAAAAATAAAAGTAGTATCTGATCTAAGCAACATAATAAAAAGAAATTTAAACGCACAAGTTATTGAACAAAATTATGTCTGCAATCTGAAGGAATTAGTTATTCAATACTTTCTAAAAAATATTCAGGTATCTACTTTAAGTATGTACGTATGTATGTACTTATAAACTATTATGGATTACAGTAAAATATATTGACATTCATTCTTTGTAATCGAATTATCGATTATTACATTCGTACTTAAGCGATGAAAAGACAATTAAAGCTTGTTATCTGCATTCCATAGACTACATTCATGTTTATATACCATTTATCGAAATTGCTTTATCACAAATTGTACAACATTAACAGTCACCGCAAATGCAACGCAATCGCGATAAATAAAATGCAGTCAGGCAAGAAACATTAGGGTCAGTGAGTATCTGCGTGCACACCGATAATTGACCAACTGAGTTACAACTTAACTAGGTAACTACTTGTAGTAAGTAAGGTACATTGTTCACGTCTGTTCATTGACCCATACTACCAACTTCCGCTTTAGTTTAAGGAGTGTTCACGCCATAAATATACATATTAACGTGATAGTTATAATAATAATAATGGGCATATAAAAAGAGTCACGTAGCTAGGCAGGACGACATAGTCTAGCGTTATTGTGAACAGGTCGTGTCTCCGAAATCCTACAATCGACTGTACAAGCTTTATATGGATCCATCGTGCGATGAGCGATCATAGCGAGCGACATAGAAATTTATAGTATTAAAAAAAAACTTTTTATGGTATTAATAATAACTGAAAAAGATAATCAAAATATAATACCTACACTTAGATATTGATTCAAACAAACTCATCTCAATCTCAATTCAAATAATTAACCTACTCTTCATTAATGCATAACAATAAGCAATTGTGATACTTTACAATTTTGTTCTTATTTATTAATATAATAAATAGCTAATAAATAGGTCTTAATTCTAGAAGTTAGCTACAAGGCAATGCATGTTATTTCTATCCAATTGTATTGTAAATTGTAACCTACGCAAATACAGGTAGGGCTGCAACAAACGAAGTTCCACCATTCTGCAGCTACACTGACGGCCTATCTATCACAACCAAGTTATAGTTCATTTCTAGATAAAACTAAATATTTTATATATTCTGATGGCAATTAATATCACCAGCTTTGCCAGATTGGGTATTTTTTCGCAATTTTAGTAAAAATTTGTGATTTGGAGTAATGAAATTAGAGCTCTTAGTACGAATTAAAGGGGTCATAGAGAATTCGCTCGTTAAACATAATTTCAGCTTTACATGCTCAGATTATGTAATCTACGAATAGTCTCGATCTCAAGACAAAATTATAAGATCATTTGAATTGTAAGATATAGTAACGGAACGAGTAGGTAGATACATATACAACCCAACTCAAATACATATATAAATAAATGGTATTCATTGTTCTACCCACTTTCATGACGCGAAGTCGAAGCTCCGCCCAGTGACCTTATCAATGTAACGATTTACTATCGATCACTTGAATCGAAAATCGAATACTCTTGACCTTGATGCGCTTGACAAACTGTTAACTGGCAAAGCATCATCACGAAAAAAATAACCATGTGAATGAAAGTTATTTCAATTTCATTGGCCTCGATTTCGCAACAGCGACTCGTGATGTTCCGTCACGGTAAAAGAAAAGCAATCGGCCAAGCCAGAAGATGTTTACAAACAAATTGCGACAGTAGTATCGAAAATTATTAACGTTTTTAATCACATATCCGCCTATCTGTCAATTTCAAAATTGCACGTTTTTCATTTACCTTTTTATTTCTTACATCTCGTTGCAATACCGTCATATACAAATGAATCGATTAATCCTCCATTTTATTTGAAAGTGAGACAAAATTTAACAAATGCATAAAAAAATAACTAATCAAAAAGTATTGTAACCGAGAATCAATTTATAAGTAAGTACATATACAATGTTGTCGATCTCCATGGTGTAGTGGTTGTATATTGCTTTACATGAATGAGGTCCTGGGTTCGACTCTTAATTCGTCCAAATTAGAATATTAACTTTCGAAATTTGTTTTAATTGGATGTTCTGGGTTGTATCTCCTGATATTATACTT